ATAGGTCTTGCCCCAGTGAGGCAAGGTCTTTGCCTTCCCACAGCTCGTCCTTCACAGGTTCCTTTCCCAGCAGCCTGAGGCTCTGTCGGCCTTGTACAGTGGTGCCTCGCAAGACGAAATTAATTCGTTCCGCAAGTCTCTTCGTCTTGCGAGTTTTTCGTCTTGCGATGCACGGTTTCCCATAGGAATGCATTGAAAATCAATTAATGCGTTCCTAGGGAAACCGCCTTCAGACTCAGGTCCGGGGACAGTCTGTCCCCGGACCTCTTCTGAAGGCTGGGGGCAAGGGCTTTTCTTCCCACCCCCAGCATTTTAAAACCCCGGGACAGCGGAGGACTTCTCCGCTGTCCGGGCGATCTTAAAATGCTGGCGGGCGGCATTTAAAATCACCTCGGGACAGCGGAGGACTTCTCCGCTGTCCGGGGCAATTTAAAAGCCCCTGGGAAGGCAGGCAGGGGACAAAGACTTTGCCCTCGCCAGCCTTCAGAAGAGGTCCTGGACCTCTTCTGAAGGCGGGCGGGGGCGAAAGTCTTTGCTCCCCGCCTTCAAAAGCCCTCCGGGACAGGCAGGCAGGGGGAGCAAAGACTTCGCCCCCGCCCGCCTTCAGAAGGTCTTCCCTCCCCGCCCGGCTTCGGAGCACCGCCCGAGCCGGGCGGCGGCGGGAGGTCTCCTCCCCCCGCCCGGCTCGGAGCACCGCCCGGCCGGGCGGCGGCGGGAGGTGTTCCCTCCCCCGCCCGGCTCGGAGCACCGCTCCGGGCCGGGCGGCGGCGGGAGGTGTTCCCTCCCCCGCCCGGCCTCGGAGCACCGCCCGGGCCGGGCGGCGGGGGGAGGTCTTCCCTCCCCACCGCCCGGCTTCCGGAGCACGCTCCGGGCCGGGCGGCGGGGAGGTCTTCCTCCCCCCGCCCGGCTTCGGAGCACCGCCCGGGCCGGGCGGCGGCGGCAGGTGTTCCCTCCCCCGCCCGGCTCGGAGCACCGCCCGGCCGGGCGGCGGCGGCAGGTGTTCCCTCCCCGCCCGGCTCGGAGGAGCCTCCGAGCCCGGCGGCGGCGGGAGGAGGTGTCCCCGCCCCGCCGCCAGGCTTCGGAGGAGGTCCGAGGACAGTGGGGAAGACGTGCTGCGCTTCCCGCTGTCCCTGAGATTTCCTATGGGCTGTCGTCTTGCGAAGCAAGCCCATAGGGAAATTGCTTGCGAGCGCCTCAAAACGGAAAACCCTTTCGTCTAGCGGGTTTTCCGTCTTGCGAGGCGTTCGTCTTGCGGGGTACCACTGTATCTTGTTGTTCCACCCTCTTCATTCCTCTCTGTGTTCTGGGAGACCAGGGGGGAGGGCAGCTGGTCGCAGCAGGAGGGGGGAGACTCCCTGGCTTCTTCAGCAGCCTGCCTCCACTCTGCCTCTTGGGCCCCCTCTGCTTCTGCCTCTGATTCTGGGCTGCTTTCTGCCACAGCCTCTTCCTGCTCACTAAACCCTGTTACCTCTTCAGCTTCTGACACCACCTCCTCCCAGTCTGCTCCCTCTGACCATTGTCGTCCCACCCTGGCTCTAAGCCATCTTCCCCTGGTGGTTCCCTCGGGGGTTCCCAAGCTGGTCCCTTCCCCCACTCCTCTGCATCCAGCCAGTCCATGACAATTATATACAATACCCTGGTGGAGGGGACTTGTAGCTCAGTGGCAGAGCACAATATTTCATGCAAGAGGCCCCAGTTTCAGTGCCTAGCAGTAGTTTCAGGGAGAGTCTGGGAAAGTCCTCTGTTGGAAACTTTGGCGGTCAGCAGACAATACTGAACTAGGTACACCAACGGTGTGACTTAGTTGAAGACATCTTCAGTTAAGGCAATCAGTGTATCAGATGATTTTAGATGAGGCCTTTCAAATAATTAAAATACAGTTGTTTTAAAGATGTTGAAGAGAGAACTTCCTAGTTCAACCAACGCAAAGCCATCCTTGTTGTAACATTGGTTGTTCTTCAGGCACCTTGAAAAATGAATAATGAACCTGCCTAAAAGGCCCACAAGATGTCACTACTGTGCTACAGATAGAGCGCTAAGGCAAATCTTTAAAAATGTAGTATAAATGCTGACAACTGGGAAACACTGGCCTGCAAGCACTCCAGTTGGAGAACAGCCTTTACCAAACTCAGGACGCAAGAGAGAAACATGCTAAGAGGAAGGCACGCTTGGCAAATCTACACCGTGATCAACTCCCACCTCGAAACCAAGGTCCCCACTGTGGAAGGACATGTGGATCCAGAATTGGCCTCTACAGTCACTTACGGACTCATTGTTAAAACCGTGTTTATGGAAGATTGGCAAAGAAGGAGGAGGAGGAGAAGAAGAAGTGCGCTCTTTAAGGCCTCTGTGAAAAAGAAGTTGTATTTTCTTGTCCTCCTTTTTTTTTAAAGGCTCCCCAAGCAGATTAGGTTGCAGCTATCAAAATGAGTTACGGATAGATGACCCAACCAAGGATACTCATGATCCAAATATGAACATATAGTCTTTGCAAACAAAATAATTTCAAAACTAAAACATGCATCCATTTCTATCCTCCAAAGCAAAATTTTTCATGGCTGGACAGATATTTGCTAGCACTACTGTCAAGCAGAACAATTTTTGCACGGCAAAGGATGGCAGCATTTGTTTAGCACACTTTTCCCTTAGAGTTGCCTATGTTCCTTAAACAACATTTGCTTTTAATACTAATGCAAATCCTGTGCAAGCTTACAGGGAGCAACTAAACGTGGTGTGACTCATTTCTGATTAGGCATGCCTAGGGTTGCATGGACTGACAACCTCTCCTGACTTCAGTGGTCGTGCCTGAAGAGCGTTTATTCCAAAGAATAAACTCAGCAAACGTTTGGGTACTGTGTGTGTATGGGAGAAGAAACAAACCCCATCCATTTTGGATTAAGTCAGATACTAGAACATTTTGTAGGGATTATGTGGGAAACCTAAGAGAGTGAGGCTGGCTAGCTAAAATAGAGGGGGGTTCAACCTTCACACATACTTGTATGGGGTGCATTCCCATGCCATTGGGAAACAGGCAACCAGGTGGGTTAGTAGTGTGGTCTGGTTCTAACGTAGCAATGGATTCAGACCTTCCCCAGTGATATTCCATCTCCTCGCAGAGCATACAAACAGGCCTATTACTATGGGGGGGGGGACCCCTCACTTAAAAAAGGTCCAAGTGGAAGAGGAATGGATAATTTCAGGTTTAAGCCGTTAGGGAAAAAGTGGTCATTTGCTATCCCTGCATTAGGAATTACAATGCAGCGTTGAGGTTGTGGAATAGCTTCTCTAGAGAGTCATACACTTACATCACTCTTGGGGTAATGATACCTTTTCACGCAGCTTATGATGTAATTTTGTATAGTGTTTGGACCTGGGAAAGCCAGATCTTTGTGGCAATGGGGGTGGGAGGTGGACTACAGTTCCAATGGTAATATTAAGCTCTTTTAGCATACAGCGCATGACACAGTAGTTTACTAATTTATTTTAAGACGCAACTTTGGCTTGGCGCGTTGCATTTTTACTCACCTGTTAAGAACGTTCAACAAAGGAACTCAAAAACAGTTTCAAGTGTATTCTAACTGATTCAAAGGGGAAATGTGTACAAGATCATTGTGCCATTTCCCCCTTTGGAAGGATTACATTTTTTGGGTGTGTACCTAAAGATATGTGTGATGTGATACAGGCACACACTGCAAGTAGGAAGAACAATGGTGAACAGCAGCATAACTGTTCTATTTGGAACTGTTTGTTTTATAATTGCAAAATATATTGTTGTACCCCACCTGGGACATTATGCTGAGGAGCTGGAAACAAATTTTATGAATAAAATAGCTTTTTAGGAGGATTTTATCGTATATCTGATCACAGAGTTTATAGTAAACACATTATGGTACTGTCATTTATTTTTATATTTCAAACCTGGCAGCCCAAGTCATTAGCCGACAAGCAGCAATGTGTCGTGACTTGTCAGCAGCAACTCCCTTGTTTTAGCAGAATCAAGCATACATCAGAAATTCTGGTTGACTACCATCCGTCACAACTGGGCTGGCACCTGCCTTGGCAGGTCACGAGTCTTGCAGGCATTGTTTCAAAAGTGCTTTTCTACATTTGAATTGTGTATCAGCACTGGACTGAAGCCGATTTGTTAGCCGGTATCTGAACCATCAACGTCTATACTTGTCAGTTCGTTTCCAAGCATAATTCATCGTGTTAGTAACTACCTTTAAAATCTCTAAATGGGCTGAGTAGGACTGCCTCTTTCTAGATCAGGGTGCTCCAACATGCAGCCTCAGGGCCTCCAATGCCTTCTTTGGCAGCCCTCAGCAACATTTGAACCCTCCCCATGCCCCAGCCCTTGTGCTGCCTTCCAAAACCCAGGTAAGCAAGATGCTAGGCTTTGGGACAGAGGTGTGAGGGCTCTGGCAGGGCCCTAGAATCCACCAGCCCCGTTCCCAAAGCCTAGTTAGCACCTTCCCAATTTTGCGAAGCAGCCCACAGATTCCATGTCAAAGGACTTTTGAGCCCCACTTGATATGAACAGTTGGGCCATCCTGTTCTAGATCATCCTGTCCACTTCCCAAAATCTGGTGCCGACTGCAGAGGCCCTTTGTTGGGTCTGACTTCTGGGTGATGTGCAATTGGCTTGGAGGAGAGAAAGGGCTCTCACGGGACACCCTCATACTATAGAATACCTCTGCCCTCGCCACTTGCTGTCAGTTGGCAAAAACATTCCTGTTCCAGCAAGCTTTTGCTGTGCTGGGTTTGCAGAGCCCGTTTTTATATTGTTTTCACAGGCTGTGGCATTTTGATTGTTGTAAGCTGCTCTCGGTAACATGAATGGATTTGGAGGACAGGATACAAAACTTCGAAAAGAGAAGTAAACAAGCAAACAGAAACTGGTTTTCCTTGTGCTAAAGTTTACGCCCTCTTTACAGTCTGCCAAGGTATACGGTTCAGTAGAGCTTTGGATGGGGTAAAATAATACAACATTCACTTTTTTTACATAAGATTAACTTTTATTTCATAAGGTAACTAGATACCAAGTGGCAGAGTAAGAAACCATCTAGAAAACCAGCAAAGCAAAAAGAATGGACATGATGGAAGAACTAGGACAGAAGAAAGCAACCTGATTCCAATGATGATTATTTATGCAGACTTACATATTAATGCCATGCACATTAGGTATAGAAGTGATTACAGAAAATTAGCATGCATTTCATACAGTTTTTAATGTGAGATTAAGGCACTTTTGTTTTATAGAGAACACACACCGTGTTTGCACTCTCCCCTCCCCCCTGTTTTGTCACTTTGGCAGAAAACTCCTGTCCCAGTTAATGCTACAACTGGAACTGAATTTATATTAAAAGCAGAACTCAAATCAATTCATGGATATTTTACAGATTAGTGAAATATACACTTCACATATATGCACCACGTATATATTATATATATATATATATGCACACACTAAAATTCAGCAATGTGAGCTGTAACTGGTTTTTACAAAATTAAGCTATGTATTTGTATGTACCACATTTTATCAAATCTAAGTCTTGAATTAGGTACTTATCAATATAAAAACTGAATTAATTTACTTAACACGCCCCCCCTTACTAGGTTATGTTAGCATCCTATCTTAGTGGTTTGCAACTTTAAGACAAATTTATGTTAGACCACAGTAGCTGCCAAGGAAAAGACATGCAGGTCTAGAGTTCATTTTATTAAGCGACACAGAGACGTTAGGTGCCATTATAACTATAGCTTAGATCGGGTTTTATTACAAATGCAAGGGCCAACAGCAAGCCAAAGACCACCTTCCCAAAACTCGCAAGAAATTATTGCTGTTAAATGAATGTATATATAAAATTAAGCGGGGAATGAAAGGTTAATACAAGAATGTTAAGTACAAGCAATGGACTTGAATCTGATACTAGTAGAGAATTTCATAACACCAAGTTACTTTCATGTTTGTCTGACTTCCCTGCTCTGATTTACAAGGAAGCTATCAACTTAAGTTGCAAAGGTTCTCAGTAAGCAGTCCAATGTAGGCAGCACCATCAGCAGCAATTATGGCTTCCAAATAGTGAAAAATAGTTGCTAAATGATAGGACTTACTACTTTTCAAGTGTTGTTTTGGTTTTGTAGGTATATGGTACATGAAGTCTTAAACATAATGTAGATAGCACAGTAGCTCTCAGACTGAGATCCTACTGTCAAGCAAGTTCCATACAAGGTGCTTTCTGCGTTGTGTCTGATTGTGAAAAACCAAAACATTACTTTTCTCCCCAGATTTTGCCTGTCAGGATGAAAACAGATACTTGGGATTACTATTGTTGGAAAGTAACTGACGACAGTCATCCATTTTTATGTCATTTAAATATTTTAAAACACTGAACTTCTAAAATACCACTAGGCTAGCCTTCCCCAACTCGGTGCCTTCTTGATGTTTTGGACTACACTGGCAAAGGCTGCAATAGACCATGTGGTCGCTTATTTCTTAAACCATTGCTGTTTTAGTACGTTTGTGCAAGGAAAACACTCAACTTTGAAGGAAAATGAAGCAAAGACAGGTCTTGTGCTTGAAAAGAGGGGTTGCTTTTGTTTAAAGTTACATTCTAAATTAGAGAGTTTTATTAAGATCTTGAAAGTGGCAACTTCAGAGAGATCCATGTGGCATGTATGAAATTTCTGCCTCGTGAGGTTGAATTTCTCAGATAACTACTGCCTTCCATGTGCCTGGGTACAATGCACCTGCTATAGCTTTTTCTTGATCTCATCTTGCTTCAGATATTGTTAATTTTCTATCAAGCCAGATCTGCTTTTTGAAATTTGCATGGAGAGCCTTGGAAATTAAGTGGCAGCACGAATCTCTCAAAGTGGAACATGTGCTGTTCTGTCAGCCTGGTTAAGCCAAGGTCAAGATCCAGTATTCAGTAAGGGGCCTATCAGCTCTATTTATATAATGTGCCTTGGAAAGTTGGAGGCAGCACAAGTCTCTCCTGCTTCCTTCAGCCTCCCTGACTGCCCAGAACTGAGAGGTGTAATGCCCTTCTCATGGCTTTCTGCCTGCCCTATTAGGTTGGGTCACACGAACCATTCAACCCAATATAAAGGGAAAGGGAAAGGGCCCTGACAGTTAAGTCCAGTCACAGACGACTCTGGGGTTGCAGCGCTCATCTCGCTTTACAGGCCGAGGGAGCCGGCGTTTGTCCAGACAGTTTGTCTGGGTAGGGGAACAAAAAAGTGGGCAGTTATCCTCACAGGGTTCACAGTCCAATCACTTCCCTACCATCCAGCACCTGCACTCAGACCCAGTCCAAGTGATTCCCCCCATTCTCAGCCCAATTCAGTATTTCCTGTCCCTCTCCAGGTGGTTTGTCCATCCCTTTTTCATAAACGAAGGGAGGGAAACCTGCAGCCCTCCAGATATTGCTGGACTGTCTCAAGAAGCTCAGCCAGCAAGTTCAGGGGTGATGGAAGATGTAGACCAGCAAACACTTATCAAGGTCATAGGTGCTCCATCCCTGTTGTAAACAGATCATCATGGAATCTTACAATGTTCCTGCCAACATTTCATTCTTTTTTTCTTTTTTAAAAAGAAAAGAATTAAAGGAATTTAATTCTGCCTAGGCTCAGTTCAGTGCTGAGCTGGTTTAGGGAATGCTTTAAGAAGGCACCGCTATTGTGGAGAACGCATTAAAGGTCTTTACAAGAAGCAGGTGATTATGAAGCATTTGCTCCTGTGATGACCGAAATGGAAGGAAGAATCAAAATAACAACGCTGGCTTTGTTCACCAGCTGCTAATGATTATAGCATCACCCTTGGAAATGCCTGAAAAGAGATGGCAAGAAAAAAAGAATGTTAAATGCTATTGGGCACAACAGCTACGGCACAAGCAAATCTGGTGATCTTGTGTTTTCCCATGGTGGCTGTGCGGATCAACACACAACTGCTAGCGACTGCCAACACCATCTGGCATAATCGAGCAAAGGTGGCAGCAGCAAGAACAGGACAACCCACCTACCAAAGAAGAGCTGGATGAATGACAGACGTGGGGAGGGACATATGCCATGAAAAACTCGAGAGCAATGACTGGATCCTGGGAAATGAACCAATTGTGGAGGCAATATGTGGGAGTGCTAATGGGGAAGCTGCAGGAACAAGGACTGTGCTTCTTGTGGTGCATACCAAAACCTTGCTGTATGTGGCTCTTACGAACTTTGATCAGGCTGACATGGTATCCATCTGCTCCCAAAACCTACGCACTCAATAAGTTGTAATTTATATGCAGTGCACTAAGCTTTAATATGATTGGTGGCTCCCCCCTCCAACAAGGGACAACAGCCCTCCCCTCCCTCATGGGGGATGTATGATAGCTTGGCAGGCTTTAATTACTAGGACGTAATTTTTGAAAATGAAATGTCCCAGTGTAGTTATTTGCATAAGGTGGTATCCAGTGGTTACTCATACAGACTCTTCAAAGTAAGATAAGTCCATTTATTTCCAAGTATGATTTAGTTGGACAAATATTTCTTTTGGGTGTATAAAGTATTTAAATCCTATTTATGGAGCGTCACATTTTACTTGCTTTTAACAAACTAAGCTCATGCCTAAATAGTTGAAATTCCAACAGTAGTCAGCAGAGGGAAACCTGGGCTTACACAATCCAATGCCCTCAAAATGCTGTTTCCTATGTGAAAGGCATATGGTTACCTACTTAAGTGTTTTAACAATTATCCATAGTACTCCCTTCCAGCCTCAAATCAGATGTTTATGCCTTTAATGTCCCTCCACCTCTGCTTCTGTTTTCTACATATATAAACAACTTATCCTCTTTCTAATGTCACTGTCAAGATACCCACATACTCTCTACTTGATGGGAAAGTGCTCCCTGATTCCATTTAATTAATGAAGCCCATAATTTCTCTTTGACCTCATTAATGTCTGATCTTGTCTTTCTAACTTAAACAGGGAGCTTTTTATGATCTAGTCTAGGCATGGCCAAACTTGGCCCTCCAGCTGTTTTGGGGCTACAACTCCCATCATCCCTAGCTAACAGGACCAGTGGTCAGGGATGATGGGAACTGTAGTCCCAAAACAAATCACATAAATGACATTACCTAGAAAGTGAGAAGTGATTTGAGTGAAAGGGTGGAAGCTTGACAAAGAAAGCGTCACAAATCACTTTTGCGTTATATCCAACACAAGATGTCAGCAAAGAAAAAAAGGGGTGGGGACTAATGGGTTAAAAGAAATGAAACAAAGGAACAAGCACAAACAACTGTTTGGACAAAATGTATGGTGTTGCTTTTGTGTAGCATAATGTAGTGTGGTGTTGTGTTTGTGTGTGTTCATTCATTCATTGGTATGGGGAGCCTGGATGGAGACAAAACAAAGCTCAAAAGCAACTTCAAGATGAAATAGCTCCACTTTCTTGGATTCAGCATAAGTTTTGAATTATGAGCGTTATTTGTTACATTCTTTGTGGAGGTAGCATGCTTAGTATGCTATGAATTTAGGACAATAGGAATAGGTGACGCCAAGGAGGAGGAATCAGTTTCTCATTATGACATCAAGTCTCATAAACAATAGCAGCAGCATGTATATATTGCAATTTTATTTCATCTGCTCAAACAAAACAAAGTTAGCATTTTAAGAAATTTTAAAATGACACAATATGGTAAAAATAGCAGAGAATTAACTGAAAAACTCAAAAGGAGGTAAAACTAAATGCATGAAAATTCAACATTCATTAGTGTTTCATCTTCAGTTTTGATTGACACTTGATGCTTGCAAACTTTTTGAACAATGAACTTTGTTTCATGACAACTCTGAAGAGATTTCAGCACCAGCACTAAGATTTGTACATTCAGTTTGTTTGCAATTGACTTGTTAGCCACTTGTATATGAATAGGACAGATTTATCACAGATCAGATCACAGTGTTGAGGAAAGCAATACCTTCCTGGAATTAAAAGTGATCCCCTAAACCATATTCAGCTTAAGGCATCCGCTGTACAAAAGCACAGGAACCATCATAACATTTTTTTAAAAGAACAGTAATTAAAATAACCTAAGCTTCCTCTGTAGCTCATTTTAATTACAGGACTATCTAGCAATGGCATAGCTGTCATTAAAACAGCCTTAATTTACAGTTTAACTAAAATTGGATTTCCTGGAACGGTCCAATTCAGGATCACATAACTATGCATGTAGAAAGAGTACAAAGACCTGTTTCTTTTTTCCTTTTGCACAGAAATCATGTTATTTTTAGACCAAGGCACAAAACGTTTAGTGCATTAACCAGTTTCGTTCACAATCTAGTAACTCAGTTTTCTTACCTTTGGACCACTTACACCTCTAACATTCTGCTAGGCTATCTCTGAATTTTCTTTACAAACAAAATCAGACATGATTTCTGAAAAGAGTAAGCATTTAGGGTTATACTGTTTAATCAGAAATTACTTTTAAAAGATGAAAATGCCTCCTCTTAATTTGAGAGCAACATCTGTTTGCCTTGTTATTTTAAAAAATGCCTTCAACTAATGCATGCAGATAACACTTTAAAAAAAATGTAACCACTGATTTTTGGATCATATTTTATATGTCATACTTCCATCTTACAGAAAGAGGGGAAACAGAGAATGTCCTCAATGAAAACTTGAAGCAGCAATAAGCAGCTGTTAATTTGCTTTGGTGCCCAACACTTGGGAGGATATGGTAAATAAAGCTTTCTTATGAACTAAACTGGATGAAAGTGGGTAATTCAAGAAAATGAGTAATTCTGTCCATAGCCACAAGTTATTTTTTTTCAAATCAGCATAGCTCACAAGATAAATATGGCACTATTATATAGCATGGAGAATTTAAGAGGCAGTGGGAATTAGAGATTGTTGCACATTATTGGCCGAATTACAACATTTAAAATTGCAGGATTCCCCACCCCATCCCTTTCTGGAAGTCTGTATGGGATATCTTAGTAAAGGTTTGGACACTGGAACAGGAGATGGAACAAAGTGAATTTCATCTTTGAAGAATATGTTGTTGCCACCACTGTTCTTAAGACTTTCCATTGTGTGACTTTGTGCATCAATATTTGACCTAGACTACCTAGGTCAGGGCATGGCCAAACTTGGCCTTCCAGCTGTTTTGGGACTACGGTTCCCATCATCCCTGACCACTGGTCCTGTTAGCTAGGGATGCTGGGGAGTTGTAATCCCAAAACAGCTGGAGGGCCAAATTTGGCCATGCCTGACCTAGGTCCACTGCATGGTTAAAGGAACAGGAGCAAGCTGTAGGAAAATGTGCACCTTTCCTGGCATGACCTGCTCACCCCCCAGCTCCTTAACCCTGGTTACAGGCAGCACTGGCACCAAAAGCTTTTCCAGTCCTGATTAAAATATGGTATTGTCAAGTTTACGGCCAGTGACGATGCAACCGTTAACCACGATTCAGAGATGGGGAGAAGGGCAGGAGGAATTTACGTTGGGGAGAGGTTGGGAAGAAGTACATGACCTCATGACCTGCTCCTAGTCACTTAAACTGGGATTAAAGGATTGGCAGCATAAATAACCCTTGCACTATGCTCACTCCCAAATTAAGTAGAAACTGACCTCAATGCACAGGTTCAAGTAGCTGTTGTGGAAAGACTGCTCTGTACTACTTTTGTATGCCTCTTTTTAAAAAAATTACCTCTAAGTTTAATCATGATGCTTAACTTTATACCAAGTTAAGAAAAAGAAGCAAAATCGCTTAAGGGTTTCCAAACCTCTTACTGAAGCATTACTAATTTTGAAATACAAACAAAATGATACAAAAAAATTATTAAGTATCTGCTTCTATTTAACATGGTTACTGATAAGTCACAACATTTTCCTTATTATTACACATGCATGCAATATAAGGAAAAATAGTGCAGTAATTAATACAAATTTTTTTAAATAAAAAAAAGTCACCCTACCCCCAACCCTACACCTCCCAAGTTTTGCCTGGGCGTTAACTAGGCCTTACTGTAAAAAGGCTACTTAATATTTGTGGCATGCAAGGATGTTTTAAATTAAAAAGCCAACTCTGTGGTTGTGTTATATTACAAAAATGTCTACATGCATAAATCTTAAAAGCTCAAAAACCTACGGTAAGTCTCTAACAATCTAACAATTTACATTTGACCATTGATTTGTTTTCTGGAGAAGTCTTAGATTTGGTAAAGCATTACAATTTAGGAAGGCATCTACATCTTTATACTCAGGACAGCATTTGCATTTTCCCCTACAAAACTGTACGAAGGCTAACTAGAGAGGCTTCCTATCATAAGATTCCAAAACTCAATATATCATCACATCCTAGAAGATCCCTCATTCACCAATATTGTATTTTACAACATACTCTTATCTGTTATTTATTTTGTGAACTGAAGTCATGTTTGATCTTTAATTCATGGAAACACCCCATATGATAGGAAGACTAACCTGAGATACATTTGTACAACAGTATAACTTGCTAAATCCTTCACTAAGAAAACCTCTCTGAAAAGCCTTCCCAAGCTTTTCTCTCTCTCCTCTCTCTCTCTCTCTCTTAGTCTTAATGAATTGTGAATGTGCAGCTTCATCTCGATATGAAAACATTTCAATGCACTGTGATCTCGTCTGACAGGTATAGGATTTTCTGCATAAATCGTTACCGCAACTTAAGAACATTTTCCACCAGGTTTAAAGTCAGAAAACAGCAGCAAAGGGAAATCGTATACCGAAGTGATGTCTGAAAGCTTTCAGAATCTTGCCCTTCTTCCAAGTGTATTTTTTCCATTTTCTTCTAACAGCTCGCAAAATGTAGTCGATTTTGTGCCAAGACCAGTGGTCACAACGGCTAAGTCCTACTATGCTGTATTCGACTTGCTCAGTTCTTGCCGGATTGCTGATTTGGAAAGAGGAGGGAAATTGCTGTTAAAACTCTTCAGTATCTCAACAGAGAAAGGATGTGGTCTGTTCATTTGAGAAAACCTGTATCAAGACAGTGTTTCCTCAACCGTAGTACAGACAATGTGGCTATAGGTAAAAGGTAAAGGTATAGGACCCCTGGATGGTTAAGTCCAGTCAAAGGCGACTACGGGGTTGTGGCACTCATCTGTCTTCAGGCTGAGGGAGCTACATTATAGTGTGGTAGTCCCAAAAAGACTAATAAACTGAAAGTGAATTCTGACAAGATGAAGGCTCTGTTGCTAGGTGTTTCTAGGGTCTGAGAATTAGATAGACAGCACACTCTAAATGGGATTATATTTCCCATGAAAAACCAGGTACACAGTCTGGGTGTTTTCCTGGATCCAGATTTGTCCAGGGAAGCCCAAGTGGCTCTGGTGGTGCTGAGTGCCCTTTTCCAGCTCTAGCTGGTTTACAGCTACTGTTATTCTTGGATGGATAGCCTTGTCACAGTAAACCATGCTCTGGTAATCTAATGTTCTGGGAGTGCCACAGCCAGCCCAAGTACATAATAAAGTGGGGCAGGGTCTTAGGACATTTACTATACTCCTCCATTCTAACTGTGATAGTGGAACATTTGGGGGTCAGGATCATGTGCCAATGAAAGGTGAGCATGTGAGGTCTGAGAATTTTCCATTTCAAATCCCTAACTCATTCATACAATTCCATTCTTAAAATCCTGAAAACCAGTCATAGGTTGAAATACTCACCATCAATTAACTCTTCTTTTAGTTTCGTTAATTCCTTCCTCATTTCATCTAAAATATCCTATGGTATCAGAACAGAATGAAAAAGTCAAAAGTTTTGCCCAAGGCAATTTAAAAGGTATCAAAATTGAAAAAGATTTAACAAGCCTACTTTTAAATTTCAAGTAGCGACACTCCAAATGAAGTGCTTCTATGACCTAGATCAAATTATAATTTCCCCCTACTTTTGTATGGAGCTTGTGCACAGAGAAAATCCAGTGAACACAAGCTCAAAATGTAGAGCTAATTCTTCTCCACCATACAAATCTGGGAATTGATCACATGCTGATTGTTGCATCTATTTGTGGAAACTCAGGGATCTCAGTGGCAAGATAGGCAAGGGTGATGGGATAAGGAAGAAAAGGGTGATTTTGCTGCCTCACTGTGTTCAGAAAAACCCCCTCCCAGAGGAAATGTTATGTAAAACTGGGGCAGTATTGATGCAATGCCTTAAAAAGAAGTGTTTATTTACAATGAAACTAGCAAAGTAGCAATTCTATGTCAGATTAGGAGGTATTCTTACCTACTTCATAACCACAATTTATGAAGCCAGAAACAGGTTTAAGGCCTGTGCACTTTGCCCATGTCCCCTCTGCCATTCATTCAGAGATCCTGCTCATTTAAAACTAGAGTTCCTTATTAAGGTCAAAACTGGGAATTCTGGTTTAATGTCTGTTAATTAACCAGGATATTAAGCCCAGAAGCTTAATAATATCCGTGGGATGCATGTTTAACCACCTATGTTGGCAGTTTGACAACTGGTTATAACCTTTTCATTAAAGTGTTTCATAGTGACTGAAGGCAGCTATATTTAGATGTTTTCTGTAGATGTTTTCAATAGACTGCTTTAAGACCTGCATACTAAGCATATTTGTGGTTTTTAAAAATGTTTTATTGTTGTACTTTATATTCTTTCCATCATGTTGTACACCATCATGCTGCACAAATGGCGGAGAAATTATAGAAATAAAGTTTGTTGTCAACCAGAAATAATTAAAGTCAATATCATAAACAACATTAGGACTAGAGTTCTAGTATAAAATATTTACCTGTTTCAATCTGTCATAGTCTAGCCCTTCAGACTGTACTCCATTTGTACTGGGTTGCCCAGAGGATGCAGATTTTGGTCTGTGAAGAACAAACAAACATGGTTCAAGTTAACTATGCTACCAGCAATTCAATTTATAAGAACAGTGATCTACTGCCTACCATGCCTTTACACACACACCCCGCCAAGTAGTTAAGAAGTTTAATTATTCTGTTTTCTTGACTAATGAGCAAACTGCTTCTGCTGGACCCAGATGGTCTTTTGCTCAAATTGAAAAATATTGGAAGAATGGCAGTCTGACCATTGAAAGTAGAATGCTGCGTTGTTGATTTTAAATGGAAGTTTCACTTCTGAGTGCATTCCTTTACATTAAAGGTTATATCCTGCCTTGATATAAAGTCTTCAAAGCAGCTACAATATTAAATTATAATTATAATAATTCTCTGTCCTTCTAAAAACACACAGCTAATGGAAGGCCATGGGATGTTTGGTTACGTGGCAAATTAGTGTGTTCATTGCTGGTGAAGCTTGGACCCAAACTTCACTATCAGTGAACAATGGACTCCTTCTGTCCACAGGCTTTTGATCTAGTGGAGGAATCCACTAAAGGTATTACTTTAGTCAGGCACTGTCTCAGCCACCACACCAGATGGAGCTAGTAGACAGCTGCCCCGGAAACAGAATTAACCAGCGCCTCCATGGACAGATGTGAGTCCAAAATGACCCCACAGCTGCGCACCTGGTCTTTAGGGGCAGAGTTACCCCGTTCAGAACCAGGGAGTCCCCCACACCTGACCCCCCAAAACAGTACTTATGTCTTCTTGGGATTCAATGTCAGTCCATTAACTGCCATCCAACCGCATCCAGTCACTCACACAGGACCTTCACCACCATCACTAGTTCCAATTTGAGTGATTTTTATCTCCAATTTTTGTGTGTGAAATCACTGCAAGAGATCTTGGGAGTCCTTATAGGTCCCCAATGGAGAAGGTGGTTCTGTTCAATTACGAACTACCTGAAAGAGTCTCATGGAACTCTTTTCAGCAGATGCAATAGAGGCGGCGAAGAATGTCTTCTTCGCTGCTGCTATCACCACTTGGTAGGCTCGGCGTTGAGCTCTAACCCATGTTTGGTCCGATTCAGAACAAATTTTTCTCCACCAGCACTCTAGCCATCTCAGCAATTGTTTCACTGTCCTCAGCCTGGGGGAAACACTCTGTAGCGAAATCATTTTTCAACTCCTTATTAATGCTGAACTCATACACAATCTACTACTTAAGCTTAGTATAACTTTATTCTAAATATATTACTTGTTTAATTCCTGAGGGAAAATTGCTATGACAATGTAAAATTAATAATTCAATATCAGGCTTTCTTGAAAAAGGAAAGTAACCTCACCCTTTTTTATTACTGATCTTCATCTTTCACTGCATGCTTTGTTATAACAAACAAACAAAAATCTTTAAAGGACAAATAATTGAAGGGCTAAAAGGTATTTGATTCTTCCACTCCTTGGTACAAGATTCATTTGATACGGAGCACTAGCTATAGCCATAAAATACTTTGGTTTGCATTTTAATATCCAATTTTTAAAAATAAAACTCCTCTGTTCCAGTCACATTGGGGTGGGTGGGGGTTGTACCCTGCAAACAAAAGACAACTACCTCGAGATAATGGGTGACTTGCTTCCATTCATTGCACTCGTTCTTTCCCAAGGCTTTCTTGTTAGCTCTGCAGGAGATAAAAATCACTGGATGTTACTTACATACATTTGTTTACTGCTGTAGAAAAGTCCTTCTCTGAGCTGTTAACAATAGTACTTTAAAAAGAGTAATCTTTATGAGCTAAGATGACTTGTATGGCTCTAATCACTTTGCGCCTGGCTGTGTACCACAGATTTAAGCAGTGATATTGAAAAACTTGCTGTCTTGTGTACTCCACCCATTTCCCAATAATCCATATTGAATTTTACCCCCAGCATGCCGAGGCAATGCTTTCAGTAAGTGATACACTGTGACCTGAAAGTCTTTCCAGGGAGACAGAGACAATTTAGACCCCAGCTATTAGGGCATTTTGTTCCCATGTACAACCATCGTACAAACTCAATCATCCTGTGGGCCTCTCACTTCAGAGATTTTTTTTTTAAGCTCCTGCTAAGAATTTTGCAATGCTGAATCACTGGTTATCATCTACCTCACTGCCCTTTACCTATTTCCTTTCAACCAGTCCTTTAAAAGGAAATATGTGCTATATTCCCCTTTTTTAAAAACTGGTTGAAAGGAAGAGTAAAAAAAAGGGAGCCCATATACAAGCCCCATTACGATAGGTTAAGATGGAAACGGTGGCTTCAATCCCACCTGATGTACACACAACACCTTGAACAGAGACCCCCAAACTCAGCCCTCCAGATGTTTTGGGACTGCAACTCCCATCATCCCTAGCTAACAGGACCAGTGGTCAGGGATGATGGGAATTGTAGTCCCAAAACATCTGGAGGGCTGAGTTTGGGGATGCCTGACCTTGAAGAACTCACAAGAGGTGGTGGGCTCTCCTTTTTTGGAGGTTTTTAAGCTGAGGTTCGATGGCCATCTGCCATGGATGCTTTAGCTGAGATTCCTGCATTGCAGGGGGTTAGACTGGATGAGGCTTGGGGTTCCTTCCAATACTATAATTCTATTATTCTAGGAATTCAAACATTTCTATCTTAAGAAATTTGTTGCATCCATATTTACAGTAAGCAACAGCATCCAATTAAAAGCTGCAGAGATTGCTATTTTGCTTGTCAAACTAGAAATCTGTTCTAGATATAGAGCTTAAGTTGTTACTGACATACTTGATTTTGGAAAGTGAACCTTAAAAGCAAGGACAATGAATGCACAGAATTTGTGTCAGCTATGTGAATGTCACAGTTTTGTACAACTTACCAGGTGTGCTTGTTGAAGGAGGCTTTGAAGCTGAATGCTCTGGTTCTTCCTATTTAAATTAGATGAAAAATACAATCAACCTGCAAGTCTAGTCAAAATTTCCAGAAGTGAGGTGACATAATCAGATGGAACATTTAAAGTTATTGGGTTTTTTTTAGCAGATATGAAGCACCGAAGCAGTTTTCCCCATTAAGGCAAGTTAATCTCAAAAATTAAAATACAGGTAATTTGCATCTTATGTGACGGTTTGGTTCTGAGGGTCCATGTATAAACACAAAAACGTGTAAAACCACTCTGCAAGGTGGAAGGCTGCTTACCCAGGTGTGGGAAGGTGGCCTAAGAGCTCTGGCAGAGTCTCAGAGCCCTCCTGCTGCCTTCTCAAAGCCCAGCAAGAAAGGCAGGAGGTGCAAGTGCTCTGAGAGGATGCCAGGTAAGCTCACAATCGCAGCTGTGTGGTGTGTGCAAAGCTGTGATCATGTAAATAAAATAAGCATAAGGTGTGAGTTACCTGTAATTTGGTTATATGATATGTTGCATATTGTGCCAGATTAATTTGTCAACTTACATTTTTTTCATCCTTTGTTTCTGCTTCTGATGATCCCTTCTCAGCAATTCGTCTCCTTCAAGCAGGGACAAAAAGTGAACTCAGTTACTCCTTATTCAACACTGCTTGCCAATGTATGGCTTTGCTATCGCTCCTTGGCAGCTTGTGAAAATTGTCCTCATTGAAACATATGACACTCAACATGCAAAAACTTAAGTGTGCAACACTGAAAATGTGCTCACATCGTAGGCGCATCATACACTATGCATACCAAGAATCTGAGGTGTTTATAGCTCTTTGCCATTTGCTCCCATGATGGGAAAAACACACCTGCCAAACCTGTACAGTGAGAACTATATTAAAGATGTAAAAATTAAACTATCATCTTACCTTCTTGCCAGCAGGGCACTCATTTCTTCCATTAAGCCACTTCCTCCAAGCGGGAGCGGCCCATTCCCACGGCCAGTATCTGTTTTGGGCGAAGCAGAGCTCGCTCCTCCACTGGTATTAGGAGAATCTTCATTCTAAAATTGACAAGGCCCAAGAGTAAAGACATGTAAATTATATTGTTAGAATGAGGAGTCAGATTTTCTAGATGGCAACAAAGATCTGAAATAGTCTGGGGAAAGTTCGAAGTATTTTAATAATTACCGGTAGGTCGCCTAATTTGACAAGCGAAAGCCTAGCCATACCCCAGGGCTGAGGAGCCTCCAAGATGTGCTCCTTGTTTTGTTTATTTGCGGAAGCACAGCAGCAGCCTGTCCACCTATCAAATTTGACCTGCAAGGCCAATACTGGGTTACATCTGAACAGTATCCCATTACAATCGTACCTTGGATCCCGAACGTCTTGGTACTCGGACGTTTTGGCTCCCCAACGCTGCAAACCTAAAAGTGAGTGTTCCGGCTTGCAAATGTTCTTTGGAACCCCAACGTCCGATGGGGCTTCTGCGGCTTCCAATTGGCTGCAGGAGCTTCCTGCAGCCAATCAGAAGCCGCGCTTTGATTTCCGAACGTTTTGGAAGTTGAACGGATTCTGTTCAACTTCCGAGGTACCACTGTATAGTTAATTCTAATAAAGTTAGATATAGGCATTTTAGAGACATTATTGATCGCTGTTCTAGCCATTCGTTATGAACAGTCTGAGCAGATGAAGACCTTAATTCAAAAATTAAAATTAAAATGTCTGGAACTGTGCTTACCCGCGATACTTTTCTGAGTTTGGCTCCAGCAAGAGCAGCTGCTAGTCCTGTTAAAGGACGGTGGTCTTCATACATCGATCCCATGGAAAAACCCGCAGGAGGCAGAGGAGGGGCCGGAGGTGGGGGTGGAACCTGGTTAGGAAGGGGGGGAGGTGGTGGGGGAGGCGGCCCCGATGGTGGAAGAGGGGGAGGGGGAGGGGGTCCAGGGGGAGGGGGGACTGCTGGTGGTGACTGGACAGGGCCAGGTGGGAGAGGGGGTGGGGGTGGGGGTGCAGGTGGTCCTTGGATAACACCTAATTAAAAACACACACATAAAAACCAAACAAAAATTGTGACAAAAAGGGAAGACTGTCAGGAAACCAATTCTATACTACATTAAGAAAAAAAACCCTGCATGGTCCCCATGCTGGTTTCAATATCAAAGAAAAATATTCCTTCATTCTAATAGTAATGAACAGACAATTCAGCTTGAAATAAAACTACCCTCAAAACTTCTTAAGAGGAAACAGAGATGCCACAAACAAAATTCATGTGAATGTTTTGAGGGACGTGATACTGCGCAGCCTTTGCACAACGTTATAAAAAAAACAACAGACCCCTACTGTAAAAGACAGAGGTAAAACATGATGTACACAAGAAAAATCTATGCACAGAAGCCCAATGACATAGGAAGAGCCTGCTGGATCAGATCAAGGACACATTTAGTCCAGGACTCTGTTCACATGGTGGCCAAATGCATATGGGAAGCCCATAAGCAGGGCAGGAACACAACAGTACTCTCCTGCTCATGATTCCCAATAACAGGTATTGAGAGCATATAGCCCTCATATAGTCATTGATAGCTTTATCCTCCATGAATGTACTGAACCCTACTTGAAAGCTGTGCAAGTTGGTGTCTATTACTACATCGTGTGGTACCAAATGCCATAGTTTAACTACGCACTGCATCAGGAGTGAGGAATTGGATTCAGCTGGTGGGCCAAATGCTGGGTTCTCTCGCCCTCCAAGGGCGACTCTGACCTGTCAAGCATCAGACAGCAGTATGATACCAGGTGACCCATTTACCTCTGTATTCAAGCCCAGACAAGTGCTGCTTGAAGCTACCAATCAGCTGGTCAACTCTGGCTGGAATCTGCTGGCTATGGGGTTCCCCATAAGTAAATTCATAGGGCAGCCAACTCCAATTGGTTTGCTCTCACCAGCAATCTGCTGATCAGTTGTGACAGGGGGAGCCTCCCTTGGCAGTGCACTTTAAGATCCCCCAGGTGTGCACTGGCAGGCACATTTCTACCTGCCCCACACCTGACATCACAGATGATGTCAGATGTGAGAAAGATGGGTGTGGTTTGCTAGGGAGACAGCAATAAGGGGGAAACTGGGAGCTGTACTAGGAAGTTTCCCATGCCTAAACTAGGTGAATTAGTAATTCACCTAATCTCCCAGGGTTCACCTTCACTGGATGATCTCAGGTTCTAGAACTAAAAGAGCAAGAAAAACTTGTCTATTCCCTTTTGTACACCTCCATTATGCCTACCCCCTTTTCACCAACGAAAAAGCTCTGATCTGCTCCATCACCTTCATTTTGCCCACATTCTGCACCTTTTCCAGTTCTACTACATTTCTTCTTTATTTGTATTTATTGAATTTATATACTGCCCTGTATCTGAAGACCACAGGGTGGTTTACAACATAAAAACACAAAATACATAATATAAGAAAAATAAAAAATACCCTCCTTTCAAGGTGATGATCACAACATCAATAATGTTTGTATCCCCACTATAAGTCTAAAGAACACAGGCCTAAATTCCACCAATTTAAGCAAACCTAAGACAAGATACCTTATACATTTGCACCTCATGCCCGTGCTTATTTCCAGAAATATTAATACAGCATACATTAGTGAGTTAGAAGACTTTTAAATGTTGGTAGAATGAGTAGTTTTGCCCCACTGCCTGGATGAAAAATAAGATTAGATTTTTATTTTTTTTTAAATCCCTAACCAAGGGTGGTCCACAATTACAGAAGTAAATTTACTATGGAATGCAAGTTGATTTTCATCTGTCCTTGCAGTGGTGGAACACCTCAAATCAATAAAGGGTTGCCTGCTCCTGAGTTGTGACTTATTTAGAGTAACAGACTCTTTAAAATGTTTAGCCCAGACTGAGGGAAACATTAAAAGGATCAATTCATCTTGTTATAAACCATATTTGTATCACAATAAGTAACTACCTTTGGGTTCCTCAGAAATTTCAGCTACATATTAAATCGATGCAACACCTGAAATTTAAAAACTATTTTGGATACACAAACAAACCAAATTAAAGTATGTGTAAATGGACGTATTAAATCTTACTAATTATGCTTTCCGTATACTTTTTGTGAATAATACTGAACTGAGAAAAACCCAATTCACAGTCAACATTCTTCATTTAATGTCCAATGATTAAAAAAGCAAGAAACCACCTAGCAAAACTCTTTCAGCGGACTTCCAGAAATGAAAAAACAAAAACGAAAACAGAATACACTATTTAAATTTGACTGAAAAAACGTATCTCCACTTTTCAAAGTTTCACAATTCCTCATGACATTCTGCTGAACTTTTGCTGAGGGTATTAAGATCACTGCAGCTTTTCAACATGCTAATTCTTCAGGATAAATCAAGTTTCAGGTGCAAATTAGTTTTGAGTGCATTCCTGATTAGTTAATTAGTAGCAGTAACGGAAACCTTACCCTGCTGGGACGGAGGAGGTTCAATCGGCTGAGAGGCTGTCTGCAAGACTGGCTCAGAAGCAGAGGAGTCTCCCAGCACAGAGTTTAGAGAGTTCTCAACAGAGGCAGGGGGAGCTGCAGAGGGAGAAGGGAGAACACTAGGCTTGGATGAGGGAGTCGAGGCATATGGGGAACTTGGAGAGGAAGCTTGAGGTCCAGAGAGCGAGAGAGGCTGAAAGGAAGGTGGCGGCGTTGGACCAGAGGTAGGTGGCGAAGGTGCTGGATAATTTGCCAGTTCTGGAAGACCATTGGGTGCAGTAGGGGATGGGGACAACTGGGAGAGTTGAGCGGTTACTGGAATGGGGAGAACAGGCTTTGGGCCAGTGGCTTTGCCTGGGGGGCTGCTAATCATTACAGGAGGAGAAGGGGGAAGAGGTGCAAAACTAGAAGCAGACCAAGTAGTGGACTTGGTACTAGGGGGCAAAGGGGCTGGGGGGTTCACGGGTGAAGGTGGCCGAGAATTTTTGTTTACTTGACGAGGAACTGTGGCGTAATGCGGAAGGACGGGGTGAAAGGCAGAGCCCAAAGATGTAGCAAAACGTGACGCAGAGTGCCTTAGTGGTGGTGTAGGGGGAGAGGAAACCGATTGTGCAGAAGTCACATTAGCATAATCCGGAGTAGAGTCTGACATTGCTTTAGCATATGAAGGAGGTGGTGCCGAAGGAGGCTGGCAACTGGAGTATTCAGGAAGTGAAGTACTATACGGGGAGTTGTCGTAAGATGGAGCTGGACAGAAGATGGAAAGCAGCAGCAAAGGCAGGATAAAAGAGGAGAGAGAGAAAAAGGGAGCTAATGAAGCAACAAAACCAGCATTCAAACAAAATGTATAAATGTAGACTATAGTTAGTACCAGAGGATTAGGCACAAGTAAATTACTGTTAGGAGAATTTATACACTGTCAACAGATGCTTCCAATTTTGCCATATATATTTGTGCCAACATTTGAATTTACAAGCACATTCTGGAAACGCAAAAACAACAACAATGCCCAAACCCCTCCACTACACAGTAAGTTCTCAAAGGTAATCAGCAAAATCAATTGGTTGGAATCAAGTGAAGTGATCTTAAGAATTTTTTAAAAAAATACTACTGAATGACAATTTCAGCATATGAACAGTGCAATCCAGTGCATTTTCTGCTCAGATGTAGGCACCATTGTCATGGTTTAGGTATCATTTTAAATCATAGTTAAAGTTAAACTATGATTTAATGTGAACAAACAGTGTGCTGTTGCACAGTCCTTGAAAGTCCCTGCTGTACTCCTTCCCAACACCTTCAACAAACCCGAGGATGGTTTCACATTACATGTGAATCGAGACTAGCAGCCTGAGCAAAAGACAAAATTTCTTCTTGGCTTACCACTCATGGTTTGTTGAGAGAGAATCAACTCACAGGCATGGGATAGCATGCAACATACAGCCAGCCACCCCGCTCGTTCACATTAAAGCATAGTTTAAGTTTAACAATGATTTAAAATGGTATCTGAACCAGGCCACAGAGTTCAGCAAGACTTGCTCCCAGGTAAGTGAGAACAGGATTGCAGTTGAAAGCTCACACTTCATCAACAGTAAGTAGAAACTATGCCCCAAAAGTAAGAACTGCATGTGAAACATGAGAAATTAGAAAATTCTTCCTCAAAAGTGACTGGCTTATACAAATTTCCACTTTACAGATCGTTCATTCTTCAAGCAAATATTTTATTAATTAGAAACAGGAAATACAGTAGAAAAAAGTAGCTGAGAATTCAGGATTGCAAATAGCCATTTGCCTGCTTGCCTTTGTCAAGCAAGAACTGCCTTCTGTTTACAAGGCAAGGCAGAATCTAGCTTCAGGATATTGGAAGAGAAATCAGTTCTTTTAGAGTGCTGATGTGCCACTTGCGGCTATCAAAAATATTTGCAGGCATACTAGTAAAAAATGTGGGCTAATAATTTTTGTGGACTTATGAGCAAATCTGCACAAACCAAGTCTATGTTTATTACACCGAGAAACAAAATATTTTACACAGCTACAGGCATTGCCTGCATATGCTATTACACTAGCTTCATTCAGACGAGAACAAATGCAGGAGAGGAGATCAGAAGCTTCCTTTTCCATTTTTGTATTAAGTGCATTTCAGTGTCTCATCTGAAGCCTAAACTGTAATTAAGATTAACTAAAGTTAGCCAAAACCAACCAGCTTCACGAACTATAGTTTATGAAGTTGGCTTGTTGCTACTAACCATAGTTCCTCCAGGTTCAGACAACATGGCAAGCTGTGGTTAATCAAATGCTTCTGAATTCCTCTCACATTTACACCGTAGAATAAAAGCGCTCATTCCCAGGGAAAGCTGGGCTACTGTTAATGTTATGTCCAAACAAGAACATTGTGCTGTAATGAACTTGCATCCATTCCTGAAGTTCTAGGTTTTATACTCAAGAGTGACGCACATTTCCTGAGTCATTTGGCCTCAAGAAAACACACACACACCGGCCTGCACTCCTGTTCAGCAATGAAGCAAGTCCTATGCTGTAGATTTATACACAAGTCTCTGAGGCATGTAGCCTTGGAAGAATATAAAAAGAAGAATGTCACATTCCCCAAAAAGAGATGACCCAACTTTCTGATCACGTAAAACAAAAAAATATGAACAGTCAGGCATCCTAAGCATTCTGTGCTACTCTATCATATCAAGGACTATTGGCTGGGTCATATTTTATTGGATCTGTTGCACCAATGGTCAGTTTATATCTCCTATTTTATTGGTTGGTCTTTGGAAACAAACTAAGATTATGAAAGTTTTTCTCAAGTTAACCATTTATCAATGTAGTCAACTACAACAACAACAACAACGAAAACCATAGCTCTGTGTTCAAAGAAGAACTAACCGAAGAATACAGATCCATCTTTGATCCAAGTAATTTTGTACAGTGACGCATCTAAAATACTATCCATACAACTTGCTAAAAGACTCTTGCAAGACTCTTTGCACGAGGTCTGCCTACTGACATTAAACTCTCATGCCAAACATTCAATTACGCAGACAACTGACGGACGTCAATGTCAAAGTTTCCTCTCAATAACCAAGTTTGGCTGGTAAAACTGCCAGAGAACTCGGCCATCAAATCCCTAGTGTGCTTATGGTTGGAGCCACACTGAGAGAACGAACACTGCCCAATATAAGCAGCATTTCTCAAGCACAACACGCCTCTCACCCAAGTCCTGAAAGGTAAGGGACATACAGGGCCCAAGCTGCAGGTGGAAGGCAACTGCCTAAGGTTACAGGACAGGATAGAGGAGGCTAAGGCGGAGAGGAAAGGGAGGACAACAAGAGGGCAAGAACAGAAACAGAGCCCAGGATAAGAGGAGGATTTAAAGTTCTGGCAATGGGATTAGCATTAAGGGACAGGGATACTGAGTTATGAGAATATGTAGTTCTCTTAGCACAGAACTCTAGGTTTCCTTCTTAAGCGATCAATGTAGGATTTCTTTCCTAACTGATGTTATATAAACTGCTTCTTAAGATTAACAGAAAAAAGAAAGAAGGCTCAAAAACACCATCCTACACATATACTATTTGAGAAATACAGAAAGTTTGGTTGCTGGCAATAAGGTTCCAATTTTTGGAAGTTAGTTTACAGGAAAACGGGAAATAAGCCATTTTAATTCATGATTACTTTGATCAATTTCATCACGTTAACAGTTCAAAACAACACACTGCAATTCTTACCAGCGCTTGACAGTTTTCTTTCTCTTTCCCATTCCAGCTGCTCTCTTTCCAGTTGGTCCTGGTGCTCCCTTTCTTGCCTTTCCCATTCTGCTCTCTCCTGCTCCTGCCTTTCCCGTTCTTGCCTCTCTCTCTCTAGGCGCTCCTGCCGGTCTCGCTCTTGCCGCTCCCTCTCCAGCCGCTCCCTCTCCAGGTGCTCCTGTTCTAGCCGCTCCCGTTCCAGCCTCTCCTTCTCCAGCCTCTCGCGCTCCAGTCTCTCTCGTTCTAGTCGTTCCCTCTCCAGCCTCTCGCGCTCCAGCCTCTCGCGTTCCAGCCGCTCCCTTTCCAACTCCTTTTGCCGTTGCTGCTCCTGCAGCTGCCTGCAACAGAGGAAAACGGGGAGTGTTAAAATGAAGAGCCAAATCCAAATTAAAGGCCACCTGGCTACGAACACATACACAGTGAGCCAGTGTGTGACATAATAATCAGTGCTGGAAACTCAAGATATATAAGCTAGACACCAAATGGTTCCTTAAACCAAGGTTAAAGTAAAGGAAAAGGACCCCTGACAGTTAAGTCCAGTCACAAATGACTCTGAGGTTGCGGTGCTCATCTTGCTTTACAGGCCGAGGGAGCCGGCGTTTGTCCGCAGACAGTTTTTCCGGGTTATGTGGCCAGGATGACTAAGCCGTTTCTGGCGCAACGGAACACTGAAACCAGAGCGGTGCACGTAAATGCTGTTTACATTCCCGCAAGAGAATGTACATTTGGGGTCAAGATGGCTCTGATGTCTTATTTTTTTATTGATTATCAGCTAAACATCTGGCTAGTTCAGGTGACAACCTTGAGCAAGGTCAAGAAGTTTGAGAACTTAAAAGTAGAAAAGTCACTTGATCTAGGGACAGTCCATCTATATGTTGGCCGACTCCGACCTCTTTTTCTTAATGGTGACACAGAGCATTCATAACGTAAGAATATTCTTCACAACTGTGAACAAGCTACAATAATTAATTATAATATTGCTCACTGCTCCTGCTCAGGGGGCACAGAAAAAATCATTTTGGTTCTTGAAATTCATTCTGATTGTGCAGATAAAATATGACTGATAGAATTCTCCAGGATGTGGTATTAAGTGTGTGAAAACAGTCAAGAACCCCAGGCATGCACCTCAAGATGGTGGAGATGTCAGGTGCGCCTGACACCTGGCTAATTTTGAACACAGCTAATAATTTATATCCCACTCTTCATACAATAGTCTCCATACCACTTCTTATTGAATTTGAATTTTTAGCTTGCATGTTGATCCAGAAGCATCCCCAAGGAAGTTTACATAAATAATAATAAAAAGTTACTTCTACCCACATGGCACTGCTCTAGGATAGCTTTCAAATAATGAATCAAGAATTTTGGTAGGCTTTAAATGAGGTAATTACATGCCAGAGTGACGCAGGCCCTAGTCTACCTGGCAAAGGTGGAATTAGAAACTTCGCTATGCAAGGAGTAAGGGTGACAGACTGAAAAAAGCTTTAGTTGTGGCAATATAGGCTTTTAGGGGCCTCAAGGGAATGGCAGGTCTTCTTAGTTGGGAGAAAGACAGGAGAAAGAAGGTAACGAGTGGACAGTGGAAAGCAGACAAAACTTTGCGCTGGGGGTGGAAATGCTACTACAGCAGTGAGGAAGAATTTTAGATGGTGTCCGTGAGGGGAGGAGAGCTCCAGAATGTCTTAGAACGGCAAACTCTGACTGCTACCACTAGGCGGAGCTCAAATCATAGAAATACAGTAATAGAATCATATAATTGTAGAGTTGGAAGGGACCCAGAGTCCCACATGACGTAGTCTTGCAAGCACAAGAGAAGCTATATGAAATATTGCACAGGTAACACCTTACTGCCACAAAGATGTAAATTATATAAAACCACTCAAGTTAGTTGTAGTGAGTATGGGGTAATGGGTGATAATTTCATGCATACATGTTGGGAGCATCTATTGTTGAGCCAATTTGGGGGTATGTGTGTCTTAAATAGATTATTTCCTGTTATTACAGACATGCTAAGATTCCGTTCCCCTGCAGCATATCTGAAGTGAATCTAGCACACCCTAAAGATAAGGTTCTTAGTGATTTTTTTAAAAAAATGACTACAAAGTGTCACGAAAGCATATCGGAATATCCTGGGACCACTGAAGAAAGCACTTTCTTTTTTGCCGGAAATTCACTGGCCTGATAATGACTTTGGAACAGGAAAGGGATTTTCAATGTACTGCAGAGATTTGTTCCCTTTTGTTGCTTACTGAAACAATGGCTAAAAATACTCAGAATAATGCATCTTTTTTGCCTGATGATGCACATACATTGTTAATACATTAATTAAAATCTCTCTCTTTTTGCTAAAGACTATTTGCTGCTATGCAACATTTGAGGTCCTGATATCCATGCTTACAGAGACACGGATGCATGACCCTGTTTCTCAAAATATTCTACAGCAAATTGATGCAGCCATTCCCACATTACAAAACTGATTTTAGAAAAGAATAAAGTGATACATGTGAAGATAACACTAAGACATCCAAGCCAGTCTCTAAGGTTGACTGGTAACTACTACGCTTTATAAAACAACTCATGAGCGGCACCACAATTTTAAAGATTTTTAGGGGTGTTTGCATATAAAATGCTGGTTCAACATCCTTGCAATCGTAATTTAACGCTCTGTGCAGCAGTGGATTTGAAACACCATATACACCAATTTCCTGAAGAAGCAATTCTTAGCACCAAGCCACTGAAAATTGAACCTTTTACAGCAAACCTTGTGAATTGCTGGATACTTCACAGAAGTGATTTGAAAAGCAAGCTCTGTTTTCTTCACATCAGAAGGATCACCCAACAGAGGGCAGTAGAGATTTACAGCTTCGACACATTTGTATCATTCTTCATTGTAGTTCGCCTCAATTCCCAAACCAATTTAGCTAGTTTTAACTTGTTCCCTTTTAATCTGTGCATTTTAAACTTTTTCAGTTTTAAATTTTGCTCCAGCTCACTTGGAATCACAATGACCCTTCTCATATATAGAATAACAGCACCTACAACTTTAATGTCCTTAGTAACTTTTCTTTTGGAATTTTTGCAGAAGATAAAAGGGGAAAGTATCATATTCAACTATTATAGTCACAAGGTGACTGACTACATTCACACCTGCTTAGTTTCAACAACTCTGCAGCATCAGCACTCTCCAAGTCCATTCATTAAGACTCCTATCCTGTCATCTTGTTAATTCAGTGCTTAAATTTCCAATTAATGCTTAAATTATTGCTGCCATATCCCCGAACATGCATTATAAAGCCATAGATTTAGCTTCAGTTCATGTGGAAAACAACCTCCAAGCTAGCTAATTAGCAGGAAGAGATTATTCCAGCTGAGGTTCTATTAATTTACCCATCTCCTGTTTTCCCTTTGGGAAATGATTTACCTTTGTTTAAAAGATGCATCTCTCCATAAATACAAGCATTCGACTGACATAAAGAATGGTGGGCTAGTTCTGCCTAAACCTACCTCAAATACTGTTTAAGTAAGAATGAATGATCCTCAGATAATTGGAGGAAGGTTAGGATACAAATGCAACAAAACCCTACGCATGGATCCAGTGAAGAAACAGGATGAATGGAAAGGCCTTCCCTTAATCTAGAAGGGAAGTTCCTGATTGATATAAGCCAATTTCCCCCTCCTTCTACAGTCCCCTGTTGCATCTCATGCCATTTCAGAAGAAATTTAATTTCCCTGGCAGTGTAAGAGGCTGCAACACAACAGGGAAAAGCCCCACTCAGTTAAGTGCAACTCATCTTATTGTAAAAGTTGGATGCAACCAAGCCTGTCAGTTTTTCAGTTACTTCCTAAGATTTCAAACCCTAAAGTGTTGTAAGGAAAAAATGTAGGATAGTGAAATTCCCTTCACAATAATGCAGAATCAATTAAAAGTGATTAGGCTTGCCCCTGCAGTTAAGGAACAACACAGCTAATCTCATAAATCTACCTTTTAGTTTAGAGTGTTCTTTCCACTTACACCCAGGTTAAGTGGGGTTAATATATTAAATGCATTTCATTTATCAAATTAATTTATTTACTAATTTATTAACTGCATCATGTCCCAGAACTGGTCTCTGGGTGTCTCCCAAAGCAAGGCAAAACACTTAAAACTGTAACCTGAAATCATAACACAATCTGCAATTTAAAACATGATTAAAAGTATACTTCAGGTTTCCAGACCCTCCGGGTGTCCCTATTTTCCATGGACAGCCCTGGATTTACAAAAGCTGGTTTCTGATTTGATCCCAGAATGTCCTGCTTTTCCTTAGTGAAGACACTGGGAGGGGAGGAAGACCCAAAGAAAATACGGGCGGCAACAAGGCCGTTAGGGGCAAAGGCAGGAAGATATCCTACTTCTCTCCTCCCACTAACACACACAGAGACAAAAATATAAGTAAACAAGGCTTCTAATGTAAATGTATATTTCTCTCTGGCACATGCTGCAGGCCACACCCCAAGAGGAACACAGTCGTACCTTGGTTGACGAACGCCTTACCAGTTGAACGTTTTGGTTCTAGAACGCCGCAAATCCGGAAGTGAGTGTTTTGGTTTGTGAACTTTCTTTTGGAAGCCGAATGTCTGGCGGGGCTTCCGATTGGCTGAAGGAAGCTCCTACAACCAATCAGAAGCTGCACCTTGGAAGTCAAATGCACTTCTGGAACTGATTCTGTTCGGCTTCCAAGGTACGACTGTACAGTGGTACCTCGGGTTACATACGCTTCAGGTTACATACACTTCAGGTTACAGACTCCGCTAACCCAGACATATTACCTCGGGTTAAGAACTTTGCTTCAGGATGAGAACAGAAATCGTGCTCCGACGGCGCGGCGTCAGCGGGAGGCCACAGTCGCTAAAGTGGTACCTCAGGTTAAGAACAGTTTCAGGTTAAGAACGGACCTCCAGAACGAATTAAGTACTTAACTTGAGGTACCACTGTACATGGTTCTGGTTGGCTTGTGAACACCCACAGAAGGAATACATGGTTCCCTGTTCCCCACCCCAGTTATAAATCTTTGGGGTTTTTATTGTCTTCATGAAAAAAATGGGAGAGGAATAAACAAAATAATCCACCACCCTAACTAAGCCATTTCTGTGGAAGGGAGATGCTAGAGACAGGAGTGGGACCTGCTGGTAGTGACTTTGTTGACTGGCTAAGCAGAAAAGATGGGCAGAAGCATCTGGGAAGCCTCTTGGTAGGTGGAAATGTATTAATAATGACTGTGGTCAGAGGAGAAAGACTGGACCTTGGCTTTGAGGGTCAACAGAGGAGCCTCCACTGTAAAAGCTTGACCCTTCTTTTGACCAATGCTGAAAGGGAGATAAAAATGTTCTATAAAAAAAAGTTTCTTTCAGTTTCTTTTTTCTTTAAGTCACTAAAGCTATTTTTAGTGTCCTACTTTTCTCTTCTTTAAAAACGCAAAAATAAATTCCTGTCCCAGATTTCTAAGGAATGGAAGTAGAGTAACTTTTTTAAAATGGAAAACTTATTTAACATTTTACAATTACTTATTTCTTGATTAAATAGCTAGTTCAGGTTAATTAAATACCTATTCTCATGATTAAACTACCTTTTAGCTGCATTATACTCAAACTGGGCTAATATATCTCAAAAGGAAATTTATACTTCAGAAGAAAAGCATTTACAACTTGAAAAGCTGATCCTCATTTGCTTTTAATATCCCTTTAAAATATCAGCTTGGCAGATCTTTAATCTTTTCTTGCATGAAAAGAATACAAACTGTTTTTCCTGGTTTTATATTGTCAGTATTGAAATATTCTAGACACAATGGCACAGGGGGAATCTTCCTTACATATCAGTACTAAGAAGGATACCATGCTAACTCCTAAAATATACTAGGAGTTATTGTTATATTAGCAACAATATTTCCATGCTGCCCATAACCAAAAATTTTCTGGGTAGCGTACATAAAAACTGCCATATTATTATATGAACTGGGGAGGTGGGGTGGGAATCACTGCAGAGATTGAGCGCTCCACAGCTGGAATGCTATCAGAAAGAAGGCCCTTCCTTTCATAGTCACCCATCAGGTATCACTTGGTAGTGACACTGCAACTTCACTGTCGAGGTAGAATATGGGAGGAGCCAATGCTTCAGGTAAACTGGCTCCAAGCCATTTATGGGTTTGAAGGTTAAAAACAGCACTTTTAATTGGTTCCAGAAATGGACTAGAAGAGTGGAGCTGATAAAATATTATAAATATTATAAAATATATTCAAAATGTTGACTTCTAGTTAACAACCTTTCAACCCTATACTGGACCAACTGAAGTTCCAAAGGCATGCTCAAGTACAATGCATAATGGTAATTTAAACTATTGTTGACTCCACAACTGATTAATCTTTATTAGGATCAACAAAAAGTCACAAAAATGTGGCAAACTTTTGAGTTGGAAAACTCTTAATCAGACTGCAAGATGAGCATATCTCGCCTAGGGTAAGTTATCAAGTTGCATTGCTAGGTTACAAGCCAGACTTTATTTTCTTAAACAATGTGGAAAACAGCCATGACTGCTTTATTCCAGTAGTTAAGTGGAAGGCACGTACTTTATCTGTAGTTCCTGGAAGGGACAAACTGAACCTGCAATCCCCATTCTGGAACTAAGTCTACAAGCTTGCCTAATAGCTATATAATGGTATGGGGTTGCTCGTGCGTAAGTTGCCGCCTCTCCTGGCTATGTTGCCTTGTTAAACCTTTCTGTCTGGACAGCCCTTCAATTTGTGGCTGCCTCAGTCGCTAGCAGAATCCGTCAGTGGGCGTTTCTTAAACCTTTTCCAACATAAAAGTTGTTTGACACCCAGTCTCCTCCTACTTTCTCTGTGCGGAAGTCTTCTACGCAGGGAGGGCGTGGGTAGCAGAGGACCAGTGGTCTCCCTGCTGGTGTCCGGTGAAGAGTCTGGGAGCCCTCTCTCCGCTTCCCCCATCTGTCCCTCCTTATTCCTGGTGTTGCACTGAATTGCTTCCCCATCTGCTGAGCTGCCTCTCTCCCTGCTGGGCCCTTCTCCAGCATCATTAGAGAGCCTCCCCTCCACCTCTAGCTCCGATGTCAGTTCCCTGACAAGCTACAACATATAGCCTTTTAAAAAACAAAACCTTTTCCACATCCCACCAGACCTGGATTTCTGCAACATCTTACAGATATGGTATTCTGGAGAACTTGAAAGTTTGTCACATTTTTTTTTTTTTTTTACTTTTTGGGTTGGTCCGAATGAAGGCATTGCCCAATTGGAGTTGTTGTTTTTCCCCTTATGTGCCTTTAAGCAAACTGCTGTAGAAAATACTGACATGTTACTGAATTCAGAACCTTCAAAGAAGTTAACAAAGGCAACTTCAACCAAACTAGCAAGCAAGCTTACAGAAGTACCTAACCTACTTTGTTACTGTACCTTTCTACACGCACAAGTTTCAGTGATTTTGCCTCATCTACAGCCTGAGAGTACAAACACACACACTCTCCACTAGTCAACAAATATTTCTTGCCTGATCACCTGAAAGCGCTTTTGAGATGTCACACATGGAAAGCTTATTTAAGAGCTTGAAGATTACCTAAAAATAGAGTCTGCATTGATTTTTCTGGGCAAAAGTGTAATCAACCTCTTCAAAGATTAAAGTCACTCTGGTGTCTTAAAAGTCATTCAAAAGCTATTTTGAAATATGCTAGGTTGGTTTACTAAAGTTGTTTTAAAAAAATAAATACTGCAGGATAGGTTAGGCATTTAAAAGCACACAGTAACCAAAATGTCTTTATTTACAGCCTCATCACAAACATTCAAAAGCATGGATTAGAATCATCAGCCAAATCGTACATTTTCTATATTATCCTATATTATCAAATGGATATCAGTCTAGTTCAACAGTTCCTAATTTTTGAGGCCTGGGGGCACATTTGAAAATCTAAGAAACTGTCACAAGCACCACAAAATGCCCATTTCACAAAAGAAAAGCTAGCAATACTCAGAAACCCTCCCCTTCCAACCAAACAAAAAAACAGGCAAAATACCCACTAAACACAGACAAGCTCCCCCCACCCAAAACAGAACAGGCAGTCACTCCAATAAACCTATCTAATTTTAAAATTAAAAAATAAAAATTAGAAGGGAAAGGGTGCACAGTGGGCACCTGGAGCTGCCTGAGAGTGAGAAGTGCTCAGGAGGTCCCAGATCTAGTCTATTATTTTTAAAAGCTGTAGAGCAGAATGCTGCTGTACGCACAGCTAAAAAACTTGTTTTGGTTACATACACCCATATTCAAATGCTCCTGTGATACAAAAATGCCTATAAATTTACACAGAGACAAATCCCCCTCAAGTGATTTTCGAAAGTAATACTTCTAGGTATTTTCATTAACTTTCATTACATGAAGCCGGCTAGACTTTCACTAAGTGTGTGGAAATGGGTTAAGAGTAATTCAGCTTCTTTGGAAAAATTAAAACTGATTACTTACAGCAGAAGCCGGTCAACCTTTGGTCCATCATACCTCTGAAGGATAAGTGGAGGCCTATACACTTTCATTGTTTCTGAAGTCTATATACTAATTCTTACAGCTGCCCTCTTTATAAGCATAGGCATGTAGTAATTGCTTTATTTATAGATATTAACTCAATCAGCTACCAACTGATATAAGATACAGCAACGGATTTACATTCATGACATTCGCACCCCTTCTAGCTGCTATATTAACATCATGAATCGTTTAAAGATATATTATGAACTAATGCTCTATTTAAACACAACAGTTAGGATCTTTTATTCTGAGAATCTTAAAATGGGGTTCCGGATATTATATTCAACGGAGAATGCATTAGAACTGAACAAGCCCAGCAATTATTTTAGCTGTTTGTTGCTATCTGTGTTGGTGTCAACCATCCTGAAAGACTCTAGAACAGCAGAAATCAATGAGGTACCCTCCAGATGTTTTTGGACTACAACTCCCCAACCAGCACGAAGGCTTGCTGGGTGGGACTGGTAGTCCACAATTCCTGGAGAGCACGATATTGGCATGGGCAGTAGCTGCAGGGATAGCCAAACAGGAGGCAATCCACATTTGACAAATATTTACTTCACATTAAGAGAAGTGCTGTATGTGTACAACAACAAATGCACAATCTAAAACTATGATTCACTAGTTCTGATCATTTCCTTACTTTCAAACACTACCCATACTTTTGTGCTTACAAAAGAAATAACAGCAACAAGTTATCATTTAATCCTACCCTCCTGTCTCCCTAGAACATATTCTTATGCCTGAAGCACCCCTTACAGATCTATTAGCTACTATCAGTGCTCAAGTGTTCTTATAAGAACTTCCCACCTCCAAAATGTTTAATATCAGTAACCTATAATTGCTTGGTTCTTAGCCTTTCCTTGATGGACATCTTATAAATAAATCCCATTAAGTTTGCTGGTGCTTATAAGCGTATAAAGGATGGCTGCCTTTAGCACTTTAAAGAAAGCTGAAAATAATACAATTAAACCAGCAGTTCCCTTTGGGAATCTCCTTTTAAATACCTAAATTCCCTCTTTCCCCGCTCAGTCGTCTTCTTCTTCTTCCTTAGTATGCTGTACCCAATTCCTTCAGAACTGCTTCATAGGGTCTGCTTTCTAAACATGTTATCATCTGTGTACATTTCCGATGAACCTTTTCCAATTGTTGAAATTAAACTTAAGCTCAAGGAATCATTCCAAAACCCCAAAGAAAAACAAACTAGCATGAACAACTTGGGAAAGCTGCCTGTCCTATATATCTGACTGGGTGACATCACTTTATTTCTTAAAAAAATGGCTCCTGTAGGCCATTTTGCACTTCAAAGTTGGTATTGATTGTTTTATATATTTCCTCTAACACTAAATATAAGACTGCAAAATGCAGAAAGTTAAAGAAATCAATATAATAACAAGTATAATTCTATTAGGTCCATTAACATTAAGTAGTAAACCATAGCCTTGGTAAAATGTAGTTTTACAACAGAAACAAAACAAAAAAACCCTCTAGAAAGAAATACATCAACACAAAAATTACTCCCCACATATTTCTGTTTATTAAACAATGGCTTTGTGTAATGTACACATCTTGCCCTACAGCTTAACAAAACACAGTGTGAAGCCATTTTGGGGGTGGGGGTTGGCTTATGAACCTTGGTTTGTTTTAACTAGGTCTTGGCAGTACATGTGAACCCAATACCCACCATTAACCAAACCACAAAACTATGATACAAGAGCAGCTGGAAAACAAACCAATGTTTGGTGAAATAAATCATGGTTTGTTTGATCACCTTGCTAAACCATGGCTTAAACAAGCAATGGCTAGGCATCACATGCAAAATGGACCAATCTGTATGGAAATATACATGTTTACTCAGAGAAGCCCATGCTGCACTTTCTGATGTACTATGAAAAGCCTCACATGAACAAATATTTATTTATTAAATATCTACATCGCACTTCATCCAAGGATCAAAGGGTGGTTTACAATATAAAAACACAAAAATACATACCATAGTACCAAACAATAACTGCCCCCCCCAATAAATACTTGCCCAATCACCATCATAATAGTACTGTTTTATGCAAAACCACACTAACCTTCTCTGGATTTCTAAATCTTCTTGTGATGGGCCATTTTGCACCTGTGGGGGAAGTTGTGCATTTTGTCGAGGCAACGTTGGACCTAGTAAAGCAAGTTACACTTCAGCCGTTATGCAAAAGTCACATGTAAAGTCCAATAAGAAATCAACTTTCAAATTTTGACTACTTATTAAATTTCCAGCAAATAGCCTACAAAATACATAAAACAAACTGAGCATCGCCATCAATATTGCTCCACATCTTTTCAAAATGTAAACTGATATATTCAGCAAGAATATGATGAGTGTGGAGAAAACACATATTTATAAACCTTTAAAAGATTCCAAAATTTTAAAACAATTCTTTGGGAAGCAAGATTACTGTATATACTCGAGTATAAGCCAACTTGTTCAGCAGATTTTTTACACTGAAAAAGCCCCCCTCGGCTTATACTCGAATAAGCTGACGGTCCTCTCTTGACAGTTTTACTACCCTCAAAAGTTTTCGGTGTGGCTGCCTGGAAAAGGACATTCTCTGCGGCCTTCCCTAAGTGGTGGAATTCCCTCCCTACATAACGCAGTTTTCCTGGGCCTCCAGCAGCTGAGCTGCATACTTTTAGGACCCACCCCATTCCCATGACTGTTAATTTGTTTTAAACTGTTCATAACATTGTATTTTAAATTGCTGTAAGCTGCAGGCCTTCTGGTGAAAGCAAGGTAACAAATTTATTAAATCTTCATCATCATCAGTAAAGGAGGTGCTAGAAATAATTGTTCTAGGATATGTGATCAACAGTTCAAAATGAAGCACCAGCTGCAGCGTGTTAAATAGCAGATCATGTGCTGTGTGGTGACTTACAGGTCAGTCTCATACACGTCCTCAAAATAAAATGCAAACAAGTTCTATATGGTATTTACTCCAGGACAAGGGAGCCTTTTCTCCTGTGGTTTTTCTCCTAGTTTTAGTTCTGACAGTTATTTTGCATGCAACTTTAAAAAACAATTCTTTTTCAGGCACCTGACATATTTATTGAGATAATGTTTATTCTGCCTGTTTCTTTAAAAAATCAATCTTTTTTACTTGAAACACGATCCATGAAGTGTGGTGAGAGGGGCTTTGTGACTGTCACAAAGATGGCAACCTTATATAGCAGGACTGGTGAAACTTTGTTCCTCCAGATGTTGCTTGACTAAAACTCCCATCTGGAGTTCTGGCCACGCTGGCTGGGACTGATGGGCCAAAGGTTCACTAGTCCTGCTGTATGTTTGCACTCTCACAATAGCCATATAGAACTCTGTGCATCACTATCCACCCTAGATTTTCAAACCAAACTCCTTTTTTTAAGCCACCATCTCAAAGCTAAACTAGATGTGACTGCTGTCACATATTTGATGTTATATTTTACAAAAATTAAATTAAAAAGCAATGTAGATGAGGACAGTGGATTGTTGGGCAAGATTTTTAACCATTCCACCCCACCTCATGGTACCAACTAAAAACATCCCCACCCCAAACCAATATTTTCTTTGTCTGAATAGCAGAGGAAATTGTTAAATAACCCCTGCCCACAGCCCTAATACTGATCAGAGCTATATGCTGCTGTTTAAATCTTTAACAACAGATAATTCACATATTTAATGTATCATCTAGTTTGTCCCTGAGGGGTTTGATGACTGTGAAGCACTGAATGAATATACCAGTCACTTAATGCTATGTCTCTCCATTGTTGCAAAGAGCCCTGGGAAAAAGGGGGAGGGGTGGAATGGCTGGCTCTCTTTCAAGAAAAACCATTTTGCATACAGTATAGTTGAAAGGCAACAGGAATGCAACCAACTGCACTACAATGTATGATTAGAGTTCATTGTTATTCAAGCCTGAGAGGTCAGTTGAATTCAAAGTACTGCTGGATAAATCGGCTTGCTGGTCTTATTCACATTCATCAGATGGCACAGAGAACACCCATGTTCTAATTTTGCTGTTCATGCTCCATCAGAAGGCCAATATGAGACCACTTTAATGTTATGTTTTAAGCAATTGCTTCCACTAATTAAATCTGGGTCTTTCCTAAAAGCCATTTCAGGGAACGAATGATTTTTAGCAGGTCTTCTAATTAAGATGTCTTTGTTTTTGACTGACAGAGCTAAGTTTTAAAAATCTGAAGCCTTGGACTATTAATGCATTGACTTGCTGGGTCTTCTGCCTAGCAGTTGTTCCTATAGTACCTGTGCAAAGCTCTCTTCGCAATAAAGAAAACACCAAAGCTATTTCATGCTCAAAAGTTTTATGTGGACTTCAGTTGTCAAAATGAGTTCAATAAACAGTTCTTTTTTGCACAGCTGGGAGCCCATCCAAGGAGAAGGAAAGCTCTGACCCTAAACCTCTGCTGCCTTGTGGCCATAATCATTTTAAGCTTGGTTCAAACAGTAGAGAGCCATGGGCTTCAAGAGGCACCCTTGGTTGGATATCACCCATTGTGTTATATTGCACACAAATGCTAATAATACTTGCATTAAAGACAAATATATGTATTTCCTAAGCAGGGCCACAATATTTTAAATGCAGTATTTTAAGGAATAAAGATAATGCTCTTCCTGAAGGTTTGTGGATCCAAACTGTAGTTTCATCTACGCATTCTTGAAGGTGATTCTTACCCTCTATTGAGGAAGTTCTTATTTCATTCCACCTGGTAGTTTACCTAACACAAATTCTGGAAATACTGCACAGGGACTTGCTGCAGTCTCTTCCCAAATATAAGTAATTACTCACTCTACAATACCCATGAAGTGAACTGTGATGCACGTAAGACTGATTTGCTAATCCTTCACCATATAGGATAGCAGCATTCTGTTATGTACAGTCATAGGATTAAGGCATCTACTTCTAACTAACTCATGTCTATTAGAAAGATAACAGCTTAGGTTGAAATATGTATCTGGACCTTCTACTCCAACTCAAGATAAACAGAACGAAGCAAGATTGAACAATAAGCCACTATTTAAAAACTGTTGTGGAAATTTGTAGCAGCCTTACCAGAGTCTTGTGAATTTAACACTTCTAAGGCATGCATCATGGCACTTGCGAAGACATTGGCATCTTCTTTGCTGCCAAAGTTGAGCCCATACACTTGCCTAGCATCCCGCCACTGATGAAACGTCTGTGTTGCTTGATTGTACTTCAATCCTTTTGGAATGGCACAATTTATTACCACCTAAAAAAATAGTAAAGTATAGTTATGGCTTAAAGGTGCTTTGTAGCATTTTCACCTATGGATGTGTAGTGACTAGTGGGGTGCCACAGGGTTCTGTCTTGGGCCCGGTCTTATTCAACATCTTTATCAACAACTTGGATGATGGACTCAAGGGCATCCTGATCAAATTTGCAGTAGACACCAAACTGGGAGGGGTGGCTAACACCCCAGAGGACAGGATCACATTTCAAAACGACCTTGACAGATTAGAGAACTGGGCAAAAACAAACAAGATGAATTTTAACAGGGAGAAATGTAAAGTATTGCACTTGGGCAAAAAAATGAGAGGCACAAATACAAGATGGGTGACACCTGGCTGGAGAGCAGTACATGTGAAAAGGATCTAGGAGTCTTGGTTGACCACAAACTTGACATGAGCCAACAGTGTGACGCGGCAGCTAAAAAGCCAATGCAATTCTAGGCTGCATCAATAGGAGTATAGCATCTAGATCAAGGGAAGTAATAGTGCCACTGTATTCTGCTCTGGTCAGACCTCACCTGGAGTACTGTGTCCAGTTCTGGGCACCACAGTTCAAGAAGGACACTGACAAACTGGAACGTGTCCAGAGGAGGGCAACCAAAATGGTCAAAGGCCTGGAAACGATGCCTATGAGGAACGGCTAAGGGAGCTGGGCATGTTTAGCCTGGAGAAGAGGAGGTTAAGGGGTGATATGATAGCCATGTTCAAATATATAAAAGGATGTCACATAGAGGAGGGAGAAAGGTTGTTTTCTGCTGCTCCAGAGAAGTGGACACGGAGCAATGGATCCAAACTACAAGAAAGAAGATTCCACCTAAACATTAGGAAGAACTTCCTGACAGTAAGAGCTGTTCGACAGTGGAATTTGCTGCCAAGGAGTGTGGTGGAGTCTCCTTCTTTGGAGGTCTTTAAGCAGAGGCTTGACAACCATATGTCAGGAGTGCTCTGATGGTGTTTCCTGCTTGGCAGGGGGTTGGACTCGATGGCCCTTGTGGTCTCTTCCAACTCTATGATTCCTTCCCCCTTCCCCTTGTTCCAAAAGAATGCGAGAGATTTGCTTATGGTCCTGCCTAAGGGGCCCAATGCCTTGGAATACACGTCCTGTTATCAGCAAATGTCCCCTTCCCTATTGATTTTCCTCAATTATATTGTTTTAATTATCATCCATAAAAAAACCCTGCAGTGCCAGCTAGGTCACTCCAAATAATAATTAAAAAAAAACCCCCCACCAATATATTATAAAACAGTAATTTTCCAATGAAAATGCGTAAACGGTCGTTAAATAAATATATTTCACAGCGTTTGACTATATTGTTTAGCATTAATAGAAATGGGCTGAGAAGAAACTTAAGAGGCAGTTAATGAGCAACTATGTGCACAGATGGAAGAAAATGCTAAGTACAACTCCTCTTGCGACTCATTCATTCAGACACGTATTTCTCATAGTTCCAACTTCATTTAGGGATTTTTCCCTTATTTTTTTAAAAAAGGCAGAGGTACATATATACCCCAGTACCAGGCATACCCTCTCTGACTAGAACAGAGGGCTAGGTGTAACACAGTATCACTTCTCTTCCATCCTCCTGCCCCAATGAGTGCAGCTCCAGGTGAGATCTTGCATTGGAAACAGGTGCTGGGCCAGTAGGGCAGTACAGAAGAGTTGCGCCAGAAGCGGTTTAGTCCTGCTGGCTACATGACCTGGAAAGCTGTCTGTGGACAAACGCCGGCTCCCTCGGCCTGAAAGCGAGATGAACGCCACAACCCCATAGTCGCCTTTGACTGGACTTAACCGTCCAGGGGTCCTTTACCTTTACCTTATAGAAGAGGGCTAGGGAAGAAAAGCAGCACCTGCAGATGAGACCTGCCTTTGTGTCACTTGATTTGTCTGTGGGGAATGGCTTGGGGATAGATTACAGAGACTATTATTCCCATGTTCTTATGTCCTCTTTCTCCATTGATCTTTGATTTATGTTTGGAACCGTTGGCATATGCAATTAGACAGAACAGAAAGATTTATGGTTTGTGCATGAGCAAGTGGAATTTAGATTAGCTTTGTCTGAAGATGATTTGCTACTATTTGTTAGCAGGCCTGAAACAGTTATATCAGAATTTATCAGATCAATGGATAAGTTTAGTCAGATTCCAGGATGAACAATAAAGTGGTTAAAATAAGAATGCCAGAAGGCAAGTCTAAATTGCCTGCTGTGTATGTCTTTCACTAAGCATTTTCACTAGGGATTTTGGTTTCTACAGATATTTCTCAAATCATTAAATTAAGCTTAAATAGGTTCATACCTGAGATCAGGCACTACTTAAACTTAGCACTTAGGGGTAGAGTTAACACATTTAAGATGTACTGCCATGAACAATAATTTTTCTTAGCGGTATTTGTCAACAAATTTCCAAGCATATTTTCAGAAGTTTAATGTATTATTTCTGATGTTTATTTGGGGTAATTCACCACCTCGTATATCACTTAAAATAATAAAATGGAAAGATGATTTAATTTTCCATATTTTATTTTATACTACAAGGCATAAACAAGTAGCAAGTTTCTTTTTCTAGGAGTACCCCCAGCATGGGCAATTCGATTTTTTTTTTTAATGATATTTATTGAAAATTTTTGAATTACAAAAGAAAACAAAGAAGAAAAAGAGAGAGGAAAAAACAAAGAAAAAACAAACCAGAGTCAAACAATACAGATTAATAGAAATCAAAATCAAAAAATAGCACAACACGCTCAAAAAATAAAAATATACCACAAACATTTAAAAACAAATCCTTAACTGTCATTACCTTCTTTCTTTGACCTCCTCCTCCTCCCATTTTTTGTATCCTGGTTATTAATTGTCGCAGCAAATCCTTTCCATATTTCATAATATTCTGTCAATACTTTACCTTAATCTATTTTAATCTTATCTTACTATAAAAACCTTAAAGCTTAAAACTTAAATCTTATTTTTACCAATTTCTCATAACCATAATATTCTTACATAATTCTTTAAACATTTTTGCTAAAGCCAAATAATTTCGTTCCAACATTTTTCTAACATTCATCAATTTTATAAAACAATCCTAATAAAAACAAAAAAACAAAAAAAAATCCAATCTTCATCCAGCGTCTCTTCCTCCTGGTCCCAGGTTTTGTCAGTCCTTTCTATCTCATCAATCTAGCGCATTAACCTGGCAATCTTATGTCCGAGGCCCTTAAGTCCCTTCCATGTCCCTTCCGCAGCTCTTCTTCATACTTATAGCTGTATTTTCCTTTATCTCCTGCTCCTTTCACGCTTGGGAACTCCAGCTTGACAATGCTTTTGACCCATCTCGACAAATCAGCCCCTTTTCCATAGTCCAGACTAAGCTCCATGTGGTATTTAAGAACATGTTTCAAAGTCCCTCCAAAATTAAGAGCCCCCACAACCCCAAACATCTCACGGCCCATTGCCAGACTTGAAAAGTCCAAACCTCCCTGCATAGGGGGGTCTATCCAACCCCCCATTTCCAAACCAAACCAAACTTTATCTTTCCAAATCTGGCCCAGCATGGGCAATTTGAGAGGTGGCTCATGTAATACCTCTTTTGGGATGGGTGGTGCTGCAGTCTATACATGTAAAAAAGGGTCTACATCACCAATTTCAGCAACTAGGGAGTCACTGTGTATGCTGGCCTGCCGGCTATAATTTGATCCATATGCTGATAGTTAAATTAACTTCATGGGGTAACCCTGATTTAAAGATAATTCTTTCTATGGAAGAAGTGGCTAGATTCTGGGATTTATACATTAGATGAGCTGACAGGAACAGATGGAGAATTTTTACAGTTTTCTTTATTGAGGGCCAGTTACTATTTACCAATGAGTGCTGAATGACAATATTTTCATTACAGCACCTGTTGGTGTCTATTTATGGTCCATCTGCAGTGCTTGCTTATACCCCAGGTGAGAGATGGGGTGGGATTCCCGTACAAGATGGCTTTGTTCCGTTTCTCAGCTGTGGCTTGACATCTTTATGGTGGGCTGTACATGTGACCTATTGTGGATTGATGTCTGCATGGCCTGGTGGCATGATAAAATGTATATTGTTACTTTTACTTTTGCAGAGTGTTCCATATACAGGATATGTCTTGAGGGAAGGATATCAGAGTAGAAGGTGATCGAAGGGAAGGGTAGGCATTACAGAATGAGATGTTGAAGGGATGATGACAGGTATCTGTGCCTGATATTCCTCATTAAACTCCCCCTTATCGCAGCATCAATGGATAATCTAACACTGTCCCCTTCAGTCTGCTGGTTCTTCTGCTGGATACCAGGTCAGTTCGCAATGAATGCTAATCCATGATCTGAGTGTGGTTCAGCAGGCTGACCTGGTTGAGGCTGGGTCTCACCGAGACCTGGGTGGGGCAGCCGGGTAGGCCAATTTGACTCAGCTCTGCCCACCCAGGTACTTGGTGTGACATCAGCCCAGAATGGAGAGACTATTCACATACCACCATAATGTACCACCTTCCTTGGAGCAGCACTAGAGGGTCTGCATCTGACGCTGGGCCTAAGAGATCAGTTAAGCATGCTATTGGTGTACTGGCCACCCTGCTGCTCATCAGCCTCCCTGACTGAGCTTGTCTCAAGTGTGATGCTGGAGAACCCCAGTTCTGTGGTTTTGGGTGACTTCAACATTCATGCTGAGCATGCCTCAGGTCCAGTCTGGGAGTTCATTGCCTCCATGGCAACCATGGGCCTGTCTCAAGTGGTCATGGGTCCAATGCAGAGAGCAGGAAATAGCCTTGATTTAGTCTTTGCTCCATGTGGTGTGGGAGGTTGTCTGGAAATGGGGTAGTGGTGGTGAATATCACTTCGTTGTCATGGTCAGTCCGGTCATGCCCTTTACTGAGCCCTTTCCAGCTCTACAATATTCTTTTTGAGGTGAAGCAACCAGAACTCTACACAATATTCCAGGTGCAGCTGCACTAAAGATTTGCACTATGATCTTCATTTTGTCTTCAGAACATTATCAATTACATACCTTCGACTCCTCGGTCATGAATCTGTTGCAACACATGTTTCTGTTTTCTCAGTCCCTGATACCCTGATCTTTCAAGAGGTAAGCAATACACATACTAATATTGGTTTTTAAAAATCAGAATGTTGAAGTCACAAATGCAATCCTTTCCACTTAAGCAGACTGGGACTTTAGTAAAGTTCACAAAGAAATCACACTGTGAGGGTGAGTACAATGAGGGACCCTTGCTATTTTCTAAGTGGCATGATGTAAAAACATAATAATCCTATTTTCTTCATCTGAAACTGTGAATAGGAACTAGCTGGCTTGTTAAATCAATAAATGAAACTTTGATCTCACCTACACCAACTCTTTGGATTCTACATTCCAAAACCCCGGATACCGTATTTTTCGCACCATAGGACGCAATTTTTCCCTCCTAAAAAGCAAGGGAAAATGTGTGTGCGTCCTATGGAGCGAATGCAGGGGGGAGGAAGGCGGGAAAAGCCCCCAAGAGCCGCACACAAGCTTCGTGCGCTCTTGCGGGCTTTTCCCCAGGAGGGAGAAGGGACTGACTGGCTGCATCAGTCCCTTCTCCCACCTCCCAGAAAAGCCAGGAGAAGCCGCGCAGCCCCTTTAAAGAGCTCGCGGCTTCTGCCGATTTTGCGGGAGGTGGGGGAAGCTGCAGCAGATTCCCTCCTCCCCGGCTCCCTTTGAAGCAGCAACCACGGAGGAGGGAAGGAAGGGGATCCATGCAGCGGATTCCCTCCTCCCGGGCTCCCTTTGAAGCAGCAAAGTGGGAGGGGAGCAGCTTACACTCGTGTAAGCAGCTCCTCTCCCACCTTCCTGCGTCAAAGCGACCACGGAGGAGGGAAATAAGGGGACCATGGATCCTCTGCTTGCGGCTGCAGAGGATTCCCTCCTCCTGGGCTCCCTTTGAAGCAGCAAAGTTTCCTGCTTCAAAGTGGAGGGAATCCACTGCAGTTGCGAGCAGAGGATCCATGGCTCCGCTTCCTTTCCTCGAAGCAGGGTGCGGGGGTGCAGGGGGGAAAGAGGGCAGGAAATAGATGCCGGGCAGGAAGACACAACCACACTTTGACCACTGGAAAGTCCACCTCAGCCTCTCCAGATTTCCACTGAGACGGCCAGGCTAATCTCGATGGCCATAAGTCAGGCTCAGCATTATTAACTGGACTTAGATAAGCCATGGTTCCCCTTCCTTCCCTCCTCTGAGGCTCGATTTAAAGCAGCAAAGCGGACAGGAGCCGCCCGCTTTGCTGCTTTAAATAGTTTAGTGCAACATTTGATTCAGAATATTTTTTTGTGTGTTTTCCTCCTCTAAAAACTAGGTGCGCCCTATGGTCAGGTGCGCCCTATGGTGCGAAAAATACGGTAATTCCACTCAGTTGGCATAATTTATTTTTTGGTAAAAGAGACAACAGATGATAAAAAATGTAGATTTGTGGTGAAAATCGTCTGAAAGCCTCTGACCTGTTTGACTGTCCTATTATTCTATTAAGTAAAAGGATCTGAGGTGGATCCAAAAGTTCATCTCCTTCCATCAATGTAAGAGAACATTTACATCTGACCAACTAAAATAAAAGGCCATTTTAATTATTTGAGCTTAATCACTTACCTGATGATCCTGAATCTTTCTGCCAACTACTCTAAATGTATTGTTGCCTGTATGATGATATATATGAACTCTGCTAAATCCAGTAGATCCACCAGCTGGTACCCACTTCTTATTAGCATCATCATAGACCATTACAGCAGCCCGTGCTTGGCAGATGCTCTGCTCACTGTGAAAACAAGGGAAAACAAATTATTAGAAGGAAAAAAACAACAAGTGATGTTAAATGTCCTATATGAAAGGAAACACCTTTTCAAAACGAAGGGAACATTCTACCACTCATTTCCCATTCTGAAACGTTCATACATAGTTTCATTAGTCCAATCAGACACTGTTCCCAAACAGTTCATCTAATTCTTCTGAATAGGGGAAGAGGAGGGATGACCACAGTGGACCAATTTATGTCATTAAAATAATAATAATAATAATCCAATCTTGCAATTCATACGTTTCTAACCCACTTTTCAAAGCACAAATCTTCACAAAATGGCTTATAATATTAAATTGGTATAAATACAGCTTTAAAATGACTGAAAATAAACATTGTAAATACAGCAACAACTTGGGCTCACAGTGCCTTAAGGACTGCCTAAGCCTTTATATCCCAGTTTGATGACAGAGGTCATCCAGAGTAGCACTGCTAGTTATCTCCCCCCCCCCCCAATGTTAGAGGCCTGACCGGACTCAACCAGAAGTTCAGTATTTAGTGACACCGGTCCCAGGTTATGGAACATTCTTCCAACAGAGATTCAGTAAGCATCCTTGCTTTTAACTATTAGGCTTCTCTTGATTTATTTATTTTTAAATACAGGTAGGCCTCCACAGTTGTTTAAAACAAACCATGGTTTAATCTGAACGTTTAATATGCTAGTGAATGCTACTCACAGAGCTCCCCCTCCCTCCTATTGCACCATGGATGAAACAAGCTAGAATCTGGCTTGTCGTGCCAACAGAACACAGGCTCCTGGTTTTGTTTCCTCAAGCAAACCACAAAACGCTAGCCAGTAAGAAACCTTGGCTACCACTTATGACTTGTTTGGAGGAAACAAACCAACAGCCCCAGATTAGGACAACATAACAAGACAGACTGTGACTTGTTTAATTTGTGGTGGAAAAGCAGAGATGGGATGCCACAGTAACCTTTGAACATTGTGTAGCAGTATACTGCTCATTCTCATTAAATCATGGTTTGTTTTAAACTAAGGTTTAATATGAGATGTGAACCAGACCTATTCAACATGCAACTTCAGAGCACAGATTCTTCTTCCATTTATAACTGCCCAAATATTCAATGAACCATATTCATCTGGGAATAACTGGCTTTTAGCCCAGATTCCAAGGGACATAAAGCAGAGTGTGGCTCAATAGGATTTACAAAAAGGAGCATAATGTTAAAAAGCCTGCTAACATAATCTACTGGTCTGAACAAATAGCTGCTAGGTTCATCCAAGGCATTATCCAACCAGCACAGAACACATACTTGAGTATTGGAGACTGGCTGGAAATTATTCAATATGGCAGGGTTCAAGTCAAACTGGGCAACTATAAAGTAACCTGAATGTTCTTAGTCAAACCTAAAATCAAAAGTTGCATTTTAATCTTTTCAGAAGACCATCTCTCACTACTACATATTTATTTATTAAATTTTATTATAATTTCCAGTGCTACATAATAACATGAAGCAAACTGAAAGCAACAATGCATTCAGAAAAATATAGAAAAAATAACATTAAAAAACCCTGCTATCTTGTAGGACAGGGGTTAGCAACCTTTTTCAGCCATGGGCCGGTCCACCGTCCCTCAGACCATGTGGTGGGCCGGACTATATTTTTTGGGGGGAAATGAACGAATTCCTACGCCCCACAAATAACCCAGAGATGCATTTTAAATAAAAGCACACATTCTACTCATGTAAAAACACCAGGCAGGCCCCACAAATAACCCAGAGTTGCATTTTGAAGAAAAGGACACATTCTACTCATGTAAAAACATGCTGATTCCTGGACCATCCGTGGGCTGGATTGAGAAGGCGACTGGGCCGCATCCAGCCCGCAGGCCTTAGGCTGCCTACCCCTGTTATAGGAGGATCAAATATTTTGTCAAATGTGCCATTAACCTGCAGATTTATGTTGACAACACCCCGGGCAGTTTTCAGCATTTTCATCCCCCCACCCCCAAAAATTAAATAGCAGTATAAACTTCCATATATTTAGTTGTCATGTCTTAAAATATTTGTCTGAATTTGTTTCATTATAATAGTTAAACCACACTAAATACACGTTTGAAATATGTCAGTTCAACTATTTTTTTGCTTTTGCGATTATACAGCATATAAATTTAACATGAAATGCTAGTTTTGATTTGTTCTCTAAATATAAATTAAATAAAAATGTTAACACAGGCTGTATCAATTAAGGGCAGCAATTTTTTTAAAAAAATTCTTTCTAGAAAACCACCACATTACTCTATAGAAACGGGGGGTGGGGAGAGTATCACATTCAGCTATTTTTTAAGTATAAACCATTTATTCAGTATAATCTTGAAGTATAAACAACCCATTCAAGTTCTGCCCTTCCCCGCTAGAAAACATCCACCATGATACGGGAAAAACAGGACTAAAAATACAATAGAATCAGATATCAAAAATGAAACATAAAAACAATGACTACATAGCTCATCCTCAAAGAAACTGCAAGGACATCTGCTTCATGAGTGAGACAAACTAGCTTGTGGTGTTTGACGCATACTTTCCCAGCTGTTATTTGGATAGCTCTTTTTTTAGATACAACAACCCTACTTCTAGATCCAACAGAAATGCCCAGAGTACAATGCCCTTTCCTCAAAGACTTGGGAAAAGTTAAAGTCAATGTACTTCAGTAAAGTACACTGAAACCAGACCATTTGCACAGTCCTAAAACATTCTCAGGTCATGGTTGTTGAATAAAAATGAGAAGATAGTCTGCTAGTTTAAGAGAACACAAGCAGTAGAGTCAGTGCATAGATGAGCGTTATGAACATCAAGAGTGAAGTCCGTTCTCTATCACAAACTATGTTAATCTATCTTTAAACATTTGTTACAGCACAATCCTAGACATGGTCTACTCACAAGTAGCTCCCAGTGTGCTCAAAGGGGCTTATTCCCAGATAAGTGGGTACAGGATTTCAGCATGTATAAACTAAAGTGTTGGTGGAGGAAAAAGAGGTCACAGTTAACCTGGATTGGGGTTATTTATGAAGATTTAGGATATTACCTAGAAAACTATAACCTGTTTTATATAGCAGCCTTGCAGCAAGACAGTCATCTCTTCATATTTAACTGGCTTACTGAAATAAACCTGCACAGAATTAGTCCAGATCACCCACCAACACAAATGTAGCAGCTCTGCTGCACTAATAAGCGAGCAGCTAGAGCTTGTGGTTTGTTGTAGAAGCCTTTTAAGCAGTGGGTACCAGCATGCTACTAATCTGTGTTAAACCATAGTTATTTTCTAGTGTTAAGTGCTAACTGCATTCCAATGTTAAATGCTGGTTCCTGACCAAAGAGCTCACCATGTTGACTAGGTTAGCTTTTCTGGCATTTAAGATCTTAAGCAGATACTCAGTGGTAAAGCATTTAGGGGCATGTTAGTGATATCTCCATCACAATTCTGATGCAGATATTGGATGCAAAACACAGATCATGCCACTTGCCTTACTCAGACTTTATACCCCTGTCTATACTTGGTACAAAGTAGAAGTTATTTTAGTTAAGGCTGTTTCTAGAGTACACCAATGTATGTCAGCTGTGTTATTTATTGCAAAGGTATTTAGTCTCTTCATGCTATAAACGGAAAAAACCAAATCAATAACCCCAGAGTATTTGCACCGTCACCAATAGACAACATGAAGCCTAGCTAGACAAGACAAGAATACTTAACTAGTTTTTCCAGAGGGAATTGCAGTTTGAGAACTAAATCAAAATGTGCAAGCACAATAACTGAGAGGTTTCAATGCACAGTGTATCAAAATGAGGTACTGGAGAAAATGCAGTATTTTACTGGTATGCATTGTTTGTTGGAGCCTCCCCCCTAACTCCTGCTCTGAATCCTTTTTTATACACATTATATATATTTTTATACATATCAGACCTACTCATTCATTACCCTGCTGGATGGGAGGGAAATCAGGTCTTGGGTTGATTAACATCCGATACCCTTTTAAATGTGTTGTGGAACCATGAGCTAGTTTTCAATTAAGTTTTACTCAGAGTAGAACCACAGGAATTAATGAGCTGGGTTAGGCCCATTATTTTCAACAGGTCTACTCTAAACTTTAGTAGAATGCCACCCATGATTTACAGTGAACAAACTTTATCTATTAAAAGGTAAATCAATTCAAAGTCGCTTTTTCTTTGCCTTTTCAGTTGCAGTTTTTCCTCTAGATTATGCTACTGTTATATAAACTGAAGATTTGTTTTCCTAACAAAATAATTTACTATGCTAGTTAAATGTAAGATTTATTTGGATTTAGTTATAAATGGCATTACTGAGATAGTAACTGTTCAATCTTAAACACTAACTTTGTTTGGAAAACCAGTAATGACTCATTTTCCCCTTTTAAAATGTTTTTGGAAAACAGCATGCTTTAAGCAACTAAGATACAAAATTATATTGGTACAAAAACCTTTTCTTGGCACACAGCCCATTTTTGTTTTTTGTTTAAAAACATTTTATCTATGATGCAAGGAGAAACCAGATCAACCTTTCTGTTTATCCTAATAATAAGAAAACAAGTAGTACCTGAGCAGTTCAAGTACTGTTCAGTAAAGAATGACTTTCACCATTAATCCTAAAAGGTTCAAAAGGATAAATATAACTATCTTACAAGTACTCAGAGAAAACGCTTCATGTGGGATATCAGTCACTCCCTTATGTCTGTCAGAAAGTCACATATGCAGGAACATCTTCCAAATGTACCTTTAATTCTTATTTTGTTAATTGTTTTGTAGTGCTCAAGCTATTCGTGCTAAAAATAGTTTGCTGCATATAAAAAACTACGTGCAACAATTAATTTCTTGTTATCAGAAAGAGATCAACCTCTTTTCAACAACAATTTAAATTAATTTAAAAGTTTGTATTATCTTTCAGAAGCCGAATTTCTGTACGTTTTATCACAAGCAAGAGCTATGGTGTGTACTTACATTGCTACAGGCAGCTGGAGCACAGCCAAGGGTATATCTGCCAGTTTCATGGTTTGCTGCTCTTTGTCAGACAATCTTAAAATTCTCATAGTAAAATGTATAACCCCCCGCAATGGGTATTTCTCAAGACTTTTGAGTGCTCAACTAGACTAGAAGCTTGAAAGTAATGTCCCAATTTCTAATTAAGTCAGAGAGTAGTCTTGCAAGAATGTAACTGGTCCCTAAAATAAACATGCCACTGAAATCTTAGCCATATGCTATAATTCTTTTCCTTCCTGAACTCATTCTCTAAATGTAGTAGGTAACAGTGAAGTGTATGCAGGACTCAACTGGAGAAACTCTTACCAAGCTACTACAAAGTAACTATCACAGGCATTCAGGCAAGGGCATTTTCTTCTGCATAAAGTGTTATGAAGGAATACAAGCAGAAAATCGGCATGGAAGATTTCACAGGTTGTGCAGAAAAGATCGATGAGCACAATGCATCCATCCCAGCAATTCTGTTTAAGGGCAGGTTAAAAATACCTTAAAAAATAGAGCAGCACAGACAGGTCCTACTCCTGCAAAATCATTCCTCAGCTGTTTAATCATGGTATTTCTCCAAAGGAATCATTCCACATCGCTCCTTCATATGGGAGATTACACCGAAACAGTCCTACTGAATGTAACTCGATCCGCAAAAAATTAAAATACACAATATATATCTGACTGCCTCTCCCAATACGAACCTATCCGGACCCTTCATCTGAGGGCATTCTCCATGTGAGGGAGGTTCACCAAGAGCAAAGCCTTTTGCGTTGGGACTCCCTAGCTGTGGAATTCTCCTTAGTGAGGTCTAAAAGGAGGTCATCATTAACCTCCTTTTAGCACAAAAATAAAACTCATCTTTTATCCCAGGCATTTGCTGGGAATATGACAAGCTGGTTAATGGCCTACTTGATAAGAATGTCCTTGCTGTTGAAATTTTTGTTGTTTTTCTTTGATGGAATGATTTTATTGAAACTTCAGCTGCTTTAGAATGCAACTGCAGTTGGTCCAAAATGCAGACACTGCCGGTGAGATGATCAGACCACCTGGCAGGATCTTACTGGACATAAGGGTGAGGGCCCTTTTACATGGGGACCCTGTGACACTGGAAGTCCCTCTCAGTAGAAAAGCAATCAAATGCCCTGGCTTCAAGGATTTTGGAAGAACTTTTTTCTTACTTGCCTTCCATAAGCGATGTTTTGTTGTTCGGACTATGGCTATTCTCTGCTGTTCTACTGGATTTTCTGGGGGGTTGGGGGGCAATTCTATTTCTTTTGTAGAGTCATGTTTTTCTGTATGTTGCATTTTATTGCTGTAAGCCACTTTTAGCAGGCCCCACCTAGAAATGCTTTAAAATAAACAAACTCCCATCAACCCAAGCCAAATACAGAGCACAAAGTTTTGGAAGACTGGCCTAGTCTTGGGCAGAACTGTCTGCCCTCTTTGATCACTAGATGTCCTTAGGCTGCAAGGAAGCAAGGGGTCATCATAGCACATGACAGCTACTTGAGGCAAGTACTCATTTTTTGTGACATCAAAACTTGCATGGGTGTCTGAATATGAGCACAATATGCACAATATGCAATCCATCAAGTATGCTATTTTTAGTTTTACTTTTAGCATTTAAAAATGCTTATGAATTAAACTATTAATAGTGCAGGAAATTTTATTACTATATGTCAGGGACGTTCAACTCCCGAGAGACTGCGATCTACTCCCACAATAAAAAGCTGGCAGTGATCTACCCATTTTTGGGGGGGGGACACCAAAATTGTTGTTTGTTTTTTTAGGGGAGCGAGTGAGGGCCAGGGCCGGATGCTTCCCCCCACGGAGGAAATTAATTGAGCCGCTAGCTGCAGTCAACCTGTTGGACATCCCTGTATATGTTAAAAAGAAGCATCTAACAGATTCATTTTCAGCTGTAAAGGTTCTGGCACTCGCCTACTATCAAAGGACAGCTTCACAATACAATGAATGCTCACTACATATTCCAATGCTGAACACTAATGCTTGAAGGCAAGCTTATGGCAAACAAGTAAATACGTGCTTGCTAAGCATGTGCTACTTCATGATGTTCATGATGGGAACATGCTGCAGAATAAGCAGGATACATATTAGACAACCAATCCTATTCTGGGAATACCAGCTGGTATTCTAAGGCAACCTGGAATTGTGATGCATTAAACCACATCTCAGTGTATGCAGTCTTGCCTTTCACTTTCTTGTAACAAACTTTGAGCAAGCTGTACAGAAAAGCTTACAAGATACAGTTGTACCTTGGTTCTGGAACACCTTGTTACTCGAACATTTAGCCTCCCGAACACCACAAACCTGGAAGTGTGTGTTGCTGTTTTCGAACATTTTTTGGAAGCTGAACGTCCAATGCAGCTTCCGCGGCTTCTAATTGAGTGCAGGAAGCTCCTGGAGCCAATTGGAAGTGGCACCTTGGTTTTTGAACATTTTTGGAAGTCGAACAGACATCCGGAATGGATTCTGTTCAAGACCCAAGGTACGACTGTACCTACCATGTTAGAGCAGCATTACCGTTCCTGCATTAAGTCTATGCAGTCTCTGTCAGAACTCTGCCATAACTAATTTACATGGAGCAATTTTTGAGAAATGACTTAATTCCTCTCACAGTCACAACTGCTCAGTATACACATATAGAATATATGGAGGGAAAATGTATTCTTGTCTCTGGTGCAGATTTTGAGGGTACACAGAGGGTTGCAGAGAAGAGGAGAGGAATGAAAAGTCTATTGTGCAAGCTGGATACAACCCTTAGTTCTTGAACGAGTAGATAGTAATCTAGATTCCCCCACCCCCAAACAAGGGGTTAGTTACACACTATAGACAGGCAAACTTTTAGAGATAGCATTGAAACAGTTTACCATTGTAGCAGATCACTTTACAAGAGGTGTATGTGTTGTTTTCAAGTACTTAAGCACAATTGTTACTCTTCTACAAGAACCGTAGAAGTAATTTAAGACTTACTGGTGGATTTTTTTTTTCTTTCTTCATATACAAATAGAATAATGTATGGAGTATGCATGCCACCTACCTAAGTGTTATAAATCACTTGTGTAGAACAGCCCTTGGGGAACAAGAATGCTGTATCAATCAGCAAGTGCTCTTAAGCTTTCTAAAAAGTTCTATTTGCTAAATAATAAATAATTGTAGACTAGGTGGCATTTCTTAACCTGTTTGCTAATCATCTGCAGGGTTTTTTGTTTGTTTGTTTGTTTTAGCATTCACCAGATATTTTAAAGGAAAACAGTTTCGTCTCTTGCACTGAAGAACCACTATTCATATTGTTAATTAATGCTATGTTCTGAAAAGCTTTGCACAAATTGTGAAGTGAGAATCAGTACAAACAAGGAGGCAGGGGGGAATGCCTTAAAAACAGATGCAAAATATTCAGTGAAGACTGCAAAACATAGTAGACGGCAGGCGCTAGCCTTGAAACTCCTCCCAGTATCTTGACAGCTAAAAGGAAAAAAAGCCCACAATGGCTAGCACCACCTTTTAGCGAGTATTACTTGATTCAACTAAAAGCCAGTCAAAAGTGCCTTTACTGTAGCTCTCTATCCTCTTGCTGGCTATAGGGGAAATAATTTTGCTTAAGTAGTGTCAAACCATTTGGGTATGTTTTTATTTTATTTCAAAAACTGAAAGACCACCCTTCAGCTAGGGCTGGGCAGTATCTGGTTTTCAACATCATGATATACCACCAGTTAAACAACGTGATACGCCAATATATCACGATGTCTGAGATATAAAGGGGCTATGTAGAGACACTGGCTGACTTCACTGTTCCCCTCCCGCCGTTGTGATTTTTGCCAGCCCCTGCTCTTGTGATTCACTCCCACTTGCAGGAGGCAGAGGAGAGGTGAGCTGGCAGAGTTAATAGGGGCTACAGGAATCAAGAGAAACATTGGCTGGCTTCATGGTTTTTCCCACTGTGATTTTTGCATAGCTCACACACACACATCATGATTTGCGATATATTGCCAGGTCAAAAATTATGAAACTGATATCACAATATAGACGTCCAACCACTTTGGATGATATTCCGATATATTGCCCAGCCCTACTGTGGAGGAAGCTTCTGAGATCTTCAGAACTTGAAGAAGCTGCTCTCCCAGACCACATTAACTTACTGGGTATGTAAGGGATAAGGCAAGTCTCTCAATCTGCATTCCATATCTTTAGTGTCATTATTATTAGCACAGCATCTGCTAATGAATATTTTGATGACACTCCAGTAAGAAACAGTAGTCCTAGTACACATGCCTAGTACACCCTTAATGAAGGTCAAACAGGTGCTGGGGAGCCTTATGTTCCATAATTTAAGAAAGGTGGGCTATAAATCACTACACATAAATAGTAAAAAATAATGGTGACTGGAAGTGTTCCACACAACATATCAACCGTTTTCATCTATTTAAAAAACGGTACAAATTGATGTTATTATCTACAAGGTGCCTGAATTCTGCATACAGATGACGACCATTTTGCACAGGGGTTCCATTCCTGGAGTCCGCACATGTCAGTGGAGAATGCATAAGCCTGTCCCGCCCTCTCCCGTGTCCCAAAAGACCCACACATTGGCTGTCTTGTGTCAACTGGACAAGCGCGAAATGGTTGCGGCTTAAGTGAACACTTTTCCTCATAGGAACTCTCCCATTGGTTGAGATTGAGGGAGGAAGGTTCACTCCCTTCGTTCACATAATGAGACTGCAGGACATTGCCTCCCGTGTAGAAGTTAAATCCACAGCACACCCAAGACAAATTTTACTACAACCCAACCACGATTCAGGAGACAGGAAACATTCAGACATATGTCTGTACTGTACTTATTATACAGTAGTAATAGAGGCAGTGTAGTACAGCAGATAAGACTAGTACCTGAGAGACTATGTTTCAAATCCCAACTCAGCCATAAAGATCACTGGGTGACCTTGGGCCAGTCACTGCCTCTCAGCCTAACCTACCTCACAGGGTTGTTTGGGGGATTAAATGAAGAGGGGCAGAACCATGCACACCACTTTGTGCACTTTGGAGAAAAAGTTGGGATACAATTAAGCAGTAAGGGTATTTTAAAATCTTAAAACGTTCACTGCTTCTTAAAGCTAATGCAATCAGGTCTTCTGCTCATACTGACTTTTCATAAATTGAGCTCTCATTTCTATCATTCCAGGGCTAGATAAAAAGCAGTAGTTATTCAATGTGTGCATACAGATGAACACATTTAAAATCAGCTCTTGAAATGTCAAATCTCATAATGGCACCGTCTGTGCCTTTTCTATTGTGAAGTTTCATTTAATTGCTATGGCACATATCTCTAAGTTCCAAACCAGCACAGTATCCCAATGCCCTTATGCCACAGAAAGTTGTTCAAAATGCATCTAAATTTTTAGACAACACCAAATATAGAATTATTGTTATGATAAGCAAGCCTCAACAGCTCAGTCAAGAAGTCAGTCAAACCATGCTTTGGCCATCAGAAATATGCTCCCACTAACCACAGTTAGTACACAGGGTACCACCCAAACCAGAACTAGAAATCCATTTTGAGGAAATCTATAGTTAGCAGTAAACAGAATTTGTGGAGTTTAGACATCAGAGCTAAGTATTTTTATTTTTAATTATTTATAGAAAATATTTGTAGCAGTTTACAACAATATAAAATATAAATGCATAAAATACAACATATTTAAAACAACCAAATAAAAATAAAAAAGTAAAAAATTATCCAGTAGCACCTTATAGACAAACTAAGTTTGTTCTGGTATAAGCTTGGTTGGGCTATAAGGTGCGACTGGACAATTTTTTACTTTTTTATTTTGATGGCGTCAGACCAACACAGCTAGCTACCTGAACTTAAAACAACCAAGATATCCAATTCACCTAAAGAACATACAACTAGCATACCGTCAAAAATATCCCAGCTAGATCTGACAAACAGCACTTAGAAGCCTAGATTAGCCCCCAAAGGCTATGATGCCAAAAAACAAAACAAAAAAAAAACTGCAGGGCAGGAAGTACAGGAAAGAAACAGAGCGCAAAAGGGGAGAAGCAGCCAAACATGAGGCACATTCCTATAAATTGAGCCAATAGTTTCAAGGTACTGTACATGTTTTAGCAATCCATGTTACAGTCCAAGCATTCGATTGTATGCATCCTTTAGATGAGCAGCGTTATTTCAAAAATTCACACACTTTAATGACAAACTCTCTGCTTCATGACCACAGGAAATAACCTATACATCATCTACCACTGACCTATATATAATTGGCAATGCTAGTAAAGACCGTACTACTGACTCACTCCACTAGTGTGGCATATGGCCAATATTCTTTTAGAGGGATTACCATTCAATTATTTCCATGCGGACTTGAACAGGAAGTATTTTATCACTTCAGATGCTGTTAACGGCAGTAACCTTCTAAGACAAAAATGGACTCCCACAGAAGGTGGAGGAGGTTTTTAAGCAGAAGTTGGGTGGCCATCTGTCATAGATGCTTTAGTTGAGATTCCTGCATTGCAGGGGGTTGGACTAGATGACTAGAAGGGGGATACCTTCCAAATCTACAATGCTATGTTTCTATGACCTTGCTCACATTTGTTTATGTAAGTAGTTTTCAAGTTGGAACTGGTGAATCCTGGAGTTCTTTGGAAGCTTATCAGGGAATCATCTATGACTCAATCAATACTGGCAGAAAGGCTTTTCTGAAGACAGGCTTGTCCACTGCTACTAAACATTCCCTACAATGTAGATAAAAATGGCTGAAAAGATACAACCAATTGTATAGTGTGCATGTCTGTTTGTTGAAACATTTCACTGAACGTACATGTACATCCAGCTATCCTGTCCAGCTCAAGAGATTCCTATCAGGCCCACTTAATTGTTAAAGCATAACTAATCTGTGTTAAGTGGCCCCGGGTATGCATTCTTATGGATCATGGAGATTTCCCTATTTTAGACTATGCAAGACTGACTTCAGCATAGCCCGCCTCAAAGCATGAAACCCAAAACTGTTTGCAAAATGCTGGGGTTCTGTGACAAATGACAAGAGAAGGACAGGATTCCCTGGAAGTGGAAGACAGAGAATTTGAAAATCACTTTTAAAGTGACAAACAATATCTATCCTATTCAAAGAGACATATTGGTTTCAAGAAAATGCATTAACCCTCGGGGACCCTTCCAACTCTACAATAAACCAACAAAGGAAAGATATGACAAATGTGAACAGCACTAGTTTCAAAACATATTCTTGGGTGTTCCAAATGCACTTAAAAATCACATCCACACATACACTATGCCCTACTCAGTAGGGCCTACTCTCTGACAATTCTCCAGTTACACTAGCTCACACACTGGAAGACTTCACTCAGTCTGGCCCATCATTTTTTATGGGAGTCAGTTCTATAGTTTAGCTATGAAGAAGCACTTTCTTTTATCCACCCTGAATCTTCTAACACTCTGCTTCATAGGGTGTCCAAAAGATCTAGTGCAGGGGTCTGCAACCTTTAAGACAAAAAGAGCCACTTGGACCCGTTTCCGAAGAAAAAAAAACTGGGAACCGCAAAACTCGTCATTATAAAAATAACTTTTTTGTCACTTTTTTATTATTTCTTTGTTTGACCCCTCAGAATTACTCCTCCTCATAGAAATAAACGTTAAATTAACAAGTTACCTTTTTGTGTGTGTGTGTTCTTCACTCCCCTTCAAAACAGTGACCAGCGTACATGCCCCCTTTCAATGCAGTGACCAGCGTACATGCCCCTTACAATGTAGCAGGCGGGCGGGAAGGTGACGTCGGGGCGGTGCGTGACTAACGCACGCACCGCCCCCATGCGACGTCACAGCCAGTACAGTGCCCGCCACAGTGGGGAGTGTCGGGGCGCACAATGCGCCTCCTCCCCTCGCTAGTATCCGCCCCAGAGCCGCGGCAAAGGTGTAAAAGAGCCACATGCGGCTCCGGAGCCGCGGGTTGCCTACCCCTGATCTAGTGTTATGAGAGAGGGAGAAAAACTTTTTCTATCTACTTTCTCCAAGCTGCACATAATTCTCTATACTTCTATCATGCCGCCTCTTACTTGCCTTTCTCTAAATTGAAAACTCCCCAAAGTTACAACTTTTCTTCATAGGGGAGTTGCTTTATCCCCTTGATAATTTTGGTTGCTCTTTCTGAAACTTTTACAACTCTAGAATATCCTTTTTGAGGTGATGCGAGCAGGACTGTACAAAGTATTCCACATGTGGCCGCACCACAGATTTATATAATGGCATTATGTTCCTGGCAGTTTTATTTTCAATCCATTTCTTAATGATCCCTAGCATAGATCTGCTATTTTCAGTCACCATGCACTGGGTTGACATCTTCATCGAACAATCTACTATGACCCCAAGGTTCCTGGAGGTTCACCTCCAGTTCAGACCCCATGAGTATTTATGTGGAATTAATGCTTTTTGTCCCAACATGCATTACTTTACACTAATTCAGAACGAATTGCATTCGCCATTTTACCAACAATTCACTCAGTTTGGAGAGGTCTTTTTGGAGCTCTTCATGATCTCTTTTTCCTTTTATTGACTCTGAACAATTTAGTATCTTTGTCACCAAACTTGACCACCTCACTGCATGCTCCTAATTCTAGATCATTTATGAACAAGTTAAAAAACACACGCCTCAATACCAATCCTTGTGGGCCTCAACTTCCTACTTCTCTCCATATTTCCCCTTCATCAATTTTACTTCCTGCATGCATCCCATCTTCTTATACCTCTACATCTAAACCGCCATGACATTCCCAATATCCTATGCCGCCTCAGTGTTTAACAACTAATTACTGTAAACTCACACAGTTCAGGAAAAACCCCCCCCCCCCCCCCGCTGCCAATATTGGAAGGTCTGGGTTATTCCAGCAATCCTCATTGTAATCACAGGCCTAGCAGGCCTAACTATTACAACTGCCAGCTTAAAATGTTAAGCCTATTAGCCATGAGGTCTTGTGTACTCCAAAGTAAACCTCACTTAGTTTAGTGTGGCTTACTCAAAGGTAGTAGGTGAAGGGTATACAACTGCAGCCTAAGGCATCTTTAGAAATAACTGTTTAAAAGGCTATTTGCAGGGTACATGCTGAGAGAATGTGAGTTAGCAACAGCCAAGACTCCATCATAGCAGGTCTATCATAGCATGATGTAGAATTTGGTGTGCTTTTAAACCAAGTTTTTATTTTCTCATGGAGCACAAACAGCTTACAATAAACAATGCAGCATAATGCCAATTACACAAATAAGGCATTACTGGCGTAAATTGATACTCCGAAACACTCATTTTTTTTTCTGCCAATGCTCCATGTATCCGATTAAGCCCTTCTATGTTCCACAGAAATGATGCCAGCTGCATTTGCTGCTGAGTGCCTCTAGAAAGTCAGGTTCTAATCTTGCCAATTTCATCTGAATATCTCATGGTTTAAATCGCAAATTACAGATGCCATGAGAAATTCCATCACAATTACAGGTTAAGAACAAAGTACACATTACCCTAAACACACCTCAAACGGTCAGTGCTGGAGGCAGAAAAACACAGAGCATTAATTTTAAGATGGAATTTGGCTGGGTAGAGGACAGTAATAGAAACCTCTGGTTGAGAGGAAGCCAGGATGCTCTCCTTCCCTCCAGTCAAGAGACTTTTGGCACTGCTCCTTAGGTTACTGAGACTGGGAGAGTGAGATTCGCCACTCCAAGTCTGACCCATTTTGTCAAGAATCCATTCACCAGCACAGTTCTGCCATGAACTTGCTAAAACAGAAAATGCTAAATGTGAAATTAATATTATATTATTTATTAGACTTGTGCATCACCTATGCCAAAGCTTCAAGGCAACTTTCAACAAACAAGTAAGAAGTAAAATTAATAATTACATAAATATAATTACATCTCATAAAATCAATCACCACATAACTACGATCACTACATAAAACTTTTGGTTAGAATATTCTATCTCATACAACTCCCCCCAAACCCAGCATCCCTGCTGTAGATGCTGACAATGGAATATGTTGCCAAAAGTTTGGAAAAGTGAAGTATTAATCACAAAGAAAAAATTCCATATTGTCAGTGATACTGCAGATGGGTATTTTGAAATTTTAGGTCTCTGATCAATTGCTGAAGCACAGTGAAGCGTTTCTTGTTACCAGCATTTGCACTACATCATATTTAACATATTGCAGTAACTCCAGAGTGAAGAATCGCCTTACAACTTTGAGAGGAGTATTCCTAGAAGGCAATATATGATTTAGCCCAAAGTAAGAAATAGTTTCATTTACCTATTGCACTTTCCAAATCTCTATTTTGATGATAAGTGACTATTATTTCTAGGTTGCAGATCATATTCGCCAAGCCATGAGACTGAATAATTGCAGATTTGGTTGCTGAGGCAGCAGTACTACAAGGACAAACAGTGGGAATCCCATAAAGGAATTAAGCTGTTCCAAACAGGCTCATCTGCTATCATGAGGCATTTCACAAACTGTACATATTCCTATTTCCATGTGACATATTGACCCAGTTCAGATCATCACCATCCAAATGCAGTCACTTGCTATAAAGTGGTCCACAAAACTTTACTTAACTAATACAGCACAAAGAATAGAATTTAATTGGAGAGACACAAGTTGGATTGGCAGTGCTTTGAAGGGAACCTAACTGCAAAAAGAAATAGCTTATTGTTCCTTAGTCACAAATGAGGGGTTTTTTTCGGGGCGGGGGCAGGGAGAACAGTGCCAGGCTTGCAAGCCCTAGAACAGTTATAGCAACAATTTTCTCTCCAAAACTGCATATCAGTTCTTGCACATCATGTCACCATAGATGAGAAGTTCCAACCATAAGTTTGATAAATGCACATCTCTGTATGAAATAATACATTTAAAAGAATGGCCAGCATTACTTGTTCAGTACTTAGACTAGATACAAACTACTATGGACAATTTTTACAATATTCAGGCTACAGGTTTACTGCCAAGAAAATCATCTGAAGTGAAGTTTATTTTTTTAAAAGCTAGGAAAAATAGTTCCATATATATTTTGGTGCTCTGTGAACAGGTGGAAAGATCAGATGCACCTGCCTTGTCAGCCATTTGGTACAGCTGCAAGATTAAAGACACAAGTACTGCTAATTACATCTCAGTGAAATTAGTTATAATGTATTCAGAGTTATTCTTCAAACAAAAGGCACTTTAATTTTAAGATTCTTCTCAACTGAGAGATTTTGCACTAAAACGAGCTTACTGATATATATTGCATTAGAAGAATATATAAACATCTACATGCAATTACAGACTATTGTCTATTTTGAGACAAGCAAACTGTGAAATTGTAAATCAATGCTGTTTCTAAACTAGCATATGTTATCAAATAAGAGCTCATAATACAAACTTCCAATAGCGCTGTGATGGTTTATGCCAGACATTTTATGAAAATCAAAGCAATTTTAGTACCAAACGGATAAATAAAAATCACTGAACAGCACAACAGTCATGTGACCACAGAATAGGCAAAATTTACCCATGGATGTTCATGTGACACAAAGCAGTCAAACTGATCTATTTTAAAAATTATGATTTGTACTCTTAGCCCACCCTTCACTCCATGGTCCAAGGGTGGGTTCCAAAAATATAACCATTAAAATAAACACCATTAAAATAAGAAAATAAGAGTGGTAAGCACCACCAGTACCAGCATAACACTTTAAACCATGGGTAGGCAAGCTAAGTCCCGGGGGCTGGATCTGGCCCAATTGCCTTCTCAATCCGGCCGGCAGACAGTCTGGGAATCAGCATGTTTTTACATGAGTAGAATGTGTGCTTTTATTTAAAATGAATCTTTGGTTTATTTGTGGGGCATAGGAATTCGTTCATCCCCCCCCCAAAAAAAAATAGTCTGGCCCCCCACAAAGTCTGAGGGACAGTGGACTGGCCCCCTACTAAAGAGGTTTGCTGACCCCTGGTTTAAACTAATGGGCACAGTTCCAGGTGAGTTGCAATTCCAAGACTGCATGCAAGCGTTTTCCCATGTCACAATGACTTCCATCATGTTGGGCATATACCATCACCAGTAAGTAATGTGGCAGGGCTCACAGGTTTTATGCCTTCTAGCATTTTAAAAAACGTTCAAGATGTGACTGAGTGAATGCAAGCAGCATGAAACTGTTCCTCCACTTTACAGGGGAAAGGCAATGATGCTTTATGACTGGCTAAGTACTGGAATTATGCAATACTACATTCCTACCTTTGAAAGAATACCAAAACCAATGGCAGATTTTCAGTCGTCTGATCGCTTATCATGGCACAAATAAATGCTATTTTATGGGTTATGCTGGGAGGGGGGGACAGGACCAGCAAAACACCTTAGCTATGCACAACAGTAGCATATATTTTATTTATTATATATACAGTCCAACTTTCCTCTAAGGAGCTCAGGGCAGCATACATGGTTCATCAGCACCAACACTTTATCCACAACAACCGGAGAACATGATGAGAGTGCTACCGTGCTCATGGCCCTGCTTGTGTGCTGGTTTGCAACTGTGGGAACAGAAAGCTGGACTAGGTAGGCATTCAGTCTGATGTACTCATGTTCTTAAGTAGGTTAGACTGAGAGATATGTGGCCACCAACGGTTTGGCCTCATTTGGAATTCTGAGGGTACCATGGGCACCAACACCCCTGGGCTGTTTCTTACCCTGATTCCACACATACTAGGGAGGGAAACAGGCATGCACATGCACACATGTGGCATTCGGAAGGCAACAGAGTTAAAGCAGATTTCCTGAAGTGTACATGGTTTTGCATAAAGGTAAAAGGTAAAGGGACCCCTGACCATTAGGTCCAGTCGTGACCGACTCTGGGGTTACAATGATCATCTCGCTTTATTGGCCAAGGCAGCCGGCGTACAGCTTCCGGGTCATGTGACCAGCATGACTAAGCCGCTTCTGGCGAACCAGAGCAGCACACGGAAACACCGTTTACCTTCCCACCAGAGCAGTACCTATTTATCTACTTGCACTTTAACATGCTTTCGAACTGCTAGGTTGGCAGGAGCAGGGACCGAGCAACGGGAGCTCACCCCGTCACAGGGATTCAAACCACTGACCTTCTGATCAGCAAGCCCTAGGCTCTGTGGTTTAACCCACAGGGCCACCTGCGTCCCACATGGTTTTGCATAGGGTCACACAAAAAACCCACCATTAGATTAAAGCTTACATTGGTAAACTGCACAGTAAAAATCAAGAGTTCCCATTCTTTTCAGCACCACAGAAACACTGATCCAAGACACAAGTGCTCATTGGATCTTCATGATTTTTTTCCCCACACAGTAAAACCCATTGCTAAATTAGAGAACACACTGTGGATACAGAGCAGGCCTATGATTTCATGGCAGGGTGTGTGTGGTTTTTTTTTTGGGGGGGGGTAAATTAGGAATAAACAGGCATGTGGAGGATAAATCAGGACTGAGATTATGATATGTAGGTATGGGGAGGCAGCAATAGTAATCTCTTCCCCTGTGCCATGATCTTGCTATTGTGTCCTGGTGTCCCAAGAACAAAAAAAAGCAAAACAAAACCCAGATCTGCAAAATGCAACCACACACCACAAATCTAGTTTGGCCCTACAGCAAACGAAAAAGCAAATAAAAACCACAGAATTGCAGGTGTAAGAGAGATACCTGACTGCCAAACCTACTTCGGTGAATATAGATCCCTCTTTGCAAGCAGCAAGCATTTCTGTACAGATAGAAACTTATGTTGGAAATGCACAGAGGCCAGTCCTAGGACATGTGGACAGCAAATTGTAAGAGAAGCATGTAATCCTAGAGTCAGCTGAAAGATTCTTTAACATGTCAACAAAGACTCAAAGGTACAACCTCCTATGTTGGGTAGTATTATGATTACAATGGTGCACCTTAGGTTAAGGACTATTCTTCTACTGCCTGGGAACTGAAACAAAACATCCCTTCTTGGATTACTACTGATAGACATGGTACGGCTCAACAGTGAATCTTCGTTCCAAGGTAAATGAATGTGCAGTTCTAGAACTATAATACATGCTCCTTTCTCAAAGACACTGGCATGAATGATTCTTCAGCATTTATCTATAGCAGAGTGCTATAATGCATGCATCTTTAGACAGTGGCACAGCCCTAAACGTGTCTTCCAAAAATTGTGAGGAATCTTCTGAGAAACTGCTAGATCCTCATCTCAATACCATTATGAAGTTTCCACCCCAAAATGGGAAAGTACTACTGCCCAAAACAATAAGGCTGGCATTTAAGATCAAAGCACATTTATTAAAGACAGACTGGTATTGCCCTATGATCTTCCAGACAAATGTAGAATTTAATTAAAAGGCAGCTAGCTGCTTTTTCCCTCACTCAAGTTTGTTTTATTACTTCTGTTGTATCATGTATCAACATGCATCTATTAAAAAACAAAGTCTTAAAAATAATGAATGGAAAAATGAGCAAGCAAGATATAGCCTAGCTATATATCCTCTCCCTTCACCTTTCTCCAATCCACTGCCTTAAAACCATACCTTGTGCCAGAAAACTCGAAACAAAAATATCCAGAACTTCAAGATTTCATGCTCAATATGTTGTATATAAACCATCCAAGACAGATAAATATTCAGCCAACATCCTCTTACCTGTCAATGACAATCTCCAAGTTTTCCTCTGCAACTTGTTCCATCATCCAACTATAGTTATACATATTTTAAAAGCCCTTTGAATATTTAGATTAAAAATTGCCTTTAAAAAAACTTTACACGGGGGGAGTTGGCTTTTAAAGTTAAGCCTCAAAAAAGCAGTCGATCAGTCATGCATTGAGTCCCAAATGTCTGTTTCATCCAGTCGAGGAGAAACAGGTGCTGCAAACTCTCAAGGCAAAGAAATTTAAGAGTAGATTTAGCACGGCACAAAACAGAAGTTAAAAAAAAAAAGCAAATTACCAAAGTTAAAAGCTTTAGAAGTTTAGTAGCTCTGAAGCTGTGATCTACACAATATTGATCAAATGTTAAAAAGCAGCTTTGACTTTTAAAAGCTGTTTTAAGTTTGCATTCACTTTCTCAGACTAGCTGCTAGCTGCTTTCTCTGTGAGACTACCGACAGAGTATCCTTAATATTGTTACAGCCCATTAAAGAGCACTGGTGCAGCCCAATGTGAAGAGGAGAAAAAAATATACTCAGGATAGCATCATCAGGTAAAGAGGCAATATAAAATAATCTTTTCCTGCTGTCCAAGGAGTCCTTGTGAGCTACACTCTTTTCTCAGCTCTGAACCATCCCTCGACTGTCTGCTCTTACAGGCAAGCTTCTGTAAAAGGATGAGGAAGCTTTTTCAGCCTTTTCAGGACTGGATCGACAACTGGCCACCCACCTGTCAATCACATGACATCAGACAATTCAAATTTGAAACTGGGAGTAGGCACAACTTTGCTCTTTAAAAGCCAGCAGCAGAGCCATATCTCCTAACTTAGCACTGTGGGAAAACTTAGTGCTGACGTGAGGAACCCTCCAGATACTGCTGTAGTACCACTCCCATAATCCCTAGCTATTGACCAGTCTTGCTGGGGATTATGGGAATTATATTCAGCAACATCTGAAGGGTGAAGGCTTCATCACTCCTGACTTAATGCTTAGATCAAAGGTAACAACAGATCTCTGTGCCTGATATCATATGACATCATGATGTCAGGTAGCTGATATGTAGGCATAGTCTTGTAAGCCAAACTGAGAGGCCTGGGAAACCTAAGTAGGCCCACAAGCTGGATGTTCCCCACCCCTACCCTATAAGGATCATTCTTGGGTGTTCAGGTTTCTCTATTCTCTGCCTTGTTTCAGATGTATATTCATTTCCTGAGATTGTAATAGAACTCATTTGAGCACAAGCTGGGGTACAAGACATCAAATTTCAGCCAAGGCTGAATGAATGCCATGATTCTCTAGAAAAGAGCAGCAAATTGTGGTAAGTTTGTCTGATACGGGACTTAGGAGGAAAACCAGTTTCTGAACCTTAAGAGCATCCCCACACCATTTCTTGCAAGTTGTTCCTGAAATTCAGTAGACTTTCAGAGGGGCACAGTGAACTGCCAATAAGTGGGTGGGAAAGTCTATTCCAACCTATTCTATGTGTAAAACTCCACTTAATGATTGTTAGGATCATAGTTGTCAACTTTTCCCTTTTCTTGCGAGGAATCCTATTCGGAATAAGGGAATTTCCCGTAAAAAAGGGAAACGTTGACAGCTATGGTTAGGATTCAACCCATAGTCTAGAATAAATCAGCAATTTTTTTTCATATGGTTGGAAATACAGGTGTGTCAATCTTCGGAGAATAAAGACTATGTCACTTTTTATGTAACCAGGGTTATAACATACGTTAAATGATCTAAATTTGTATCCAATCTTTAACAAATTTAAGTGTTGTGTCCAATTCTTCCGTTTGCAGAAGAACCTTGATCTCTCAGCTAATGGAAATGGAGGGGAGGTGGTTTTTGCAGATTCCCTGTTTCCCCTGTAGCTCCCTACACCACCTTCCACGCTGCTCTCTTCCACAATGCCTCCAACCTTCTGGAGCAACCGGGGGGTGTGGGCAAAAGCTTTATCCCCTCCTCTTCCATTAGCAGAGGCTTCCACTGGATAAAAAGCTCTTCTACCACCTGAAGGCACAAAAGGATTCAACCCTGATGTTACAACAGGTATATAGAGGAATAAAATGAATATGCAGAGCAAACAATTTAACATATTGTGCTCCAAGTAACACTGTTGCATGGCAACAAGAATCTACTGCAGGGAAGTAGAAAACCTTTTGATTTGCCAAATTACAGTTCTTTCTGGAAAAAAAGGGAAGTCAAGCAGTAGAGGAAACTAAACCTAGGTCTTGAGGAAAGCTGCAGTTCATCTAATGAACTGATTGTCCACTGCCAGAACTCCCTACTCAGCCTGCTCTTTGACTCTCTCCCATACACCCACAAGACCACATTTTCAGTGCCTTCAGAAATTGTGTCCCAGCTTACTCCGATAACAAATAATTCTAAAGAATAACTACACCCTCGGTAGAAATTTACCATTTCCAGAAATTATGAATCCATAGGAAGGGGGGGAAGTGTGGTGGGTTTTTTCTAATGGACATTTTGGTAAATTCAGAAATATGCAATACTTATTTTTGTAAGTATTTGCAATACTTATTTTGGTATCAGAGCTAAGCTTCCTTCACTACTTTGAGAGCATAAAATTTCTTCAGTTAGCTCCAGAGAAAAACTAGTAAAGGAAGAACTTCTCCCAGAAGCACCCATACAAAAACCTTTTCCAATGCTCTAAATTAGTTTGTATTTGCTGACCTCAGCTAATGAAATGTTCTCATTAAGCATGCATACCAGTAGCTCCAGACATGTATATGTCTCCCTCATCTTAGTTTTGATTAACACATAGCTGATTAACACATAGTTTAATCAAGCTATCCAAAAGCACACCTTTAATTCGATTCTCCAGAGAGCCTGGTTGAAGTTAACAGGTCACCTGTAAATCACTACCACCATTTTTTGCATCCATTCTGCACCCATGGCAACTCCTTGTCACCTATCAAGACCCTTTCACTTCTGGATCTTGAGAGGAAATTCTCACCAGGTGTAGTCTGGCCTGTTTAAGCAATAGGTTTCCACCTAGGTTTCAGTGTTCAGTCTTGAAGTTCAACTGTTTGGTTCAGATCAGGCTGCTCTAGCCCCCATCATGGTGAGCTTTGGACACATGGGCTGTACTATGGGTCTAGGAAGAGGATTACTTCACCGGACAGGCTGCTCCAACCGTTTTCCTTTATTTAGCTAGCTTGGTCCCCTTTTCCTTCCCTGCTCCTTGATATTCCTTTCCATGTTCTGGTTTGTTGTTCTGAACTTGCTTCAGTTAGGAGATTTTATGGAACGTGCTTCCTCTCCCAGTGATACTCAAGCTTAAGTTTCACAAGGTCACAAGATTCAGGGACTTGCATAGCTTGGACATCCACAGCTCCAGTAAGTCCAGGGACAATAATTAGTCTGGTGCTAATGAAGAACTCCAGGCTCACTCCCACCACCTCCTCCTCTCACATCTAGAAGGACCTTGTTGAAGCATCCCTTTCCTTTTGAACTCTGCTCTTTTCTTCCGCTTTAAGTTTATTCCCACTGGCACTAGCAATGTGTACTACTCCAAAAGATAATCTCATCCCCTACATACCTAACCAATCTCTGTACTTTGCAGGAGAGTGCATCCTGCAGATATCATCCTATCAGGAAGTCTACTTCGCACAATATTGGAATCAGGCCTTTAGTCATGGTGACACCTGCCCTTTTCAATTCCCTCGTTGCATATCAGACAGGTTGCTGTAACGGCTAAAGACATTCCTATTTTAAGGAGTCTTCAAAAAATTTATCACAGTTGGTATCTGTATTAAATTTGAATTGCTTTTATGTATGTGCTGTTATTGTTTTTGGATAGGCAACTGTTTTATATCTGTAAACTGCTTTGGCATGCCCCATGGGAAGTGATTTATAAATGAAATTGACAATGATAATGATGATATCTAATTCCTCCTCTTATACCAGTTGGGCTCTACTTATCTCTCTCTCTCTCCCTCTCGCTAAACTCTCCTTTTATTTGGTCAGGGGCTTTTCCCACCTCAAACTGCCCTAGCTGCAACTAAGCAGCCAATCCGACTTTAATGCTACTTGATTAACCAGTCCTTTTTCATTCTGTAACAACTTTTATATTAATCAATGTCTTAACTTGTAATAAAATTCTACATTTTTAAAATTCTGAATTCTGGTTTGTTGTTGACTTCCTCTCTCTCTATATATATTATGACTTGAAGGGTAATCTCCCTTTGGGGTACCATGTCTCTAAACTAAAGATATATTATTACATGTATCAGTCAAGTACAAGTGTACACAAGTGTGTTTGCATGAATGTATGATCCAGAACACACAAGTGACATCCACACAATATACTCAAAGCTGTCTTATATCACTTTAACCATCAACATCCCCCCCCCCAAAAAAAATCCTTGGAACTGTAGCTTGTAAGGGTTCTCAAAATTGTAGCTGTAAGGAGCTTCTCAACCTTAATAAACTACCTCCACAGCCTCTCTCAACTCAAAGACCCACCCACACTGCAAGGCACACTCTTGGCCTGTCCCCCCCCCCCCCCGCAATCTAAGATGATGGGGGATGGGGGCTTAATTTGAATCCTTTGTTATGATCCGTTCAGTGATGCAGTTTTTATTTTCAGGAACTCCAAACTCCCCTCTTTCTTTCACTGGCTGGTAAAAGTCTTTTTATTCTAGCAGGCTTTTGCCCACTACAGTCATTGTTAATTGTCATCTCCACTGTTGTTACATTTAAATGGATTTTAATGCTGTATGTTTTATCTATTATTGTTGTTGCATTTAGTAATTTATATTTCTATTGTATTGTGATTTTTTTGAGTCTGAAAAACAACATATACTTTTTTTAAAAAAAACAGTGCAACTGAATTGCATCTGAAAACCTATTAATCAGTGGGACTCTTATTACATCAGTGTAGTTTTCTCTTTTTGGCCAGGACCAGTTAATAACTGGTGTTCCATATTCTGGATCAGCTGATATTTCTGAATGATCTTCAAATGTAACTCAGGTGCAGGGCATAATAGTAAATCTGCTCAGGTATTTTATCAGTGAATGTTTAACATTGACAGTCAGTTCAGTGAGCTGTTTACAGTACTGAGATTTTAAAATATCCAAATGAATTTGCTTTGGCAAATGGGAAAACTCCTTTGACAGAGAGTGATCGGATTGCTTAAGGAATGTGCCCAACACCCACCAAATTATGCAGTAAAAGGTGGGCTGGTATTAGTGAACACTGCATTCAATTTGCAAAGCTGCAATGACATTAGTGGGCTCAGTGATCAATATAAGTCATGCCAAACCCATTATAAATATGACCCCCAATTCCAACTTCTAAAAATGAATGGGCAAAAGACAAATCAGAATCTACTAGTGGGTCGGTAGATGACTTGAAAGACTTTCCAACTCATAACTGTTTAACAACAGCAACAACAAAAGTCCTCTTCTTTCTTCTTTCGTATTAGGCTGTTAGGATCCCTGCTGATCTGTAGTAAATTTGTACGTATTTTTGCATGTCAACTGATAATAGTGTGCAGCAGTAACTCAGAAATAGTGCTTCAGGTTAAGAACTTTGCTTCACGATGAGAAATTGTGCTCCGGCGGCGCGGCAGCAGCAGGAGGCCCCGTTAGCTCAAGTGGTCTTCAGGTCAAGAACAGTTTCAGGTTAAGTACGGACCTCCGGAACGAATTAAGTACTTACCCCGAGGTACCACTGTACACAAATTCACATACTGTATAGCCAAAATTTACCTGGTTGCTTTCTGGCGGGAAGGGTGGCAGGATGAAGTCCCACACAGAAGCCCTCTCAGTGTCTCCATTACCTCTCCTTCACTCCTCCACACATGGCAGTTGCATACTGCTTTCCCGCCTCTTTGGGGTATTGCAGTGAGAGTCAGGAGCAGCAACCCAGTTCCCTTACTGATGACCATGACAGTGGGGTGATCAGCTTTGGTGGCGGTGGCAGCCTTCTGGGCAATGGTTGCAGTGGAGGAGGAGGAGAGACAAAGGTGGAAGGGAGGAGACAGGGATGCAGACAGAAGTGCCAGCTCCATCCATTCTAGCCTTTTTCTTTAGCCTGCATCTCTCTCTGCTGCCGCCGCCACCCTCCTCCTCCTCCTCCTCCCTTCCACCTTTGTCTCTCCCACACCACAACTTCCCTGCTGGTTGCCGCAGCCAAGGGAGCTGGCACTGGGGCCCCCTGGAGAGAAACAAAATACTGAAAGCTACAAGCTGGAGTTGAGCACATGTAATTGATTCAGCGCAAGTTAAATGCGCATGTGATGCGACAACACTGTATATAGCTCATGGCATGGCATGGATAACGAACTCTGTCCCTTGGGTCACCATTTGGTATCTGACTCCAAACCCATCATTTTGCACTCTGGATTGGTGAATCTTGAAAGAGTTCTAGTAAACAAAAACAAACAAACAAACAAACACACACAAGTTGGCTCTCTCAACCCCGACATCTGCACATGCTTGCTCTGTAAGACAACGGAATTGCACAAGCCACTACTTTTTATCAGGACAGAATATTGCCTGCAACATTGTTATCAAGCATGCGAATGCAAATTCCCTCGGAATGGTTTAATAATTTGAAAGCAAAGGTCCTTTGGAGAACCTACTAGCCAAGGTTTTGTTTATAAATGAAGAAGTTGGGGATCAAACCTAGGCCTTCAGCATGTGACACATGTGCCCTACACCTATGCTTTCACATTTTCACTCATTACAATGAATGCTTCACTGCTTAATAGCAGATGTAGCAAACGACAGCCTCCCTCACAAATTTGGAGGTGAAGAACTGAGCAGCAGTTGGTTAGCAATCCCCAGTTCCACAACACGATTGCTTCATTTAAGACAAAAGTCACAATCCTGGACTTAGCTCAGCATGACAGCATGAAGACCAAGTGTCTAAGGCCTTCCAGAAGTAATTGCAGGGCAAAACATTTTATTATTCTTATTGTTAAATTTGTATACTGCCCATTTGTAGATCTCAGGGAGGTTCACAAAATCAAAATACAATATGAAAACACAAAATACATAATAAAAACAAACAGAAAACACCCACAAAAACAGATTTAAAAGTGTATATATAGGAAGTTAACCAGCCCAAAGCCTGCTTGAAAAGGAATGTTTATCCCTCATGTCAAAGGGAAACACTTTTGCACAAACCATGGTGTTGAGTATCCCCACTATATGTTTGTGTGTGCTTGAATGCATACACATGCATGCACACACACACATTTTATTTTTAGAAAGAACTTGTTTTGGTATAGCTCCAGACCAGCAAGACAGTCAGACAGACATTTATTTAATTTGTACATCACTCTTCATCCGAAGATCACAGGGTGGTTCACAACATAAAAATATGACATGAGAACACAGAATACACAAGACAAAAACAAACCAAAACCCCCTCCCAAAAACACATTTAAAAGGCTATAGAATGTTTAATCAGCCAAAAGCCTGGTTATAGAAAACTGTTTTTGCCTGGTGCCTGTAATGAAGGTGCCAGGCAAACATCCCTGGGAAGAGTGTTGCTTCATGCTAACCACAATTTAGAACAAACTATGGTATAAGTTGATAAACCATTGGTCTAATCATGTTTACTGTGCTTGTCTGCTTTTTCTGCCTTCCCATCTCCACAATGAAGCAGTTTTTCGGAGTAGAAAATTTGCCTCAACTGCAATTTGTCAATTCGACATTATGCCAAACCAACCATGTTTTTCAAACCCACTTCAACACATGGATTTCAATTCCAGTTTGCAACTATAGTTCTTCAATTCAGCTAAAATAAGGTAAGTCAGAGGTACCCATGTTTGACTTTATGTCTGAGCTTCTTCCAAAGTCCACAATTTTTTGACTGGAATTTGTAACCAAGCCAAAAACTGTTGCCAGATTGTTGGCCCTATACCAACAGCAGCTGCAAAGAAGACCTCTGCACCCCCTTTTTCCTGCTTGAAAACATCGAGCCAAGCTTGACCTGGGCTACTGTTCTGCATGTGTCCTGTATCTCTGCACAGCAGCAAAAGCATCCCTCCCTCTCTTGCTCCAGAGTAGAAAATGGAATCAGTGGGGCTCTGGACACTTTGCCATGTAGTTGCCAAACACCCAAACATGGACATAGGAAGGAAGCAGGATGACCAGAAACCTGCCAGACAATCCCCACCCACCTCTCTATCTGCAGCGCTTCAAGTATGTGAAGAAGTCTTGCTCATCATGCTCACCCAACAGCAATTCACTATGGTGAATAAAACTGCCAGGGCCAGTTTCATTGGACGTTCATTACATCTGAATCAACGTTTGACTAGCACTGCAACCCAGATTTGATCCTGGGGTTCATTTATCAAGGTGTGGTTGGAATTTATGACTGAACACAGACAATGTCAAGGTGACACTGAAGTTTTACCAGTACAGTTGAATTTGAACTTTTATGGCCATGCACTCCTGAAAAATCATAGATAATTCACCGATGAGAGCATATGCTTACATACAGTCATACCTCGGGTTAAAGACGCTTCAGGTTAAATCTTTTCAGTTTGCATCCCGCGGTGATCTGGAAGTAACAGAACGGGTTACTTCCAGGTTTCGCCGCTCACGCAGACGCTCAAAATGACGTCATGCGCATGCGCAGAAGCGGCGAATCGTGACCCATGCACGTGTGCAGACATGGGTTGCGTTCCTCTCAGGTTGCAAACGGGGCTCTGGAACGGATCCCGTTCGCAACCAGAGGTACCACTGTATGTATGTATGTACGCATGTATTTATTTATTTATTTTACATATGGCGCATGTAAGACGCTAATTCAGTATGTCACATCGACTTAAAAGGGCATCAGACAGCTGAGCAGTAAAAAAACATCTGCATCAAACATTGTGGATCCAACATCATCGTGGACTCAACAAATGGGTTAAAGCACTTCCTAGGAAGATATCGTTAGTCTGTATCTCTGTCCCCTGCATGTCACATTTCTGAAAAAAATCAACGGGCACACTTCCCTCAGAAGCTAACAGGGGGAAAGGGCCATAGTTCAGTGGTGGAGCAACTGCTTTGCATGTAGAATGTGTCACATTCAATTTCTAGCCTATCCAGGCAGGACTGAGTGAGAGCCCAGACGGAAAAACTCTAGAAAATCACTGCCAATCAGTATACACAATTCTGAACTAGATGGTCTGATTCAGTATGAGGTAGCTTCCTAAATGTCTATAATCGTATAAAAGAAAATCCTAAAGTGGGAAACGATGACTGAAAACAGCAGGGCCATTCAAGTCAAACATTTAACCCACAACTGAACCAAAAGGAAATGTGTCTAGGATCTGCACTGGATTAAAACATGTTCAACTATTCATCCTAATAATTAATATGGGGGGAAACAAGACAACACCCTTGTACTCTCAACCACTGTGAGGTAAACCTATTTTCCCCAGGAACAAGCAACACTGACATTTCCCCAAGTTGAAATTTGATTTTTCAGTTTATGGTATGACTATAGTCATGCCAATAATATGTTCAACACACTTTGAGTTTATATTGTTTGTACTGTTGTCACCCTCTGGTAAGGTCTTCTCTCCTTTTATCAGACGTTGCATTAAAGCTTGGTAAAAATGTATAAACATAGACACAAGTTATAAATTACATTTCTAAAATAACATGAAGCATCTTGGTGTCTCAAACAGAGTATCAGATTGTTCTAAAGTAACTGAAAATACTTTCTTTGGGAAAAACACAGGAAGTTTGTTTTCTTGCTAATGTGCTGAATTTACTGCTTTTGATACTACCAATGATTTCATATTTACATATTAGCAAAAACTTATTTTTACTTTCAGCTGAAATTTCACATTATGGATGTGCACATCTGCAAGGAAATGGATATCTAATAAATGATCTCAAAAATTCTGCATGACCTTTAGAAAATTCTCTCTCCCCATTACCCCTCCCCACAATGAAATGTAGGAAAACTTGAAGTTACCAATCTATAAAAACACCACAGTGAAACATTACACCAAAAACACCTTCCTTTGTTTTACAGAAGTGACCTGGTTCACACATTACACTAAATCATTGGTTCCCAAAGTGGATAGTACCACCCCTTGGGAAGCAGTGGGATTGCCTAGGACGGTGGTTTTCAACCAGTGTGTCGTGGCACCCTGGGGTGCCTTGAATGATGGTCAGGGGTGCCGTGGGCAACACTGGCCTCTGTCCCTCTTTCCTTCCCTCCCTCCTCTGATGCCCTCTTGTGCCTCTGCCTCCCAAAGGCTTGTGCGGCTGTTTCTTGCAGCAGCCCTGGCTGCAAGCTCTCCAGGCGAATGGTGCCTCTGGGGCTGGCCAGGGGGTGCTTTCCAGGCCCCTGTGGGGCAGTGTGAGGAGGCACCTCTCTTTGGGGCAAGGGGGGCAGCTCAGAGACCAAGGGCGGCAGCAGTGGCTGCCTGGAGGACTTCCAAGGAGAGAGAAGAAACTGAGGGAACACTCCACAAGGGAGGGTGTTTGAAAAGCGGTGAAGGGCTGCCGGCTCTGCAAGCAAAGGGTGACATAATCTGGCTCCTGAGCCCACGGGGTGCCGCAGAAAGAATGTAGTTGGTCAAGGGAGCCGTGGACCCAAAAATGTGGACCCCCCCCTCTGACCCTGGGGGTGCTAAGAGGCAAGGGGGCAGCAGGGAGGTGATGGACACATAAATGACTTTAAGACTTTGAAAATCTGGCATCCCTGGATCAAGTTCACCAATTTTGATGAATTAAACTAAATAGTTTTAATTGGATTTTTAATAAATGTCTGATTGCTACTGTTTTGAATTCTTTTTGTGTCGTTCTCTTCCTTAGTGGGTAGTGCAAACCACTATTCTGTATAATGCTTTTTATAGGGTTGAGTAGGGGGTGCTGCCTTGGAATTTGCTCTTGGGGTTCCCCTAACTCTCTGAAATAGAATTGTGGGTGGTGTGAAAGGGGAGGGGAGGATACGTCATCCTCAAAGTCATTCCACATGTGCAATGATTTAGCTGAATATAACGCAAAGGTTTAATATGAACAAGCACTGCGCTGATTAAATTGTGTCATTCTTTCTCCCATTTCCTTTTATGCTGTTGGGAACAAACCATAGTCTGGTTTGTTGAGTTATCTGAACCCAAACTTGCAGTTTCTTGCCCCCAAACAAATCATAAGTGGCAAGTCAAGAACAAACCTTGGCTTCTGCCTTATGATTATTTGGAAATACACAAATCACAAGTCCAGGTCCAGATGACACAATAAGCCATACCAGGTACAAGAGTGGGGGAGGAGTGAAGCAGCAACTTTGACACTGCTTGTCCATGATCAGAAAACAAATAACAAACTGTGGTTCAGGCTTCAGACTGCGGTTTCTTTGGAGTGAAACCACTAGTGAGGAAAGCAGAAGGAGGGGAAATGTTTCAGAAACCATACTCAAACTCAAGCTTTGGTTTTATCACATTTCAAATGACAAAGTAAGAAAAATCCCTGGACATTTTATATAAAATGATACATATATCTTCAAGATGGCCCATTATTGGTTCATTCAAGCAACACCACTTAATGAACCTGAGTCCATATGTTCTGTACCCAGATAGAATGAAAAATTCTACATTGCCTTTTTATTGCTGAAATGCTTCTCTTTTGTATAGCCTCTGTATTGCCTCTGTATTGCCTAGATCCATATTATAACCAAGTTTTCATACATGTTATTAGTTGCATAAATGCACTAAAACATCTAAATTACTTACTATTTCAACATGTGCAAAAGCTCACAATGGTCTACAGCACTTGTTCACTCAGATAACTAAAGCTAAAAAACCCCAGCTATTCATATAGACTGCTTTACAAATACTTCAGATTTGACTCAAACATGTTATCCCACCACTCTGCAGTACTTGTTCATACTCAGAGACCTTATTACTTAAAGGTATTGAATTATCACCAACATTAGACATAACCATTTTCAAAGGCACCAACAGTAATTGTTGCAAAGGAACTGAATTTAAAACACCAATGGCATATCTAACTCCTTGACTGCGTACATTCCTGCCTGTGGTCAAAATCACTAAAAATATTCAATGTTTCACCATACTGGAAGATGAATAATCTTCCCAACACTTCACACAATACAACATTTACCAAGATGGCAAAGTGGAGGGAGGTCACCCACCTGACTGGCCTACTTGTCTAAGTGCCCACAGCAATGCATCTCCTTGACTTCGTTTCATTTTTTCAGAATCCTAAGTAACCAAGAGGAGAGGAGAGAAAGACTATATACTCTTTTCTTGTACTGTCTTCACAATCCTTCCCGAGTAGATCAATGAGAGGAGACTGAGAATCAGGAGTCCTCCTGCCCCAATTCCCATGGTGACTTGCAGTTCTAAACCAGAGCAAAACCAAAGTTGCTACATTACATGTCTGTACTGAATAGAAATAGTGATTTCACTACTTCCTGGGAAAACACGCAATCCATACTTCTGCGAATTCATGACACTGGCTTAATAGGACCATGCCACAGAAGATGTTCTTGTAAATGCTAACAGAATTAATGAGGTTTTAAAACAGCTGTTCTTGTTTTGTTTCATACATATTAACTTGCCATTATATAATTATATTAACTTATATTTATAATATTGCATTGCTATTATATTAAATTACATTTCAAAGCCATTATTTGTACCTGAATATAGCTATAGCAGCACCTATTGTTTCAAACTGGTATTATCAACCCATTACGAACAATAGGCCACAAAACTTGAATACCTCTTAAAGATACAGCAGGGACATAAAGTCACTACTAAACAGTTATGTTCTGGCTAGGATAAATTCTATGCTCATAATAATAAATTAGCCAATAGATCACGGAATACTTTTTTAAAGTATGTGTTTTAAATAGTAACAAACTTGTTTGCTCCCCCTTCATGTACTTGCTTAGTTAAAACATTTCGTGTGCATTAAGGACCTTAATACGTGCAATAAAAATCCAAAGAACGTACGTTCTAGTCTTTAAAAAGTATTGAAAATATTAAAGTTTAAGAAAACTAATTGTGCAAGTTTTGTTGTAAGTAGTTTGTACAGTAAAATGACTGACTGATAAATCAAGGGCAGCCAATTTAGCATACTAATGCCCTCACTTCTGAAGAAATGTTTGCCAGGAATACAGCTTACTTCAGCTAGCTGACATAAGTTTAAATACATAGTAGCCCATCAACACCAACACTAGAACACATATCAATACATCTTTTTGCCATGTGTTCAACACATTACAGACATACCCTACAATTAATGGGAGGCACTTTTAAAAGGGTTTCAGTGTGTCCACAAAAGAACTCACAACCATACAACCATCCTTAAAAAAAAAAAAAATCTGTAGTATCTGGGTATTCTAAGACACAATCAAATGCAAACGAAAGTTGTAGAAATTCTGATATTTGAACTTAGAACATCAAATATCACATTATAATTTCTAATCTGTTTCTAATATTCTAATACACACTTCTGGAAAAGTAAACGGGAAGATTTCTGAAACGCTACTATGTAATCCATAATAGACTGAACTAAAGGTAAACAAATACATAGGGCACTCAGCTCTAATTCAGTTAGAACACACAATATATAGCATTTTCTGGTTGTGTGTTGTATAAATATAGCTGGTTTCTTCAATATATTCACAGAGGATTTGTAAAATACATTTATACCTCGCTCACACACTAGGAGGACACCCAACAATGAAATGAATGAACAAAACCACAGATTTATAAACGGACCAAGTGAGAGCCATGAGAAGTACTAAACGTGGGTGCAGGCTGCCAAGATTGCACAGCTTATGTACGTTCTCTGCTAAACTTTTTTTCAGTACTTAAAAATTACTTTAAAAGTACTTAAAATTCCTGGTGAAGTCAAGTTACTTGACATTTTGTCTCACGAAAAGAAGTGGTGGGCCATATCATGTGAATCTTATTGTATTACATTCTAAAGGGCTTGGCAACTGTTGGTCATTAATCTTTAACACAAAGGAAATTCAAATACAGTGACAAATATTTTTTTTTTTGGGGGGGGGAGTAATTTAGTCCCAGTCCCAATAGTTTAAACTACAAGGATAGGGTCCCCCTGGAGCCTGGTCAACAGCCTAGCAAGTCCCCTGTTCAAAGTCTTGCGTCAAAGTGGTGAAAGAATATAAAATACAGAAATTAAAAACCGTTTAGCCATGGGAGTGGGGGAGGGGAGATACCCACTTCACTACTGACAATATGTGAAGAAACCCCTTTTAAAGCAGAAACAGAAAACCCACTCAAACACATATTCGTCATTGCTAGTGCTGTGTATGTGATTTTCTCCTATTTATCGATTACACAAAGAAAAACCCAGCAGGGGCTGCTGCAATGCAACATACGCCGATTTCAGATTGGAGCGGGGAGGGGGGGGAAGATTCTTTTTCACTTCTACGCCTTGAATTCTGTAGCTGGGGCGAACGGATAGGTGATTCTATGCCTTGCTTTTAACCGCGAATAAAGGGCACCGAAAATAGCCCGTCCTCTTTCCCTCCAGCTCCAGTTGCCCCTCCCAAAGAAAATAAAGGTGGTTTTTCAACCCTCCAAACGAACCAGTGTCACCTTTCCCCCTTCCTTTCTGTGCAACCCCCCCCCCCACACCCCAAAAGCTCTTCCACAACCCTTGCTTGCAACAAAAGCTCTGCACGCCAGATGAGCCATTATTATCCCTATGGTCACACCATCAGCACAATCCCTTTTCTTTTTCTCCTGCCGGCAAACACGCACACGCAAACTTCCCCCCATTCTAGAGAAAAGAACAATGCGGGGGGGGGAGAGAGATAGGGAGAAGGACATGCAACTACAACACCGCGGGAAATCAATGCAAAATTTGGAAGGGGGGGAGAGGGGAAAAACATGGGGGTGAGAAAAGAAACCTCCCCCCCCCCAACCCTGCTTTTTCGCCGCAGCTCCTTCCCTCCAAACCGGCCGACACTTCCCATATCCCGCCCGAGGCTTCCCTATTAAGACGACCCCCCCCCAGTCATGCCCACCCCGTCGGGGTTTCCCCCTCGAGCCCTCAGTCGCTCCACTCGGGAGGGGGCCCTTCCTCAACCCACCCGCGCAAGGCTTCCCCGTTCTCGGCTGCAACCTCTTCCCCCTCCTCCACCACCCCAAACCGTCGCAACAACAACAAGAAAAGCCCTCCATGGACACGAACCCACAAGGCCCCCCTCTCGGCATAATGGTTCCCCTCCTTGCAGAGGAGGAAAGAGCAAAAAGGCTCCCCCCAAACACACACACACCAATGCATGCATGCATGCACACGCACACACTTCACCTCATGTTGCTGCCCAGGGGCCGGGGGGGGCGTCTTCCCCCCCGCTCCTCGCTCTTCTCTCCTCAGGAGCCGGCTGGGTCGTTCTCAATAGGCGACGAGTGCGGAGGGAGGGAGGGGAGGAGGAAGAGGAGCAGCAGCAGCAGCGGGGAGGGGGGTCCCCCCGCAGGCGCCAGCCAGTCCCTGCCTTGGCAACCCTGAGACTGGCTCGCCTTGCCTTGCCTGCGCCCTCCGGCTCGGCTGCTTTGGCCCAACCCGACCACAGCGGGGAGTCCAAGGAGGGAGGGAAGAAAGGGAGGGGGGAGGGAGGAATGGCGCACGCGGGGGGGGAGGAGGAGCGGGAGGAGGGGAGAACAAGAGAAGGTGGGAGCGTCGGGAACGCGGGGGGCAGCGCGCGAGCGGCTCGCTCGAGACGCCGGCTTGCATAGGGGGGGCGGGGACGCAGGGGGGACGCCAAGGGGGCGGAGCAGAGCAAGCCCCGCCTCCTTGGCTGCTCTGCATTCCCTGTGCATTCCATGCGGGTTCTGGCGCGGGGGGGGGGAGCTTGGTGGAAGCGCCGTAGAGAGATGTGGGAGCAACCAACTGCGGAGGAGGAGGAGGAGGAAGCCACTGCGGTGAGCTCATACGCTTTGGCGACCCCTGCTGACCGCCCGGGTGGTTCCCTTGCGCACCTTGGGCGCGTGTGCCGGTGTGGCGCGCAGCTGAACCCCCACCCCCCCGCCATCGCAGACGACGGTGGTGGTGGTGCACTTCCCGAGCCCACGACCGAAAAGGCTGGAATCTGCAGTCTCCAGAAGACTGCCCTCTCTGGAACGAGCCGTTTGCAGATCGTCACAAGGGACTATGGGCACGGAATGGCTAATTTTCCTCTGCTGGTTTCTCCTCCAGGCCTCCCGTGCTTAAAGCATACGGTATTTCGATGTTCTGCTCCGCACAGCATCCTGCATTTGTTAGCGGCTGCGTGCCGTGTAGGTTACTAAGGACACGTGCGTTGCATATATTACTGTTCAAGCCGCTGGTTACTGTTCAGTCCTTTCTACCGCGAGACCTGCCTTGAATTCTTTATTGCTCAACGCCCCGGTTGCTTCTCTGCTTTGCCTGGTTCTCATGCGCCTTGTTATTCAATCCACATTTACCTAAAGTTTCTGGACTTTAGTCTCGGCGTGGTCCTCCTGTATTCAGCGTGCAGATTGCCACCAGTGCGCACCACTTTCCAGTTAACGCGTCCCAATTGTGAATATGACTCCTGTTTCAATTCCAATCTTGGTTTCTCTTCCATGGTTCAGGAAGAAGAGCATATTAAATCCGTGGAAGAAATCCCACTGCTGTACCCAAGTTTAGCTGCACCTATGCTATGCATAACACCAGTACTCAGCATATTCGCCTGGAAATGAATCTCATTTGTTTCCATTGTTCTATCCTGGAAGTGCACTTAAGGTCACATTTTGAAATGCACACTTGAGAGTAGGTCCCATTGAACTCAGAAGGGCCTTATTTCCAAGTAAGTATAATTGGATTGGGCTGTATGTCTGGTTGTATCCAAATATTCTGGCTTCCTGCTCAGTCCCATGCGTGCCTCTTCAGAAATAACTCAAACGAAATTCAGTAGGACTTACAATCAAATATTTCCAGGGATGTAGCTGTGTCCATCTGTTGCAGCAAAAAGCAACAAATAGTCTCGTGGCGCCATAAAGACTAAGAGACTTTATCATGACATAAGCTTTCGTTGACTTGAGCTCACTTCATCAGATGCATAAATCATTAGTCATCAGATAAATATGCACACATATGGATTTGAAGGGGTGGGTGTAAGGTTGGAATTAAATGACCATGCAAAGGGTATACAGGCTGTGACAACCTGATGAAGTGGGATTCTAGTCCATTACGGCTTAAGGCATGATCAAAATACTTTGTTCATTTTCCCAAGTAAGTGTGTGTATAAGGTTAGGTATGAGGTTGTCTTGTTTGAGGATTGGCATAAGTTCTAAATGCAACAGACTATTGTGGTTAGGTCAAAGGCTTGACGAAAGTCTAATTTTAGGCCATGAATAAATGATATGTACTGCCTTTCTGTTCCTTCAGCTTCTCAAATTAATCATCGAAGCTGAACCCCATCACAATGACATTTGCCTTGTTTTCTGCATTGTTAGCTTATATTGCTTTTGTTTTTTTAAAAAATAATGACATGTTTATTCTCCATGGATAAGAATTTGCTGGCTACTTCCTTGTTATTTCTAGCTGAGTTATTTCTCCAATTTATATATGATTAGTCTTCTGTAGAAATGCTGAAATAAAAAGAAAATAACGCTTCGTAAGAACAAGGTTGAAGAAGTGCTAATGTTGCATTTAAGAGTAACCGCTCCAAGGTTTATCCTGGAAAGGAAAAATACTCCCCCCATCTTTGCGCACTGTTTATTGATTATTCATCCTGACTTGTTTTGAGGGAGATAAGACAACATTGGCTCTTCAATTCGCATTCAGTCTTATTTGTTTGCAGGGAGATTAGACGATGTTGCATCAAAGCAAGGGTCATCCCACAACTTCCCAGTGCATTTTCCTGACTCTTTCCTTATCAAGAAGAATCCAATCTTTTGGGGGAAGTGGGTTTGTTGCACAAAATGTCCCAATCAACTATAATTGCACAACCAGAATTTGCCAGTGTGTGATTGAATTGATCTTGAAAATAGAGACAACCTGGAAGCACCCACTATGTGTAAACATACCCGTGTGATGGGAACGGGGAACCCTTTTCAGCCTGAGGGCCACATTGTCTTCTGAGCAATGTTCCAGGGGCCACATGTCGGTGATTGCGGGTGGCAAAGGCTAAAGTGGGCAGAGCAAAATACACACACTCACACATCCCTCTCTACCCTCCATCAAATAGATTGTTTCTGTGCATTTCTCACCTAGGTATCTGCAGTGATGCATTTATTTATTTATTTATTTACTTATTCATTAACTTCCTTTGAGTGTATTTATGCCCAAGGCAGCTTATACTATAAAACAGAGCAAACAATGTCAGTGCTGGTTCCGTAACATTTCAGTTAAAACAATACAGTCAAGAGACTTCCGGGGTGGCGCCATCGGTAATGGCGGACTCCCACTGATCCGGAGGGACTGGCTCTACGGGAATCGGGTCTGTTCCGCTACGGCGAAGCTGGGACCCTTGAAAAAATCACAGGCGGGTGAAGCCTGTGACCGTGGGACTCGGCGGGCACCTTTTGCGCCCCCCCCCCATCTGCAAAGGAGCCCAATTACGGGCTCCGGAGTGAAGCCGGGAAGCGGCGCGGTGCTGAGAGTCAACTGCTTCTTCCGTGGAGCGAAGCCGCACAGCCGCTACCGGAGAGCGCTACCTTTTTCCTGTGACAATCTGGCTACAAAACAACTACCCGTGAGTAAGTTAATTTTGGAAATAAAGGAGAACAAAGACGTAATTTGATACCGAAGCGGGGAGGCATAAACAGGAAGTCTGCCTTCCGTTCTTTGTAAATAGAGTAAAGCAATGAACTTGTAAGCTAAAACCTTGAAAGACGCTTGAAAAAGACTATAATTCTAACATCAAAACAAGCGATCTCCCCCCTTGGCTGCAGGAGAGGAGGGGGGAAAGGTGTGAACTGTATTTCCCTGCAAAAAGAGAGAAAAGGAAGCTAAAATCCACCGCTTAAAACCTGGGAACGGGCTGTCAATGGACAATAAGAATGCCGTACTGTGAAATGCGCTGTTGGTGAATAGAGTACTTTTTGACAGCTAACTCTGCTAGTGAGATACAGTGTTTCTGGCTGGCTTCTCCTGGTTTTAAAGTAACTGGAAAATAACTGAAATTGAAACTGTTGTCTATTTTGTGAATTGGGGGATTAAAAAAAAGGTCATTTATTTTAAGGCAACAACTTCTGACTGCTACTGTGTCCCCCTAGAGGAAGTTTGAAATTGTTACAATAACAACTGGGCCAGGGGAATTTTCCACTTCAAAACAAGCCTGGAATTTTCCACTTCAAAACAAATCCTGGCCGTGGGGCTGACCTTGGGCTTTAACTAGAGTGTTATGGCAGATGGAAAAGAGAAGATAGATTTGCCTCAGGAAAAAACAACGAGGTCTGGTAGATCTTTTCGCCCAGACGCTGGGCTGCAGCGAAGAGCATCAACATCTGGCCCTTCTGGCCCCTCTGCATCATCAGGGGCTGCATTTGTACAACCTAAACCTAAAGGAATGGCATCCGAAGATGTTTTAGCTCAGGCATTAGGCAAAATTAATGAATCTCTGGAAAAACTAAGTAAACAAGTAGCTGAAGCATCAATTAAAATTGATCAAAATACTACAAGTATTAACAATTTGGGACAGAAGGTAAATACTAATACAGAAACTATTGAGAAACTGCTACAGGAATCTACTTTGACCTGAAAGACAGCTGAAGAAGCAAAGGAAATAGCAGTTGCTGTAGAAGAGAAGATACCACCGATACATAGGCAACTTGAAGACCACAGGTCGATATTGTCTATGATTGAATTGAAGGAGAAACAAATGAATTTGAGGATCAGGGCCGTACCTGAACTTGAGAAAGACAATCTGAGTGACTTTCTTATGCAGGAATTTGCAGACTTTTGGAACCCAGATTTGGAGAAGGAAGATTTTAAGATAGTGAGTGCTTTCAGGCTTGGAAGAGGAGGGAAGAAGAACAGGGTGAGAGACTGTTTGATCACCCTCCGAACAAAAGAGGAGAGAGACAAAATCTTGAGTCTGCACTTCCAGAAGACTTTGGAAATACATCAGTCAAAAGTGGAGATATTTAAAGATATTCCGAAATATCTTCTGGACCTTAGGTCCAATTATGGAGATTTGGTTGCCCTGTTGAGAAGCAACAGAATCATCTTTAGGTGGGAATTTCCCCAAGGCCTATCTTTTAGCTTCAAAGGAAGAAAGATAAAAATAAGATCAGTGGACGACAAAGAAAGATTTTTGAAAGACCACGGAGAAGACCTACAGAAAGAATTTGGAGAAGAGTTAAGAGCACTAGAAAGAGGAATATTAGACATAGCAAAACTACCTTTTGGATTAAAAGACTGCCCAGAGAAGGTGATACCACCGACAGAGCAGGAACAGGCACTTGGTGCAGTTGGAGGAAAAGTAAAGTAACTACATCATGGCTCTGCAACTATTAAGCTGGAATTGTAATGGTCTCAACTCCCCCCAGAAAAGGAAAAGAGTGTTTCATTTATTAAAAAAGGAACAATTGGACTTGATTTGTCTACAGGAAACACATGTGATAAGGCTACATAGAAAAGTATTGATCAATAAAAGACTGGGCCAGGAGTTTATTTCATCGGATAAAGTTAAAAAAAGAGGAGTAGTGATTTATGCAAAGGAGAGACTATCACCGAAATTTATCTTTAAAGATGACCAAGGAAGATTTGTGGCAATTGAAATTCAAATACAAGGAGAGAAATTCTTAATAGTAGGAGTTTACGCACCAAATGAGGGGAAATCTGAATTCTTTAAAAAGTTGCATGAGACCTTGATGGACTATTTGGACTATAATGTGATTTTGATGGGAGATATGAACGGAGTGGTATCTACACATATGGACAAGGCACAAAGACAGGTAGTCACTAAGGATGGCAGACTACCGAAAACCGTTTTTGAGATGACAGATAACTTGGACTTAGTTGATATCTGGAGAACAAAGAATCCCTTGGCTAGAGAGGGAACCTTCTTCTCTGAAGCCAAAATGACATGGACAAGAATTGACCAAATATGGGTAACTAGAGGAATGGCACCAAAGACAAGAAAAGTGGAAATTTGCCCAAAAACCTGCTCCGACCATAATGCTGTGAAGATGGAGATGAAACTAACACCAATTGGCTCCTTCAGATGGAGGATGAATGACACCTTATTTAGAGATGAAGAAGTGACTAAGAAGGCCCAAAAAACCTTGAGAGACTATTTCGAGACAAATATGAACACTAATGTTGAAAAAAGTAATCTGGGACGCAAGCAAAGCTGTTATGAGAGGGTTCTTGATACAACAGAATGCAATAAAGAAGAGAATTCAAAATGAGAAGAAGGATAAAATATTGGAGAAAATAAAGGAAAGTGAAAAGAAATTGAGAGCAAAACCAAAGTCGCAAGAGATCTTGAGAGAAATAAAGTTATATCAAGTACAATACATGAAAATGATGAATCAGGAGATAGAATGGAAAATTAAACAAATGAGACAAAAGACATTTGAGTCGGCTAATAAATGTGGGAAATTGTTGGCTTGGCAAATGAAAAAAAGACAAAAACTAAATACTATTATAAATTTAGAAGTGGAAGGAAAGAACATACAGAACCCAGTTGAGATTAGAAACTGTTTCCAGAGGTATTTTAAACAACTATATGCACAAGGGCCACAGAAAGAAATTGATGTAGACCGATTTTTGAAAATAAATGGATTACAAAAAATCTCTCAAGAAAATAAATTAATGCTGAACTATAAAATAACTGAACAGGAGGTAGAAGGTGCCATTCAGAATATGCAATTAGGTAAATCTCCAGGACCGGATGGACTGACTTCTAGATACTACAGATCTCTAAGAGAATGGTTAGTACAACCTTTAAAGGAAGTCTGCAATGAAATAATGGATGGGAAAAGGGCACCTGAGTCGTGGAAAGAAGCGTATATTACACTTATACCGAAAACAGAGACTGAAAAGACGCAGCTTAAGAACTACCGCCCCATATCACTGCTTAATGTGGATTATAAAATCTTTGCAGACATTTTGGCTAAAAGACTAAAAAAAGTGTTAGTGGAAGAGATTCATAAAGATCAAGCAGGCTTTCTCCCGGGTAGACACTTGTCTGATAATATGAGAAACATAATCAATATTTTAGAAAAATTACAAGTGAATATTAATACCAAGGCAGTTTTGATATTTGTGGACGCGGAGAAAGCTTTTGACAACATTTCTTGGAGTTTTATGAAGAAGAATCTACAGGGGATGGGGGTAGGTCAAGGTTTTGGAAACGGTATAAGTGCAATTTATTCAGAACAAAAGGCTAAATTAATTGTTAATAACGTGGTGACGGAGGAATTTAAGATAGAAAAAGGGACACGACAAGGTTGCCCAATCTCCCCACTGCTTTTATATCGGTCCTGGAGGTCCTGTTGAATATGATTAGAAGGGACCAATTGGTTAAAGGTATACAAGTCGGAGCTAAACAGTACAAATTGAGAGCATTTGCAGATGACTTAGTATTGACATTACAGGAGCCAGAATCTAGTACCAAAAGAGTTTTGGAACTGATTCAAGAATTTGGTCAGGTTGCAGGATTTAAACTAAATAAGTTAAAAACAAAGGTCTTAGAGAAAAATTTAACAGAGATTGAGAGAGAGAGGTTTCAGAATGAGACAGGTTTAACAGTGGTTAAGAAAGTGAAATACCTGGGGATTAACATGACAGCTAAAAATGGGAATTTATTTAAAGACAATTATGAAAAATGCTGGACTGAAGTGAAAAAAGATTTAGAAATCTGGTCATAGAATCATAGAGTTGGAAGAGACCACAAGGGCCATCGAGTCCAACCCCCTGCCAAGCAGGAAACACCATCAGAGCACTCCTGACATATGGTTGTCAAGCCTCTGCTTAAAGACCTCCAAAGAAGGAGACTCCACCACACTCCTTGGCAGCAAATTCCACTGTCGAACAGCTCTTACTGTCAGGAAGTTCTTCCTAATGTTTAGGTGGAATCTTCTTTCTTGTAGTTTGGATCCATTGCTCCGTGTCCGCTTCTCTGGAGCAGCAGAAAACAACCTTTCTCCCTCCTCTATGTGACATCCTTTTATATATTTGAACATGGCTATCATATCACCCCTTAACCTCCTCTTCTCCAGGCTAAACATGCCCAGCTCCCTTAGCCGTTCCTCATAAGGCATCGTTTCCAGGCCTTTGACCATTTTGGTTGCCCTCCTCTGGACACGTTCCAGTTTGTCAGTGTCCTTCTTGAACTGTGGTGCCCAGAACTGGACACAGTACTTCAGGTGAGGTCTGACCAGAGCAGAATACAGTGGCACTATTACTTCCCTTGATCTAGATGCTATACTCCTATTGATGCAGCCCAGAATTGCAATGGCTTTTTTAGCTGCCGCGTCACACTGTTGGCTCATGTCAAGTTTGTGGTCAACCAAGACTCCTAGATCCTTTTCACATGTACTGCTCTCAAACCAGGTGTCCCCCATCTTGTATTTGTGCCTCTCATTTTTTTTGCCCAAGTGCAATACTTTACATTTCTCCCTGTTAAAATTCATCTTGTTTGTTTTTGCCCAGTTCTCTAATCTGTCAAGGTCATTTTGAAGTGTGATCCTGTCCTCTGGGGTGTTAGCCACCCCGCCCAGTTTGGTGTCATCTGCAAATTTGATCAGGATGCCCTTGAGTCCATCATCCAAGTTGTTGATAAAGATGTTGAATAAGACCGGGCCCAAGACAGAACCCTGTGGCACCCCACTAGTCACTCTTCTCCAGGATGAAGAGGAACCATTGATGAGCACCCTTTGGGTTCGGTCAGTCAGCCAGTTACAAATCCACTGAGTGGTAGCATAGTCAAGACCGCATTTTACCAGCTTCTTTACAAGAATATCATGGGGCACCTTGTCAAATGCCTTGCTGAAATCAAGGTAGGCTACATCCACTGCGTTCCCTTCATCTACCAGGCTTGTAATTCTGTCAAAAAACGAGATCTGGTTAGTCTGACATGACTTATTTTTCAGAAATCCATGCTGACTATTGGTGATCACAGCATTCCTTTCTAGGTGCTCACAGACTGTTTGCTTAATGATCTGCTCCAGAATCTTCCCTGGTATTGATGTCAGACTGACTGGGCGGTAATTATTTGGGTCCTCTCTTTTCCCCTTTTTGAAAATAGGGACAACATTTGCCCTCCTCCAGTCTGCCAAATTAGCTTTCACTGCTAGACCGTATTGCTGCGATAAAAATGAATGTATTTCAAACATTGCAAATTTTGGATAAAATGGATTGCTTCAAGAAGTGGCAGAGAGATATTTCTAGATTTGTCTGGCAGGGCAAGAAGCCTAGAATAAAATTTAAAATACTAACGGATGCAAAGGAAAGAGGTGGATTTGCCCTGCCAGACCTTAGACTTTATTATGAATCAGCAGCTTTTTGCTGGCTGAAAGAATGGCTGCTTCTTGAAAACACAGACATTTTGGATTTAGAAGGTTTTAATAATGTATTTGGATGGCATGCATATTTATGGTATGATAAGGTCAAAGCACATAAAGCATTTAAAAATCATATTGTCAGGAAAGCATTGTTTAATGTCTGGATAAGATATAAGGACTTACTCGAAAATAAAACCCCAAGGTGGTTGTCACCGATGGAAGCGAAGGCTCAGCAAAAGCTCAATATGGAGGCCAAATGGCCGAAATATTGGGAAATTTTGGAACAAGAGGGAGACAGATTGAAATTGCAGAGTTTTGAAAAACTAAAAAATAAGTGCGAGATTGGCTTCATTATTATCAGATAATGGAGGCATACAATTTGGACAAGAAAATTGGCTTCCAGGTGGAAAAATCAAAATTGGAAACAGAACTGTTAGAACCCAAAACCAAGATTTTGTCAAAGATGTATAACTTTCTGGTGAAATGGAATACTCAGGATGAAACGGTGAAATCTGCTATGATTAAATGGGCACAAGATGTTGGACATAACATAATGATGGCTGACTGAGAACAGTTATGGACCACAGGTATGAAGTTTACGGCCATGTAATGCCTTAAGAGAGAATATTATGAAAATGATATACAGGTGGTACATGACCCCAGTCAAGCTTGCAAAAATCTATCATTTGCCCGATAATAAATGTTGGAAATGTAAAGAAACTGAAGGTACATTCTTTCACCTTTGGTGGACATGCCCAAGGATTAAGGCTTTCTGGGAGATGATGTATAACGAAATGAAAAAGGTATTTAAATATACCTTTCTGAAGAAACCAGAGGCCTTTCTCCTGGGCATGGTCGACCAATTGGTGCCAAAGAAGGACAGAACTTTCTTTATGTATGCCACAACAGCAGCAAGAATACTTATTGCAAAGTATTGGAAGACACAAGATCTACCCACTCTGGAAGAATGGCAGATGAAGGTGATGGACTACATGGAACTGGCGGAAATGACTGGCAGAATCCGAGACCAGGGAGAAGAGTCGGTGGAAGAAGATTGGAAGAAATTTAAAGACTATTTACAGAAATACTGCAAAATTAATGATTGTTAGAATGATGTCAGAATGAAGTTAAGTGGCTTTAGCAGCAATGTTATAAAGGAGTATGTAAAAATGGATTGTTAACAGGTGAGAATCTAAAGTTATAATATATTAAGTTAAAGGATTAAGATAAAAACAAAGAGGGAAAGGATTTGCTGAATTGACTAACTGAACTGGAATACAAAAAAGGGAGGTGTGAGGAGGTCAGGGAAACAAGTAAATGAAAGACAAGACATGGAAAGATTGATTTGTTTTTAAGTGTTCTTATTTTTCTGTATTTTGTATTTTTTCTTTTCTTTTTTTTTCCTTTTTCTTGTTTTTGTAACCTTTTCTGAAACTTTAATAAATATCATTAAAAAAAATAAAAAAATAAAACAATACAGTCAAACCTTGGTTGTTGAACGTAATCCATTCCAGAAGACCATTCGACTTCCGAAATGTTCGACAACTGGAGCAGTTACTTCCAGGTTTTCGGCATTTGGGAACCGAAACATTTGAAAACGGAGCTGTTTGACAACCGAGGTTTGACTTTAATATAAAACAACTAAGTTCAAACGTGTGGCAGATAAAATACCAATAATATGGGAGACAGATCCAGACTTGCTTCCTGAAATAGATGCATCTTTAAAAGGCAGTGAAAAACTTGGCAAAGGTGCCAAATTAATCTCCCAGGATGGAGAGTTCCACTGCACAGTCACAAAGGAGGGAGAGTGATATGGCACTAATGTCCTGCTTGTTTGGTCACTGCAACAACAGAATGCTGAACTATTTAAGCCTTCAATCTGATCCAACAGGGCTCTTGTGTTGTCTCCCGTGTTTCCACCACCCAACATGCAGGAGAACCTCCTCAGACAATGTTTGGCTCATACAGGAAGAGAAAGCCCTTCAGGTATCCTGTACCTGAGGCAGCAACCTTATTCAGGGAATGCCCTTCTCACTGACACAGAGCACCTCTGGTTTGTCCAGATTAGTAACTGTCAGTTTATTGAACTGAATCCAGTCCTAGATGCTGCTCTAGGGTTTCCAGGTAAGAGTGTGAATAAATATTGTCTCTTGTTGCTAGATAATAAAGTCGTTACAGCAAGCAATTTCTCTCTTTCCTTTCTCTTCCACACAACAACTGATTGTATTATAGTTGATTCGTGTGACACTTGATGCATGACCAGATGTTGATGAAATCAATCCTTATCCAACTTCACGGCAAAGCAGTTGTTTGTATCATCAAGAATGCAGGCTGCTCCTCAGCATGCAGTGAAAATTGTGCTTTATTATTATTATTGCTCGCTTTATCATACCACTGCTATCTAAGCTGCACAAATGAAAGTATTAAAGGATTCACTTCCCCATATCAGGAGCTTAAATAAGAATTAACTAAACAATTGAACAGTTATGAGCCAAAGGGAGACACCCTCCACAGGTGATGGAAATGCCCCAAAGTAAATAAATCCTTCTAAATTATCAAAAGCAGTACTATAAATAACACAGTTTGTTATGGTTACAGGTAGGTAGCTGTGTTGGTCTGCCATAGTCAAAACAAAATTTAAAAAATCCTTCCAGTAGCACCTTAGAGACCAACTAAATTTGTTATTGGTATGAGCTTTCATGTGCATGCACACTTCTTCGAAAGCTCATACCAATAACAAACTTAGTTGGTCTCTAAGGTGCTACTGGAAGGACTTTTTTAATTTTGTTTCGACAGTTTGTTCTAATTATCCTTTGGATCCCATACTTTTAAAATTAAATTAAGTTTAATAGAGTTGATGTTAAACATTTTTGTTCTGGACAGTAAAAAAGAATGGTTAATGAACTTACAGGGCATTGCAATTACAGATAGCTAATAACAGTTATATCAGGGCCCTTCCAGACCGATATTTTATTATGGATGTATTCTTCAGCATATTCTTGACACAATGATAGTGCACTAATGATGGGTTTCCCATTGGGCCATGGTTATTGAATGGCCAAAATCCTGGGACCACCTCACCATTGCCACTGTTACCTCCTCCTCCTTGGCTGTCCAGTCAAGGAGGAGTCGGTAAGTTTTGGAAAGAGTTTTTCTTTTAGAATTTACAAGATCAGATTCGAATCGGGAAATTTCTACTGAGAACCCCTTTTGTTTGTCAGATTTAAATTTTTCAAATAACTGATGGTATTGGAACCAGTCTGAAATGTGTTCTCTTATTTCCTCAAATTTTTAAAATTTTATTTGGTTATCTTCATTTTTTAGAAGTATTTTATATGTTGGCCAGCTTTCCTGAGTATTTTTCCGTTTTACTGCTATGGCTTCTACTGGAGAAGTCCACCACGGGACTTTAGGCTCCATCAGGTCTTTATATTTTTCCCATACAGCAAAGAGTGACTTTCTTATTATATGGTTGGTAAATTTTTTATGAATTTTCGCTTTTCCATATATTAGGTAGGCGTGCCATCCCCAACGGTTGTCAAAACCTTCCAGGTCCAGGAGGTCCGGATCCTGCAACGTGCACCAATCTTTTAGCCAGGTAAAACAGGCTGCCTTGTAGTAAAGCTTTAGGTCGGGTAGGGAAAAGCCTCCTCTCTCTTTTATGTCTATTAAGATAATGTGTTTAATCCTAGGTTTCTTCCCTTCCCACAGGAATTTGGAAATTTCTCTTTGCCATATCTTGAGACAACCTGCTTCACCCAGTATTGGAATCATTTGAAATAAAAAGATTAATTTTGGAAGCACATTCATCTTTATAATGGAAATCCTACCCAGAAATGTTAATTTTAGTTTACTCCAGGTTACCAAGTTTTTCTAATCTCTAACCAAGTTTTGGTGTAATTATCCTGAAATAAGTTTATGTTCTTGGGGGTGATCCAAATACCCAAGTATTTCGCTTTTGAAGAGATTTTCAGGCCCAATATTTTTTCTAAGTCGTCCTTTTCTTCTGTGGTTACATTTTTAACAAGCATTTTTGTTTTTGTTATATTCAGCTTAAAGCCTGCCACTTCTCCAAATTCTTTAATCAATTCCAGCACTCTTTTCAGACTTTCTTTAGGGTTTTCAGTCATAACTAGTAGATCGTCCACGAAAGCTTTAATTTTATATGTTTTGTTTCCCAGAGTGATGCCTTTAACAAGCTGATCCCTTCTTATCTGATTGTTCAAGACTTCCATCACCAAGATAAATATCAGTGGAGACAGTGGGCAGCCCTGTCTGGTTCCCTTGTTTATTTTGCACTCCTCAGTAATTCTTCCATTGATGATCAATTTTGCATATTGTTCCGAATAGATGGCATTTATTCCTTTACAAATATTTTCTCCCAGACCGATTTCTTCCATTAATTTTTTCATAAACTTCCAGGACACGTTATCAAAAGCTTTTTCAGCATCTACCAACATAATAGCTGCTGGTTTATCAATTTTAATATCCAAATATTCTAATACATTAATCACACATCTAATATTGGATTGCATAAATCGTCCGGGAAGAAATCCGGTTTGATCTTTATGAATTATCTCTTTCAGCACCATTTTTAATCTATTTGCAAGAATGTCTGCTAATATCTTGTAATCGTTATTTAGCAGTGCAATGGGTCTGTAATTGGCCATGTTTGAGGCATCTGTTCCCTGTTTATGGAGAAGAGTAATAAAGCTGTCCTTCCAGGTTTTCGGAAGCTTTCCATTTGCCAGAATATTATTCATTAGGTTTTTCATGGGAAGAAATAATGCTTGTTCTAACTTTTTATAGTAATTAGCTGGAAGACCATCTGGGCCCCGGTGTCTTTCCTAATTTTGATCTCTGTATAGCTTGTTGCACCTCCATAGCTGTTATTGGTGAGTTCAAGATTTCAGTTTTTTCCTTAGGTATTATTGGTAGTTTATTGGTTCAATGGGAAATTTTATGGAAGATCAATTGGAAATTCACAAACTGTTACACGATTAGAGAGAACTTTCAAAAAATGCAACATCGATGGATATCTAACACCATGGAAACTTTCAAAAATGTATAAAAATGTGTCAAGTAATTGTTGGAGATGCGGAGACTCAGGAACATTCTACCATATGTGGTGGATATGTAGGAAAATACAGGTATTCTGGGAGAGTATACATGCAGAACTGCAAAAAATGCTAAAGATCTCTTTCAATAAAAAACCAGAGGCCTACCTCCTGGGAATAACAGATTTGGATATTCCACAAAAGAGGAAGCGTATCTTTTTATATGCGACGGCGGCAGCAAGAGTGTTGATCGCAGCAAAATGGAAGAGTAATGAAATCCCCTCTATACAAGATTGGATCCAAAAGCTGACAGAATATGCCGAATTAGATGGTTTATCAGAAAAAATAAAGAATAAATCAAAACAGGAATTTGTTTCTAAATGGGAGGTTTTCAAAGAATATCTGAAAAATAAATATAGTAGTTTAAATTCTGTTGCAGCATTCGAGGAACTTCAGTAATAGTTGCTAGGTAGATAGAAGAAATTAGATTTATTGAGAATAAGTTTAATTATGAAAAAAATGTGTATTGGCAATAAGTAATATGAATTTGAAATATGGAATAGACGGGAAGTTGGGTCTTTAGTGTTAAGACCAATAGATGTTTTATTGTTTGCCAAGAAAATTATGTGTCTATGGTTATTTTTGTAATTTGTGTGTAATTTGGTATTTTTGGTTTCTTGTGTGTGTTTTTTTCTTGTTGTATAAATAAATATTAAAAAAAAAAAGATAGTGCACTAATGATGGGTTTATTCAGCTTTTGTTTGTTATGTGATGCTTCCCCAGTGCTACACATCATTGCTGTCTGGAATGGCTATAGCTCAGTAGCAGCAGCAGCAGCAGCAACAACAACAACAACAACAAGAACAGCTTCCAACAGAATACTAAAAACAGAATAAAACTTCAAACATTAAAAACTTCCCTAAACAGGGCTGCCTTCAGATGTCTTCTGAAAGTCACATAATTGTTTATTTCCTTGACATCTGATGGGAGGGAATTCAACAGGGCGGGCGCCACTACCGAGAAGGCCCTCTGCCTGGTTCCCTGTAACCTCACTTCTCGCAGTGAGGGAACCGCCAGAAGGCCCTCAGCGCTAGACCTCAGTGTCCGGGCAGAACGATGCAGGTGGAGACGCTCCTTCAGGTATACGGACTGAGGCCGTTTAGGGCTTTAAAGGTCAGCACCAACACTTTGAATTGTGCTCGGAAATGTACTGAGAGCCAATGTAGGTCTTTCAGAACCACTCCCAGTCACCAGTCTAGTGACCACATTTTGAATTAGTTGTAGTTTCCGGGTCACCTTCAAAGGTAGCCCCATGTAGAGTGCATTGCAGTAGTCCAAGTGGGTGATAACTAGAGCATGCACCACTCTGGCGAGACAGTTTGCGGGCAGGTAGGGTCTCAGCCTGCGTACCAGATGGAGCTGGTAGACAGCTGCCCTGGACACAGAATTGACCTGTGCCTCCATAGACAGCTGTGAATCCAAAATTTATCCCAGGCTGCACACCTGGTCCTTCAGGAGCACAGTTACCCCATTCAGGACCAGGGAGTCCCTTACACCTTCCCGCCTCCTGCCCCCCAAAAACAGTACTTCTGTCTTGTCAGGATTCAGCCTCAATCTGTTAGCCACCATCCATCCTCCAGCCACCTCCAGACACTCACACAGGACTTACACCACCTTCACTGGTTCTGATTTAAAAGATAGGTAAAGCTGGGTATTATCCACATACTGATGAACACGCAGCCCAAACCCCCTGATGATCTCTCCCAGCAGCTTCATATAGATGTTAAAAAGGATGGGGGAAAGGACGAAACCCTGAGGCATCCCACAAGTGAGAGCCCAGGGTCCAAACATTCATCCCCCCCACACACTTTCTGAACACGGCCCAGGAGGAAGGAGCAGAACCACTGTATAACAGTGCCCCATCTCCCAGCCCCTCTCTAGACCATGGGTAGGCAAACTAAGGCCCGAGGGCTGCATTCGGCCAAACTGCCTTCTAAATCCGGCCCGCAGACAGTCCAGGAATCAGTGTGTTTTTACATGAGTAGAATGTGCCCTTTTATTTAAAATGTATCTCTGGGTTATTTGTGGGGCATAGGAATTCGTTCATTTTCTTTTTCAAAATATAGTCCGGCCCCCCACAAGGTCTGAGGGACAGTGGACTGGCCCCCTGCTTAAAATGTTTGCTGACCCCTGCTCTAGACGGTCCAGAAGGATGTTGTGGTCGAAGGTATCAAAGGCCGCTGAGAGATCCAGCAAAAGCTGAACAAAAATAAACCAGTACCTTTATGGTATAAAAAGTTATGGGATTTTCACCAGGAAGTTAAGGGATATGTACTGCTTGGAAACAAAGCTGTTTGACCACCCCAAAACCTTTGTAGGGAATGTACAAACAACACTGAAAAATGGGATAATGTGTGACTGCTCTTATACAGTGCTGTAGCTACAGAAGGGCTAGCCAGTTTTTTTGCTCTGGGTGAAGCCTCCAGAGGGGTGCCATTGAGGCTCCCAACGTGTGTGTGTGTGTGTGTGTGTGTGTGTGTGTGTGTGCGCGCAGATGTGTGTGTGGGAGGGGGTGCCAAACTGGGTCTTTGACCCGGGTGAAATAAAGTCTAATTTTGCCACTGCCTTATAGCATCATAAGTACAAATCATCATCAGTGTGCAGCAACAAAGATTTCTGGAGGACCCCTCAAAGAAAGGACTCTGGGCAACAGATATAGCTGGGACAAAATGTCTTCCCTTTGTAAATTCTGCAAATAAATTCTATTGAGAGGGGTTCTGTGTAGACAGGATGCGAATGTTCTTGAACTACTCTAATGTATGACTATTTCATATTATTACTGGGTTATTTATTTTCTTGTTGCAATTGATAATGAACAATAAGATAGCATAAACTTATTGGGCTGGATACAGACTGACAGTGCACTCCTATACATGTTGACTAAGTACTACTGAGCTAGGTGAGGGACACACCTCAGGGCAAGTGTTTCTTAGGCTGAAATCCTAAATTAGGCAGCAACCCTAATCCCACTTATCAGTGGGAATTAGCTTCTGAGTATACATGGTTAGGATTGCACAGTTGGTCATTTTTCCCCCTTCTTTTTTTTTTTGTTTGTCCCATTGAAATCACTGGGGCAATTCAGTCCTAAAGTTCAACTAACATATAGCACAAACTTATGCGTGCTACTCAGAATTAAGTCCCAAAGAGTTCATTGCAGCCTGATTCTGGATCAAATGCTTTATCTTCTTAAAATATTTAGATCAATATCCATACTCTCTCAACCACAACATTATAAGCAAAGTTATACTAGAACCAGGAAGGAAGAATAAGGCTCAGTTCACAAGCAGAGGCAACACTTATATGGGACTTCTCTGGGGGCTCTTTGGATAAAAGGAGTGGGTTCCTTTCCACCAACTTGAAGGATAGGGGGAGTCTCCACCCCCATCGTTCACTGAGGTCCAGCTCGAAGGGCCTTCTGGGAGTTCCCTCACTGTGAGAAGTGAGGTTACAGGAAACCAAGCAGAGGACCTTCCCATTGGTGGTGCTCGCCCTGTGGAGCACCCTCCCATCAGATGTCAAGGAAATAAACAACTATCTGACTTTTAGAAGACATCTGAAAGCAACCCTGTTTGGAAAAATTTTAATGTCTAATGTTTTACAATTTTTTATGTGCTGTAAGCCGCCCAGAGTGGCTGGGGAAACCCAGCCAGATGGGCAGGGTATTATTATTATTATTATTATTATTATTAGTGGGGCAAGGGTAGACTGGTTTACTGTTACCGAGAGAGGGAAAAGGAGCAGGAGGCAAACCTTTTAAGGAGTTATTTGTGGAAGACAGCAAGCTACAGTAGTATCTGTACTGCATCTATGCCACGCCTTCCGAAAACCCCACTGTACTATTTGGGAACAGCGAAATCTACAGGTTTAGAGGAAATGCATAGTTTAGAACCTAGAAATATTGGAAGCTGCCTTATACTGATTCAGATCATTGGTCAATCTAGCTTGATATTGTCTACGCTGACTAGCAGTAACTCTCCAGAATTTCAGGGAAGGCTCACAGCCACCTCTAACTAGAGATACCAGAGATTGAATGTGGGACTTTCCACATACATGCAGAGCAGATACCACCACTGACCCATGGACCTTCCCCTACAAAATGAATAAGCCTTACTCGTATGCAATGTTCTGTGTTTATTTCAGCCAGATTCATTTGTGCATACTCATTGTCCACCCCCAAAACAGCACTTTAATGGTGGAAGAAGAGTAATATGCCTGAAGGATAAAGGACCCGAGTGACTCAGAGGGATTTGGATCAAATCCCTTGGTTGCACTGAGGCATGAATCATATGCTCCCTCTGTGTCCATAAAAAGCTGATAGTATGTTCCAAACTCTATATGTGATTATCTTTATACTGATGATGCAAAACTGAGTCTCCAGCAGCTACTTTAAGATAAAGAGAAATATATTATGTTCTATATACTGATAAGCCTCCATTTGGTATGCTGGGGGTGGGGGCGGACATGGAAAAAAGTCAAAACATGAAACTAAAGACTTACACCTGTGACCATTTCCCACCTACCCCCAAGCCATAAATACCACTGTAGGGAGACCACTGTAAAAACATAAGCTGCCATAATTTTAAATATTTCTTGATATGGCAAAGCCTTCCTGTTGGTGTGCAAGGAGGAAAGGTGTATAACATTTGCATAGATCATCAGGGGGTTTGGGCTGGCTGTTCATCAGTATGCAGATGACACCCAGCTCTACCTATCTTTTAAATCAGAACCAGTGAAGGCAGTGAATGTCCTGTGTGAGTCCCTGGAGGCGGTTGGAGGATGGATGGCGGCTAACAGATTAAGGTTGAATCCTGACAAGACAGAAGTACTGTTCTTGGGGGACAGGAGGCGGGCAGGTGTGGAGGACTCCCTGGTCCTTAATGGGGTAACTGTGCCCCTGAAGAACCAGGTGCACAGCCTGGGAGTCATTTTGGACTCACAGCTGTCCATGGAGATTAAGGTTAATTCTGTGTCCAGGGCAGCTGTCTACCAGCTCCATCTGGTACGCAGGCTGAGACCCTACCTGTCCGCAAACTGTCTCGCCAGTGTGGTGCATGCTCTAGTTATCTCCCGCTTGGACTACTGCAATGCGCTCTACATGGGGCTACCTTTGAAGGTCACCCAGAAACTGCAATTAATCTAGAATGTGGCAGCTAGACTGGTGACTGAGAGTGGCCACCGGGACCCTATATCACTGGTCCTCAGAGATCTGCATTGGCTCCTCCCAGTACGTTTCCGAGCACAATTCAAAGTGTTGGTGCTGACCTTTAAAGCCCTAAACAGCCTCGGTCCTATATACCTGAAGGAGCATTTCCACCCCCATCGTTCAGCCCAGACACTGAGGTCCAGCACAGAGGGCCTTCTGGCGGTTCCCTCATTGCGAAAAGTGAGGTTACAGGGAACCAAACAGAGGGCTTTCTCGCTATTGGCGCCTGCCCTGTGGAATGCCCTACTATCAGATGTCAAGGAAATAAGCAGCTATCCTATTTTTAAAAGACATCTGAAGGCAGTCCTGTTTAGTGAAGTTTTTAATATTTAATGCTGTATTGTTTTCAACACTCGATTGGGAGCCGCCTAGAGTGGCTGGGGAAACTCAGCCAGATGGGCGGGGTATAAATAATAAATTATGATGATGATGATGATGATGATGATGATGATGTTGTAATTCTTTGGTTTGTAAGTTCCAGGGTCTTTACTTTCAGATGAGTGTGTATGTATCAGGGTTTAACAAATCGTATCACTTTTCAGGGCTCTGCTGCTTTTCAGCTGATTATTCTACCTTAATGGCTTTGTCAAATCTCCTCTACTTACCCTGACTTTGCTAAGGATTGCTATATTTCCCCATATAAATATAAAATGTGCCCCATGTATTCATAGCTCCAGAAGTTATTTTTATGTAGGAGGCAGGCTCACTCTGCACAATCTGCTATTTCTCTAATATTCCTTTGGAAGATCCAGCTTTTTATTGCTGGCTGCCAGATTGTCACTACTACGGGCACTGGTGAGTGCTTGGTTAAAATGCACCACTGTTGCATACCTGCCCTGCCAACATTTCTCCAATGAAAATAGGGGTGTCCATAAAATAATAAGAATAATGATAATAATTTTATTACTTATACCCCGCCTATCTGACTGGGTTGCCCCAGCCACTCTGAGCGGCTTCCAACATATATAAAAACATAATAAAACATTAAACATTAAAAAAACTTCCCTATACAGAGCTGCCTTCAAATATCTTCCGAAGGTTGTATAGTTACTTATCTCCTTGATTCCATACCCCCCAACATTTCTCCAATGAAAATAGGAACTAAGGAAAAGTGGGACATTCCAGGATCAAATCAGAAACCGGGACGGTTGCTCCTTGTGGCCTTGAAATTTTGACTTTCCAAAGCAAGGACTTCTAAGGTTGGAGCTGATCTATTTGGTGGAACATTGAATTGCCATTAGTTCCTTTTCAGGCCAACCAGAAGATTCATGAAACAGAGATTGAAATCCGGGTATCTTGATGTCAAAGTTCCATTGGGACCACACCAGCACAACTATACACATAGAGAGTTTCTCTCATGGACTTATTTCAGGAATATTTGGATTGCTTGGCTTTGAGATACTGAGTTGTGCATGCCATTATTATTTTGGGTGGTATATATTGTCTAAGACTACATGTAATAGAAGGTGCTGAAATGCTGTACATTATTGATAATGAGTTTTTGTAAACCACAGAGTTGTTTAGCTTGTGATTTATCTCTCTGTATTCCTTGAGAGTGATATTGGACTCCAAGTCTCATCAACCTCATCCACCATGGTCAATGGTGAGGGATGATGGGAGTTGCAGTCCCAAACTTCTGAAAGGCATCAAGCTAGAGAAGGCTGGTCTACACTGATTGCCAGAAAGTCTCCAGAGTTTCAGATGGTATATTTTCTAGACCTGGAGATACCAGGGTCTGAACATGAGACTATCTGCATGGAAAGCATGTGCTCTACCACTGAGCTATGCCCCCCTCCTGACTTGACTGAAACACCGAGCACATACAAAAAGAATTAAAGAAATGTTTTAAAATAACTAATGCTTCAAAAATATATGTACAGGGTATGATTCACTTAAAGCGTTCCACCAGTTGGGAGCCCTGCTCACGGACGTTTGATTGTGCAGTAAGGTTCCTATCTCCCCACCTCACGGCCCCCAAAATAGGTTCGGGTGGGTCAGGAGAACCCCTGGAACTGGAGGGGGGGGAGAGAGAGATCTCTCTGTCTGACAAGCCAAAATGCTTGGTGTGGCAGAATGATCACCTTCATGCAACGTTGAATTCCTCCCCTGATGTTTTCAAGCAAACATCTAGAAGGGAGAATCATTCATGCCCTCTGACATCCATGTTTCCCCTCCAAAACAAACACAGTTGAAAATGTTTATTGATAGAAAACATGGGTTCAACAGGGCCTTCTTGTTGTATCTCCTGGGTTGAGGATCTCCCTTCCAAGAGAGTTTAATTGCTCTCCTAATTGATTATATTTAGGTGGGCAAATTTTTCCTTCCACCAGGCTTTTGATTGAATTTCTACCTGCTTGTGGATTTGTTTTGGTTCTCTTTCTAATGCTTTCTGTTTTTATAACCGTTTAAAATGGAATTTGTAATGTTGTAAAGCACCTTGGGGTCCTTTTTGAGGGCTAAGGGGCATTCAATCAATCAATCAATCAATCAATCAATGATTATCATTGATATTGCAAACTCCCACAAACATGTCAAGGCATTCTGGGATTATTGCTCTCTGCTACTGATATCTGACTCAGCTGTCCTTCTCTGAACAAGGTCCTTAGTAACATGTCCTGAACTGCCTTGACCAAAGGTGACAATCCTAAAAATAACTCCTGTTGTGTCATTACATTGCAGTTCATGTGCAACACTGTCTGTACTTTGACAATGAGGGTGTTCATTCTCTTAAAATATCTTCCAGGCATTCCATTCTTAAGGACATCTCATTGACGTCAATGGATTCTTAAAGTATAAGACTAAAAACACAAACTCACATGAAAACTCCAAGGCCCATTGAGCTTTTTATACTTCTGAACAGAGTACTTTTACACTTTGTGCTGCACAGAATTATGCCAGCATTTACACCAAAAATTATGAGCAACAAATGACTTTTAACCCTCAGTTCTGCTCATTTACATTGCATAGATCTTATTTATAAAAATAGGATTGTGCTGTAAGAATAAGGAATCTTACAGAGCAACTCTAGACTTGAGACCTGTCAGTTGAGGAGCTTCAGGATTTGGCAAAAGCCCCAAGAGATCAGTGGAGTGTTAAGTCTCACCGTTGCTTTGAAAAATATGTTCCCTATCCTATGGAGTGAACTACTGATCAATATGGGCCTACAGTTACCTTTGTTCCATGTCCTGCCCCATGCCCTTAGCTCCTTGATTACTGAATCATTTCCTTCCATGGATGAGTCTGCTTGACCCTTGGTCCCAGGAAGTGAGCTATGTGAGCTCTCTGCAAGTGACCTGCCAAGGTAGCTATGGGTGTGCTGTGTTGTGTGGATTCTCCTTCCTCCTCTTTCTGTAGTGTGCTCAAAAAAACAATGGCGGGGGTTGCATAAGGGGATTCAAATTCATGCCTATTGTTTCACCTGGAAACTTCCAATAAGTGGCCTCACTGCTGGCTGTGCCACTGGGGCTGATGGACTGTGGGTGCTGTGATTGTGGGGGTGGTGATGCAGTGGGAGTGGCCCTGTCGCTGTGAGTTTATTGGTTCCCTCCATGTATGCAAAGCATGTGGGCACTGTCACCAGCACAGTCTCTGATTGGTTGCCAGGGATGTAGGCATGTCTGTCATTTTTACCCTTTTTGTTCTGTTGTGCATTTCCTCCTTCCATTCTTGGGCCAATCACATATAGGATGCAGCAGCTACTCTAAAAGAATCTCCCCTACCTCCACCCAGGTGTAATTAAGAGTACAGGATTGCTCTGAGCCATAGAACAGATTTGTGTATGCACTATCATGACACAAGCTTACTTGTTTTATATGTTAAAAGGTAAAAAGTACACGTGCAACACACCTAATTCTAGTAACGCATCACTAAAAGCCTCATGCAAAGCTGCTCTTCCTCATTCAAATTCTTTAATTTTGTGTTTATCCAAAGGTTTGCAGCCACGGTTACCTTTCAGGAAAGGCATTCAGGCTATGCATCCACAAATCAGAGCATTTTCTTGACTTCAAAGACTTTGCTCCAGGAAAACTAGTTGTCAGCCTCGGAACTTACTTTGCATATGGTTATGTATAGGAGGCATATTGTATTTCAGTTCGACATATTATTTTCACTTACAGAATACATACATTCCTAATAAGGCATAGTCAAGTTAGGAATGTGATCGGCTACCGTTACAGAACCATGGTCCTGTTTCTCACTCAATATATTTCTTCAGTCTCTTGTCTTTTTCCTGGAGGGCCATGCCAGCTTTCTGACTGCAGATGAAACCTGTCTCAGACACTGGGCTTTTCTTTGAAGATGTGGCTTATGTAATGTGGAAAAAATGCAACCAAGATGTTTCAAACACAAATGGAACCGAAGCATTCCAATCACAGGGGGAAATGTTGCAAAATGTTGCCTTACTGAGTTTTCTTTTAATATAAAAAAGATTGAACACAATTTAGACAAGCGCCAATCTTTTTTGTTTGTTTTCAGGCAGCTACTGGAAACTTACTTTTAAAAAGAGGTTTACCTGACCATTTTATCTTGTTTACTATACATAACTTATGCAACTTTGTGTTTTTAGGATCTGTTGTTTAGATCTGGGTTGCTGTTTTTTTACTTTTCTGTTATATACTGCTTTGGAAACAATGGTTTGAAGTGGCTTATAAATCCCAGTCGCCCATCCCAGCATGCTGGGGGTCGTCTAGGTGCAGCTCATTTGTGGTCTCAGTGGTGGTCTTGATTCTGGTTCAAGTACCACTGCACCACACTGGTTTTCAGCTGAGCGATCCAGTTTCTAGCACACCCAAATAGTCCTGCTTTCCAGCCTTAATTCCCCTTTGAACTCACATCCAGCCGACTAGTGTCTCTGTCCCTGATCCCATGTTATTTTCTTTTAATATGCAGACCTGCTCCAAGCAACGGAACTTCAATCAGATATCACAGCTGCACCATTCCTGCTTCTAAAAGCTTGGGCTAGGCTCCAACAAAGACAGCCTGGCAGCAGACACTTGGAGCGACTTGCTGACTATACAGCAATATGGGACATGGTCTACTCTATTGTAATCGGGAGTTACTGCCAACAGCAGGTGTGGTGGCAGGACCCCCCTCCTGTGAAAAGTTGCCCATGAGCCTCTGGCACTGTCTACCAGATCCATGAGCAAGTTCCCCTGGTAACCTAGGTGTTGACTCCAGCTTTCTCTCTACTCTATAACACAGACAAATATAACATTTCCTGACAGCATGGCTGTAATAGAAAGAGGAAAGAAGAAAAAGTTAACTAGCTCTTTATGGGGCAGCAAGTAGGTGCCATGCATAGACGATGTTCTCCAGAAAGGAACCCTTGTTTCAGAGCATCAGTAATGGAGGGTGGCCCTAAATTAAGGAAAATAAATCTGTTCATGTGCATTTATGAACCTATTTATAGCAAAGGGTTCGTCTTTGCCCCTCCACCAATGAAGGAGTATATTCCATGCTACAAATTATCATTTGTAATCCAAGACCTTTCTATAACTATCACATGCAGCATACATGGAAAACACTAGCTCATGTATTTGTTCACCCTCTTGTTTTTCATTAGCTTCATCTTGCCAGATATAACGCATTACAGACTTCTCACACGGTTGGTTTGGTTTTTTAAAAAATTTGCTATGGTTTTCATCAGCATCTTAATTTAGGTCTATGATATCATTGACCTCATCCTTTCACTTTGCAGATCCGAGTCCTTGTTCCTCATCCTGCCTCTTAATGGGACTATTTACCACCAGTCTGTATATACGTGCATTAAGGGATGCAATTTCATCACTTATATCGCTGCTCAGTTGACTTCTCTCAACTTTGTTGGAAGTACTGTACCTCACTTCTAATTTATACCGGAGATGCGGCTTGGCATCCAAATGGACAAGGATTAGGAAAAAGCTATCTTTGCAATTCCGCGTATTTAATTACGTGGTCTGCTCAGAAGCCACAGTCATCGATATAGATCTTTAGTTTGAGTGCCAACAGTAAACTTGAAGATATATATATAGACAACCGTCCCCTCCCAATGTCTCCATTCTGATGACATCATCAGCTGGCCAACCGCTGCTCAAGTGGCAATCAAGAGCTTTTCTTTTTCATAAAAATTATACCCCTGGTCTTTGCTGATTTTGTGCCATCAAAATCATTTAGAAAATGATTGGATATATATAACCCCAATCTCAAGAGCCCTGCTGGATCAGGTCAAAGACCCATCTAGCTCAGCATCCTGTTCCCACAATGGCCAATAGATACCTATGGAAAGGCCACAAGCAGGACGTCAATGCAACAGCAGTCTCCCCACTCGCAGCTGGTTTTCCAAGGCACACGGACTTCAACAGCAAAGGTAGAAGAACATTGTCAGCTTGGTAGTAGCCATGTATAATCTTATCCTCCATGAATTTTTAAAGCCATCCATGTTGGTGGCCATCGTTACACCTCATGGCAGGGAATTCCATAGTTTAATCATACATTGTGTGAAGAAAGACACCACTTAGATTTTCACCAGTTCCCCAATCTTCCTTCATTCCCACCCCCCAATTTTTATTTTTATTTTACTCCAGGGGTCTAGGGGAACCTTCATAACAGCATAGGGCATGGTGAAGGGTGCTGTGGATTATGGGTCTTTTTGGCAAAAATCACCCCTTCAAGAGCCTTCCATTAATAGAACCATATCATTGGGGGTTGGGAGAGAGACTGTCATGTGTGACAAGCTCTTTTTATTTCCCCACAACAGAAACTTGCTGCTAATCTGATGTGTATGCAAGATGACATAAGATATGGTTAGGCTTCTCGTGGTGTTTCCTACACTGAAGTGGTAGCCCTCATGTAGGAATTCTGTCTTGTGTGAAACATCCCTCAAGTTGGAAAGTCAAAGGGATGATAATTGGTTCTTAAGTACTTGTCTCCTTGCAGCATTTGCTTCCTGGCAGCAGCCATAGCCAAAGTCACAATTTGGATTTCAAATTTAGTAAGTGATACATCATCCATGCAAAATACACAGAACCACAATTGCAAAAATACCCTTTAAATGTTTTAGAAGGAACATCACAAACATGTTGCCAGATGAATTAACATTTCTATAAAAAGACAGAAAGGGTTCTATAATATTCTATATCACTAGCACATGCTGTTATAATTACTATATCTAGCAGTAAGCTCCAGGGAAAGGTAAAATCTATACAATAAATTATAGTGAAGTATTCACAATAGACCTCCCCTTTCATACTTTAAAGAATATGACATTATATTTTGACCATTTTAGAAATAATAAAGCATTAGTTCACAGCTCTGCTCAGTACTTATTCTGCAAAATGTTCAACATCCCCATCCTATGGTTCATGGTAAGAGGGATGCCATGTCACCTTTGCTTACACCAACTAACCTAAGCAATATTCTAGACTGTGCAAGCAGCAATACAGTTACGAACTTAATTCTTTCCAGAGATCCGTTCTTAACCTGAAACTGTTCTTAACTAGAGGCATGCTTTCACTAATGGGGCCTCTTGCTGCCGCTGTGCCGCCGGCACACGATTTCCATTCTCATCCTGGGGCAGAGTTCTCAACTTGAGGTAACTCTTCCAGGTTGGCGGAGTTTGTAACCTGAAGCGTTTGTAACCTGAGGCGTCTAACTCGAGGTACCACTGTAATCCAATCCAATCATTTTCTAAATGATTTTGATGCAGCAACAGGCTATAACTAAACGCTGTGATATATGAACTCAATCTGAATGAACTCAATCCAGTTGTCCATCCATTCATCAAAACTGAGTGAAAGAATTCAGGAAAAAACCCCGAGTATACCTTTTAGGAAATAGCCCCTGTACACAGGGGACTCTCTCACACCAAACTTCTGTTTCAACACCATATACATCCTGACCTACCTGACAAATGTCTTGTTTAGTAGCAAAGAATCATCCTAGGTTCTCTCCTGCTCCATGTGCCTTTAATAATTAACAATTAACAGACCACTTGGAGAAACCAACTTCAGAGGTAAGTTTGCAAGTGAAAAAAGTCAGACTGCAAGGCCAGTCTTACCATTAGGTTGAGTGATGGCATCCCATCACCTGTCTTAGAAGTAAGATTCAATTGCCCATCTGGTCAGCTTCAGCATATGGAAATGGAGATGAGGCGTCATTTCATCATTAGCTTCAGGCGGGCCAGCCTTGTTCCAAGTTGCCGATTGGCTCAGAGAACTAAGAACATAAGAAGAGCCTTCTGAATCAGGCCAATGGGCCATTTTATACAGCATCCTGTTCTCACAGCAGCCAACCAGACACCTGTGGGAAACCTGCAAGCAGGACCTGAGGGCAAGAGCATTCTCCTCTTCTGTGGTTCCAGCAACTGGTATTCAGAAGCATTCGTTCTCCACAGACTGAAGTAGGCATGTATCCTGTTTTACAGCAGACACTCTACTCTGAAGGACCTGTCTGTTTCAGGGATGGGGGACCTATGAGCTTCCAGATTAGCCATGCTAGCTGAGGCTGATGAGAGCTGGAGTCCAACAACATGAGGAGGACCACATCCCTACTCTACCTTGAGGACTGCCTGATGCAAGTCCTCTTTAAAATAAAGAACCATGAGAAGGGGGAGGAGGGTCCTTGAAGATTTTCATCAGCAATTAAGATCTGGACAGCAAAAGGAGTAGATCAGGGGTCAGCAAACTACAGCCCGAGGCCTGGATGCGGCCCACAGGGCTTGTAAATCCGGCCTGCAGACCCTGTCGTCTGCTCAATCAGTCCCCGTGCTAAACTGGCATCACGCAGAGGCCTCACCACACAAGGATTGACTTCCGCGACGCTGGCATGGCTTCGGATTGGCTGCAGGAAGCCAATCTGAAGCCGTGGATGCCTCTGGGCGATGCCCCTTCCTTCCTGCTGAGGCGGGCACGTATGGCCAAGAGCCAAGTGGGAGGAAGTGGTGGTGGTGGGGAGGCTGCCTCTGCCGCCCAGGCCAGCGGCATGGGCTCTGCGCCCAGCGGACCCCTGGCCGAGACAGAAGACAACGCTGCCGCTGCCGAAGATGAGGCAGCATTGGCAGCTGCGGTGTGAGTGGCAGCGGCGGGGGGGGGTCCTTTTAGGAGAGGGTGGGTCTGGCCCCCCACAAGGTCTGAGGGACAGTGGACCGGCCCCCCCTGAAAATGTTTGCTGACCCCTGGAGTACACACATACCATAGGTCACCTGGTCACACTTTTCTCCACTACTGTGAGTTATATTTCGATTTAAATTATTGTAATTCTTTCTAAATGTTCGTTTATACATATAAATCAGCATAAGCTAATGTTGTGCAAATCTGTGTGATATTTTGACCACTTTTTTGGTGATACATCTGTAACGACACTAATGTAGACCCAAAGTAGAAAAGTATTTCCTTCTTAAATTGTCTGTTTGCTGACATCTTTGTCTCTCTAGATTTCCCCCAGAAAAATACTCTTTTGGGTGAAATACTTCAAAGTGGAGTAATAATATTCAATAATATCCACATGCCTAGACTAGGGCTAGAGGAGAGCTTTGATGCACCACACATTTAAAGCCAAATCTATCAAATTCACACTTTCCAAAACTGTGTGCCAACCAACACACAGCTATCCATTGAAATTCACACTTAGGTGAATTTTGTGATACAGTCCTCCAACCAAACAGTGTTTGCAAAAATGTACTTACTAGGTGAAATTGTGCATAAGATATTAGTGAAAATAATATACAAAAAGCATTATATTGAAGATAATTGCTTCCAAAAACGTGTGCATTAGTCAAAACTACATATTAAAAGAGTGTATTATGCTAATGAATTTTCATAGGCATTAAAAAGAAAACCACAAATTTCTGCAAAAAAATAAATAAATGAGAACCAAATTTGAGATTGGAAAAATGAGAAACTGAGAGAACCAAAACTGACAGATCCTTCCAACTCTAGTCTTTGAGGCCCTCACAAACTCATTTGCGGAAGACACTCCTTGCTTGGGGTGGTTGATCTAAAGCCAGCCTGGTCTACAACAGGCCTGCTCTAGGAACTTCTCTATCATCTTCAAGCCTGCCTAAATTGTGACCTGCCAAGCTGAAGGCATGTTTTGCCATATTTTGTGGCACACCAGCAGTTTACTATAGCGCTTGTTTTTTATGCTTGCCTTGTACTGCAAAATTGGCGTATAGGGAGAATGAGTTGTCAGGAATCTGGAAGGGCACAATAGGTGCTTTCAGTTTGGTGAGTAACACAAGTTGTGCAGGCCTTATCCACTTATACTTAGTGCTGAGGCTTTATTTTAGTTATTTAGTGCCACCAGTGGGCTTGGCACTTTGCAGAGTTACTTAGCTAAAACAAAGAGCTTAAAACTAAAATTAGAACAGTGGCAGGGCAGAAGGAGGACACTCTGTAATGCTACCTTGCCAGAGTAGCACAGGTAAAGAAAATGTCCCCTTTGTTCACAGATGTGATCAAACCTTCGTTTGGGAAAAGAATGTGGGTCACATTTTATTTTCACTTTTAAAGGCTTTTCTGCCTTCCCTCGGTGACTTGAAAAAGTCACACCTGCTCAAACACTCCAGCTCTTGAAGCAAGAGGGACTCTGCCAAATTTGGAATGTGTCTCTACATGAAACGCATTTCACAGGTTTGCACAGATGCAGTGGCCGGGGTCCAAAGAGCTACTTTAGGGATACCTAAGTGAACGGGAAGATCTAGCAGGATTGTTGCCTTTCCCTCCCTGTTTAAACACTGCTTTTGAAACTACATCCCATTTCAAGAGAGGGTGGGTATGCTTTGTAACATGGAGAGTTGCTGCTGGAAACACCCAGTCTAAAATGTTACCTTTGAGGCATGCAGAACTTGTTGGGCACCCTCTTGGATCCCAGCCAGCAGCTCTCTGTGTGCACAGCCCAGCACTCCTTTCCATCCCAATACTCAGAGAAAAGGTGTGGTCACAATCGGAGGATACAGTCAGCATACATGAAAGGGAAGTAATGCTAGCAATGTCAACTAGTTGATAATACCAGTGCCCTAAGGGATGCTCTTGGAATCAGTTTACTTAACTGTGGTGACTGGCTGAACACCCTTAACACTGTAATTGTTAAGGGAAGTTGCCTTGAGCAATAGAAAAGATGCTGTAAGAACTAACCAGTCATTCCCCACAGCAACTGTACCAACAAGTAGAAAGAGGAAAGAAACTGACAGCTTTGTAAAGTTTTAAAGTACGTTTTAGGCTGCAATCCTATCTACTTGGGAAGATATCCTACTGAATCCAATAGGACTAACTTGGTGGGTCTGTAAACTGCCCTGTGGTCCTCAGATCAAATAACAACTTCTGAGAAGACATGGTTAGATTAAGATTTGCAGCCTTAATGTCCAAGTTGCAACCAAAGAGGTATCAGTTCCATAGCATTCTGTGTCTTCGCTCCTTCTGTTAGGGCACTGACAGACATTTGAAGGGCAGCTATTGAATGTGATTCAGGTTGTAGCACAAGGTGCCAAAATACAGACATCTAAGTGGCTGCACACACAGCCCAGTTCTGCGCCACACATTTGGAACAAGCCGTGCGTTCCGAAGAAGCCATTAAATATGGCTTGGAGATGAACTGGATTTTTCGGCAAACGGCGCTGAATCGCTTGCTCTGCTTCTCAGATTCTTAATGAGGGAGCTGGGACTCCTCCATGGAGGAGTGAACCGTTGCCAGGGGAGTCACAAGGCCTCCCACTCACCTGCTGTGGGGCAAAACAGCAAAACAGCAAGCAGAGGAGGATGGCATGCAAATGAACTGCTGTCGCACAGCGGCAGAAGACTTTGCTCCAGAATACTGTCTCAAATTCAGCAAAACAAAGATGGGGAAACTTCAGGCCAGGGGTCAAATGTGGTCCTCCGGAACTGCTCTGTCAGGCCCTTGGGACTCTCCCCAGCCATACCTTTCCGGAGTGCTTTTGCCAGGCTGGAATATAGATCCTTGAACTATGGCAATGCTTTGATGGAAAGAGGTGTGGTGGTGGTGTAGACACTCATGACTTCTGCATGGCTGGAATGTGGCCTAGTGTAGAAAGGTAAGAGTCAAAATCATTACTTTGCCCACTGTTGCATCTGGTATATGCCCACAGAAGGTTGTCCATGAGGCAACATGGCTCTTGGATTGGAAAATATCCCCCACGCCTGCATTAGAGCAATGCACAGAGTGCTAAACATCTGCTAGATTCTGCTAAATTTCCAGAAGTGGCTTTTACATGATGTGGAAGATTGCATAAAGCACAAAAATGATCAGGTAAGGAAACATCAGGAAAACAGCACAGTCCATGCAACAGAGTCCATGCAGAGTAACAGAGAAAAAAGTCTGTTCCATTTTCTTTCTGCCCTTTAGATATTTGAAGATCACTGTCTACACACAGCCCATTCATCCTTATCTTATCATCTCCAGGCTAAACATACTCAGTTCTTTCAACCGTTCATCCTTGGACTTCGTTTTCAAACTCCTCACCATACTGGTCCCCTTTCTCTGGACCAGCTGCAGTTTGTCAGAGCGGCACCCAGAACCAGAGACAGGACTCCACAGGCAGTCTGGCCAGCACAGAATAGAACAGAACTTTAAATTTCCTGAGATCTGGATACTATGCATTATGAATACAGTCTTGCGTTAGCCTCTTTTTTTTTTTTTTTTTAGCAGCCTCATCGTACTGTGGGCTCATTTTCCCTTTGTGATCAAGGAAGTGATCTTCCAGATTACCTTTTTCCTGAGGAGTCATTCATCTTGCTTTGCTTGCACAACACTTACACAGAAATTAGGGTTCATTCACACTTACCCTTTGCCCTGCACTTTCTAGGTACAGATCTTTATTTTTCCAGTCTGTGTCTGAGCACTTTTCTTTTTTTGCCCTGCCTCTTTCCCCAGGAAAACCTACTCTTTAATGCTGAATCGGAACAAAGGGCAATTTGGTTTTTCTGCAGAATTGTTTTCAGCAAGAAAAAGCAGGTTTTCATGGGGAAAGTGCCAGCCCCCCCCCCAAAGGCACTCAAACACAGAGCTTTAAAACATGGACCTGTGCCTAGAAGCATGACACAAAAGGAAGGCTGGATGAGCTCTCAGAAGATGGCTGGTCTTTAATGAGCATTTGTTTGCAGGGAGGTTGTACAGCAGAGCACATTTGCCCTGATTCGCTTGCGTGGGGGTAGTTATATGTTTTCCCATTAATCTATTTATTCATTTAAAGTGCTTATGAACCACTCAGTTACCAAAGTTTCTAAGCGGTACAAGTTTATTTTTAGTACCTACACTTTTTACTGCATTTCCCTGCCCCTTGCTAAGCAGAAAAGTCTAGGTTTTTATTTGTATGTTTGCTTTAAAGGGAATTTGTTGCATCAGAGCATTTAAAAACATCTTAACTATGCAAACCTAAATTTCTGTATGTGACTGACTCCCTGCCAGGTTGTCCATTTGAAAACAGAGGTAGGTGGTCCCAGCAATAATGAGTGCATCCACACCTGCCCAGTGACATTGTGGGTGGGCATACAGCAAGATCGCAGTCACACATCCTTCTTAATTCACTTGGGTCATGTGTGGGGAGAAAAAGGCACAGATAACCTAAACAAGGGGGAGGGTTTTCAAACATGTATCAAGTAACCACACTCACCCTTGTGGATGGCAGGAGCTGGAATCAATCGAAATGGAAAGCAGCACGTTGAGGATGAGCAAGCATGATTCTAGATTGAGAAAATCTACATTTTTGTGCTACAAATGGGTTTCTGTGTATGCAGCCACTGCATTAAAAAGAGAGAGTACATATTGGTTGGCATGCATATATATTGAACCACATGGATAGGCCAAATCAGGAAGAGAAAAACCTATAAAAAATGAACCACTGTGCAGACAGAATTTCCAGGAAGAGGATTCTCTAATGCATCCCCTTGTGATTTTAATTGGTCTATTTTCTCTCATTTTCTCATATAGTTTCATTGGTTGCTGAATCCATAGCTGCCTGATGAACTGCTATCACTGGAGCGATCAAGACCGGCTAACTGCCTTAGCAATTCAGCCCCGGAGTCTCGCAGCAATATCTCTGAGGCCCAGTAAGAGGAAACATCCTGCACTCCTACTGCACCACTACCCCTTCAGCACTTTTGCTTTGAGGCTGGTGTGCACGAAAGAGCTGAATAGTTCACTCTTAAGCATTTCAACACTGTGCTGCCACACATTCCTTTCACTGTTGTACAGCGGTTCCTTTTCCTCTCAGGTCATAGCTACATGATAAGAGATATCTGAAAGCAAGTGCTAGGGTAAAATCATCTGTCAAAATGGATTTAAAATAGTCTGGCTCATATTAAAGGCAGCCTTGAAACAAAACCTGCAGTCGAAATGTATCCAAAGTCTGCACAAATTGCATGTTTCCTGCTTGTATTACAGGGATGAGGAAACTGTGACCCTCAGATGCCACTGGACTCCAACTCCCATCATTCCTGGTCTACCTGGCCTATGGTCAGTGGTTATGGGAGCAGTAGTCCAGCTACATCTGGATGGCCAAAAGTTCCCTTTTCCTGTTGTATTCCATCATGAATGGAAAAGTTCTGACTAAACATTTGGAAAAACTTTCTGACAGTAAGAGCTGCTCAGCAGTGGAACAGACTCCCACGAGAGGTGGTGGACTCCCCTTCCTTGGCGGTTTGTAAACAGAGGTTGGATGGCTGTTTGTCATGGATACCGTACTTTAGCTGAGATTCCCGCATTGCAGGGGGTTGGACTAGATGACCCTTTGGTCCCTTCCAATTCTATGATTCTATGATTGAGTCTGCTTTATGCATGTACAGTGGTACCTTGGTTTAAGAACAGCATAGTTTATGAACAACTTGGATTAAGAACGCTGCAAACCCGGAAGTAGGTGTTTTGGTTTGTGAACTTTGCCTTGGAGGCAGAACACGTTCCACTTCCTGTTGAGTGTGTTCCATTTGTAAATTGAGTCCTCTGCTGCTATGGGAAAGCACGCCTTGGTTTAAGAACGCTTGGTTTAAGAACGGACTTCCGGAACGGATTAAGTTCGTAAACTAAGGTACCACTGTAATACTAAACCATTGTTTATGGTAAGCCCATGGTTGCTCAGAATGCGGGTGTTAGTAGACCAGCACATTGTTCTCTCTGTGTGCCTCTCTCTCTCTCTCTTCACACACATTAGGGGCTGCCATCCCTGCTCACTCGGATTTCCAACCTCACATACCCACCAACGCCTCTGTTAACCCCCCCTTCCCCCACACCTGGCCACCCTCTCCATTTTGTTGAACTGCAATTCCCATAATTCCTTACCATTACCCAGACTGGCTGGGGCTAATGAGACTTGTAGCCTAGCAATATCTAGAGGGTACCACAATGGCTACCCAATGTTTAATATTACACCCAGTGCTTGAGGGGGCTGGACAAAGGTCTTGATAAAGGTGCTATGGAAACCAGCACAAAATGATTGCCACAGGCAGCAAAAAAAAAGGCGGGGGGAGGGAGAGAGAGCTTACAGTACTCTGTGCTGGTGCTCACCATCACACACAAAAGCACATATTACACCCCAAAGCAGTTTGTATGTTGAAAAATGCAACTGGGATATATATATATATGCAACTATACTATAAAGCATCTACGTGTTTGTGGAGATGCCTTGTGTAGGAGTGTGGGGTGAAGTCCAGCAAAATGCCTTGTACAGTGGTACCTTGGGTTAAGTACTTAATTCGTTCCGGAGGTCCGTTCTTAACCTGAAACCGTTCTTAACCTGAAGCACCACTTTAGCTAATGGGGCCTCCTGCTGCCGCCGGGCCGCCAGAGTACAATTTCTGTTCTCATCCTGAAGCAAAGTTCTTAACCCGAGGTACTATTTCTGGGTTAGCGGAGTCTGTAACCTGAAGTGTATGTAACCTGAAGCGTATGCAACCCGAGGTACCACTGTACTTTAAGGCAAGGAGGGTGAGTTTCAAAGTGTCCTTTAAGACCACTTTTTGGGGGGAAGGTTCTAGTACTATGATGTAGGCAGCTCATGTCTAAATCCAACCCAGGAACTTTGTTTTAACAAATTGAAGAAGACATATAACAACCATTCAGTTCAACTTCAAGACCTCTAGCATGAACTGAGAACCATATGGAGGGGTGGGTGAGACCCTGACATCCTTTTTCATGTCGTCTAATAATACATTCTTCTGCAATTAACTCCTATTGAAACCAGTCCCCTTTCAAATTAAAACAGCCCTCCTAAAGTATCATAGAATGATGTCAAATCTGAAATGTTTATGTAGCAACAAGCCCCTGAATAAACTGAGGCTTGGAAATAATCTTCTAAAATATGAACCACCTAATTAATATAATTATAAGTAAACTCTTGTCACCAGAAATTCACTGCAAGGGATGGAAGACTCATGAATTGTTTCCATACGGGATTATTTAAGACTTGGTTGTGTGGAAGTAGGATAGGTAATAACACCAGGCCCAAAAGTATTTGATTATCATAATTTTGTTCAGTGAATCTAGGCACTATTGCATCATATTGGGAAGACAGTCTGCTACTTTTCTTACGGACCAGCCCTATGTTTTGATTGGGCTGAGCTCAATGGCATGCAGTCATTGGACTAGGCGGACTAGGCTAGTCCCCTAAATGTTCCCATGGCACCACCTTCCCAATGCCCAGTAAGCTTCTGCCCAGCTTAGGGAGGGAGGTGCTATGCTCACACACATGACATCCGTTCCTCATCGCTTTTGCAAGCTGGCGCTTATAGCCCTAACTGTTCCCCTGCAAAAAATGTCACTGCACACCAGTGGTTGAGCAGTGTATTTGCTTATTGCCATAATATTTAAGGACTGGCTAAAGTCGGAATGGCAGAACTTAGCTAAAAGGAATTAGCCTCAGTTTCTCAGAGTCACTGCTACATTTTTTCAGAAGCAAGCAACAAAGGCTTGAGCACAAACACATGTTCAATATGTGTGGTCTGCAGCTGTGTTTGTGATCCCCTGGAACTGGGCAAGCTCCTCTTTTGTGTACAAAATTGCAAAGCAGAAAAGCGAAATGACCAGCTCTATGTCCAATAGCTTCATGGGAATGTGCTCCTACAACATATTTGGGTTCCCTATTATTCATGTTCTCTGCTTATAGAGATCCATCTTCTCTTATTTCCACGTTAGCATTCTGCAGCGCCAAATTTGTGGAGAGCAACAGCTATGATGTCACCAAGCACATCCCATTTCTCATGCCGTTCCCCAGACCATCTTTGTACTGCAAGAGACCACACCCCCATTTTGGTTCAGTGCTGTATCACCGGGTGCGGCGTTATATTTTTAAATTACTGGAATTCTTCCAAAATCAGTTGCCACCTGCAACTGCAACCATGGGATCTCTCTGGTCCGTCTTCACTCTCCAAGAGTTTTGGTAAGAATTTCCCAATTATACTTTTATATATAAGCTAAGCATCATTTCATGCTTTCATCTAAACATGAGATAGGAAGTTCCAGGCTTTTACACAATCAGTTTCCTTGCAAGGAAAAGGTCTTGATGCTTATCTGGCCTGCATAGCTCAGTTGGTTAGAGCGTGGTACTGATAACACCAAGGTTGCAGGTTTAATCTCTATATGGGGTAGCTGCATATTCCTGCATTGCAGGGGGTTGGATTAGATGATCCTCGGGATCATTTCCAACTCAGCAGTTCTATGATTCTATGATTCCGCCTGCATGACATGACTATTACCATTTTAATAATAATAATAATAATAAATTTTATTTATATCCCGCCCTCCCCAGCCGAAGCCGGGCTCAGGGCGGCTAACAACAATAAAACAGTACAAAAGTACAGCATAAACAACAGTCTAAAATCATTCGTTATAAAATTAATTAATTCAAGCCACTGGCAACCATTGGGCCAGAGCTCCGCGAAGATTGCCGAGGGAGGGAGTCAGGCTGTGCCCTGGCCAAAGGCCTGGTGGAACAGCTCTGTCTTGCAGGCCCTGCGGAAAGATGTCGAGTCCCGCCGGGCCCCGGTCACGTGGGACAGAGGGTTGCCCCAGATCGGAGGCCCAGCCGAAAACCCCGGGCTCTATTTGCGGCCAGCCTAACTTCTCTGGGGCCTGGGACCTTCAAGATGTTTTTATTCGAAGACCGTAAGTTTCTCTGTGGGGCATACCAGGAGAGGCGGTCCCGTAGGTACGAGGGTCCTAGGCCGTATAGGGCTTTAAAGGTTAAAACCAGCACCTTAAACCTGATCCTGTACTCCACCGGGAGCCAGTGCAGCTGGTATAGCACCGGGTGAATGTGATCTCGCAGCGAAGACCTCGTAAGGAATCTCGCTGCAGCATTCTGCACCCGCTGGAGTTTCTGGGTCAGTCTCAGGGGCAGCCCCACGTAGAGCGAGTTACAATAATCCAGTCTGGAGGTGACCGTCGCATGGATCACAGTGGCTAGGTCAGTGTCAAAACCCTATTTTGGGAGCAAGCAAGGAAAGTCAGCCTTACCGGATATGTGTTTATGTTGCATTTCCTTTGTTTGTTCCTCTCTGCTGCACACACTTTCCCCCCTGACAATGACTTCCTAGAAAGTGTTTCCACCCAGCTTCCAAATTCTAAACAGAGCACACCACAACATCTACTGTCTCCAGTCAAGCCACTCAATACAACTGAATCTATTCAGGCTCATCAGACAGAGACTCATAACTTAAGAATTTACATTAGTCATTCCTCAAACTACAATAGCCACCTAATGTACTATGCGTCTGTGGTGGTACGGATGATGACAGATGAACAAGTCTGGCCTCATAGCCAAGAATAATTACTGAAGGATAGACATAGAAGAGAAAATGACAGAAAATTACATGTCACTTATAATTTCAAGCTAAAACCACTCAAATGTATCATCAGTGATCTACAGCCTGTCCTGGACAATGGCACTTCCATTTCTCGGGCCCAGAGTGGCAGGCCTGAACTTGCTAACAGACAGCCCTCCAACCTAAAACAGCTACTCACTAGCAGTAACAGGCCACATAACAGAGATACAAACACATAGAGCAGTCCTGTGGCCGACCCAAAGGCCAGCTGTGTCCCCATGGCTACTCCGGCGACAATAGTACTGACCTAATATCATTTTTACTGCAATACATTCAAGGGCCAGGCCATCTGTGAGGCAATGTGAGGCGGCCAACTCGGGTGGCAGGATCCGCAGAGGCAGCAGATCTGGCTTGCAAGAAATTCATTGCTTGCTGCTGCCACCACTGCCACAGTGGCAGTGATAGTTGTGGTGTGCTCACTGGAGGCTGGATCTGCTACCTTCTCAGCAGCCCTCCCTCAAATGTTGATGACCAGGAGGCAGTGTAGGTCTCCTCCCACCCTTGTCCCCATAGGAGCCAACTCCTAGGGGCCAAGGTCCTTTTGCCCCCCCTAAAATATTTGAGGGGTCTGGCTTTGCAAAGTTGATGGGCACCACCATTCAAATGGGGGGGGGTGTCACATCATGTGATCGATTATGCAGGGCAGGGCTTACCTGGGCTCCCCAATATGTTATTCAAGTTGGCACCCCGTTGTTCCTGATGTAACTCTTCAATCCTTCTTCCCTGGCAGGGCGGGGGGCGGGGGCGGGTGTCTGCCATTTTGTAGTTCACCTCAGGTTCCAACATGTCTTGGGCCAGCTCTGAATGTACTCTACATCATGTGCTAGTCCCGGGGGGAGGTTACCGTGAGGCGTGGTCAGGGGCCTGGGTCGAGGGTTTGTAGACTGACCTCCAAGGGCGAAGCGGGGTCCAAAGCGAGGAGCCGGGCAAGGATGGGAACTCTGGAAGAACAGGTCTGGGTGCTGACCGAAACAGGTCTTCAACCACGTTGCTCCCGCAACCTGGGACCGGGCTGGCTGGCCTTTATCTTCTCTGAGGCCAGGGGTGGTCCCGGCCCCCAGGCGACCCGCCTCTCCTGGCCTTAAGGCGAGCACGCCTCCGGGGAGAAACCAGTTCCCTCCGCCTCTCTGCCCTGAGCCTCTGCAGCTCAGGAGAGGCTAGAGGGTTACTGGACCCAGGGGGAGACTCACCTTCCCCTGACAGGGCTGGGAGAGGCGCATCTGTAGGCAATGCGTCCTCAATCACCTCCGGAGCCAGAGTGGATTCACCTGGTGCCTGCTCCTGAGGATCCGGCACAGGTGCAGGCGCTTCAGATTCAAGGCCCTGCCCCAGCTCAGCCAGCCCTGGAGGCGGGGACTCCTGTGCAGGCTGGGATTCCTCTGGTTCAGCCTCTGAATCAGACTCCCAGGCCATCACACATCAGCTCAAGTTGCTGATACTGGTATACAAAGACCTATACAGCATGGGATGAGGATACAAAAAATAATAATAGTCTCAGCCCTTCAATCATAACAAATTGCTAAAATCTGCAGGACAGGGCCTGCTGCAGATACAATCTTACCAGCTCAGGAAGTCTGCTTTGCAATAATATGGGATTTGGGCTTTTAGCATGGTGGCACCTATTATTTGGAACTCCTTCCCATGAGATTTATTTATTTATAAAAATATATACCTCCGAATATAGGGTGGTATATAAATTCAGTAAATATATATATATATTATATATAATATAATATATAATATAATAATATACAGATTGCACCTACTGTCAAATCTCTGCTGAAAGAGTATTCCACAGAATGGAACCCAAAACAGTGTAAAAACATCATAAAACTATTGTTCTTGTCAAATAAAACAGGCCTGGACGACATGTTTCTTGAATGCCCAATTTTCCTTGGGCACCCATGGTGCACCCACGGAGAAGGCCCTGTTTTGGATCTCTGTCCTTCCTGCTATTCCTGTCGATGGAGCCAGGAGAAGAGGCACCTGCCCACCCCCCTTCACTGCCCTGTTAGTTGGCTGCTCCTAATAATAAATTAATAATCCATAGAATTGGGGCTTCATTCCCTTGCTCATCTTCCAACAGGATATATATCCCTTCCTCTGCCTGCAATGCCTTCTACATATGTAGAACAAACAGGCCAATCTCTATGCAAAATAATAAATGGAGACAAACCTAACATCAAAAGTGGCAATATTTCAACCTCCCCAAATACTCTGAAGTGACCTCAGAATGGCCATCCTAAAGCAAAGGAACTTCAAAGGGAGACTGCAATGTGAAACCACTGGCTTGCAATACATCATCAGGAGGTTCAATGCTATCACTTGTGGACTGATCCGAGACAAAGGATTTTTAGCACATTATAGGTCTGAAACCCTACTTTGTACTTCCAGCCAAGTCAAGCAGTGAAGCAAGGCACCCACCCAAATAATCCTTGATTTGGTAGTTTTTAACCTATAACAAAGATGCATTTATGATTATACATTTTCTATACTACTGTATATACTTCTCTGTATTTGTTAGAAATTGTGTGATGTGAAGGGAATTAAGGTTGCGGCCACATTTGACACAAAAGACTGCCAAGATCACTTAGTTGCATGCTTTTATGAAAAAAGTTTTAAGCCTTGATCAGCTATGGGAACCTGAAGTCTTGCTTTGGACAGGCAGAAAGGGCTCAGGGCTCAAAGAAGTTATTTTCACAGCTTGGGTTTATTTGGAAACATCTCAGTAGTTCCAATATTGGTAAAAATTGTTCAGAAGTACATGGCAGGCTTGTTTTTATTATATATTAAATTTGTATACAGGAAGAAGAAGAAATATTTCAAGAAATGTGGTTTAGTGAATATGGTTTATGAAATGCATGCCTCTTGAGACAAAAGGAACTACTTGTAAAGGAAACAGACACCTCCGATAAATCCAAAGTGGAAACACATAACATACTGGGAAATATGAAAATAAGGTCAGCATACTTAATGGAACTAAAATCAATACAATTAATATTTTATGTTGGGGAAATCAAAAGAAATTGTAGTGAATCAGTTGGGGATTTTAAAGATGAAGTCTAATTAAGGAATTATTCATGGAACTGGTTATTAAGACCTTTATTCCCTTTAGCTTTCATTACAAGCACTGAGGTAAAGCTACTACGCACTGACTACAGGAATTTCTTCGTTTTATATTTCTTACCCTTTTTTGACATGTGCTGTCCAAATTTTTATATATGGGTCAAAACTATAGAGCTTCAATTAAAAGCCTTGGGAAATGAAAATGCCTTGCCACCCTGTAATCTCAGAAATAATGTTGGTGCCTTGTGGATCTGTCAGGTTGGATATTCCACAGGTAGGAGCCACCACCAAAAGGACCCTTTCTCCCATTGCAAACTGTCTAGCATCTGAAGGTGGGAGCACTCAAGTGAAAGCCTCTGAGGGTGACCTTAAGGACTGGCAAGTTTATAGTGTGCAGAAAGTGGCCCTTCAAGTAGCCTGGTCCCAAGATACCGAGAACTTTAAATGGCCAAACCAACACCATGGATTGTGGATGGAAACATACTGGAAGCCAGCGAAGACATTTAAAGACAAGTGAAGTATGTTCAGGCTCATGTGTTTTAATTAGTAAGCTTGCTGCCATATTCTGAAAGTCTTTCAAACAGTCTTCAAGGGCAGTCCCACTAGAAAAGCATTGAAACAATCTAATCTGACCTCACAAGAACATGGATAACTGTTGCAAGCTCATTTTTGTCTATGAAGGGACTCTGGCTGGTGTACCAGTCTAAACTGCAGAAAGGCTCTTCATGCCACAGAACCAACTTGAGCACCCAATGAAAAACCCGGGTCAAACATCACTCTGTGACTATGAACCTGCTGTTTAAAGGGGGTGGCAGCCATCCAGAGTTGTCTAGACCTCTAAGAGATATTGAGGCATCAATGCCCCTCCTGGTTCAGATGAAAAGGACAAATAGAGCTGCGTGTCATCATTATATTGAGGGTACCTCATGCTACATCATCTTTAGCGGAGATTCCTGCATTGCAGTGGGTTGGATTAGATGAACCTTGGGTCCCTTCCAACTCACTCAGCGGCTTCAAGTTGATGATAAACAAGGCCTATGCAACACCACAACACAAGTGCCACTGCCATGACAACAAATTCAGCACAGTTTGAAATACAACACTTGATTGTCACATTGTGGACCTATACCCTCCTGAGTTTTGAGCAAAGCTTGTAATTTCTCACCTTGGTCCTATAGCTTTCTCTGTTACCTCATTTCCCATTTACCCTGGTTGTTGTGGTTACAGGCAGGAAGGCTTCACCAGCACCCAGAACCTCATGCTTAATGCATAGCTTCTGGTAGGTGAGATTATAATATTCAGGATTACTTCCAAGGATCCTGGGAAATGGAACTACCAAGAGGCTTCAGGTTCAATGGAACCCCAGTCCTCACTCTGGCTCTCTGGAAGGAATGGAAAGCAGAAGATTCATTTAATATTTGTCAATGGATTTTAAGTATCAACTTATTAAGTTTACCTTTCACCTAAGAAGTCCAATGACATTTGCAACTGGGATTGAAATACAGAGAACTTTAAAAAAAAATAACCCAATAAAATATTAGCTTGGAGAATTTGCTTGATGTTTCATCTTTTGCATGTGTAACTGGGAATAAATCTGACAGAAAAAGCAGGATTGGGCTTGGGAACTCAGTCAGCCCACCCCCAAATTTCTTTCAACTCTAATTCAGTGACCTTTTTAAGTAAGGCTAGTGTTGGATTTTCCCATCTTTCACACTTGAAGCTGATCTCTGAAGAATGGTTTCAGTAAGGACTCTCTTACACAGAACAAAGCTGTAACCTAAAGGACTTTTGTATGCTGAAAACATATGGGGCAGAAGGAGGCCTGTGTCATGCTTTTACAGTATCGTCACTGTTATCAAGAGTACCTTGGGAACAGTGCTTTCTTCACAGCCAAGAGAGAGATAAGTGGCTCTGGCTTGAATTGAACTGAATAATGTCAGTGTAGCATGCATCATCCTTGACAGCTTTCGAGGCCTCGTCCATGAATAGAAATCTGAGCCTGAATCTTCTTCATTACACAGATTTCACAGGCATGCAGTCCCACGGAAAGTAAACAGAATAACATCAGCATAAGTGGAAGGAGAATCAGACCCTAAAAATAATACTTTATGGTTCCTCAGCAGCACCGAACTCTTAAACTGAAATAAATACTTGACAGCGGCATTGGCAGCAACCTAAGCGCCCCCCCCCCCGTCTGACAAGCTCACGGGTAGTAAAAATACTGCTTAGGGTCACACTCTGTACTTTCCTGCACAGATTTAATGAATGGAATGCATGATGTGCTTGCTAAGCTCGGCTGGATAAACATGGAAAAAATCTAGTGGAGCTGTGTCACAGACCACAATGGTTACATAGACTATGTAACTGGAAGAAGAGATTCCTTTGCTATGTATCACTTACTTTTTATATATCTCTGTTGACGAATATTTCACAGCCATTAATTCTTTGCTGATGTTCACAAGATATATATTAGATGAGATTGGCACGTACTTTCGTGGTGTGATAATTGGTTACAAAAGCTATGTTTTAAAACCATGTTTGGAAAACTCTGTGGTGTTTTTGACTTTCGTTGCAGCGAAGAGCTATTGTTCATTAACCATTTTCAGTCTTGGAGCTGTACAATAAGTATCCCGTGGGTCCCCAGGAAGAAGGAAATACAGCCTTTGTGGCTTATTCTTGACATGGAGGATGTGCTAGGTAATTAAACACACACACACACACACACACACATTATCAACTCCTGGTTTCTAATGAACCTGCCGTTTGTCTTCTTCCATTCTGCTCTTTGATTGTCTTCTCCTTTTTGTCCTTTGACATATTGAGAAGTCTATTCCTGATGGCCAGATTGCAGAAAGCCTAAAGGGACAAACTCAATGCAAAGGCATGAATTTACAGATTTGTTTATACGTATGACGCTACCACCACCATTGTCTACTTTGAACCAGCATCAGTCGACTGGAAAACTGGATGTGGAATAAGCAGTAATGTGAACATTTGAGACAACCATTGTTCCTGCATAGAGGAGCATCCATAGGCAGATAACAGCTTCCTGGGGGCGGAGGGTGTTACAGGGCAGGGAAACCAAAAAGGTCATGTGCAGCAGGTGAAGACCTCCTTACCTGTGTTGTTCTCTGATGTGAACAACACAATGTAAATGCAACATGAAATGCAACAAGAGGAAATGACCTCACTGTGTTTCAAACCGCTCTTGTGAACATACCCTGAACTACAACATAGGTGAAGTATTGGCCATTGGTCTTGCATACGCCCTACTTCTTGTAGTAGTGTGCCTCAGCGTGCTGTAATGCATTACCTTTTAGGATATAGGAATGCTTTACATCCCAGTACCTATTCACCTTCCCTCTCCAGCTGTGGAAGCAGTGACAGGAGGAAGGAAGAGGGGCAGCTTTAACTTGGCGCAACCTAACTAGGCCCAAGAAAGAGGGCAACCAATGGGAAAGGATGGCAATGGCAATGAGGTGCACCCATTAAGGGCATCTTGCCAAAAGGTCATAGAATCATGGAATTGTAGAGTTGAAAGGAACCCCTGGAATACATTTTATATCTTTGTTTCATTATGCTTTATGGATGTTTATTTTTAGAAAGTTTTATGTATAATTTTGTACAAAATCCAGAATGTAAATTTAGTAAGTAAATATAAATAGCATTCTAATGCTGGTTTGTTTGTTTGTTTTTGGGTGTTTTTATACTAAAGGGCTTGATGTAATGGGATTTCCTAAAATGGGCTAAGTTGTTGTCTCATCCAGATCCCCAAAGCCTTGTACTTTCCATGAATATGCTGTTTATTTACCCGGTTTAATTTCTCCCCTCCCCATTTTTCATTCCTACAGATTTGTTGTTCTTTCTGCCATCCTCACATTCCTGATTCCACGGGGAGTTTTGCCATTCGTCTTAATAGTAGCAACTCTGGGTCCCTTTGTAATCCTAGGACAGGCTACGACATGCTGAAAAAGCAGTTCCAGCCCAGGAAGGGGGCATGGTTTACTGGTAACATTAATATCCTTAAGGAGACGTAATATTGCAATTGGATTCTGGCAAATTATGGAGCAACATGATGAGATGTGCAGAATCCACACTATTACCCTCCCCACAGCCTTCCACTGGCCCTAATAACAGCTTTGTTGCTAAACCTATATAATTTGATTTTTAACAGCATACTAAAAAAACAAGAGCTCAGCATTCTACAGGGTGATTTTACGTAGTTTGTGGGACAAATAGATTCTGGCTCTACTGTGTGCTAATAATTAGTACAAACGGATTTTGGTACGGAGAAGCTAAAAGACCTGTAGCTATGTAGTTTTAGGCAAAGGAGACCAAAAGGAAGGCAGGAAGAAACCCAACTACAGTGACTGTTAAGGCACCCACTATGTTGCATGGTGATGCTGCCCACCAGGGCATATGAAGAAATTCACATGGATGGTCCGTGTAGGAGCCAGGGGATTGACCAGGGAGTTTTCTGGGTGCTGTGTTGTATGAGTTCTGCTCATAAAATGCTGACACCTGAGACAACCACAAGAGGACTCAAACCTCTGCCTGTAGGGAGGTCTGTGGACTGGCAGTGGTGGGGCTGCGACTATGTCACTATGCCAGATGGCCTGGGGGTGCTGTGACAACATATTGTGGGCCATGATGCAGGGATGCACTAAGGGGCATGTCTGCCTCAAAATCATGACAAGCTCTCCATACCCTTCAACATTTCTCTGATAAAAATAAGGAGCTCCAAAAAAAAGCAGGACATTCCAGTTTCAAATCAGAAACCGGGATGGCTTCTATAAATCTGGGAGTGTCCCTGAAAAATAGGGACACCTGGAGGGTCTGGCTCACTCCATTGGTGGGGACAGTCCTTGCCTGGTGAGCTGTGGAGGTGCTTTTCCAGAGACTGTGGGCATATCTGTCATTTCCCCACTGTCTTTGCATTTTCTTAGGGCAAATCCACTTCTAAGTCAGTTGTGTTTGTGAGTGACTGCTTTACTGCTGTTTCTCACAGAGACTGCACACCACATCTCATTCTCATCGTATCTTTGTCATGGGCTCCTGGAGACATCCTTTTTATCACACATTAATGATGATTTGTGCTGAAGATGCTACTGGGGCAGTCACACTGCCTCATCAGTGCATATCCCACAATTGCCTGGAATCCTTTAAGTTTTAATATCACAAATGTTCTGGTTTGTTTTGTTCAACTTTTGTTGAGCTATAGCCCCTCCAGGCAGCAATGATGCGGTAGCATTGGGGGTACATTGCAGAACAAGCCAAAGCAAAATAAATCTATCACTAATGCACTATTGTTGCATCAAAAGCATGTTGCAAAGTACACCCACACAGCCAAACAGCAGTCTGGAGCTGCCCATTATCATTTATTGTGTTTCTCCATATTACATGACACAATTTATGAAGGTAAAAGCAGTTTTAGGAGTTTCCTCCTTCCCCTTCCAGCCTGAACACAGATTACATAGGGTGACTGTTCTGCTAGTGTAGTGCTGACTGACATCTCTTCTGCCCTGGCGTAATATAAATACAGGATTGCTCTGCTATTGTCCTAAATTTTCAGACTGAGAAAGCACAATAAGGCTGCAATCCTATGCACTCTTTTCCGGGAGTAAACTGCGTTGCGTTCAGTGCACTATACTGTTATTAATATACAGTTATTATAATATCAATATACTGTTAGTGCATCTTTTCTCTTCTCTTAACATAATTAAACGTAAATGGTGGTTTTCAAAGAGCATATTATAAAGTTTTGTTTTAGAAAGAAAAAGAAAGAATCATAGCTTAGCTTAGCTGACTGAAACTGGAAGGTCAAGTTTACTTGAGCTTTTGTTTTCTTAGTGCATTGCATTCCCATTGCACAATAAAAGACATTGTGCTCTCCGCCTCCCAGGAGCTGCCTTGCTAAGCCTTTTCTCTTCCAACATGCTTCACACAGATGAGCTTAATTGGATTCAAGTTCTCCTGTGATAATCACTGCTAGAGTATTTGGGCTGTAAACATTGCAGATGAACGAATATGTAAACCCAAATAAACTCTTCCTAAGGATTTGAAAACAAGAAGATAAGTCATGGAAAGATTTATGTTCCCTGCATGCAATTTAAAGTTTTCTGGCTTTATATAATCTGTTTTTAAGAATATGTTAACCCTTTAAGAGTGAAAAGTAGTAAGATACTACTATACTAACACTATTATGAGCAGCACATTGAGGCCTTTCTTATTTTACCTTTAAGGGAGGGAAGAGGAGCCATTGACATAATGTCAGAAGACCTGGGCCACATCATAAAAGTTTATAGTAACATATTTCTGAGGCAGTATTGCCCCTCTTGAAAAAGTGGAACAGTAAAATTGTAGGAGGAAAGTTGCTGCATGGTGCAGATTACTCAACGAAAGAGTTAGCCAAGTACAGGTGATTTGTTGCCATTGTAGCTAATGGTCAGAGATGTTGTTTGGAAGCAGTAATATCAGTATATACTTTGTCAATAGCGTACAAATAAAAACTTCCCTTTTTGCCGAGCCAAAAATGATTCATTAACCCCCCATAAAAACTGATTAATAAGCTGGGGTGTGGGGGTAGTTCCAGAGCACAGTACTTGAACACCCCAAAAAAGTGAACTAATGTGAATTTGTGAGAAATTCTCCAACATATCATAGAAGGGGAGCCACTGACAAAAATAATCTCTCTTGTCTTCACCCTCCCAAACTCTCCCAGGGGGCACCTGGAGAATGGCTTCCCGCAATGATTGCAAGGTTCAGGCATTTTTCAAGTGGTTTTCCATTAGATATTGGAGTCCTGAGCTTTATAGCTCTTTAAAGGTTAAAATCAGCTGAACTGGGCTCAGAAATGCTCAGATAGCCAGTACAGGTCTGCTAGAACCAGAGTTAAATGCTGAGATTGCTTGATTCATGTCAGCAGTCTTGCAGCTGTATTCTGCAACAGATGCAGTTTCTGAGTCATATCCACAGACAGCTCCATGCATTGCAGCAATCTAATATTAAAGTTACTGCAGCATAGATCACTGAATCCAGGTTATTCCTGCCCTAATGAGGAGGCACTGGCCTACTGGCCAAAGCTGGTGGAAGGCATTCCTGCCTTCAGCTATGATAGTGGACCTAGGACCTAGGGGGAGTGTGATCCCCATCTAGAACAGGCTGTACACCACTCATCTAGCCAGATGAAACAAAGAACATCTCAGTCTGTTTTGGATTGAACCTCAGTGCATTGGCCCACATCCAGTCTATTACCGCGACCAGCATCAGTTCAGCACTTCCACCGCCTCACTTGCAAAAAATGAAAAGGAGAAATAGAGCAGTGAGTCACCAGGATGCTGATGACAGTGCACTCCGCAGGACTTTGGCCAGTGGTTTCATGTAGAAGTTAAACAGCATGGGGGACAAGACCGACCCCTGCAGGACCCAATCATACAGACTCCCAGAAAAGACATTAGAAGGGTGGAGTGGCCCTTATTCTTGTGCCTCGCACCCCAGATTTGAGCAGAGTCTGTATTTATACAATACCTAGATTTCTGAGATGCTCTGCTATTAATACATTTATAATTAACTATTTTTTTAAAAATAATAACAATAATAAATCTAATTGCTTTTCTACTGCTTTCTCTTATTTCAGTGCTCCTTTTCATATTGCCCAATGGGAACATTTTGCTCAACGTAATTCATCACACGGCCACCTCCAAGCATTTTAATGCGCTGCCTAAGCCACGTCTTCTATGTGAAGCCTACAAATGCATGGATACACCGAAGACTACCAAATGCATTTTAATGAGCTGGCTTTGCCAGTGCTTGAAGCCTTAGGCACAGCTGAGCTGCACTAAATCCCAGTGAAGTCAATGGGAATTAAGCAGCCTAACTGCAGGATTGCCACTTTGCTTTCTAAAGGAAGCTGTTCTGGAGCAGAGAGCATTGTGTCTGGATGTCAACAAAGCAGGATCAAAGCCACACTGAATGGCTAATTTCCCTTGGGAAGACACTCAGACTAATCTACCTCACAAGGTTGTTGTGGAGGATTTATAATAAAAGGATTATATAGGTTTGTTTTTTTAACAGGAGCTCCATTTGGGGTTTTAGCAAAGGACAAAGAGATTTCAATGGCATGGGGAAAAATCTGTAGCACGATTTAAAGACTCAGGCTTGGATGTGTTCAAGATTAAGTTGCAAAAGGCAGTGTATTTTAAGTGCATTTGTTGTGGTTACTTTTTATATCTCATATAACCATAACAAGGTCAATCACATAGGACAATCACACAATCTTCTTTCAGCAAAGGCCTCTGGAATGCAAGTTGGTTATGTAATGCAATTTAATTGTTTATAACAATTGCTAAAATGTGTAGCACTAATGGGCAGACCACAACTTTAGGTGCTCCAATTTTTAAATAAAAAAATCAGTCCAAAATATGCACCATGTATGCGTGCGTGTGTGTGTGTGTACCCTGCTCTTCCTAAATGACACTTAAAAAAGGCTATGTAAATTATTAATATTAGTCATGTGTTTAAGGGCCACACATTTTTCTTTTAATTTCTTTTATGCATTTAGCATTCTATTAGCCCTGGAATGCAAATGGAAATTAAACGTTTTATTAAATTAATGCTGCCAAGTTAAAGAGTGTTTTTTTAATTTTTAAACCCCGTTCATAGAAACCTACCCAAAGCTGAAATGTTTTATCCAACCTTTTCACATTGCAGATTCAGTAAGAAAATCCCTGTGATTTTTGTGCAGCATTTTTAATTGGTTCCATAGGTTGCCTGTCACCACTGACAGTGTGCAGAAGGTTCACCATACAGAAGGCTCCCTGCTCTACCCCTCCCCTTGCTTTTGATCATTTCCCTTGTCTTTCACATCTTAGTCCTTGAAGGTATGTATTCAGTAACCAGCAGAACCTGCTTCCCAGATGGTAAAAATCAGACATCCCACTTGGGTTATTGTATTTTTCTTTTTCGCTTCCCTCAATCCCCTTTGTGCCGTTAGGACTTTGCTGTTGCTAAGCTTAGTGCGATCTTGGCTCTGTTCCAGTGTAGGTAATTATATCCTGGCTGGTCTAAAAATTCCTCCTGTTGTTTCATCTGGAGAAGCAGATCTTCAGTTTCTGTCCTCAGTGGTCTCTGGGTGTCCATAAATGATAGGATACTCCTCCCTCCCCCGGGTCCCAAAGGAGGATATACATTTCAATGCTGGATGAATGAAGGCTTTTTGAAGGAAAGAGACTGAAAAGCACAGCAGTTTGCAAAGAAAAACAACAACACACACAGACACTTTTTTGTAAGAATCCTTAGAATGTATGGCAAATGGTGAAAAGCAGGGAATAAAGAATGGGGAACTGAACTTCAGTGGGAAATACAGTGGGTCAGAATCTCCTTAGCAAGGGAGCCTAGAGTAACTTAGACCTAACTTCTATCTACCTATAGAAAGATACTGAAAGATGCATTCCCTAAGCATGTACAGGGTACCATTCCCTTATCACTGAGCAGCTGCAGTCAACTTCCAGGCTTTTGAGCAAGCACCCTATAGAAAACTCCTGCCAACCTAGCAGTTCGAAAGCGCATCAAAGTGCAAGTAGATAAATAGCGGGAAGGTAAACGGCGTTTCCGTGCACTGCTCTGGTTTGCCAGAAGCAGCTTAGTCATGCTGGCCACATGACCCGGAAGCTGTACGCCGGCTCCCTCGGCCAATAAAGCGAGATGAGCGCTGCAACCCCAGAGTCGGTCACGACTGGACTTAATGGTCAGGGGTCCCTTTACCTTTACCTATAGAAAAAACAGCATAAACATTATGTTGAATTTTATGCCTTCTTTGAGCAGATGAGGAGGTACATCACAACAGACATAACATTAGGGCTCTCATGATCCAATATATTTTATCAAATTCCTCTGCCCACAAATAGGATAATTTTGAGAGGCCATTTGTCTACAGTTCTTGTATGAACTAGCCATTGTACTTTCTTCATGGCCTTTTATAATGGCCACTCACAAATAAGTACTATCTTGCAAAGGTCTCTAGCCATTTTTTAAAACCTAGCCTGCATGTTCATTGCTCAGCTGGTTTCATTTCTACCTATTGGTCCAGCCTAGGAGAATAATGAATAATTTCCCCTTGAATAGCCTCTCTGTGAATTGTCACATGTCAGTTTCTGTTCCCCAACGTGGGAAAAGGGGGGGGGAGGGAAGGTCTGTTACAAATTTCCTCTCATTTTTACTTTACTTTTTTTGATAGCAGAATTTCTCTATTAACAAAATAAAGTGGAAATTCCACAGCAAGCTGCAAGTGGATAAGAACATGGTCAAATGAAGAGGAGGGTGAGGAAGCTGAGGAAATTGCAGAATATAAGAGACACCATGGTCAATACAGGAGATAAAAGAAAACCACACCATGCCAGTAGCTGTTACTTCTACAACAACGAGAAAACGACATGCAGTCAAAAACATTGTTGGCTCCATGATCATCCAGTGCCAGGCAAAGTCAAGGGAAGGGTTCAAACTGCCTGTCAAAGAAAATAATTCTGCACTCAAAATAAGAACATAGTTAAAAGGCTGGGAAGCACAACATGTGGAATAACTTAAATGCTTAGCTTCCTGGTGCCATTTATGTAATACTTCCAAATTTTGGGAGAGGAGGAATGGTGCTTTTTGTGATAATGGACCTAAATAAAGCCTGCTACTTACAATCCAAACTGTTGTCACCGTTTCCAAACAGCAGAAACAGTGTCTGTCTATATCAAGTCACTACATAAACCCAAGGATGCTTCTAGCCTTCGAATTCTAGACTAAGATTTAAATTCTGGAGACTAAGCCTGCCCTTGCCACAAGTCCTACTTCCACCCACATTCCTTTCTCAGAACCTATTTAAAGAGCATCTTCTCTCTTATGCCCTGCCATAATCTCTAAAGATGCCAGAAAAGTTGTCCTGAGGCAGACTCAGAAATTAACTTTGTGGACTCTTAAAAGCTCACTTTAAATCAGAGGCAATCTTTTAATGTCCAAAGTTAATCAGTATTACACCCCCAGAACAACCCTCTTTTCTCACCTTGCTCTTAAGGTTGATCAATTGATATACTGATATCAATATATTGATTGATATGTGTAATGCAACAATGTTTAATGTATTGTTAATGGGAGCTGATGGGGCTTTCTTTCTTTTTTGTTTTTTCCTTCCTTCTTTCCACAGGTTTGTTACGTTAAAAATATATTTTTCAAAAACTTCCCCTTAAGGTCCACCCTGGAGGTTGAAAGCTGATAATTCCAGATTAATATTACGATTGCCAGCATAACAATAATTGTTATTATTGCAGCTGCCCTTCTAACTTTGACTCCTTGCCCCTTTATTCCTTCCCCACTCATCATGTTACTATGTGCAAGCCTTGGCTTTGCATAAACTTTCACCAGCACCAAAAAACTCTAAAATCCAAATGACTTGAACTTAAAGACGGGGCACTCACTTTTTTAAAGGCTGCTTCCATCTTTAAACACCCCCGAAACAAGAAACTGTATTAATATACCAATCTTATAGAGTGGTACCTCAGGTTAAGAACTTAATTCGTTCTGGAGGTCCGTTCTTAACCTGAAACTGTTCTTAACCTGAAGCACCACTTTAGCTAATGGGGCCTCCCACTGCCACCACGCCGCCATCGTGCGATTTATGTTCTCATCCTGAAGCAAAGTTCTTAACCCGAGGTACTATTTCTGGGTTAGCAGAGTCTGTAACCTGAAGCGTCTGTAACCCGAGGTACCACTGTATACAGAATTTAGGGTTGCTACCTACCCATAATCCTCAAATAATAATCATTCACCAAAATACAGGACACATATTTGCATATGCTAATTCATATGTATAGTTGCAGATTTAGAAATAACTGCTGCAATTTAAATAGAAATTCTGTACACTGCACCATAGCAAGGAAGACTATGACCAGATTACCTATGTGCCTGCTATCCCAATGCTACCTTCATGGACTTTGCTCCCCCTTCTCATGGCACTTTATATTTAATCCAGGCATAGACTGGACAGCTCTTCAAATAGAAGGTTCCTTTGAATAGCAGGCTGTCCTTTGGCAATCTCCAAATAGAGGACTGTCCTCTGTAAAGTAGCACACAAGGCCACCCTTGTGCACCATCCTGAGCACTGCTACAAAAGAGGATATACCATTTTGTATACCTTGTGAAAAAGAAGCTATGATTTAGCATAAAATTACAAAAATTGAGATCTTTCTTTTTGTAAATAATTTTTATTAGTTTTTCACAGTTACCTTTTTACAAATAAAAACAAATGCCTTTTTTCAAACCTCCTCTTTGAGATTCTTTAAATCTCTGGACTTCCCTCCATACCCTCTTCTGGTTCCTTATATTAACCAATTTCTTCCGCATATCCATTCTTAAACTTTGTCCATGATTATTTCCCTTAATTTTATCTAATTTTCTACTAGTTGCAAGCGTTTACTTAAAAGCCTGCCAATGTATCAACTTGCTTACTGTATTTTTGCACATAAACAATAAACAATTCTCACTCTTTTTTAAATTTCTCATTTATTGTAGCCTCTGAGTTTTGCCGTTAATTTTGCCATTTCTGCATAGTCCATTAGCTTGATCTGCCATTCTTCTTTCATTGGTATCTTTTCTTCATTTCATCTTTGGGTTAACAGTATTCTGGCGGCTGTTGTAGCATACATAAATATTGTCTTCTGTTCCTCTGTCCACAGAACAAAAAATGGAAATCTTTCAAACCTCTCTTACTATTTACACCATACAAATAACACATTCATTTGTTCATGCATGCACGCACGCACACACACACGGGCACGCACACACGCACAGAGCCTTCTTATCTAGCACTGTAGAGCTGTACTGTATCCAATGATAGCTGCTGTTGACAAATAGTGATACAGTTTTTAGATGTATTTTGCAGCTGCTAGACACTTCTAACCATAGGAGCTTAGCCACAAATGGTAGGAAATAGAGCCAAGAAGAACACGTTATCTGTTTGCAAAACTGACAAAAGTCTCATTGTGGTGGGATTGGGAAAAACAAAGGATGCACCACATTCTGGTAATGCAGAACTAAATGCTCTCTAAAATCCTTTTAAAGGCACATACAGGGATTTTCAGTTCTGGGACTTAAGAATTATGTTACCGTGGTTCCTACTACTATTAAAATTTTAAGACCATAGGAGGCTGCCCTACACCAGGTTTGTTCATCTAGCCCAGTATGACTGGCAATAGCTCTCCTGGGTCTCTGGCAGAGGTATTTTCCTTTCCCTACTACCTGATCCTTTGAAAAAAAAAAGACCACATAATCACATAATTGTAGAGTTGGAAGGGACCAAAAGGATCATCAACAATTATTTACCTGGAACAAAGAGAACCACAAACAACTAGAACTTCAGACCAAAGTAAAGGCTGAACAACTATGAAGACATGACAGCTGAAACTAACAAAATATTATTGCATGTTGGGCAGGATGTGTCCTTGTACTAACAGTCTCATTAGCATGAAAAATAAAACTACTCTTGATATACCTAGAAACAGACTGCACTGGTTTCACCAGGATGGGAATATATGAACACCAGGAGTGGTTTGCAGAATCAGAACAAAAACATAGCTAATCTAGGATTTGTGGGAAAGGCCATAGCTTAGTAGGAGAGTGCATGTTTTGCATGTAAAAGGTTCCGTGTTCAATCCCTGGCAATTTAGGTATAGGGCTGGGAAAGACTCTTGCCTGAGAACCTGAAGGACCACCGTTTGCACATGCAAATCAGGGATGGGACACTTGTTGCCCTCCAGAAGTTGGTGGACTCCCGACTCCAATCAACCCCTGCTATCATGAGCAACAGTTGTGGTCCAACAACATCTGGAGGACCGCAGATTCCCCAGCCCAAGTGTAAACTGGATAAACCAATCATCCAGGACAAGGCAGCTTACTAACATTACAGGCTAGCCAACGTTGATCAGAGAAGCTCACAGGTCATGGTGGAAAGAGTCAGTCTTTCTGTTCCCAGCGTCTGGCACTCAAACGCACATACCATTTTTAGATTTGACCTAAGATTCAGTCTCTATAGTGCTCTTGATGCAGCAAACAGCTTCCAGCACTAGCTTCAATAATGTATGCTTTCCCTTTTACCAAAGCAGCTCGGCCCCATGAGAGAAATTGCATTGTCTGCTGTTTGCTACTAAAAAGCTATTTGTGGTGAGAATTTATTAAGGGCAGTGCCATGGTCTTAAGGTTTCTAGGCCCCTGCCTCTCCTTTAATCTTTGAGCCAAAGCTCTTAGCTTCTGCAGCAGGGTCCATTAGCGCTTCTTCGTGAGCACTGCTAACAATGGCTTCCTTACTGGGGGTATCACTAGGATTACACTCCCTGCCAGAATCCTCTGGCACAAGAATCACTGTGAGTCAGAGCAGGAAAATAATTAACCCTCATGATACTTCTCTGAGGAGTGAATAGAATACATAACAAGCTTTATAGGGTATTGAATTAAACCTACTCCTGGGGGAAAGGCATTCCATGGTCTTTATTATGCTTAAGAATTAGGATGTGGCTGTTCCTGGGAAGAACAGGTCCCCCGAACTCATCTCACTCCAAAATGGTTCCTCCAGTTTCCATTTAAACAGATGTATGCCACTATTTGCTAACCACATCTTATCATGGACTTTTAGGAGGTCAAAGTATGCTGGAGCATTCTCATCAGCAGAGACACCTTATTGTGCTCTCAGAATCCAGTTCTCCAGTTTCTCCAGGCAATCTTGTAACAGAAAATTCACCTTAGAGCGCCACAGTGCAAACTCAAGTTTATTTAACAAGGGCTGTGGATTAGTAGAATTCTTACACATTAGTGCCTACTGTAAATGGTTGCCAGTTTTTAGTGATTAAAAAAACCGCACAATTTTCCGTGTTACATGCATATGTGAAATTCTCAGTTCTGCATGGGAAACTATGCATGGGAAACTATGTTGACATCCATATTACACATTTAAAGCATTCATACCATTTTAACAGCCATGGCTTCCTGGAATACTGGGAACTGTAGCTTAAGAGTTGTTATGAGACCCCACGCAGAATTTCAGTTCCCAGCAACCATAACAAACTACAGTTTTCAAACACCACACATTTTAAACACATTTATAGCACATGGCGTGCTCTGGTCCATGGGGTCATGAAGAGTCGGACATGACTAAATGACTAAGCAACAACAACAGCACATCGCTTCCCCCAAAGAATCCAGAGAACTGTAGTTTGTCCCTCAAAGAGCCCCCTTTAAAACTACAGATCCCGGGGTTCTTCGGGGCAAGTCATGACTGTTAAAGTGATATAAGAATGTGTTAAATGCATAGTGTGGCTGTGACTTATACCCTGCACCACAGTAGCCACAGCGACTAATGAACCAACCTGGTACAATTTTTAGACAATCACTGTGCTAAACTAATTCCTATGGATTCCAGAGGTGTGTGTTGAAATTTTTCATTGAGGAACAGTTAGGGTCAGAAATGCCAACTTGTGAGGGTGATGCAGGTGTGTGTGTGTGTGTTTGACGTCATGTGCATAAGCATCACGCCTCCCTCCCTAAGCCAGACAGAAGCTTCCTGGGCTTTGGGAAGGAGGCGCCAGGGGAACATTTAGGGGACTAGCCTAGTCCTTCTAGTCCACTGACCAAACATCACTGGTGGATTCCTATGTTTTGTCAATGCTGCCCAGAGTGGCTGGGGAAACCCAGCCAGATGGGCGGGGTATAAATTATTATTATTATTATTATTATTATTATGCAAATGAAAATGCTTCTTACGGATATCTCAAGTTTATTCTGTCCATTCACTACTTTCCAAGGGATGTCTGGATCTCAAACTGCGGTACAGCTTTGTATGGGCTGACCTTGTGACCTAGTCTAAGGCTACCAATATTTTAAAGATTTTGAAAGGGGGACTTTTAGCAACTAAACCATAGGAAAAACCCTGCTAGCTGAGACCAAAGGTGCCTCTAGCCCAGGTTCCTGCCTCCCAGAGTGGCCAATCAGGGTATAAACAGAAGTCCGGTAAGCCTACAAGCAATAGTGCTCTCTCACTGCTGCTTCCCAGCAGCTTGTATTCCATTGCATGCTACCATACCAATCTATAGTATCAATATAATAACCACGGCCAACAGCCATGGATAGAGCTATTCTCAGTTAAGTTGGCTATTCCCCTCTTAAAACCATCTAAGCTAGCAGCTATCACCACCACTTGTGGCAGCAGGTTTCAGAGCTACGTGATTCCCTAGGGGACCAGTTTGGTTATTGCTTGTGCTCCAGCGACAAAAAATGGAATATTGATTGAAGCGCTGGACTCCCTGCTTTGGTTTGGTGTTTGGTGTTACATGTGCACTGCATATAAGGAGCTGCTGCAGTTTCTTGGAAGAAAACAACATGGGAATGTTATGCAGATTATTGCATTTTTGGGATTTGTTTTCTAGTTAAAGGGGGAGGGTGATGTCAGTCTTTCACCAGCAGTCGTCCCCAGCAAAGCAAATTAACGTTCCTCTTCCAGGAGGAGCTTGTCCTCCCGTAAAACAGCTGCTTGTCTCAATAGAAATGGAGGAAGAACATTATACACTACCCTAGAGAGATCTCCAGAAAACTAGAGATCACAGAGATTTGATAATGAGAAGCAGCAGTCTTCCAAAAAATGGAAACCTCATGATCCATCACACTTCCGCAGGGAGTTTAGTTCACAGAAACTGTGTGTTCATGTTTGTTGGCAAATGCGATGCTGGTTAGCTGTCTCTCCGTAATCCTTGCTTTAAATAAGTAAAAGCAAAAGGTTCAGACCAACGGGCGGGGTACGCCAGCATTCTTACGTTCTTGTTGCTGTTTTACAATCATTATGCGGGAAAATGTAGGACAGCTTGGGACTCAGCTAGATTGGTAAAGAAAAAGCGATTTATATGTGTTGCATATGCAATATAACATTATGCCACCAGATGGTGATGTGGACTCCTGTTTTTCTCTACCTGTTTTCCCTGTTTAAATTTATAGCACGTTTAACTGAAACACTTGTTTGAGGTGTCTAGATCCAGCCTTGGTTAAGAAATGTTAAAAGTTCAGGGATATTAAGAGGATGCTCCTCACTTAAGATGCTTCAAATCTATTATCAGCTGGGGGAGCTGGGGAGCACAAAGGTCACATCCACATTGTATGTTTAAAGCACTCTTATACCACTTTAACAATCATGGCCTCCCCCAAAGAATTCTGGGAATCATAGTACGTAGTTGTTAGGAGCTTCCTCACAGAACTACAGTTCCCAGTACTTTACAGTTCCTGGGATTCCTGTGGGTGGGTAGCAGCAAAACAGTGTGTTAAATGTATGTTATGGAAGGGACCTAAGACATCAGTATCAACTGGTTATCATATAACGAAGCAGAAGTGCTGTTTTGCACAACCTTTAGCCCAGGAGCTAGCTGGAGACCTGGTTCACAAGCCTGCAATTTATTGTTTCAGATTTCCCAGCAGAAAACTCCAGCCAAGAAGAAAGGGCAGCTACAGTAGGGCAGCTACGACTAGGCCTTTGCCATCTTTAACTATAAAGAAACGGAAGAAGCATAAGATACTGTCCACATGCGATCTCATGAGAGGCGGGCGTATGCAAATGAATGTAAGTTTAAGGAAACAGAGAAACGACAAGGTGTTAGAATTTGGCATTTCATTTAAGAAGGCGATTCATGGGAATGTAACTAGTCTCTCCGTGACATATTACTGTACATTCCAAAACCTTAAAATGGGGTCAGGTTGTCAATTCAGGACTGAATGTAGACACCTCCTTTGAGTTGTTGGGGAGAATCCTTCAGGAGAGACTTTTTAAACTCCCTTCTGCATTCCTGAAAGACCACAGATCACACAATTTCCTAAAACTGCTAAAGTTTCAGAAGGGAAAATAATTAGATGGCACTGTACTGGAAACTTAGCTACCTGCAGGGTATTTTTTCACACTTCCTAAATGCTTACCCTTCACCCCAGTATTGAAGCGTGACCCTAGGAAATCTTTTTTTCTAAACTCACAGGTTTCTGGAAATATTCAGGATGACAGAAGACTAGCCTAATTTCTGTAAAAGCTAGTACTCCCCCCCCCCCACTGGCATCTTGAGGGAGTTGCTTTTTCTCTCTCCAAGAGAAGTTAAAAATACTCACTACCATGGAAAGAAGTGATTTTACTTAGCCGATTGCCAGAATCTGAAATACATATTCAGAAAGAGGGAATCCCCTCCCATATACATAATGCATGAGTTTCGTGAAGGCTTCTCTTCACACACGCTTCCCACCCAAGGCTTTGAATATTTAATTTCTCTGCAATAACAAGTTCAGAAAGAGATTTTTTTAAAGGCACAAAACCTCACTAATGTTAAACATTCACTGGCTTTCAGCAGGAGCTGTTCTGTTTATGCAATTATAACTTTTAAAAGAGAGTAATTCTATCTCCTGCCAAAGAGAGCTCAAAATAAATAAGATTATGCATAGATGCTCCTGTATTGGCACAGTTTCAGTATTTCCAGATTGCCCTAGTGCAAGAGACTTGAACTGTGCAGCTGTACTCAGGCAAAGTCTTGCAAGGGCAATCTTCTTGTACATACTTACAAGGGTGTAGGCCCGACTGAACACAGTGAGACTTACTTCTGAGTAAATAGGCATAGGATCCGTCTGCATGAAACTGTAGGGCAGGGGAAGGATGAGAAATTAGTAATTGCCACACTATCTTTCTGCCAAGGACCCAAATCCACACTCACTGAGTTGTGGGAATACAACACTGTATTGCTAAATCAAACTGTATTCCTAAATACAATACTGTATTCCTAAATTAAACCCAAACACTGCACAGCCTAATATTAGCTACCAGGCTAAGTTCAAAGTGCTAGTTTTGGCATATAAAACCCTATACAGCTTGGGACCAGGATACCTGAAAGATCATGTCAACCATTCTTTCTAACTGGGACATATATTACTACCACATTCCCCTGACCACATACATTTAAATGCAGATTATTTGTGTTCTAAAGCTACAACCCTATACCTTCTTACCTGGGAATATCCTCAATGACACTTTTCTATAGGCATGTGTAGGCACTGTTTTCTTCTCTTGCAGAGCAAAGGTAGCCGAAATATAACCAGAATAAGTTTACATAAGGGATCACCATACCTTATGTGTGGTATGGAGCATATGGGAAAATAGGGACATAAAAACACCTTTGTATGACCTCTTAAGTGTTGGCATTTGGAGTTAAAATGTTCTGCAGAACTTTTATTAACTTAATTAACTTAATACTGAATCCCTTTTGGAGGAGCACACTTTACCCTGGATATAATCACACGGAGACTTGGAGTTTAGGGAAAAGTAAGATAGCTAGGAAATAGATGCTTGATAGGAAATATCCTAGTTCTAACTAAGGTGGAGATACCTTGAGCCATGCTTGCTCTTTCATCTCAGTAATTTACAGATGGTCTTCAAGGAAAACAAAGAGTAATCAATCTGAAGTGATGCTAAAATGTGGGTCACTAAGGCCAGGCTATCCTGGTCCAGAAACAGCTGCAGTTGATGCACCAGCAATAGCTAGGCAGATTTTATAGATGATAATATAGATGGTATAGGAGAGGTACTAGGTGTATATAAATACAAGAGCAGAATGAACCCCAAAGGGTTTAAAAACTTGCTTTTGATTGAAGGCCCAACACCTGTTTCTCCTCTCCTGTGAGAGGACCTAAATGACTGTGATACTGTCACACAACCTGAGAAAAATGTGTTGCTTTGCTTTAAGACAGTGGTAGAGCTATATGCAGGTTTTTTTTCTAGTTGTTAATAAAGCTGATGTGAAATGGATGGGGAAGGAAGCCAACCCTTCTCACTGATGCAAAGATTTTTTACAATGTGCTTTGTCTCTGAGATTTTTTTAATGCCAAGGCCCAGATAAGTCAGCTGGGATTTCAGAAATATTAAGCACAACTGTGAGGCATTAGTAGCTAGTATCTTTTTTTAAATGGTAGGGCTGGCGCCTTCCCCAAACCAGGATTTTTTACAGCATCCATGAAGAAAAGAGTGATTTTAAAAATGTCAGTGTGCCCTGCTTTCCTCCCTGAGAAACATCAACTGCTCTGTAGGCAGAGGGAATGCCTTCCATTTAAGAAAGAAGGAACGTGACTTTCAGACAACATCTCTCATTTTGAAACTAAACCATATCAGGCGACATAAATTCATGCTTTTTGGAGTAGAGCAGGGAGGATGGGACAGGCACATATATTGTACACCCAATACCAAACCCCACAAAACTATAAATATGGCAGAGCTTTTAGCAGATCAGGAAACACTTGCACATGGTTAAAACAAAACAACATAAAATCCAGCCTATTAAAAACGAGCTACGTTTCTCCTGAAGCTGAAAGAACTTGCAATTTCGGCCAGATACTCCTCACTTCAAAACACTCCTTGCTGTTGCCTGCAGGCTGTCATCCACCAGAGATCGCCTACAAACGTAAGAGGGGTCTCACCCTAGGGCACTCTATCTAGTGCCCCCTCAAACATGGAGCTGGGCCAGGGCCGAACTACACTGCTCAGCGGGGGTGGGAACCTGTGATGCACATACATCAGATGTTGCTGGACTCCAGTTCCCATTATGCCTGACCACTGGCCACACTGGCTAGGGCTGATGGGATTTGGAGCCCCACAACAGTTGGATGGCCATCGGAACTCTACCCCTGCTATTTTGCAATGTAAAATATTGGTGGTATAACTTGCACTTTTAATGTCAGGAGCACAATAACCAGTGCTATTTTCCCGGAACTCACCATGAACACCTCCCTCGTTCTTTTAGAACGACAATGGCGCCCACCTGACGAGTTCCAGCAAGTTCCAGCTGAAAAAGCCCTAACAATAACTATAAATTACCTCAGCAAACAGGAGGTCTCATAAACACGCATAAGGAGGGGAAAATCAGTGTAGGAAGGTGGCCTCCTTAGAGATTCTAATAACTATTGCGCCTCAGCTACAAAGTCCTCTTCCCCACCCAATCTTGCTTCTGGTTGGGTAGCCGCATGCCCTATTTTTCAGAGTGCACTCCTCTATTTGAAAGCAACCTCTGTCTGAAGGGCTGTCCAGTTTCAAAGTAAAGAATAAGAATGGAAAGCTGCGGTCTGACAAGTTATCAGTGCCTTAGCAATGACATTTGTAAAACCTCTCTGGAAGCCTTTCTCATCAGGAAAAAAATGCTTAAGATAAATAAATAAATCAGTTGCCCATCAACAGTTAGCACCTGACTGAGCAGATACACACCTGGCTTGTCTCCTCAACTAGGATGAGATGTATTGTATTAGTATAATAATTAGTTCTAAAATGCCAATTATACTCATGAGAAGAGAAGATTCCCTGGAAAAGACCCTGATGTTGGGAAAGGTTGAGGGCACAAGAAGAAGGGGACTACAGAGGATGAGATGGTTGGACAGTGTTCTCGAAGCTACAAACATAAGTCTGACCAAACTGCGGGAGGCAGTGGAAGACAGGAGTGCCTGGCGTGCTCTGGTCCATGGGGTCACGAAGAGTCGGACACGACTAAACGACTAAACAACAACAAAATGCCAATTTTATGCAAATCTCTGTCCTCTTTGATCTTCCTTTTTGGTGATGCATTCTCTCTCTCTCTCTTAACACGTAAGTGGCTTCTTCTGATCCAAGAATCTGTTTGGATATGGATTGATGAAACTGTAGTTTGCAGGGAAGAATCAGCCGGCAGGGGAAGGGTTAAGCACCCCCTGCTCCCTCACCAGTTCTCCCTGCAAATGTCGCCTCCAGCGCCCATGTTAGCACTGTGAGACAAATGTATTTCTCTCATAATGTGTAATTGCATCTAATTGCCTGGCAGAAGGGTGAGCAGGCAGAAAAAAAGAGCCAAAGGTAAGATACATAATATATGTCTGAGCAATAACAAGTGTAAACAGCAGCTGCTCAGGCTTAGAGGCATTATAGCAACAATTATAATCACATTATAACTACACATTACAAAGGATGCTGCTTGAAACTGGCCAAGGTTTCATTGTGATGGCACCACTGAGGGGGCGAAACTACACAAATGAACATCAACTCAAATGAGGGCTGGGCTCTCAAACCATAGGCCATTATTTCCACCTGCCCTGTGAGAAATAGAAGAGAGAGCAGGCAGCAAGGAATGCCTCTTCTGTCCTGAGATGAACCTGCCCTTAGATCTTCATCTCTGGCTCCCTCCTTTAAGGGAGACTCAGAGGACAATGACAAGAGAGAGGGCCTTTTCCGCTCTGACTCCCTATTTATGTGACCCTCTCCACCGTGGTCCACTTCAAGTCTTCTTTGACATATTTGGCACCTGATAAAAATGTCCATTTTCCCAGGTTGTTTATGGACTAATGATGCTGTTTGGTCAGTGGTGCTGCTTAAATTTTCTGCTACTGGGATGGTGTGTTGCTTCATGGATTATAAGTGTTTTTCATTGTAATGGCCCAGATTCAGCTAACTTGGTGCTCAAAGAAAACTCCATCAGTTCAGGGAATTGTGGGTGGGGCAGGGGAGCAATTAAGAGCATTACTCTTTAATGGGCTTTCATTACACTGTTTTCTGTGTAATATATAGTTTGACCTGGATATTTTAAAATTAAAAGTATATTTTATTGCACATCATTTAATAATGTCTTAATAGAATACCCAGCGCCACAAAAACTGGCCCATACTAACAATCTATTATTAAGTATTAGCAGCACAGTTGGGTGGCATTCTTCCTAGAATGCTGAAAAAAACAATAACAGCACACCTTCTCCCACAATTCCTACAACCCTTTGATCCACATTCCATCATTTTGCGGCCAATAAACACATGGCTTGCACTTTCTTATTTTGCTTATTCTGCTGCTAGCTGGAGAGTCCAGAGCTGCTACTCTGCAGAATTCAACTTCTGGTTTGCTGAGCTATTCTGTGGGGTGCTTTGCTTCTTGTTTACTTGGCCGTACACCACTGAGGCTTGCTCATTTTGGCTAATCTAAAACAGCAGTTTCTATTGTAATTCAGATCAGGAACTTCTGGGTTTTAAGTACATCTCCCCTAAGGCAGATAATAGAAGGCTGCTATTCTTGCTTGCTATATGATGGCAAGTTTTTTTTAAGCATGAGCAGAAACAATGGATAATGCTTGCTATATTTGTAATTATGGAGCAACAATTGCCCATCTATGGATTCACATTTTGTTTCAATCTGAAAAGCTTGAACATTTTTCCTACTGTTCCAATAAATTTTAACTAGCTTTTACTGACTTTAGGAAAGCTAGGATCTCTAAAAAATTGTCTCACCTTCAGCCTCTTGCTGAAGCAAGCAGCTTTCATTTCAGCTATTGGCTAAACTACAGTGCCTCTTCTGACTCAAGCCTTTGCTTTGAAATAGATGTGGCTGGATCTAGAACATCTCAAATTCAGTGGTTTAAAAAGACATTTTTAGAACAAAATGTTTCTCTTCTGTAGATGGTCATGTAAGTTCTTGCTTAACGAGGAATCTTCTAGCCAGGGAAACAATTTCTTTTTCACAACCCAACGGAGTAATTCTTTTGTCTCTTTGCTAGTTTTAATAAGCTGAGCAGCATAAAAGCATCTTCACTTCGGCGTGTGTCCCCCTCTTCCCAAAATGTCTACCTTTTTCAGCTTTCTCCCTCCACCCACCCCACCCCTAGTCTTGCTGTCTCTCATATGCACAGCCAACAACTTCTCCAAACCTACTGCAAGATTCTCTTTAACAATAAGGCTACTAAGATTTAGAATGCCAAGTACCGTATTTCGAAAAACAAACTAGCCTGTGCGAACATTTATGTACATTTATGTTTACTCCCATGTAAGTTGCACAGCAAAAATGACAGCAATGAAGTTGTGGAGGCCACTGTGACCCACTGATTTAGACTGGGGATGTATGTGCTCTATCCTGCAGTTGAACAACCTTGAGTGGCTGAATGTTACAAGCTAGGCTAACCTCGTTACCTGTTACATGGAAGACTGTTGTAAGATGCAGCACTGCTAGTTTGCAACCGTCACATCCAAAGCCGCACATTTAAAGCGCATGGTTTCCCCCAAAGAATCTTGGGAAATGTATTTTGTTAATGGTGCTGGGAATTGTAGCTTGGGGTGGAACTACAGTTCCCAGGATTTTTTTGGGGGGGGGGAATACTGAGCGAAGGTAAGAAAAACTGGATTCTTACTCGCCCTTTGACCCCCTTCTGAATTGTCCGAGCGGAGACCAACGGCCGCCCTCCCTCCTTGGCAAAAAAGGGCGCCGTCTTTGAACGGCTTCAGAGGCAAGACTTGCGAACACCTTACCGGCCATCGAGGGGCGCTGTGAGTACAGCTCCTCGCTGGGCGACAGTCCGGAAGCCGCTCTGCTCCTCTCTATGGCAGCATTCCATCCCGCGAATTCCCTTTGGCGCAGGAAGAGGCGGTGGAGGGTGGGTGGGTGGGAAAGGAGGAGAAAGCGACTTCTGAACAACACGGCTCGCTATTGGTGCGCGCGCGCACCCTCAAGCCAATGGCGATGCCCGTTGCTTGAATCCGGCCCGCCTGGGCGAGCCATCTTGCTGCTCGCTCTGCAGACCGCTGAGCTGTACATTCTCGGTCCGAAGGGAAGGGGAGCAGCCATGCCGCACTATCAGACCTGGGAGGAGTTCACCCGCGCGGCCGAGAAACTCTACATGTCCGACCCCATGAAGGTAAAGGAGAAGCGAGGAGGCTCGCAAGCTTTTGCTGAAGAGGCTGCGGGGGGGGGGAGTGTCTGGTCGGATGTCTCGCCCACAAGGTCTGCCAGGATCTTGTGATACCTAATAGCTCCTAGCTTTGATTTACATCTATTATAGGCGCGCCGGTCTGACTAAAACGTCCAGAGCTCGTAGTTGTGATCCTGAAAGTCTTCACGTGGTTTATTTTTTAAGGTTCTTTCCTTTGAATTCGTTTGTGAAATTGTTTTGGCTCTCACCCCGGGTTTGGGGGAAAGAAGCATTTTTTAAATGGCTGTAGGAAAATATCCCTCGGATAGTGGTTTCCATATAAGATGGCGTTGTAAGCATTCATGCGAACTTCGCCCAGTCACATTCTTCCAGTTCGAGAAGCTGGTCTAGATTTGGGAAGGTATTGTGAGCAGATAGGGAAATGTGTGACTCAATGGTGTGCATTCCTTTTAGGAATCAAAGGACACCTAAGGTAAATGGGTTTGGGCAAACGGGTTAGTAAAATGAATGAAAGGGCTACTAATCCCTGCAGAGCTATTTTCACAGCTGGACTGAAAAACTATGCTTCTGTGCTTTTGAGTGCGAAGATGACAGCCATTTATTCACCCATAAGATGTTGCTTCTTTCATTTCAGGTGCGTGTGGTACTGAAATATCGGCACTGCGATGGTAATCTGTGCATTAAAGTAACAGATGATGTAGTTGTAAGTAAAGCTCCTGCAGTTTATTGATTTGGGCAGGCTGGGAAATGTTTGGGGCATCTGCCAAAGTTGACCCGTGGGGGTGGGGAGATAAAGATCTGGCCCTTTGGGCCAAAAGCAATCCCTAAGCTAAATTATTTGGATGAATAGTCTCTAATATATTCAGCTGAAAACTGCATGTGGTGGTTTTTGCAGCAAAACAGGTGGTACTTTATCAGTTCCTCCATTGGTCTATGCAAATCTCACTTCCTATCTTGAGCTTATTTCCTTCTGGTTTGCATCATCCCTTGTATGTAGGGGGTGGGGCTAATGAGGAAGGTTGCTACACAGGCAAATGGTGAGATGAAGAGTTAAGCAGCCTCTGCCTGCTTGACATTCCTCCACTGAAAGTAGATGCAGACTATCTGCTTACTAAATGTTTAGTGCTCTGGTCCATGGGGTCACAAAGAGTTGGACACGACCAAATGACTGAACAACAAACAATGCATTTGGATGCCTCCTATGTTATCATAACAAAAATAGGCTTGATGGTACCTGAGCTCAAGGAGCAATTTTTCATCTATATTTGGATATTATTCAAAGCCATTTTGAATCACAATTGTAGAACATTTCAAAACAGCACTACACTGATTTTGACCGCTGATTTTAGAACTACATTTGTGTGTGTGTGGAGGTGGTGTTTCTTAGAATTCCTGAACAACACTGGCATCTAATATTTAAAAAGTTGGTAGATTATTGGGGCATCTCCTATTGTATATCAAAGTTTACCCTAAATGCTCAATGGAGAAATTATTTTATCATCTTGAATGCCTTCAAACCATTTCCTTAAGTCTTCCATATAGGGGTATGCCTATGGGACTATTTATTTTTATTTATTGTAAATAATGATAATAATAATATGTCCCCAGTCACATTTATATCCCACCTTTTTCTCCATAGAACTCAAGATGGTGTAAATGGTTTTCTCACTCCTCATTTAATCCCCACAGCAACCCTGTGGGGTTGGTTAGGCTGAGAGGCAGTGATTGGCCCAAGGTCACCTAGTGAGCTTCATGGCTGAGTGGGGATTTGAACCCTGATCTCACAGATCCTCATCTGACCCTCTAACCACTACACCACAGTAGGTGGGACATTAAGCTTTCAGAAAAAAGCATTGCACTTTAAAATTTGGAAATAGTGAAATATTAATCTCGGACTCAACAACATACATTTATTAAAAAAAACTACTAAAACTTCAGCACATAATTAGAAATGACTTTAACAGTAGTGGACAAATGTAATTCCTGTGTATTCTATATGTAAAGCTCTTTGAGTTTACTCAAAGAATGCTAAAACAGTTAGGCATTACGGTCCATAGGATGGCCAGTTCTAGTTCTTTGTTAGCTTTTTATTGAAGGGCGTATGAAAAATCCTTTGTATGTCCCATGTAGTCCAGCTTTTACTTTGTAACAGTGGCAAGCCAGATGTGTCTGAAACTCACAAATCAAGGTGATGGCTATTTCTGTTTGACCCAATCATCTGGTACTTGCTATCCTGGCTAGCAGGCTAGCTGTTACGCCGCTCCTTTGAAATCTATCATTGTAGTGCAGCACCAAGCTGTTGTTGTTGTTGTCATCGTCTTTGAAGAACTGAACAGAAATGAGAATCTGCTTTGTTTCAGAAAAATTGAATAAAATGAAATTGTGATGTTTATTGTATCTGCAAAACGTGCTAAATCAGCTCTTTTTGCACCTGTATAAAACCAAGGGATATTGTTTTAGAAACAATAATATCTGGTCCCCCTTTAAGACTTTCCAGAACCTGCTGTGTTCACAAGTCCAGTTTTAACAAACTGGTTCTGTTCTAGTTTTACTGTTAGCTTTTCAGAATTTGTTAGCTGGTTCTAAATAAATTTGTTGGCTTCACCACAAAATATTGCAGAACTTAGATCTGAATAAAGTTGTATCACACTGCATAGTTAACCTGCTTTTAAAAGAAGTGTTGTCTTTTAATAAAAAACGGGTCAGAAATTCAGAATACAGTATTTTGGTGAAATAATTCTCTTGTGGAAGAAATGGAAATATTTTTTTCCTGCCAACATTATGAGTCTGGAATGCCTCATGTTGCATGCTCATTGGCCCATATCTGAAGGCAAACAGATGTGTCTCAGGCTAAGACTTCAGGCAAATAAGAAAATAAAGGTATGTTTTTTGGAGAAAGATTCTACACAGTTATATTTAATATTTACTTCCACTCAATAAATAGTGTTTAAGGTTGGAGTCATGGTTCAGGTAGCTAACCTTAGCCAGCTTTCTTAACTTCCCTGTAAGCACTGTGATAATAATAATAATAATAAATTTTATTTATATCCCGCCCTCCCCAGCCAAACTGGGCTCTAACATCAAAGTAGTTGCCCTTTTCACAGGCTAGGAATGTAGGAAAATGTAAGAATAAGGGCATATTTTAAAGGACAGCTTTTTAAAAAGTGTCCTTATGCTCTATTTCAGCTATAATACGCTATCTAATACCTAAGCTACAACTTCTCTACACACTTACTTGTGAGAAAGCCTCATTAAACTTGGTAGGGCTTCTAGGTAAATCTGCACTTCATTGGGTTGCACGTGTTGTTTGAGAAGTGTGTTTCTAACAGTGTGGATGAGTAACTGTGTTTGACATTACCATCCTTGCAACAACTTAAGTGAAAGGTATTTTCTGTCCTTAAGAGTACCATGCATTGTAAACCAAAATTGGACTGTGGAAAAAGTTGTGTGTTCTCAAAATACAGTAGCACAAATTTCAAAACAAATGTTGTTCAATATAGCACAATATCTTTTATTTCTGGTGCAACATTATCTAAAAAGCATCTTCTTGATGTCTTGGGTAAATCAAAATTAAAGTTATCATTCTCTCCCTCACCCTTTTTTCTTTCAGTGTCTGCTCTATAGGACAGACCAGGCTCAAGATGTAAAGAAGATAGAGAAATTCCACAGTCAACTAATGCGACTCATGGTAGCCAAAGAATCCCGCAGTGTTGTCATGGAAACAGACTGAATAGCTGGAAATAAAATGAATGCTCCAGTCATATTTCACAGGAGGAAAATATCACTGGATTTGGGCAGATTTTTCGACAGAAGTGTGGCATAAAGTGGATTGTAAAGGGGGTTTTGTAAGGATTTTCAGGCTCCACTTCAGAGTGGTGAGAGGACTATATGCTTTCATTTGAAAGCCTCTATTTATTTTTTTAATTTGAGCAAAAGAGTATATCCTCTGCTGGAAATACTGAAGGTTAAAATATGTTAGGGTAGATTTGTACGTTTTCTTTTGTAAATCTCAGCACTCTGCTTAAAAATAAATGGGAGGAAGCAGGTGTGCTTCTCTGAGGGGACTTCAAGATGCTATCATAGAGGAGTTTTTGCTTGTTCTTAATGAATTTTATGTTGCTGTGTTGGCTAAAGTGAGAAGAACAATGAATTACTAATGTAGAAATGGGGTGTGATAAGCCTTTATGTATGGATATATTGAGTTAGCGATAGCATCTTCCAAAACTGATTAAAATTGCCAAAATAAATAGTTGGCAATACAGCTAAGCCTGTGTATAAACATTTTATGGATCTGAAAAACTGATACTGGCCTGAAAATCATCAATATATATCGACTACTTAGTTGTTATCTAAAATTTGATAAGGAATAAACTTTTGTTCATGACAGGCAAGTGTTCACAGAAACAGATTCAGGACTTTATTTGGAGTGTCTTATTCTGGATTTGCCCAATGTGGTTTGTTGCAGCTAAAACATCTGTACAAGTTTTTAAAATATCCTTTACCACATTGCTTTCACTTTTTAAGCTTTAAATGTTTCTGTTATAAAGGTATCATAATCACCAAACACTAAAATTGGTGCTACAGTATGAGTGGTATTACATATTGTTAAATACAGCAGTTGAGAGAGGGAAAGCTTAGCTACTACATAAATTGTATGTATGTATGTACTTAGTGTCAAATCATAACTGTTTTCATGATGCCTCTTCTCCAAGAAAGCAGTCTTTTCATATTGTCCTCATATGCTATAGAAACCATTACAAGGGGGTGTTGGTTACACAAGTATGCTTCATACAGCATGGTGATTTGTCTGATGCCACTTCAGGTGCTGATATGAGATCAGCAAAATAAAATACTTGCCAGTACCACTGCCTCTCCTAATGTTGCCTTTCTCCAGAATTTATATTGCATTAATATAAAAATCTTTGCTTCTCGTTGGGATTGAACTCCAGTCATTTTCACCTTTTACAGTTGGTGTGCTATAGAGAGGTTCATTCTTGTGTTTGCTTATTTTTTCAGCATTATACTGCAACCATTTCAAAGGCCAGCTGCCATCCATATGCTTCCTACTAAAGCACTTGTTTCCCCTGATTTCTTCAACATAGTGAACCTAGTCGTAGTCCGCGTTTAAAGGTAAAGGGGCCCCTGACCGTTAAGTCCGATTCTGGGGTTGCGGCACTCATCTCGTTTTACTGGCCAAGGGAGCCGGCGTTTGTCCGCAGACAGCTTCCGGGTCATGTGGCCAGCATGACTAAGCTGCTTCTGGCGAACCAGAGCAGCGCACGGAAACGCCATTTACCTTCCCGCTGGAGCAGTACCTATTTATCTACTTGCACTTTGACGTGCTTTCAAACTGCTAGGTTGACAGGAGCAGGGACCGAGCAACGGAGCTCACCCCATCGCGGGGATTCGAACCGCCGACCTGATCAGCAAGGCCTAGGCTCTGGTTTAGACCACAGCGCCACCCGCGTCCGCAGTCCGCATTTAAAGTACCCTATATTCTTTTTTGCTTGTGTAAAACCCTGATACAGTGGTACCACGGGTTAAGTACTTAATTCGTTCCAGAGGTCCATTCTTAACCTGAAACTGTTCTTAACCTGAAGCACCACTTTAGCTAATGGGGCCTCCTGCTGTTGCCGTGCCGCCGGAGCACAATTTCTGTTCTCATCCTGAAGCAAAGTTCTTAACCTGAAGCACTATTTCTGGGTTAGTGGAGTCTGTAACCTGAAGCGTATGTAACCCGAGGTACCACTGTATTAAAAAACTGAACTATGCAGCCTGTTTACTCTCTGTACATGCACACCAGTTTGTACAATGAGTGCAAGCCATACCTTTGCCTTGTGTACACAGAGCGTTATGGACTACATTTTCTTACCTTCCCTCTCTGAGGTGGGTGAAGCCTGAGCAAACGTTGGAGAGGAAGAGGGAAAAGTTGGAGCATGGAATAAGATAAATGCAAGCAGATGGGAATAACTGGCATCATGCTTTAAGCTTGATCTCTCTTTGCTTTTTGGTCCTTCTGTTCTCATAACAAAAGGAACCTGCTGGATCAGACCATCCGTTCTAGCATCCTGTTTTCACAGTGGCCAGCCAGATGCCTATGGGAAACCCAAAAGCAGGAATTGAACAGAACAGGAGACTAGCTATCTGTGTTTACCACCAACCGGTATTCAGAAGCATACTGCTTCTTCTGATCGTACTGTGTCTTGTGATTGTGCTGAGGGAGGGAGAATGGCCCAAGCCCATATCTTGACCTGACCATGTAAACATTAAACCATAGTTTAGTGTTAAGTCCAAACATACAGGTTCTAAGGAGCTGGATAGGCAGATAGATTACTTCTACATGACTCAAATGACATTTAAAACCTTTTCTAGTCAAGGGTTGCATTTCAGCTTTTGCCTAATCATGCCTTGTTGAGGAAGGCTGTGCTCTATATCTTACTGTGAATGAGCAGTGTTTGTTCTTGGCTTCCTAATTCTGGTTTATTTGGGTTAGGAAATCATGGTTGGTTGCTGCTGTTCACACTAAGTAAGAGAGCAGCAACATGCACTGGTTTATGACTTGCCCTGATGGAACATGGCCAATTATTTGCTTGTAAAAGCCAAGTACTGTGTATGCAAAGGATTCTTCTCGGCCTCAGGTTTGAGTGACAATGAATGCTAAATGACTGATCTCTTATTTTTTTTATTAAAATGCTCTTTTATTCTTAAAATACTAGCGGCTCTGAAAGTATATAATCTTAGTAGCACCATACAGGTGGATGTGTTTCCTAGAAAACGGCTACTTTTGTTTTGTTTTTCTTGTTTCCCTAAATTTTCATTTATTCTACTTGATCCCATGTATGTTTAGTCAGACCTTCATGGTGTGTAGTGGTGGTTGTTTTTCAGATAATTGTGTTTGGGATTTTATCTATAGAGAATGCTGAGGACTAGGCAACCATATTTCACACTGAAAAGCCACTAGCATCCTATAAACGTGTAGCTATGATGGCACATTGGGGATGTGTTTAGCACAATTACAATTGCAGCTTGCTACTGCATATTTCATACAACAGAGTGAACTTGTTTAGCTGGTTATCTACTGTTCACTTTCTTTCCTAACTGGTAACTGGCTCCACTTCCTTTTCTCAATTCTGTATGAGGCTACCACGTGCTAGATGCAATGATAGTTATTAAAAGCATCTGAGTCATCCTTGCTGTAATGCTGCAGTTAAAAAGTGGTTCATCAATACAGTATTATCACATCTAATCAAGAGCGTACCTTATGAAATATGTAACGGCTTAATTTTTCCTTCCTCTGATTTTTTTTTAAATCTATTTGTGGTGATGGTACAATGCAAAGTATTGATAGCATGGTCTACTTGATTAGGGTGACCAAGGGCATATATCGGAGTATATCTTATATCTTATATCAAAACCAGGCACTTAGAATTTTTTAGAACAGTAGACTCTATATTAGTGTTGTGTTCTTAATGGCCTTCTGACACCTACAGTAACATCCCCTCCAAAAATCACTGAAGAGTTAAAAAATTGCCTGCTAGGGCGTCATTTTCTTCCTAAAAATCCACATTCTAGCCAGGCTAGAAATAACCTCAAGGCCTTTCCTATTACTTCACCCCCCCCTTCCCTGACATTTTCTCTGTGTTTTGTTTTATGTGCTGCCTCATACTGTTAACATGTTATTTTTATATTGTTAGATGGCTTGACCATATTCATGGAAATTGATTGTACAAATATAAGAAATTCCATTAGTTTTTTAAAAGCTGAAACATGTTTTTTCTCCAGAATGCAGGAAGGGGAGTTCAGAGGTCCTAGAGATGTGTGTGTGTGTTCTAAGCATGAGGAAGTACTTATTGCAGTACAGCCTCTCCCCACTCTCAGATAATCAGCACAAAGGCTCCTGCTGACTCATGCACTGCTTTCAGCGCCTAAACGGGGTGGGGGTAGAATGGAGGAATCCCCACTCAGAGGCGTCCTGTTATAAGTGGGGATTCCCCTGTAGTTTGAGCCTGATAAGAAATTACTTTGAAGAATTCACATAAGGAAAACTGACACCGGTGAATGATCATGTTTGTATACCAAATTTTGCCCTGAGCTAGCTACCACACCTAAAACTTTTCATGCTGGCACATCCACAGGTGAATAAGAAGAGTAGTCAAGTTGGCATGCAAAGAAAGGCTACATAAAGCATTTGACGATCGCTATGAGGCATAATGTGAATTTATTTTTATTTTATTTTTTAAAAGATGCCTTATTCCTAGATGCTTAAAATGCCTTTGAAAGAGTTCAAAAACCTTGTCTTCAGTGTTTGTACTGAATCAAGTCTTCCAATGTACTGTCACAGTATGTAATAATTCTGTATCAAATATTTATGTCAAGGGACAAGGTGATACTACCCTCATAGATCCAGACCTTACATAACTATATATTTTTCAGAAATATCCATATGCAGGATCTAATGATAGAAAACCAGAGTGGGTAAGAGAGATCTGGAAAAAAACAAGCTAAAGGTGGACTAACAAGGATCCCTTGAAAACAACTGAAATAGAATAATACCTATAAGTTTGTGAAATCTTGTTTGCTTACCTAAACTAAATCTTGGATGGAGTGTACAAAGATGAATGCCTAATCTCATGTACTACTTATGGATTGAAATACCATTGAAAAATAGATTATAAAAAGCATTCTAAGCCTTTAATTTTATATGGGGATGCAGAAGGCATTCTAGGAAAGTAGTGAAAAGCTTACATAAGGAAAATAGGGAAGAGCAGGTTAGTTTTTCTGCTCTAACGATGCCTGCAGGTTAAGGAAAAAATGGGAATAGGTACATGAATAAATGCTTACCTAGTTGTTGTTTTTTTTAATACAGTCAACATGTTTATGAAATCTATACATTTTCTTGAGTAAGTGATGTGTTAGTGTGATACATTTAGTAAGGGCCAAGTGTAAGAAATTGTATTAAGCAGTGAAAAAGGTTTGGGAAGGCATTACTTCCCAGGAATAGCAGGGTTTAAGTACTAAACTTTGAAGATGGAGTTACAACTTTTGAGTGAATCAGTTGAGTCGCCTTACAAATCAGATATACTTCATTGCAGTCCCATTAGAAAATGAAGTGCACCAAAAGAAGCTTTACTGTACTTCCAAACAAGTAAAGGATTTATGGGGGTATGTGGGGGGATAAAGTCAGTTTATTTGTAAAACACTCCATTGATACTGATTTACGAATTCTGCACACAACTGAATGTGCTCAGTTTTATTCTATGATAAATAAATTACAGGGAATTTGCTACTAGAAGTTCTTTGAACTTTGAAGGGATAATAATTCTATTAAGGGCTGCAAAATATTTCTATAGCTTCACATAATAATAGCACTTTGCCTCTATCCAACTTTAAGATCTGCAGTGGAGCCAGAATGATAAAAATTAGCTTATTACAAGTAAGGCATATAACAAAATGTGATGTGGACTGTTCCAATTCAGGGTACAAGCTGACTGCCCCTTTCTAGGATACACCATTCCATCCCACCCTCCTCTAGCAGTCAGCATTATGTGCCCATTGAACATGCTCAGTCCTCACTGCTATTTTGGGCTCACCCCAAATATTCTTTTTTCTTTTTGTACTTCTGTAAGTCTTTGAGGTCCCCCAAGCTTGCTACCTAGACAGCATCTTAAAAAGCAGAGACATCACCTTGCCGACAAAGGTCCGTATAGTTAAAGCTATGGTTTTCCCAGTAGTGATGTATGGAAGTGAGAGCTGGACCATAAAGAAGGCTGATCGCCGAAGAATTGATGCTTTTGAATTATGGTGCTGGAGGATACTCTTGAGAGTCCCATGGACTGCAAGAAGATCAAACCTATCCATTCTTAAGGAAATCAGCCCTGAGTGCTCACTGGAAGGACAGATCGTGAAGCTGAGGCTCCAATACTTTGACCACCTCATGAGAAGAGAAGACTCCCTGGAAAAGACCCTGATGTTGGGAAAGATGGAGGGCACAAGGAGAAGGGGATGACAGAGGACGAGATGGTTGGACAGTGTTCTTGAAGCTACCAGCATGAGTTTGACCAAACTGTGGGAGGCAGTGGAAGACTGGAGTGCCTGGCGTGCTCTGGTCCAGGGGGTCACGAAGAGTCGGACACAACTAAACAACAACAACAAAGCTTGCTACTGTGTAGATTGTGCTGTGCTGGGAATTCACACTTTGAAGGTGAGTTTTCTAAGAATACATTGCTTCCTGCCGGGTGACAATAAGAGATTGTGACCTGAGTTGCATTGCTAAATATAAGGTGGGATGCATATCCAAAATAACCGTGTTAGGTGTACTTATCACTAATGTATTAAACTTGTGTCTTGACTGTTTATATTTACCTTACCTTAATATGAAATACTCCACTGCAAAAAGAAATGTAATACATCAGGGTGAAGAACAAGGGTCTACTATTATTTTTGTCATAATCAACATCAACATCAACATCTTATCTTTTTTTACTAACCATCCCTAATCACAATGAAGTTGAGGGAGAGGTGCTTGGCATTACCAAAAGATGGCAAGTAAGTATGCACTATCATGCCAAAATCGGGCAGACCCACTAAGGAGTGCTCCTAAGCATATCTACTATCTTTTGCTGGTATGACACCATGTTTACCATTGTTAGCATTTAGTATAAAGGTTACTGTAATTTGATTAGAGTGGCTGGGGAAACCCAGCCAGATGGGTGGGGTGTGTGTGTGTATATATATATATATATATATATATATATATATATATTTTTATTATTATTGTTATTGTTGTTATAGCTGGTGATAACTTAAGCATAATGTCTAGAGGAGCATGCAAGTTGCTTATGTGTGTGATGGTTGGGATATGTACTCCCCATAGATGGACTGTATTTAATTATGATGCTGTAATTTCAAAAAGCCTTTAACACAAACGAATAAAAGGTATTGTGTTTACTGCTGACACCTAGCAACATGTATATAGGGCACATACACTTTAGCAGTTTAAAATGTAACAAGGCCATTCCTCCCTGCTGTGTTTCAAGTGGTGTCTTACGTACACATAACTACCTTATTTGTTTCCTCGCACATTACCCAGTTTGTTTTCCCCTGTCTGCAACCCTCCGAAACGCCTGTTCATCTGCGCATGCACTGTCATCTGTGCATGTGCAACAGCAATCTAAAGTTAACACACCTCAACTTAACCACAGCTTGTTTTCAAACTGGATGAGAAGCGCTTTGAGGGAAAACAGTATTTTGCAAGATGCTACAATATACGTTTGGATTGTGTACTTGTTTTTTTAAAACACCAGCTGTGGGAGTGCACTGGAGTCGGAGTAAATGGTAATGTGCACACAGCCATAGTCCCACTATATTATGTGGGTGGTTCAAGTGGAATGGATGTAAAGGTACAAAGAAAAATGTGCTCTTAACACAAACCATATGAAGATTAGTTCTGGTACAAATGAAGCTGTGGAAACTTGGGACATTAAATACTTGGACTCTATGAAATATTCTTAACCCTACTGTTGCACAGAGAGACTAGAGCTCCTCTGCACTTCATAACCCCAATGAGGTTATGTGTTTATTTTCTTGCTGCATACCAGAATTCATTTGACATGATTTCTTCGACAACTCAGTATGTGTTTTCAGTAAAAAGCCACTGTTAGCTGTTAAAGAGAATGGAATGAGTATAAACACTAGCAGCAATGGGTTTTATATGCATGCTAGAATAACCATGTTCTGCCAGGTTGAGCTTTTGCCCAGCAGGCTCTGAACACTGGTACGTAGCCATATATTTGCAGGGGATGTTCATTTCAGTCTGCTATTTCTGAACACCACCCAATACAGGCCTAATTTAAAGTGGACAATTGGCACAACGGATTTTCTGTTCTTTCATTTGACCTGCACAAACCAGCTTCGGAGCTGTGTCGGTTTCTGCTTTTCTTTCACTTCCCCTTGTGTGGGCTTAAGAGGATGCTTTGGGCCCCAATGCTGAAAAAATTACATGCATAACTGTTGAGGGAGGGCTCTGTAGCTCAGTGGATTTATCAGAAAGCAGACCTCTCCCACCTGACCTCTCAGTTCATCTTTTATACATTCATACAGCCACCTAATTCACACTCCTCCATCCCCTTTCATACATGCCGTTTTTAATAGCCCTTTGAATCTTCCCCTCCTCATTATGTTCTTCCAATCACCATTATCCTTTATTACTAACATGTAGCAAGAACAGGACAAACTTTCCTTATAGAGGTGGGAGAAAACGGAAGTGTATTAAGCCTCCAGGCTGGAAAAAAATCCTATGCAAAGCAATTTCTGAACACATTATTGGGTTAAAATGCATCAAGGTAATTTTCCCTCTGTGTTTCAAGTCACATTTGCATGCTGAGGTACACACCAGAGGGGTGTGTGGATGTCCTCAACTGATGTGCTTTACCGCTTTGGTTTCCTTGCCCCTGAATTCCCAACCCCAACTTCTACACATGAAACCGTCATCTGCACATACGCTGTCGTCTTTGCATGCACAATGGCATTTTCAAATATACACACCTCAGTTTACTGCAAAGTGAACGCAGCTTATTATTTCCTTTCAGATGGAAGCTGGTTTGAGGGAAAACGCAACAGCAGTATTTCTCACTAAACTACAGGATAGCTCTGCACCATCGGTAATGTGCAAACATGAACTCAAAAACCAGTGGGATCCAGAGGGATAGCTCAGTCGGTAGAGCATGAGACTCTTAATCTCAGAGTCACGGGTTTGAACCCCATGTTAGGAGAAAGGTTCCAGCTATGCAGGGGTTGGACTAGATGATCCTTGTGGTCTCTTCCAACTCTACAGATTCAAGAGTAAACACCAATGTGTACACAGCCTAAGGCGCGCATCGCTTCACTATGTGGTCACACCCACGGCACACCTTTAAAGTGCATTTAAAGCACATGACTTCCCCAAAGAAATCATGGGGACTGCAGTTTAGTCCTCACAGAACTGCCAAACTCAACAGTTCCCAGGATTATTTGGGCGGTGGAGTCACGTGCTTCAAATTGGTGTTGGGAGCAGTGGTGGATGTGTCATGTTGCGTGTCCTAATCCAAAAGAAAAAAAACCTTCAGAGCCTTTGAAGCGCGTTACACGCCGCTGCGAAAACAAACCCATCCCGGGTCTTGAAGCTGCTTTCCAACCCAACAACCCGACGCAAGACTTTCGCCAAACGGCACGCGTTACGACCTTGGTTTCCATCTCTGCGGTGCTCCCAGCAGCTACCTTCCCCCGCCGCCGGCCATAACGTTTCTCGGACAGCAAGATGAAGAAGGTTTTGAGAGCCCAGGTGGAGCACCCACCCTGCCACCCTTACATGGTGGCCCCCAAAGAACTACACCTCCCAGAATCCTCTGTTGCCGACCGAGTTCCTCGACCCCCCCCCCCCCGCGGCCTTAATCCGAACGGGCGATGCGAGAGGGCTGCTGCAGCGCCGCCGGCGGAGCCTGTGGGAAGAAAGGCCGCCCCGCCTCTTTCGCTCCTGTAAACGGCGGAGGGCCAGGCTGGGCTACGCGGGGGAACTGCGAGAGGGGCTCTTTCTGAGGCGTTTTTGTTACACGTGAGGCTTATTCATTTGGCTGATAACGGTAATGTAAATCCTACATGCGCAGTCGGCCGGTATTCTGCGACTTATCCCGCATCGACAACATTCACACAATACGCGAGCAGAGGCGCTTTTTAGTGTCACGTCACGTCTGAAAAGGGCTGAAGCTGCTTGCTTAGGCAGGACGGGGAACTTGTTGTGCGGGCAGTTCCTGTCGAAGATCCCGGGAGAAACTCATTTATGCCCGCAAGTGAAGCATCCCATTGTGAGTTCCCTGGGAAACTCGTCAAAATGAGGGTTACTTTCAGAGTTTAAAAATATATATAGAATCGCAGAATTATAGGCTAGGAAGAGCCCTTTGAGCATCTCTAGTCTAAGTCCTCCCCAGTCCAATGCAGTATTTACAATGCAGGGTAAGTGCAACTGGAGAATCCCTGACAGGTGAACTGGGCTACACTGCTTCCGCTTGGTATGTGATATGTTACTGCGGTTTGTGTGCTATTTATTTAAGGTTTGAACTTTTAAAGGATACTCCTTTTTTTGCAAGTACACAATGTAGGTCTGTAAAATATAGCCCAACATCAAATAACCCACCCATGAAACAACCCAAAGGAGTCCTTTAGATTTAAGGGTGCTGGGATTCCAGGTTCTGTCTAAGGATTTCAGTTGCAAGTGGACTGTGCATGAGGCCTTACAAACGGGCGTTTGCAAGGATTGCTGATTTGCACATGTGTCACAGATTAGCCACCACAGAGAGAACTTTAATATCATCTGGAAGTCACTCATTCAGAATATCTTGCAGCTCAGGAACCTATTGTGATTTAGTTGTCAATTGAAATTACCCAGACATGAAGTCTGGAACTGCCGTTTACCCTCCACAAGACTGACTACATGTGTGTGGTTTTTCTCTTGTTCTTTTCTGCTTGGATTTCTACTGTGAGGGTTAAAGAGAAGGTAATCCAAATTAAACCCATGTTCTTTTAGAACTTTCTGGAAATTGCTGGGATGTAGTCAGAGAAAGTGAGAGAGCAAAGAATATGGTGTTTTTGTTGCGATTAATCCTGTTCCTTTCTTTATTGTGTGTAGATTAAGTTACAAAGCTGCCTGTTTTCTGCCCTTGGACGTCTGCCATGCCACTGTAACCTTGGCCATTATGTGGGGAGTTCAGAAAAGAGTGCCTTGTGTTTTTATCACTCCGCAGTAGTGAGAAGAGTAGATATGCAGGGATCTTCTATGTATGAAGAAGAGGCCCATTATCCCAAGCAGAAGTGGGAGCCAGAGTTGCTATGGAACACAGTGTATATGGATATCCCTACCTTTGTAAGGGACGCGGGTGGCGCTGCGCTCTAAACCACAGAGCCTAGGGCTTGACAACCAGACATCAAATGCAAGTAGATAAATAGGTACTGCTGCGGCAGGAAGGTAAACGGCATTTCCGTGCACTGCTCTGGTTCGCTAGAAGCGGCTTAGTCATGCTGGCCACATGACCCGGAAGCTGTCTGTGGACAAACGCCGGCTCCCTCGGCCAGTAAAGCAAGATGAGCGCTGCAACCCCAGAGTCGTCCGCGACTGGACCTAACGGTCAGGGATACCTTTACCTTTAACCTTTGTATTAGTAGTGCTTTGCATTTTCAAAATATCCTGATAGCAAGCTACTGCACACTGAAGGTTTTTGTAGTGTGATTTTTTAATATTATAACTCAGTAAGGATTCCAGGTTGTTCCTGAAAGCTGAGCTTAGGTTTGAAGAAGTTTGTTCTGATGCCATCCTTCCGACTTTTGTTGGGCAGAGGGGCACATTTGGTGACTTACTGCAATCTACTATCAGCAGCCAAGAGACCACTGAATTTGTACTCCTTTGCAGTTTGTAACAGGAGTAAGCAGAATTTGAAGCCAGGGGTATAGTGGTTGTTTGCTATTTAAATAAACTTCAGGACTTTGTATTTTGTACTGTTTTGCTAATATCAAACTGTTGCTCACTGCAGAGTTAATAAAGATAAGGGGACATCAGAGTCCCTTCCCATCCCCCCAAAGCAAGAACTGATCACTCAGCAGCGGTTTTGCTAACAATGTGGAATGTTTCCAACTGTAGTTCCTCAGATGTCTTTCTAAGCCTGGTTTTGATTAGAATTGAAGTTTATGTCCAAGATGTGCTTTGCTATGCTAGTATTTATTGTAGCTTGCTTGTTTTACTTGCCAGTGTTTTTTTGGTATCTACTGAAGTGCTGTCTGCAGTTTCTCCTTCTAATCTTTTTTTTTTTTTTTTTAGATAACTTTCCTGCAGGCGTATTTACCAACAGTGGGTTCTAGAGAAAAGCCCAGGGAATCTTGTTATCCTATTTCAACTCGATTCCCCCTACCTCCATTGACATGCTTGCTGAATGAGAGGAAAATAGTGCCTAGTGATTGGATTTTGTTGCCTAACTGAGCTGGCTGAAAAGGACCAGGTTAAATGATGCACAAAATCCTTGGGTTTAATTTAGTTTAGTGGAACTCAGCTTGAGTCTTGACATTTTTTTCTCCATAGGGATGCAATTAAAATATAATCTGGATATTGTTAGTAATAGGTCACTTTTCCCTGTCTTTCTTTTGGGTACATCCTGATATTCTGTACAGTATTATGATGAAATTTGGGGTGCAACTATACAGGATTTCCCTACCACCAAGCTTGTTACTTTGCAGTGTTAGGTGAATTACTCCCTGGATGTATTCATGGGCTGTATTCTTGGCTTGCATTTAGTCAGTCCATATGTATGGAGGATGGCAACAGTGAAGTCTTTCACCATCGGCCCAGATTGACCATGCATGTTTTATAAGTGGAGCAATGTCTTTGGGATGAAGTTGCATACTCTGGAGAAATGTCTGTGAGAGAAAGTTAATACTTTTCTCTGTGGGAGAATGTTGCTTAATCAAGACATTAATACAAATCTTGACTTATGCTACTTTTAATACCAAATTAACTCATAAAACTTTAATACTGTCTCTTCTGGGTCTCCTCTCTCCCAGTTTGAGTTGTGAAGACAATTGCTAATCTATAAATTATTATTGTTCCATTACTAATATACTTGTTTTGCATTATTTATAGTAGACTTCAATACATAACATTTAAAAAACACACACACATGATGCAAGTGAATACTGAAAGCTTTTGGTAAAATGTAGGAAGGAAAACTTAGGTATCTGGTGGCTAGGATCTAAAAAAAGGGATGGGGGGGGGAAGGAGGAGAACTGTTGTCCATTCAGTCAGACTTTTCTTTTTACTACATGAAAATAGCCTCTGAGGGTTACCATTGCCAGACTTCTGTAGCTTATCTGGGCTATCGAGCAGTATGATGCTATGATTAATTTTTAAAGGACAAATGATTTACCTGTCTTGGAAAGGTGATATTGATGGAATAGTAAGGACATTAAAGGACATAATGCTATGAGGATATGTTGCTCAACAGTGTTCTCTTTGAAATAAAGGCTAAATACATGCTGTATTATTAATAGAGCTGAGGCAGATCTGATTTTTCTAAGTACTTTACATATTTCAAACAAAGCTGCCCCTTCCTGGTGACATCATCCACTGGACAGAAGTTTAACCCTTTCTGCTATACATTCAACTGTGTTTGCCCATGTTCATCCCTTGTAACCACTGACTTTCTTCCTCCCTCCCTCTCCTGTAGTCTTCCATAGTCTCCCGTAGTCTCAAAATACAGTTTAGAAAATCTGGAGATTCTGAGCAGCTGGGGTGATTGAGGAAGAAGCATTAATCTGTATCATAAAGGTTTTTGGGTCCCTGCCCTAAACTTGGTTCACACAAGAATGACACCATTGCTCCCTAGCAGGTGGCAAATTGTATCAAGTACATTAAGAACTGCAAAAAGATTTGTCAGAAAATAAAAATAGAACCCATTTATCTGTACCTCTCTCCAAAGAGATTTTGTCTCCGCTTAATTAATATTGAAGGTGATTCCCACCCTTCTTCTCTTGAAGCTCTTGGGTTGAACAGTTCCTGATAATTTCCCTCTGCCCAGATAACTTTAATTAAAGCTCCGCAAGCCACACAGACCAGGTTGAATGCCTTTTATTAGATATCTAAAGTAGAAATTTCTTCTCTTTCCATTCCCGGGTCTGTTTTCCAAATACTTTTTCTACCCCACATCCAGAGGATGCTCATATTAGGGTCTGGATTCCTCGAGCATTCTGATATGGCTTCCCTGTCCACTGCTTCTAAACATGTCCAACATCCTAAACACGTGAAAATATCTGAGAGCTTTGAGTAAATGGTTTGGCTGTAACATGGAACAGAGGAGCTCAGCTAGAAGCCAGCCAATGCCAGGGGATTTTATTGTATAGTAGAGGGCGCAATTAGGATTGCAAACATGAGAGGAGTTTAACACACACAGCCCTGCTCCCTTGCCGTGATCCTGAGAAAAATCACCCCAGGAGCAAACAGCAGTTTCTGGGCAGGCAGGGGCAGGCAGGTGGAATTAGCAGCTTCAGGAATCATAGGGATGGGGCAAGGGGAGAGAGACAGAGGGGGGGGAGCCTATCCATATGCTGAAATCCCTATCCTGATTAACCCCCCCCCCAAAAAAAAATAGGGCTGCCAGGAGCATCCCAGACGCAGAAATTTCAGGGCCTATTATAGGACTTTGGGCCAGTCCCCCATTCCTGGCCTCATTTATTTCACATGGTTCTTGTGAAGATAATGGTGTACGGGGGGGCTGGGGGACGGGACTATATGCATTGGTCTGAGCTCTTTGAGGGAGGAGCAGAATCAAAATGTAATAACATAATCATTACAGGAGTACTCCCAAGCTACAAATCTGCTTCTTCCAGGGAAGTGCACCCATGTTCAGAACAAGCTGACTCCTCACCTCCTGGACTCAAGAACTTGGAGCACATAACACCACAGTCTTTTCAGGGTTCAGCTTCAATTTATTGGCCCACACCCAAGCCATCGCTACTTCCAAGAACAAGTCTAGCACCTCAACTTTACTATTATTTTGACCTGTTAGCTGACCAAACCTCTCTTTTTTTAACCCATCAAATGCTCCAAATAATTCAGTAACAGAGAGGGGAGATGCCTTCAGCTATTGGGAAGCACTGCTAGACACACACTTTCCATTCATTGAATAGTCTCCTGGCATGATGCCTTTAAATATCAGAGCTGTTTTGATTTAACAGTTGGTTCATAACACTTTTTTTGCTGTTTGAATACTTGTACATAATTGATTTACAGTTATGTGCAAAGCTGATCAATATATTCATTATTTCAGTATAAAAGCATGCATCACTGCAATTAAGTGTTGGGGGGGGAGTAAAATGGGGAAACTCCCCCCCCCCTTCCTAGCTTCTGCTTCTAAGATAATTAGTTCATTGTGATTATGGATAAATATTTAGAAATTCTTCCTTTAAATCCCAGCACATTAAAGTATTGGTGCTATTGCCAGCTACATTGAAGTGTTTCTGTTGCATATTTGCTTTGGCAGATCCTCCAGTGTTCCATTATGGAGAGAGACCATGATGGCTTTCATTTGTTTCCCTTGCTGTCAACTGCATACAATAGGCTTTCTTCTCTTGATTCACCCAGAGTTTGTCTTCACATGAGAATAAGGACAATTGGAACAGCTATTGGCCCGTTGCCAATACCCCCTTTTTGGTGGGAGTGCCCACATATGGTGGGAGTGCCCCAAAATCCAACTATTCTGGACAACAGCCATACGGGAAATATGTAAAATAACTAAGCAAATATTAGAAATCACCCCAGAATTGGCCCTACTAAGCATCTTCCAAGACAATAATGTCCATTTACACCACAAAGAACTCATAACCCACCTACTTTCAGCAGCCAGAAACACCATAACCAGACACTGGAGAGACCTGTCAGAAGTAAGCATGGACCAATGGTACCAAATAGTATGGGAAACAGCCTTACTAGAAAAATTAACCAATAAACTGAAACTGACACGGGGACAAATAGAAGAAGACGCCCTCACCCCTGTATGGCTCCCCTTTATCACGTACACAGCCGAACAAGACAATGACAAAAAACCACCAACAGCAAACAAATCAGTATGGCTAACCTGATCCAAAACACCCACCCACCCCACTCACACATCAAAACAAAGATCACTACAGCCAATCAAAAACAAACAACCACACCTTGGCCAACCCCAACCTCTCTCACCACCAAAGGAACACAAGTGAATAGCACAGAACCTGCACAAGCGACGCTGACACAAAACCCCACATATATTAAGTACACTAGTCCAACCTCCTGCAATGCAGGAATCCCAGCCATAGCACCCAAGTTGTGTACAGTGGGTTAAGTACTTAATTCGTTCTGGAGGTCCGTTCTTAACCTGAAACTGTTCTTAACCTGAAGCACCACTTTAGCTAATGGGGCCTCCTGCTGCTGCTGTGCCACCACCGCCCGATTTCTGTTCTCATCCTGAAGCAAAGTTCTTAACCCGAGGTACTATTTCTGGGTTAGCGGAGTCTGTAACCTGAAGCGTCTGTAACCCGAGGTACCACTGCAGTTCCATTCAGGGGTAACGGCAGATCATGACATGTGAATGAGTCTTGTGCTTATGCATTCCCATGGTTTGATCCTGGTTTGGAGGGACCACACAAACTAGCAGTGGTAGCTACAGATTAAATAGAAAACCTGGAGTGTTTCCAGATGGAAGTTTATTGAGGAACCAGCACTTCTCATGCCCTCGAGATTATGCACCAGAAAAGGAAAAATAAAACCCAAGAGTCTATGTGGCTTAATTTATTTTTGAACACACATAGCCCTGTTTTAACATAATAATACTAGCTACATTCACATATTCATTGAACGAGCATTTAAAGAGAGAGACAGTGTTGCGTAGCCCCCACTCAGTGCGCCTTGGACCACTCTCTGTCTCTCACCTAACCTACCTCACAGGGTTGCTGTGAGGAAGAATCAGGGAGGAGGGGACCCATGTATTCCACCTTGATAATTCTTTGCAGAAAAGGCAGGATATAAATGTAATAATAAATACATTTTTAAAATACTGAACCATTCTGTTGAGTTCATTTTTTACAAAAGCTATGTGCCTAACTTAAACCCCTATGGAAAGAATGGTTCTCCTTAACTATTTTGAGAAACTTTTTAAATATGAGAAATGTGGGGGTGGGGCTAATGTGTTAATAAACAACACATTTCAAAGGCCCTCTCCACCCAGGGAATTATTAATTATTTCCCCCCAAAAAGCATGTTTATAACACATTCTGCTGCACAGTCTCTCGTGGGCTGGATGGAGCCTTGTTGCTTTGTTTTACAGAGTTAATTCAATGCTTTGAAATCGCTCTGGGGGTAAATAAGATATTCATGGGGCAGGGGGATATACACAAGGCAGCCTTTCTCGTTTTTAAGAGCACAAGCACCCAACTGAATTCCATATTTATGTCCTAATGGTACAGCGTACAACATGTGGCTCTCTACAGAGATCTCACACTTTTAGACACATTTTTCAAAAGGTCAGTTGCTTGCCTGAGAACCCATATTGAGAGGCTAATTACACCAGGACTTCAAGGAGGCTCAGCTTGCAATGCTGTGTGTGCTCTGTAGGAAAGGGTAACTGAGGGAGGGAGTCCCCCCCCCCGCAAAAAAAGAATAAGGCTTATATCGCCTTTGAGCTCCTGTGACCCAAATTGAAGCAACTATTATGAATTATGCATCAACAAAAAAAGACTCTTGTCTTAAGATTTATTGCATCTTAGTGACAGTCCACATGGAAATAACTTTAAGAAGAAATAGGAGGGAATGACTGGTAGGACAAAAACAGAAAATAGGTGAAGTCAAATATTTGCTTTAGGTCCAACAGGACCACCCTTAAGAAGAGCTACTATGAAGTGATGTCTAATTGGTATCTTATGTCATATGGTTTAAAGAAAATACATAATGTTTAATCAAAACAGCCCAAAGACTGTTTTTATTCTGGTCCTAAAATATAAGCATTCTAGAGAAAAAGCATACACACAACCAGTGCTGCTGCTTCAAAAAAATATATGTGCTGGTACTCACCATGAAGTTGTTAAAGTAACTGCCACACTTTTAACATGTTTTTTTGGGGGGGGAGGAGGTACCAGTACCAAAATGTCATTTAATGCCATAATTGTGGTGATTCTTTTGCAGTCATGATGTTGTTTGAAATACTGTTGGCTGTTGTCTTGGGAGCAATCATTTATCTGTTTCTGACCAAGAAGAAAGAGGACAAATTATCTATGGGAGATGGATGGTGGGGCAAAGGACAGAAGCCTGACTCTGAAGAAGATGCAGCTATATATCCTTTCAAGGTGGAAACATCAGACGGCGAGATAAATGTAAGAAGACTCTCTTTCTCGCAGAGTTTGCACAAACAGCAGGAAATTCTAGGGTAGCAGCATAATCTCAACCACGGTTTGTTAAAAATGCTTCAGTAGCATTCATAGCAGAGCTTTCCAAAATGTGTGTCGCGACATGTTAGTGTGTCGGCTGCAGTGTGTAGGTGTGTCACGCAAATGCTTCCCGCACTCCTTCCGGGGCTGAAAAACTTAATTACTGTGTCGCGAAATGATTCATGTCTAAAAAGTGTGTCAATAACATGAAAAGTTTGGAAAGCTCTCACTTATAGCCAAGTAAATGTGCTCGGTTAAAATTGCAACATAAATCTGAGTTCCTTTAGGTTTACATTTTTAACCAGCTCTACTACCCCCTTAATTTTAACTTGGATAATTTAAATGTATAAAATGTGCTTAAAGCATTCAACTGAGTCGCATCAGTTTCAGTTGATTTTTAAATCAAGCCAAGAACTATAGATATATAGAAAATATGATACGTGCTGAAATGTAGGCTTGCTGCGCAAATACTAACAGCAGTTATTTTCTCTCCAGCAGTAATTTTTACAAGCAGTTTTGTTCAGAGGTCACGGCTGTATCATATTAATCTGGATATGACCCTACTGTTGCCTGTGCTATTAACAGAGAACAATACAATAACGTGTTGTAGCTGTCTGTTTGCATTAATCAACCCAACCTGGGCTATTTTCTGTATCACACATCACTGATAATAGCTTTAAAACAATGAAATTCAGAAGGGTACAATGCACACAGAGCGGAATCTAATTTTAGCTGTCTTTAACATCTGCTGCTGTGTTGGCCCTGTCCTCAGTTCTCAGGGGAGAGAGCCTTTGATTTTTAAAGTCCAGCTTCATCCTAATGGCTGTGACTTTCTCTTGTTTGTTTCAGGCAAATGGAACCAGCTGGTTCTAAGAGCACTGCTGCGTGATCGGTCAAATCGTGCCCCAAATTTCTTTCTCTTTCTCTCTCTTTGTGCCATACTTGCACAAACCCACATAAAGCTACTATATAGCCTATCAGGAGAGTGGGAAATGCATTGCCTCCAATGAATGGGGGGAAGAAAGGTTAGATAAAAGGGTTCACACAATAGGGCAACATGAGTGTTGGTGGGAAGTTAATGTTTGTGACTTCCCCTCTTTTAGCAGAAGAGTATTCCTGTGTTGCAAACAGCGCAGCGAGAGTGTACAGCCTCTCTCTCTATCTTTCTCTCTTTAAATGTCATGTGAAATAACCAGTTGAGGTTCATGACACCTACATTCTGTGGAGCATTCACAAAAGAACTTAATGTATTGTCAGAAGAGTTGTTTTTGCAGTGGAAGTAGTATGAAAGTGCAGTATTCTCAATAGAAGCGCAACCTGAATTGCACATGTGGGTGGTGCAGAACAAGTGTGAAATGGATGTCCATCCCACACCACAGAAATATTGCATAGAAAGGTCACGTATAGGTTTCACACAAATCTGTATTACACCAAGTCAAAACTACCAGAAAGACACCAGTCACAGCAAGAAAAAGGAGGAAAACATTATTTTAAGGGTGCTTGGAATAGTAGCTCTGTGGGGGTGAACTGCATTTCCCAGAATTCTTTGGGGAAAGCCATGTGCTTTAAATATGTGGCATGGATGTGATTTGAGAAAAAAAAGTATTTTAACTTTTGCATATAACTCTCATGTGAGTTTTCAGTTCTTCCTCTTTTCATTTCCTCATTCTTCTTTTTCCCTCCCACACATTTGTGGTGTTCTAGTACTTACATAGAAGACTTGATGAGGTGAGGTTTGCCGAGCCATTAGAGGATAGTCGCTTTCGATATGGGTTTAATTCAAATTATCTTAGGAAGGTTGTCGCTTATTGGAGGAATCAGTTCAACTGGAAGAAGCAAGTGGAAGTTCTCAACAAATTCCCGCAGTTCAAAACAAAGATTGAAGGTTTGTAGCCAATAGTGCTCTGATCAGTCTTTGATCTTGCCTTGTGTTGCATGGGTTTTCAGCATGAAATCAGTTTGCTTGTCCATGAGTTTGTTAAAGTAAGATTGCTTTGACTGTATTGTTTTCTTATTCTGTACTTTTTATATATTAACAACAATATGGTAAATAAAATTTAAAGTCATGTGACTTTAAATTTTATTTACTATATTGTTGTAACCCACCCTGGGATCTTATGGTGAAGGGCAGGGAAGAAATCCTATAATTAAATAAATAAAATTAGACTTCCCAATTTGGCTTTGAGGTCTTTGAATTCTAGGATCCACAGAGAAGAACATTTGTTTTTCAGTGCTAGCACCTTTCAAGTCTGAAATTCAGATCGGTCTTCTCTAGAGAGAAGAACTTCAGTCTTCCCTACACCAAAAGTACAGCAACATCAGAGTGGAAGCAGTGCAGAGTTGCAGCACTGGACACCTTCAACCTGCTGCTGTGATTGTAGATATCCGATCCATTCACAACTTGAGCTGCTGAACATAGGGGAGTCTCTTTTTGCAGCAGCCTCTTGTATTATGCCTGATCCAGCAGTGGCCAGTTGTATGCTCCAAGTCATAATGTGACAGAGGTAGAATCATAGAATCATAGAATCATAGAGTTGGAAGAGACCACAAGGGCCATCGAGTCCAACCCCCTGCCAAGCAGGAAACACCATCAGAGCACTCCTGACATATGGTTGTCAAGCCTCTGCTTAAAGACCTCCAAAGAAGGAGACTCCACCACACTCCTTGGCAGCAAATTCCACTGTCGAACAGCTCTTACTGTCAGGAAGTTCTTCCTAATGTTTAGGTGGAATCTTATTTCTTGTAGTTTGGATCCATTGCTCCGTGTCCTCTTCTCTCTGGTAATCTTGGATAGATTTATGCCAGGAGTTGGCAACCATTTGGGGCCCATAGGCACACTAGCAAACTAGAGAAACTGTCATGGATACCAGCCCTCCCTCCCCCACCACAACCAAGCACACATCACAACCTTTTTTATTAGCTACAGTCAAATGGGAACCTGTGGGCATCTGTATGCTTGCAGCTGCCTTGTTAGCAATCCCTGACTTAGGCTACGTGTGGGGTGTTGTTTTTTAAAGTGAAGCTAGTGATGCCTACTACTACATCTACTTCCAGCTTGTCAATTTGGCATCTAGCAGCTGAGTCAAAGAGCTCATAACTATTTTTTGACGCTAGGTTCCTCGTTATGCTAGGAAGCAGCGCACACAAGATACTGGGTTATAAAACCAAAGTCTCTTTTATTGACATGTGATTCAGTGATCAGATGAGGAAATTGGCATATGTGTTGGTCCCTGGAATTTCAAAGGACCAACTCGGTGAGCACACTTAAGACTGGCTTCCTACTAAACAGAAAATCACAAGGCAGCAAACCATCACTCTCCAGAGCACCCTCACTGTAGCAAATCTCATTCTCAATACCACTTAATGATGTTATGCTAGTGACTAATGCTACATCTAGTATATATTTATGCCCACCTAATCTGTTTTAATAAATATTCTAAAGTTTTTATGTTTATGTATATTTTCCATAGGAATTGATGTCCATTTTCTTCATGTAAAACCTTCCCATGTGCCTGAAGGCCAGTCTGCAAAGCCATTATTAATGGTTCACGGCTGGCCTGGCTCAGTCTATGAATTTTACAAAATAATCCCCCTCCTGATGGATCCAGGGAGCCATGGCTTGAGTGGCGAGCATGTTTTCGAAATAATCTGCCCTTCCATCCCTGGCTACGGCTTCTCCGAGGCACCTCACAAGCAAGGTACGTTGCATTATTTTGAAGGATCTGGAAGTGGTACGTGTACAGCGCTTATCTTTGTTGTTAATTCATAGGAACAGAGGAAGCTGCTTTGCACTGAGTCAGACCATCTAGCTCAGGATTGATTGTGGCAGGGATTGCCAACATTTTGGGGCACATTTGTTAACAGTAGGAACTGCTGTGCTTAAAACAGACACACTCACATACACACTCACACACTGCAACCAAGTGCACAACATAGTATATCCTGTTGTCTATGACAGAATGCTTCTTTCAATCCTAGCTTCATCAGGGGCAGGGAAGGGATTTCATAATTACCTTAGGTGGCAGGGCAGACCTCTCTCTCTAGGATCAAGGGTGCCAATGAGCACCATGCTGGTGTCCACTGGTCTATACTGGCTGGCAGTGGCTCCCCAGGATTTCACATAGGAATTTCTCCCAGCTCTACCTGCACACACTGGGAGTTGAATGCCTTCTGCATTCAAAGCTGGTGCTCTGCAGTGGAACCATAGCCATTCCCAAGATTATTTTGACCTCCACTCTGTACCTGTGCTGTCTCAAATAGAGCAGTAGATGACTGTTTATGCAAAGATACCTGAAACACTCAAATGTACTTGCTAGGGACAGGGAGTTACAAATACTAAAGCTGTACATATAAGGTAGCTTTATTTGTGCTTTGGCACCCTAGCCCCATCCAGGCATTCAGTCTAGATGTGTAGCTGGGCAGTGCATGCTGGTCCCACAATGCCCTGCCCTCCTCCTGCTTCCCTTTTCTTGTTCAGTGCAAACATTCAGAAAGGGGCCTCTCACTGCATTCAACTGAAGGTGATCAGAAGCCTCTGCACAACTGGGACCCTTGTTTTAGCATTGCTCAGCATGCTGCAGTCTGAGAGGAGCCCCCATGTACAGGAGTGGGGTGGGGACATTGCAGGGAGAGGCTTCTGTGCACAAGTTGTGATTCATCTCCCCTTTGTATCCTGCTGTTTTTCCAGGCTCAGGGCAGTAAGGCTGCTTTTTTTGTCCTCATCATAGTTCTGTGACAAAGGTTAGACTGAGAGTGCGGGTGTCACAGTGATTTTCCTGGAGAGGGTCTCACATTTGGTCCTTGGCATCTCCGCTTAAAGGGGGAATAACACAGGAGTAGGGAAAGAACTCTGACAGAGGACCAAACTGCACACTTCACTCCAGAAACTCATCATAAGTTGTGCAAACTGAGTGTAAAGGCTATTGGCTTTTCTGGCAAGGTGTGGATCAGAAGGTTGTGTTGTCTCTGCTCTTTTACTTGATGTAGTAAATAAATGCTCAGTGTGACTGGGGAGAAAATTCCTGTGGCAGCCTGAAATCTAGCTAGAAATTAGTATTGCACAGATTGTGTTTGCACTTGGGATGGGGCGGAAAGCAGTCCTACTTGATAACTTTCCTCCCCTCTCTATAGGCTTTGATTCTGTGTGTGCTGCCCGTGTCTTCTATAAGCTGATGCTCAGGCTGGGCTTCCAGGAATTCTATACCCAAGGAGGGGATTGGGGCTCATTGATCAGTACCAATCTGGCTCAGATAGCTCCAAGGTGAGTGTTCATCTTCTTGACAGGTGAAATGCAAAACAGATTTATTATTTAAGCAGCATATTGGCTACTTATGAAAATGAGGCATCTCCATCCTGATTTAGATTGAATCATTTGGGATATGATGTTCCCCCATCAGCCACTTACCCCAGGGGCAGAGGAAGCCCTGTGACTCGAGCACCCTGCCAGCTAGACTGTAGGAACCAAACATGCTGGAATTGCACAACTACTTTCCTAAACTTAGAGTCCTGAGTGTGTCCTGAGACTCCCAAGATTCTGGCTTCCTGATGGGAGCTGCTTGTTTCTTCTCCAGTGGGCTTGGCCTATATGTTTGTTCAAAACGGCAACAGGGGGCCATCTGAACTCCAGGTAAGTCATAAATCTATGGAGTTAAAAAGAAATATTTTTGTGGATGACTTATCTAACTTTTGTATATTATTTTAGCCACGTGAAAGGTGTTCACTTAAACATGGCAACAGTGACTACCCTGCATTTCAAGCAACTCCTTTCAATTACCTTGGGACGGTATTTCCCAGGACTCTTTGGTTTTGAGGATGTGGATGTCCAGCGGATGTTTCCTTTTAAGACAAAAGTGCTCTACAGGATCCTAGGGGAAGGTGGCTACTTTCACCTACATTCTACGAAGCCTGACACTGCTGGTAAAAGCCTTTTTTTAAAAAAGAAACACACAACTTGCTTGTCCTTCCAAGTAGTCAATTTATCTTTGATCAGCTAATAAATTTTTGTGTTCAGAGTTGTACTGTTCCATGCTACCCACTTTCCCAAGTGGTGAGAAGTTCCAAAAGCAGCACTGCCAGGGTCAGGCTTGCTTTTGGAGGCTTAACAGTGCTTTTGTAATGTTTTATTTATTCATTTACAAATATCCCACACTTTGATCTCCTCTGGCTCTTAGTTGAGCTGTTCTGGAGGACTAGTTAGCTTTCACTGAACCATTGGCACATTTTACTCAATTTAAATGTTGCCTCTTTATACATGGAGCTTTTGGATGAGCTGACAATGCCTGGGGGAAAACAGTCAAATTTGATTAATGGGTTTTCACCTAGATACGCAAGTGAATTAGCTTGACTGTATTGTTGTGATTAGGTCTCCAGACTTCTAAGTGCCTCTGTTTAAAATTATCTTTTTTATAACCTGATTGGAAAAATGAATTAAGAAAAAATGGATCATGCGTTCAGGTATATGCAGATTAAATTATAGGGCTGAGTGACAATAGCACTACACTGAAATAATTTCCCTAATTGGCATAGTGTATTACTGCATTGCTGCAGAAATGGCATATACTGATCTAGTTCAAGAGGACTCAAAAACATGATTGAATCTAGTCTGTACATATGTTGTTTGTTTCTATATATAGCAAAGGTGGAGAACCCCAGACCCACGGGTCTTTTGCAAGCACCAGGCCTCTCTCTCTGGTCCTAAGGACTCTCCCAGGCCAAACCCCGAGGTCACACCCCCTTCCCCTCCTTGCTTCTTATCTTTCTTGATCATTTTTGCCTGGCTCAAATGTGTCCTGCAACTCCTGATAATGACTCTTGCTTGCCTGAGTGAAGGATAGACTGGAGTGAGTGAGGGAGCACACCTTGATTAAAAGCTGATAATGTCAACAGGGGCCAGATTAAGCTTGCGGTTGGTTTCTCTCCCACTACCGCCACCACCAAGTCTAGTGAATGCGTCCAACAGTGCTGCCTACTTTTAATGTTATGGTTAAGAGTATAGGCGGAAGGCATCGATGGCATGGTAATAAGAGGCTCTACAGAGAGCTTCGTAAAGGACTCCATGTTATGCTGTGGCAAAAGATTGCCATATGATGTCAGTGTAGATATGTTCTGAACCACCTTGTGATCTTTGTATGAAGGGTGGTACACAAATTTACTAAATAATAAAATAGTAATAATATTAACTGGTGACAACAGGGATGACACACACTGGTGTCTTGATACAGTAGGTGCAATGAAGGTGTTTAAAGACTCAGACTGCCCAAAGTGTCTACGGTAAATGTGCCCAAAATGGCACCATCCGAAAAGAAGAGAGATTTATTTATTTGTTGGGGAACTCCACAGTAGACTTTACATTTGGATTTAAAGGGTCCTATCAAAGCTAGTTTTAAACAAGCTGATGCAGGAAACACCCACGTGGCCTTTATCAGCAACAGTTTTGAAAGTGCTGTTGGTTTCTACGGGATATTAGGGCTTGCATATCTGATTCTCTTCACAAATGATGTCTGCGTTTGCCCTGGTCACACCACTGACTGTATTGGAAAGCTGTGTCGGGTCGAGCATTTTAGCAGGATTCTTTCATGGGTAATCCACAGCAGGACAAATCAGAGCTAGCATGGTGGGATAATGGTCAGGCGCCACTGTGCTGCTCTCCCACCTGTGGAAGCAGTTCTGCCTTTCAGGGAAGCAGAGCTGCTGACAGCTGCTATCACCAATGAGAGAGGCAGGCAACGTAAGGAAAGATTCTGGCTTTGCCTGGCCTCCATAGGAACATAGGCACCTGCCTTACCCTGCATCATGTCACTGGTCCATCTGGCTCAGAAGTGTCTACACTGACTGGCAGTGGCTCTCCAGGATTTCAGACGGATGTCTGTCCCAGTCCAACCTCAAAATGGCTGGGGATTGACCCTTAGACTTCCTGCATTCATAGCACATGCTCTACCACTAAGGCCCAGTCCTTCTCTGTTACCAAAGCTTTATCCTACTGCTGGTTTAAGCTTCAGTTTCCCCTTATAACTTAAAAAACAAAATCCTCAAAGCTGTTTCAGCGTGTTTGTTTATTCTGTAAGGCTGTTAATACTGTTGGTACATAATTCATCCTACAGATCAACTTGCCAAGTGTCTCTTTATTTAGTGTCTTGTCAATCAGCAGCTGCTTCAGACAGCTGGAGTCTTGTGTTTATTTGGGGCCGGGGGGGGGGGGAGAGAGAAGTTAGCTGAAAATATGTTGGATGAAAGCGAACCCTCGGTTTTCATTCTTGTTTAGGCTGTGGCTTGAATGACTCTCCGGTGGGCTTGGCTGCATACATCTTGGAGAAGTTTTCTACATGGACCAATCATGCCTTTCGAGATCTAGAAGATGGAGGACTAGAAAAGTGGGTGTCATTTCTCCCTGCCCCTCTCTCTACGTTTACAGATGCCTATTTACCTTTGATGCTTGTATACCTATCTGCACTATTCTCAGATTAGCGTCACAATCGCCTCTTGTGTTGGATGCTTAGCTGACATTCTTCTTGGTCTTCTTTCCAACCAGAGGGCTGAATCATCATGGGAGTAGAGAGGTATAAACATCTTCCCCTGTAGCCCCCATACTCCCCCGTCTATCTACATTCTTCTTATGTTTGGACTGTCCACTCTTTTCCTTCCTCCCACCTCCTCCGTGAGATCCTCCGCTTCATATACAGCAGCACTGTGAACCTGGAAGCAACACTTCTCCCTGTTCTGCTGCCCCATCCTGTCCCGGTCCAGCCGTGTTTGCTTTCAGTCGCGTTGGCAGACTCAGAGAACCAAATGCAACACAACTTTCCACAGTCTATTCATTTTAAGTGTTTATGTTGTGCCTTTGTAGTGCACGTTGAGAGCGGCTTAATGCCAGCGCAACTTGGTTTGCAGTCTGACTGAGCAGGGAGGCGCTGGACTGCAGTGTTGCTGAATTTAAGAAATCAAATGCTGCAGATCATTTTGGAGTTAGCTTGTAGCCCGGTTCTTCACCTGCTTTGAAGGTTTGAAACGCAGCTCAGTCAGAAAACTCAAAAGAAGAGCACATGTTCTTGCATGTCCTTGCTGACATCTAGTGTCACCATGCATGTATGAGTATTGTGCAAACGCACCCCTTTGGACAGGAGAAACATTTGTGAAGGTGGCAGCCTTCTTTGCAAGGATAACACCAGCTTGCTCCACAATCTAACTTGGGGTTGTTTTGTGGTGGAGTCCTGCAGGTTAAAAATGGCTTAGACCCCTTTCTGAGAGGAAAGAAGCCTTAACTTAGTCTTTATAACAAAGTCTTATGGCCAGCAAATTAGCTGCTCTACAGGCTTCTCTTATGCCACCGTCAGCTTCACATCTCCTGACTGCCAGGACAGCTGAACATCTTGAGGCCCTAGCAGTGAATTATCTAAATTGGACATAATCCTCTGGGAACTTCCCTTACAATAAGTTCTGTTGAAAGGGAGTAGATCTGTGTGCTTTAACTCATTTATAATAGGGTTTTAGCAAAATAGCTGAGCTGCCTTCTTTTTTAAGCAATTCTATAAATGGGTATATTATATAAATGGGAAGTGCTTGAGGGGTTTGCTGTCCATATTCTGTCCCTGTTCCCACAGAGTCAACAAAGAAAGGGCTTGATTTACTAGATTATCATTATGTTGCCTCCTTAAAAAAAAAAGCAACAAGGAAAAATAGAGTCAGGATAAATGGAAGAATGTATTCCAACAATATCCCAGAGACTCAAGCTAAATTTAGGAAATAGCTGGAGATAACATTTCTGAACCAAATGTTGATGTGTTGACAGAGATCTTACATCAGCATTTCCCAACCATGCTGGCTAAGACTGATGGGAGTTGTAGTCTTGGGAGTTGTAACCTGCACAGAGCACTTGAGAGGGGAAAGGACGCGAAATCTAAAGAATAATAATGACCTTAATATTTAATGGCTCCTGATTTTGGTAACAATGTGCCAGCTTAGGCTAAGGATGAAAGAAGGCTGCAGATGTTGATGATGGAACATAGTTGACAAGTTCTGATGTGGCTGTTTCTGGATTGTATTTTTCAGGAAGTTCACACTGGATGATCTTCTCACAAACATCATGATCTACTGGGTATCTGGGTGCATAGTGTCCTCAATGCGTTTTTACAAAGAGAATATTGGGAAAGGAATTGGCACCCAGAAGCATGAGAAGTAAGAGATTCCTTTGCCTATTTTAGAGAGCTCTTTTCATACCACACACACACATTTAGCTGCCCTGTGTCCTTTTACAGTTTTTCATATTTACTCAGATATGCCAAGTTTAGACAGAAAGTGAACACAAAGGTATTCCTGGTGACTTGTGAAATCCACATCCAGACATTTCAGTGTCAGCAATAATAATATACAAATGTCCTAAATGCATTTGCAGACTCATGTGGATTTGCAGCAGGGCCAAGGAGGTTCATGAAGCTATGTCCTTGTACTTTTCTCAGGCAAGCTCAGTCATTTCACTTGCATAGGGAGCTCAGCGTGCGGTTGCACGTGGCAGCAGAGCGAAACCAGTGCTTCTGCTGCCACGCCCTGTGCCAGGCTCCCTGTGCCTCTCCTTCTGGGCAAGCGGCAGCAATCTGCTTTGTTGGGAATTTAGGAAGGCAACAGAGGCCCACCGGCAAATGTGATGGGGATGCTTAGGGCAGAGAAATATAATTTGTGGGTCCTCTCCAGACCTTCACCTCCCCGTTTCCCATCCCTGAGTTAGTTCCAACTTCATGACTGAGTTCTGTCCTTGCCTTTTACATATGCTTCTGGAGCAAGGTCTGCTAGCGCAGGAGCTTAAGATATATGCTAGTACAAGGCATTTCACAAAGCCTCAGAATGGGTGCTAAGCCTATGTTGCACAAAGTCTTCCACTGACTCAGGCTCAACAGCATCTCCGCCAGAGTTTCTTCTACTGCCATATTTCTGGAGCGAAAGCGCAGCTTGCCCTGCCACAGCATGTCTACCTGGGTACAGAACCTGTTGACCTGGGTGCAGAACCTGTTGAGCTCAGTGGAGCTTACTTCTGAGTAGACATGCATTAAATTGTGCCCTCGACCTTCCTTTTCCCTATTTTGCCTGTGGTTTGGAGTCCTGTTTGAAGAAGTCCCTTCATTGTGAGGATCAGAGTGACATGTTTTCCCTCTTGGTTCTCTTGCAGGCTCTCTGTGCAAGTCCCTACAGGGATTGCTTCATTTCCACATGAGGTCCTGCATATGCCCCAGTCATGGCTTCAACAGAAGTATGCGAACATTGTTTCCTTCAGCTACATGGCCAGAGGTGGACATTTTGCGGCTTTTGAGGAACCAGAGCTCCTTGCAGCAGATATTTTGCAGTTTGTGGGGAAAGTAGAAAAGGGCAACTTTGCCAAGAAGTTGGGTTGTGGGCTGTTGTAATCACCCTTGTAGGGAATCCTCCCCCCACACTTAAGAAGTAATTGAGATTAAAAATGATAAAAATGCTTTGCATTTAGGGTAGCTTTTGCTGAAGTCCCTGGGGTGTTTTTCTTCTTTTTTTGTAGCACTGATTCTCTTCCCATTTGGCTAGATAAAAATTGAATTGAGGCACATTCAAGCTGACCTTGTGATGAGTTTATATAGTGTAGTGCCCAGAAGAGTGAACAGTGAATTAGGATGACTTTCATTCTAATGATTACTATTGCTATATCACCATTCATGCACATGGCAGTTTCTATAATCTTTGAGAATTCCTGGAGAACAAGTGAGGTCCTTGCAAACTGGAGATGGGCAGATGTTGTCTCCAGCTTCAAAAATGGGAAAAAAGAAGAACCAGGTAACTCCCAATCAGTCAACTTGACATCGATACCAGGAAAGGTCCTAGAACATTCAGTCTGTGCCCACTTAGAAAAGGATTCTGTGAGTACTAAGACCCCGCATAGGTTTCTCAAAAGCAAGTAATTCCAGACGAATATCATATCTTATATATAGAGAGAGAGAGAGTGTGTGTGTTACAAGCTTGGTGGGTCAAATGAATGTTGTGGATGTGTATCTTGATTTCAGTGAGGCTTTTGACAGAGTCCCCCATTATGTCATTGCAGAGAAGCTGGTAAACTGTTGGGTGAATCTGTCAATTTCAGGTTCTGTTTTTTTATCCAGTCTTAAATTCACTTCCCCATATTTCCACACCATTTTGTATTTTCTTTTTAAGTCCTCATAGAAATGAATCAGCATTTTAGCACGAATTTCTCCTAATATACAAGTTTGTAAGCTATTTTGCCCCATGTACACATTTTTGCAGAGCAGTATGCCCAAATTTTCTCTAATTGTATGTATGTAATTTTCACTAATATATGCCTTTTTATGTGCATTTTATCCCAGGGCATGCATTTTTGTGCACGTTTCTTGACTGGATAATTTTGAATTTCGAAAGGTGGCTGTGTTTCAGTTCATGTACTATATCAGAAAGTGCAAATGTAAGCAGGTTCACCTTTAAATGCACACGGGATCGCATTTCTCCCCCAGCCCTACATGTAAGGCCGCTTCCTATGTCTAGTTTATATCTCAAGGCCAGTTCTTCTTCCACCTCAATGGGGAAGGGCCATAGCTCAGTGGTTAAGCACTTACTTTGCATGTTATGGTCCCATGCTCAATTCCCAGCACCTCCAGCTAGGATTGGGAATGACCCTTGCCTGAAACCCTGGTAGGAGACATCCTACCAGGCATTGTAGATAGTGCTGAGCTAGATGGACCAAGTGGTCTGACTTGCTAGGAGGCCACTTCCTAGGTTCCTAACACTTAGCTTAGAAATTGCCGAAGCAACCGGCTCTGGTGGCCACAGGCTGCTCTGCCTGCATTATTTATCTGCACCTTTTTGTTCCTTTCCTTGGCTTTCTGAGTGACGTTCATTTGTCCTCCCGTGTCTTCATCCCCCACGTGTGGTCTCCTATTTCAGGGCATGAAGTCACCCGCCAGAACGCTCCTTTTGCACACCAGCATCTGTTACAACGAGGGAACATAGCTGTACAGTAATTTAAATTAATGTTCCCCGGTAGACTGATCTGTCACGATACAGACGAAATAAGTGGGAAGGAAGTTCACTAAGTGATGTTTGCCAGACCCTGTTTTCCACTCTTAAGTGCAGAAATATTTTGCGTCTTGCCTCCTGCAGCAGCCCCATTTCAGGGGCCCGGCCCAGGGAAAGGGGATTGCGGGAAAGCTACTGCACACACCACTGTGCTCTTGTGCTAACCATCTTTGATAGGGAGGGAGGGAGTCTTGGGAGGCGAGAATAAATACTACCAAGAAAGCTGCCTTTGCATACAAAGACTTCAGATGCCTTGGCAGCTGCTATGCTGTGTAACTGGAGACAACTAAAGCACACACACAGAGCAACCGCCACATGGGAAGTAGATGTCATAATGGTATTATTCATGTTCTGCCCTACAGGCAGGCCAAGAAGTTCCTTACCTAGAATTTATCTCTTTCAGGCCATTTCAGAAGCCTTGTGCACTTGTCACAGTTCAAGAGACCGAATCACAGACTTACAGAGTTGGAAGGGACCACGTGGGTCATCTGGTCCAACCCCATGCAATTTAGGAATCTTTCACCCAATGTGGGGCTCTAACCCATGACCCTGAGATTAAGAGTCTCGTGCCCTTACCACCTGAGCTATCCCAGACTAAACAGCCCAACCTAAATATGAGAATTTGGGAAATACGTTGTAAGATGCCACGTTTTTCTCAGGGTTTCGAGGAGCTGGAATTTATTTCCAATTCCAAAATGGCCCTGTGCAAATGTTGATGGTAAATATTCTCCAGGTGCGTTGCTACTCCACACTTCCATTTGACATCCAAAGGTTTGGCAGTAGGGACCAGCACTTGAGCTGCTGACAAATGGAGAGGAGTAACAGCATTTGATAGATGCCTTGCAATATTTTATGTTTATTTGCTTATTTACTGCTGGAGCAGTGGCAGACTTCGGGCTTTAAAATTTCAGGGGTGCCCCATGCAATGCCAGAATTCAGCACCCTCCCCACCTCTCGCCTTCAGTTGTTCATCATGGTTGCAGGGCCCTCTTGACTCAGCACCAAGGAGTCTGGAAGGAGGAGATAATGAAAAGGTCTTTATTTCTATCTTTCGGACCTGCCATTGTTAGTCTTCAGCTGCTCATGTTGACTACGCACCGGCCTGTAGTAATGAATCCCAGATGGGCAGGAGAGATGGGGACTGACCCAGCGGAATTTAGTTTCACACTTCTGGGAGCAGGGGAAGCCTCTGGAGGCAAGAGACCTGCTGTGATTGTCTGACTCATCATTTCTGAGTAGGGGGTGGGAGGTTGGAGCTGACCAGGTAGGTCCTGGGCATGGTGAACAATTCATTGTGTGGTGCTGCTGCTACTGAGAAAGCTGGCTCTGGACCCAATGGATTGTAACCACAAATACCCGCCTTTTAGGGGATGATGACTTAGCAGGTCATGGCAGAACTGCAGGCATTTCTGGATGAAAAATTATCTGGATCCATTCCAGTCTGGGTTCAGGACCCAGCTTCTTACCCTGATGGATTACACTTATAGAAAGGAGGATCTGGGGAATGCAACCCCGTTCCTTCTGCTTGGTATCTCAGTGGCTTTCGACACTCTTAGCCATGCTCACGCACAGGTTAGTGCAAGGTCAAAATAAATCTTTATTGTTTTCAAAGCTTTCCAGCCTGAGCCGGTTTTTCATTCTACTCTGAACAGGGCTTTTGTTCTACTTTAAAGTCCCACAGTTGCACAAATGAGTAACAGGCGTACTCCAGTTTTTTTAAAGCCATGGCTTTGAGAAGAAGATATGATTAGGCAACTACAATTTGATGAGCTCCTTTTTTAATAGAGCTGAATTTTCAGAAAACATCCAGACTGCCATCTTCTGAAAACAGTGCCCTTTTAAAGCAGCGGAACCAAAACGGAGATATGAAGCGAGGAGCTCACCTAAAATATGTACATATTGTCTCCTGCTCCTATTAATCACTGAGGGTTCCTCTCCCCTAACCTTTTCATACCTAATTAGAGCCAACTCTCTATCCATTTGAGAGCTGCATCCATTAGCCTGTATGTTCAGGCTTAGCCGCCAGCTCCTCATTAACATTCCATCCCCTTGCAAAGGGCTGCTCTCTCCAAAAGAGGTCAGTGGTAGATTCCCCATTTTAGAATATTGACCTTCCCATTTAAATGCTGCCTGTGCTACAAGGACACTGCGTTCCTTTCCTGTTCACATATTTGCACAACCATGTTATCACTGTCTCAGAGATCAGGCTTGCTGCAACGAAAAAAGTGCACAGCACTGTGGCTATAAGGAAAACTTGTGACTATACACTGCACTGGTGCTCTTCTTTCTTTTCAAATTAATTTGTCTAGAGACAGACACATGTAGCACTCATGACAAAAACGTCCACCACACCAGAGTGAGAGCAACACTATGTGACACATTACTAGCTATGTGCTAGGGACCCCTGACCATTAGGTCCAGTTGTGACCGACTCTGGGGTTGCGGCGCTCATCTCACTTTATTGGCCGAGGGAGCCGGCGTACAGCTTCCGGGTCATGTGGCCAGCATGACTAAGCCGCTTCTGGCGAACCAGAGCAGCGCACGGAAACGCTGTTTACCTTCCCGCCAGAGCGGTACCTGGGAAGAGAAGAGAGCAGGAAGCTGGGCTAAGATGGGCCTTTAGTCTGATCTACTTGCACTTTGAGGTGCTTTCGAACTGCTAGGTTGGCAGGAGCAGGGACCGAGCAACGGGAGCTCACGGGGATTCGAACCGCCAACCTTCTGATGGCAAGTCCTAGGCTCTGTGGTTTAACCCACAGCGCCTGTGTTCTTACATGCAGCTTTTAAACACTCAAATTGCCAGCATGTGGTCCTTTGGCTCAGCGTAGGAGGCTTGCACCATTTGCCCCACACTATCATCTCAATTTGGATCAGACCCCTTGCCCCCTAAAGGCACAGCTTCAGATGTATTGTCTTGCATGGCCCTGAGGTCCCAGATTCTGAGTGTCCACAGCAAACTGACAGATATGTGATATATTATTACTCTATTTTTTACTGTCAGCATGGTTTGCTTGTGTCCTCACTTTATATAACCATCATCAGTTTTAGCTACACATGTATTAGGAATTGTATAATGTTGGTGTATTAATTTTTGGCCTCATCTGTGACCATTTAATAAACGTGCTGATTTTCTGTCTCACATGCCAAAGTAACGTTGGCTTACCAGGGTGGCATAGGATGCACTCTGCTCTCTTGAGCGTACCCTGTGGCTCAGAGTCTGCTCTCCAGTCAAGCCCAGCTATATTTCCCTTCTGGTCTGTGGCAAGCCTTACTGCAGCAGTTGCTCTGTATACTGACATTAACCTTTCACCTTCCAGCTAATGGATAGGGGTCCATAGGCCACTCTGTCCCCTGAGTTGCCGCAAAAGTGATTTAATAACATGTTCACATTGTTCCGATTGTTTTCTCTACAAATACATTCCCCACATTTCTGTTGCACATTAAGGGGTGAGGATGACAGAAGAGTATTTTTCCTGGTTCTCTTTCCCACCCTACCCACCATACCAATGCTATTAAAACTGGCTTATGTAGTTTCATATAAATTCAGCAGTCTTCAGCCTTTAACCCAAACAGGAATTTGGGGGCCCATTTTTTTTTAATTGCATATTTATCATGGTGCTGATTCTGCTGCGACCCATCTTAGATCAGGCTGTGAGTGGGTTCCAATTCATCACTTTAAGACCAATTATATGATTGAAACTGATGAGCGATTTCAGATTAACGTGTGGCTATTTATTTATTTCGCAACATTTATATACCGCTTGATTGTAGAAAAACAAACAAACCCCCAAAACCCTCCAAGGGTCTGCTTTTCCAAGGAGGAAGGGTTAGAAGTTTGATCCAGATAATACTTTGTGCCACATCCCAAAGCAGTGGTTCAAGATGAGCATTGCCAGGTGTCAACAGGCATGTATACTGTAATCCATACCCTATAATGTAAACAGAGGAGGGCAACATGATATGCTCCAAAACAGACCTTACAGAATAGTTACACATCCATTCCATACATACAATCTACAACATGGTGGGTTGATGTCCACATTTCATAGGGGTAATCTGTTGGAGGACTGCACATTGATGAAGATGACCCAAAAGTGGTTAGGCACACACACATACAGAGAGACCCTTCATTCGTTATGCTACCTCTTTTCCATCTGCAAGAAATTAAGAGGGTCACAGACACACACACCCTGATCTGCAAGCTGCCCACTCCTGCGCTACAATATACGTTGACACACACCTGTCATGATTACATTCTACCTCCCCCCTCTAAATCAGTATGCCTCTGAGTAACAGTGGGGAGAGAGTGCTGTTGTGCTCAGCTACCTGCAGGCTTCTCGTAGGCTGCTGGTTGGCCACTGTGAGAACAGGAAGCTGGGCTAAGATGGGCCTTTAGTCTGATCTAGCAGGCTCCTCTTAAGGTCTCCCTCAAAATATCCTAGCAATTGTAGTCTGGTGCAGGTGTGGAGAATTCTGTTAGAGCACTAGTTGTACAGAACTGCAATGCCCAAAGTTCCCAGAGTCCATTATATACTAGAACAGGTTAGGGATGAAGATTAGTGGAATAAGGGAAAATCTGGCACATTTCAAGACAACTCTAGCTTCCCATCCCTACCACATTCCTTCGTAAGGGTTCAAATTTGAAACATTTATGTAGGCAGAAGGCAGACAGCTGGCTCTGATTTAAGTGCTACCCAAAGGACAGCTGCTTGCAGGCTGCAAGGAGAAAGATGACCAAATATGCCAGAATGCCAGGCTCGGCAGTCAGGAAGAGGGGAACAGCACATTTGCTCCAGCTGCCATCCTAGCACTTTGCACTATATGCAGACTGGCGGGATATCGCACCATGCAACTGCTAGGAGACATAGTTGCAATAACTTTAGAATAAACGTGCAAGGGTGAAGACCGTAGGCAGCAGCTTTCAGCCCAGTTGCCTTTCTCTGCTTATTCGCTATTGGTGTCCTACTGAACAGCTGCATTTGGAGTTGAAATACTGCCCCTGCTCAGCTGGCCACAAACTATCCAAAGCAGTCCCTTGCAGCTGTTACAAACTCTATGAAATGCAGACTCTGGGTAAGTAATTTCCAAAACTAACAACTGCAACTGTTGCGGGCCATATAGTTTTAAAATTCAGAACAAGATCACGTAAAACAGTTCAAGCAAGTCAAAACTGAGTAAGTCCTTCCTGATTACAAAGAGTCAATTATGTTGAATATGAGGTTCTGGACAATATCCAGGATGCAGCAAGAATATGGTATCTTTTTGAAAAGCTAGTAACAACGTAGGAAAATGGGAGTAGGTTGCTGGTAGTTCTGTGTTGAAAGCACAAACACAACAATACTTTGAAGACCTCAAGTAATATAAAATTATTCTATTGTGGATAAGAACTGGCAAAAAATAATAATCACACATGCTTCTGGGCAAGCAATAAAATATAAGAGTTAAATGCAAATGGAGACTATAATGTGAACTCTGGGAACCAAATAGCTGCTTACATTCATGTAATGGACTTACTAATCCAATTCATTTTACTACTTTTTATTTACTCTGCTTACGTGTCAGTTCTTCAGAGGCCTATCATCCAGCGCCTAGTTTTGAACCACAAATGTCTTTGGAAGCCCATAAACAGGACACAAGAGTTAGCAGATTTTCCACTAGCTAGGGAGTGGGTTTCCGTGTACTGCATAGCCCTATACCCCTCCCCATGGCTAGCAAAAGTAAAATATATTGGCAGACTAGCAAAGGAAACATGCTTAATTTGCATAATTTTAGGGCACAAAATGTGGGCATTCTTATGCCAACACTGTAGGTCTGAACATTTCATAAAGTTTTGTGATAATCAATACACTTAAGTCACCAAAATGTATCTGAATTTGTGTTTTATTGAATGTGATTGCTTAATTATCCTTTAACATAGCTTTTGGTAAACATTTATATCTACTTCATAATTTTAAAAAATGTCTTACATACTTATGGTAATCTTGACACTTAAAGCAGATCTTTGTTTGATAAAGCAGAGAGATTAAAAGTGATAAAATGTTCATATCCTTTATTGTTTGGCTCATAAACTTCCCTTGTAAGAAGCCCTTAAAATAGTGACCAGATAATAACAAATTTAGCCCCTACTTAAAAGTTCTCATATAAATACAATCTGTCATCTCCTATAGTTTTGGAACATCATATCTCTGTACTGTATTTGCAGAAAAATAGTCTGTCTTTTTTAAAGAGAAGCAGCACCTCAGCCAACTGGAACATTAGAAGAAGACCAGAGGGCTCCCCAGATCACATTTGCTTGGCTTTTTTTTGTTATCAAAACAGGAGTGCCCTTTGGACATAAGCCAAAAGTGTTTAACAGAATGGTTAAAATTCAGGAGGCATAATTTTAAAAACCAAAAAATGAAACCCAAACCCCAAAAGGTAGGTGCCATGTTTGACAACTCTTTTGGTCCCAGTGATCTAGCATTTGTCTATACAGTCACATCTTTCCATAAAGGCAAACAAGTAAACCCTAAATAATTCCTCTGAGCATTGTTGTTCAGTATAAATGTACCACAATCTGTGCAACGACCTAGAAAAATGACCAAACCCAAAGTGGCAACTTTGTAAAATCAGCACTGCAAATGAAACCCAGATCAGTGCTCCCTTTGGAAGAAATAGACTGTGCGACACAGAATATTTTGTGAAATCCGGAGGTCCAAGGGCGCCACCTTATGTTAGTCCCTGACGAGGAGACACACGTTTATATCTCTCCAAAGAAAGTGGGTTCCTCAGGGTAAGAGACATGAATGACGGCGTCCCTTTTTACAGACGTTTTTCCCATGGTGCCATAGTTCTGGTGATCCAAATTATCCATAACTGACCTTTCATTAGGAGATCGCAGTAGAACATGGGGTACAAACATCTGGAACGGCAGAAAATTGGAATCTTGAATAATTTAAAGAGGCAAGATATGATAATTTCAAAATGGATCAAATATTTTTATCTCATCCCCTATTTTTCTTTCTCCCAACTATCTCCTGCATGGAGGCTGAATGTTGTTTTGTTCCTCTCCGGACTCTTAAACCAGAAATGAGTGTTTAGTAGGAGAAACAGCATTTCATGATTCTACAAAAATCTTTCCCCCCATGATTAAGGACAAAACTTGGAATATTTGGTTCAAACTAAATAAGACTGCCATATCTGAACACTATTACTATGTAGAGAATGGGTTTTCTAAATATGTCTTTGTTGCACCTAAAACCTATGCAAGAATATATTTTGTCAACCGAAGAACTTTAGGTCAGCTAGCCCTGAAGGCAACCAAAGCAAGTGTTTTGTCACCACAGAACTTGCTGATACAAACAAATCCTTTCCTGGCAAGAAACTTGCTTTCCCGTGAAGAATTAATAATTGTTTTCTGATAAATGCTTACAGCAGATTTTCGAGTTGTTGTTACTGAAATAGCATCAGTCCCCGTTTCATCTTTTTTCTCTGTCTGCAAGTATCAATAGAGAAGAGACAAACAAATATTAAAATTTGTGAAAATATGCCCAGTCTTGTGTAAAACATAGTATTTAACTGTATTGCTCCTGTTTGCCAGTACTCCCAGTTCTATCATTTAACACGAAGAAGCAAGTACATAGCTATACAGGAAGAACTCCCTCCTTTTTTAACATAACACTTAAATATTTACAGCTAGGGTAAGCTATTAATTAGTCAGAACTTAGCTTTACTGATGTAATTGCTTTAACGGTTTATTGTTTAAATTGTGTTATATTTGATTGTAACCCACCCTGTAATCATATTTGACAGTGTGTGGCATACAAAAACCACCAAATAAATGAATAAAGTAGCTCAACTGGCTTTGGATTTAGTGTTAAGTGCCAAATTAAGTGAAGCAGAAATGATTAGCAACTCCCAGATACAATAAGAGTGATTTACCTTATAATTCAGAGGGCTGAGGTACTTGAAGCAGCCAAAGCAGGTATAGCCTATGCAAACACAAATTGCTATGGCTACAACTAGGAATGTAAATAAAGTTGTAGGTGCTCTAAAACCTAAGGAGAAACGTTTACAAAATATGAAATAAAATAGGGAATGAGATAAGAGGGTGGGGAAATCTCAGCAGCAGCACACACAAGCAAGCAGGTAACACACACAAATCTTGAAATATGGGAATGTACAGTATCATTCTTCTGGCTTTTAAATTAGAACAGGGTTCTGCCGGATGGCGAGGGCGACTGTCCTGTTTCTCCGCTTGAGTTGAAATACCCAGGAGCTGGCTCCCTGCCACGCTGAAGCCTTGCTTACCAGGCTGACATGGCTATGGTTTCTGGCCATATCTCGCTGAAACCCAGACGCTGCAGCCGCTTCTCCCTGACACAGTATGCCCCTCCTCACCATTAGAAGCAGTAGTAGCAGCAAGATCTCCAGAAGATCTCGTTAGAAGTCGCTGCCACTTCTTGGATTCTCCAGCAGCGATGACAAGGGGTGGATGAGGCACCTGTGGGGATGCCACCCCTTGGGATTCTGCTGCCTGAGGCACCCGCCTCAGTCTGCCTCATGGGCAGGCTGGCCTTGCTCGATGGACTGACTTCCAACACTCCCAGGCAACTTGGCCAGGGACGCTGAGAGTTCATAGTCCAGCATCATGGGGAGGGCACCTTGCTGGCTACCCCTGCGCTAGAAGATCTGCCTATGTCCTTGGGTCTCAGTGTTTGGGGCTGCACCATTAGCTGTTCCCAGAATCGGCAGCCCTACACTTCAGCTGTATCTTTGCCCTTTGCTCCCACTCACACAGCACAGAGATATCAATGTACAACAAAAGCCACTACTTGTCTGCTACACAAGCCTCTCAGAAGTGTGACCATTTGCACGCCACTCATACTTACCTAGCCTCAAAAAGGAGAAAAAATACAGCCAAAACAGGCAGAGAATTGGAGCTGCAAGGGCTTGAGTCACAGCCGCAGAATGGATTCGTTTCTCTAGCTTTGCAGGAAGGTATGCAAAGTAGAGATTGTGGCGGTCAACGGTATGCTTTAGAAGCAAATAAATTAATCCTGAAAATAGGAAATAATGTCAGAGTTACAAAAATGTTTTTTTCTGCTGCCATTGCTCACCATAGAACCATAAAGATGTTAACTGTCCCCTTTGTTCTATACAAGCCAAGGCACCCAAATGTTCTTGTGCCTGTAGACTCAGTGATTGCCAAGAATCAAAAGGTAAACAGCATATAAAATACCAGACTCTTGCTACTGACTTTGAATAAATTAGCAGCTTCAGTTTTATAAGGTTATACAAATGCTTCACTTCCTCTTGTGGGGTGCCATTATATGGTATGAGGAAAGGCTCTAGCATGTGCTCTTTCCACCGAGACGTCTCTGCTTTAAATTGTGTGAACTAGCAAAGTTCTGTTGTTTTAAATCCCATCCAACATTCTGTTTTTTCGTGTTTATTTTGTGATGCACACTAGTAACGTGTTTGTTCAGCTGTGAAGAACTATCAACATTCTGTTGCCATGTATTTGAGGAATTCACTATGGTTTTGTTTAGTTAATAATTGCAAAGGAAAAACACAACCACCACACTTTTGGTGGTATAAAGAACAGGATCTCCATTCAGAAGAGGAGAAATGCCATGCTTGTCTCCTCAGAAGTTCAATGAGACTTGACTTCCAGATAAGCAGGACCGCAACCTAACTGTTATTAGAAGACAAACACATAGCTTATATAAGGGTGTTAAATATGTTATAATTGAAACATAAAAACCAATGCTTGTTTCTGGGAAACCAGATTTTACAGAAAAACAAAGCACACAATTTCTAACCAAAATTCAGTTGGCAAAAATGGTGCCTGTTTGCTGTATCAAACTGAAACAAAGATCAGATACATCTTTCCAAGTATGTTGCTATATTCAGCTGGTGTTGTTTGTTTGTTTTCTGCTATGTATTATTTGGGATCCCTGGCATGAAAGATTACATTCAGTAGAATCCACATTTTGTTTAGCATCTAGAATGATTTTTGTAGGAATAAAAAAAAATACATTCCAGAAAACAAAGGCAATAAAACTAGGCACTACCGTAAATAAGAATTTGTATACTTTTTTTAAATACATTTTTATACCAGGTGTACCATAATTTGCCAGCCCTGTGCTACAGAATATTTGTCCAGCAGGCATCAGTGCTGTTAAGTGTCTTGAAGACTTTATGCTGACAGGCCTATTCAGCTGTTTAGTTTCCTTTTTAGATGAGCCAGTTATTCTTGCGATTATTCTGTGCTGTTTTAAAGTATCTTATGTTTTAGGACATTTGCAATATATGGGAAGTATGATCTACACCTGAGAGCTATGTTCTCATAGGTTGTTTCATGAGCTTGTAACTCCCTTTTCGCAAAATCCATAGCCTAGTCTTCTTATTGGTCTAGGTTGACCTTTTAATGTTTCTCATGTTGCACTTCCTACAATGCGTAACCCCTTTCAGATCAAAAAATGCTATGCTATACTAATGAATACAACAAGAAGTATACAAATGGAAACTAAGAATAATATAAAGGCAAACCTAAAAAGCATGCGGAACATGTATTTAGATTAACCAGCACTACACTAAGTTCCCATTGAGAGCAGCAAAATGATTTAAGTTGTTGCGCTCTTTTCTTACCCTGTGTGACAAGTCAGCCAGCACAGAAACTAGTATAACACATACATTTCTCAGTCTCAATACTATATTCAAGCCACCAAGCCCTCCTGTTTGTCCTATTGCAATTCCAGCACACTGGCCAACTTACCAAATGGGACAATAAGGGGGCAGGTGATGCTGTAGGCCATGATGACGGTGAACACACAGAGTGTCCACGCATACATTGCTCCAAATGCAAACTGAAATGCTTGGTGCTACAAGGAAATAAAACATTTGCATTAAGTGTTGCAGGGACAATATTCTGCCTCTTATTCTCTCCATACACCAGTTATTTTAAAAGTGGCGCATGGGACACTTTAGCAGACATGCATCAGCAGCCTTTGGGGCATGAGTACATATCAGTTGCATCACCAGAAATTTGTTGCGACAATTGAGAGAGCGCCACTTTACTCAGGAGAACTGAATCACGTTACGAAGTTAAACTAAAAGCCAGATCTGTAAATACTTTCAAATGTTGGGGTTCTTAGAAGGAAAGATTTTCTATGCTTCCTAAAAGAAAAAAAGGGGGGGGAGTGAAGCTGATGTGTTTGAGCCGATATACACTGAGTGAGTGTTGTGCTACAGAGATTAACTGTGCTCCAACAGAAGTCCACCAAAAAGCTGGGGAATCACCAACAAGATTGAAATTATCAGGACGACCAGAGTCCAGGGGTGAATGCCGGAAGCCCATATGAACAGAGATGCAAAATGTTGCTGCGTACTGTTGACAGGAATATAAAATTCTTTGTGCAATAGGTCTAGGTTTCATACCTGCTTAACATGTTTTCTCTCAGAACTGGATTTGGCCATAAACATGCGAGCAGTGTATACCAGGAGTCCTGGCAAACGCAACAGCTCCATTCCAGTGCCAATGAAAGCCGATGCAATCACATAGTTCACAAAGAAAGCTCCTTGGTCAGGCAAAAAGACACACCTGCACGTAGTTTTAGAAGAAGAAGAAACACAAGTGAGTGAAGAAGAAGAAGAAGGTGCAAAACCTCATCTGGTCACCAGTTAACATCCCCTACCCCTGCCGGCTCTGGGGAGAACTCTACTAGATCTCATTATATGCCCCAGTATGCCCGATCTCTGGGAGGTAAACTAAGTTGGAAAAGGTAGCTAAATGGAAACAATGAGGCAAATAACAAGGCAAAACTGTGTTTGAATAAAAGAAAGGAAAAGACTTAGCCAACATTGAAGAAATGCAGGAGTAATAGAGGAGGTACTGCTTCTATCTAGAATATGCTATGGCAGCATGCTCACAATTGATTGCGTATTCAATAAAATTAAACCACATTTAACTATTTTCAATTTCTGCATTAAGTTTTCCAACAATGTTGTTTGCCAAAGTTTCTGAAACCAAAATTGCAGATTGTCCATTTTAAATTGCAGTAGCAGTTCTAGTAGCAACTGGATGATGAACTAATAATTATTTGTGATGCAGCAAACTCAGAGGGCCAAATGTGGTGAGAGAGTAACCTGCTGTTTAGTAATTAAGCAAGTTGGTTTTTTTAACTTAGGGGATTTACAGTGCACATGGCAGTAGTTGCCAACCACTTGGCACCCCTCCGACTTAAAGGAAATGCTTCAGAACTGATAAGAGAAAGTTTATGAGATAACATTTATGATTTATTTAAGAACCCAGCTCTCCAGCTTGTGCTGATGTAAGAATGTGTGTTTACTCCAAGGTTGTGACTTCTATTTGAATATCACATTTCTAATACCACATATTTTTGAAATCAGGAATACACCTGTAACCTTTGTCTACTAGAATTTTATGTATGACAGGCACTCAGCTTCTAAGCACCATACTTTCAGATTGCTCTAGCTGCCTTTTTTGCATTTTCCTTGATAATTTGCTTATTTTGAAAATAATTACTTAATTGAAAATAGTTAAATTTGGTTTAATTTTATTGAATGCATGCTTGTCCTCCTGCCATAGCATATTCTAGGTTGTGGCTCGTATAATATTAATGAGTAATAATTTATATTCCGTATACAATGACTACTTCAACAGAGAGTAAAAGATGTTGCGTTTAACTTCCATATATTTAAATATGAACCTTCCTGTGTCTTTCAGTGATAATACACATAAATAACAATAATTGGCTCCATAACAGCCAAGCTAGGGAAGCATCATCTAGACTCTCTTTAATCTCTTCTCCAGAAAGCAGATTTACCACTTCTATAAAGTCTTTCAAATGAAACAACTGTTCATCTTTCAGTGTTTCAATATTATATGCATTGCATTTATTGTAAAATGTTGGGTGTAACTGTACAGAAAGCAAAAGAGACACTGAAGGTACCAAATATGCTGCATGCTTAACCTAGATTCTAGATGTTGTTAAGTTGAATCTATTAGGTCAAAGTTCAAAATTTGTGTTTAAGGAAAAGGTAAGCATCAACCAATAGATTCTGTAGTCACTCCTTTATGGACAATGTTGTTAAGACAAAATGCAATAATGTTTTCTGGGCTCCCAGAGTAATTTATTTTTGCAGGTTAAGCAAATGGTTGAATATTCTAGACAGATGTAGGGTTGTTCACAGTATCTAGAAGACATACAAGCCCCTGGGCAGGTAGAAAAAGGATCTTAGCTACTTACTCTAATCTAAATCTAGATTCAGATGCTCGGTCGAACACCCAACGAAAGAAGACATCGAGACTAGAAGAAATATGCTAGCATTAGTCTCCATAATTCACTACAGCCAACACGTGAACAAAAGGGTCATTCTAAGCACATCATTGTTATTTAAGAGTTTTAGTTACCCTTTTGTTTTGAACATTTGCCTACAAAACAGAGGAAGTTATACATGGCTAAAGGTCAAAACGGATGTGACTCGGGAGATCTGTGTAAGGATCTACCCCAACTTTTTAATTAAAACACCATTAACCAAACTTAAAAGCAGCTGCTGTAGGGCCTCCAATTTTGTTTGGGGTATGGATGCTGAAGAAAGGGGTGTTCAGCTCTTTCTGCAGATACCATTTCCCTGAACCCCTTGAAATTGCCTCATTTGAGGGAGGGGGAGAACAGATGCCTGAATATTGTCAGGAAGAAAGGTGGGGAAACCTTGGGGAAATGGTTAACACATCCCAGCAGCACATAAAAGACCATCACCTCTCCTCACAGCTGCTTTTTAAGTTAGAAAATAAAAGAACAATCCAAGACTTTCTGTGCCACCTCTGCTTTGGCCTTTAAGTCCCACTGAAATCAATGAGGAAAAAAGTAATGAACTGTGTCCTTACATTTGGTGTAGTGTCATTGCACACTACACCAAAACGAAATATGGTTTAAGAAAGCAACAAGAAGGTGGAAATGTTCTGTGGCTTGAGCACAGATGTGGAATGATATGGACTGTCCCTGCTTACACAAACATCACTGTAGTGCAGGCATAGGAAAACTCGGCCCTCCAGATGTTTTGGGACTACAACTACCATCATCCCTAGCTAACAGGACCAGCGGGCAGGGATGAGGGGAGTTGTAGTCCCCAAACAACTGGAGGGCCAAGCTTGCCTATGCCTGCTGTAGTACCTCAACATGTGCACTGGCTAATATGAAATAAAATAAGCCAAAGTAAGTAGTTTAAGAAGTTAGCTTTCCATGAAAGCGACTTTTTAATGTAATTAGTACGCCAAAAATTTCAGCACCAAAAGAAATCCAGTGTCTTAGCTAGAAAGCTGGGATTCTAATGTGGTTTTTACAGAGCCATAGCTAGGGTGATCTTGCGCCCCTGGGGGAACCGTCCAGATTGCGCCCCCTAGCGATGGACAAATTAGCTCTTCTTTCCGCCTCTCCTCCAACCCCCACCCATTCAATTCCTCATGCACTTCACTTTCACCTTTTCTTATGAGGCAATAATCAATATTTTTATTTATAGACATATTTATGGACATATTTTTAAGCCAATTTTGTGCGGCGGCGGCCCCCCCCCCACCTGTGCCCCTGGCAGGGGCCTTCCTCGCCACCCCCTAGCTACGGCCCTGGGTTTTTACCTGGTCAAACCAAGTGAAGGCAAAATTAGCACCATGAAGATTAAAAAAGTGTAGACCTTATGCATCATTATTCTGTTTTCACCAGACCTATAAAAAAAGAAAATATTAATCACATGTTGTATACTTATGTTATAAAACATGGGCCTTTGTCTTCCTTCTACCTTTCCAGTTCTTAAAGGTAACAAAAAATGAAATTTTACTATTTGGCCCGACTGCACTGACTGCCAATTAGGATGCGGGCCCAATTCAAAGTGCTGGTTTAAAGCTTTAAACAGCTCAGAACCACAATGTCTTAATTACCTTACTTCTCCCCATATGAACTGACCCAGACTTTGTGATAATCATCTTATGCCCTTCTTGAGCTGCCCCTTCCACGAGAGGTCCAGAGGGCAGCAACACCAGAATGAGCCTTTTCTGGGGTGGCCTCCCATTTGTGGAATGCTCTCCCAAGGAGGCTCGCCTGACACCCTTATTACATAGCTTTCGGTGCCTTCGGCTGATTAAACAATCTATGGCCTTTTAAATGTGTCTTGTGGGGGGCTATTTTTTTATGTTATTCCTTTAATTAAGCTACAATTAGTGCAGAATGCAGCTGACAAGAACACTGACTGGAGTGTCTACCAAGATAATATACAGCGGTACCTCAGGTTAAGAACTTAATTCGTTCCAGAGGTCCGTTCTTAACCTGAAACTGTTCTTAACCTGAGACACCACTTTAGCTAATGGGGCCTCTCGCTGCCACCACCGAGCGATTTCTGTTCTCATCCTGAAGCAAAGTTCTTAACTCAAGGTACTATTTCTGGGTTAGCGGAGTCTGTAACCCGAAGCATCTGTAATCCGAGGTACCACTGTAATGCAAAACTTGAAAGATCTACATTGGTTGCCTATATTCTACTGGGCTGGGTATTGTGGTGCCTGTATTGTCTTATATATACAGGTATCTGAAGGAAAAACCACCCCTGAATCAGCCTGCTTTTGCCCTTCAAACTACGTGGTAGGCTTTCTCATTGCCATACTACCAGGAGAAATACAGCGCATAGCGACACAAGATAGGGCCTTCTTGGGGATTGTGGAATGTTCTTCTTCTAGAAATAAAGCTGGTGGCATTTTGGCCCCCAACGTTTATCTGTTTGCCCATGCGTGTATGGGATTGTAGCTGCCCAGCTACTGATAGCCAAGAGAGGTTCTATGGGTGTTTTTAATTACTGAGGTTCAGTGCTGTGTTTTCAGCTCCCTGGAAATGTAATGATTTAACTAAGCTGTTACCCATGCTGGGATTGTCTGATATAGGGTAAACTTCTTTTTTTAAAAAAATGGAAGACAGACATGTAATAAATGCCGTAGGCTAGGGATTGAGAACCTGTGGTCCTCCAGATGTTGTTGGGCGACAACTGTCATCATTCCTAACCTTCGACCTGACTGGAGTCCAACAAAATCTGGATGTTTCCTATCCTTGCCATAAGCAATCCATAGTCACAACAGGTCTACCTTAAAAACATTCAGTCTTTCAGTGAACACTCCCATAAGTCAAACACTACACCTGATTAGAAACTTTAGCAAAACAAATAAAAACAACATGATAGATTGTATTAGTTAACTCACCTAGGGAAAAGAGAGTGGCTCTTGTTATAATATGGCATGACCCTCATGGTCCCTTCCAACTCTGTGATTAATGTCTAACTTCACCTTTGCCTTATGGCATGTTTACATTAAAAATCAGTGTTTACTTGGGAGGAATGGAAGCTGCTAGTTTTTGCGGTTCTACTTTCTATAAAGTATGTATACCCTTCCTTCCACAGAATTTTGAGGTCTTTAACTAGCAAAAAAGGAACATATATTCTTACGTTGTCCAGTGCGATTCAAGAAACGTTGAGTACAATACTATTGTTGGCAGCAAAGCTGAAAAGGACCACAGAATGAGTGTTGGGAAGAATTGGCTCACAACAGGGTTCTGTGAGGATGGAGAGGAAAGAGAAAGCAATGAAGCCCATTTCTATATAGTCACCTTGAAAACAACTGAACTGAAAGCATATCTGTTATATTAGCTTTTAAGAAAGGTATCCAACTCACTGAATATGGCTTAGTCTGTGGGAAGAATACAGAGGTGGTGACTAGGATTTGGCCAGTTACACCGGGCTTCCTCAACCTCGGCCCTCCAGATGTTTTGAGACTACAATTCCCAGCATCCCTGACCACTGGTACTGCTAGCTAGGGATCATGGGAGTTGTAGGCCAAAAACATCTGGAGGGCCAAGGTTGAGGAAGCCTGAGTTACACAGACTTTGACAAAAGATTAAGATGAAAGAGAGTGTTTGCATAATTACAATTTCTGGGCAAAACCCTCTAAAAAATCTTTGTGGGAGGTGTTACATAGGGCTGTACCATTTCCAGCTCATCTACACTTTCTGAGTTTTCCCATGAGGGCATTAACAGAGAATGAAACCGGAATGTAATGGGCTACTCACATTAAGATAGTGAATAGGCTTGGTTACATTAAACTTGTCCATTGTCGAGATAATGATGGAAGGGGTTGTCAAGAAAAAGAGCACAATAAACAGGAACAAGTTGATGCTAAGCCAAAGAAACCACCACTTCGCCCCTTGAACTGAGAGCTTTTCCCTGCAAGAGAGAAGACACAGCAGATCAGCAAGTATTCTATACTTTGCAATAATGGTATTAACAGATGTACCTGTTGCTTAAACAAGTACAAAGCATGGGGCAGGGAAGAAAGAGGCATGATTTGAAGTAGGAAATAACAGGCAGGGTGATGCCTTATCCCTTTTAAACATGACTGTGAGAAGGGTGGTTATTGTTTTGCTGTTTTGTTAAATTATTTACTTGTTTTTATCCTGTATTTTATTCTGTGATCTGCCCCGAGATCATATGGTGAAGGGCAGTATATAAATCTAAATAATAATAATAATAATAATAATAATAATAATAAAGTTACCAACAGATATCCTCTGGATAAGTAGCATATGCAACATTCCACTTTGAAACAGAGAGTTCCTTGCTGTAGGCTGATGGCTGAGGTTCTGCAACACACCTAAAGCCTTGACATTTGCAGGCATTGAAATCTTTAAGAATACTGCAATAAAATAAAGTATTTCAGCATTCATACTTGGAATTACTTGATAATGTACAGAGAAACTGAAAGGAAAGTTACTATGCATGATCAAAGCAACCCCTGCGTAACCTTTCAATGCCACACAGCCACCAGAGGGTAACAATCAATATTGTTTCTTAGATTAAAACTGTGTATGCAGACACAAGTTATAACATATAAAAGTAATCTAACTCTGAGTAGGCCATTCAGGCTGCAAATACTTTAAATATCATTCACAACCTTGTTGTGGTTTTCACTGCCAAAAAATTAATACAGAAACTCTTCTGGAATTTGTATCCTTAGGTCTTTCAGATAAATGCAGTTCAAACAGAAGAGGTTCATTGTTTGATTAAGACAAAAGTCAATTGCCAGCTAAAATTAGTTAAATGTGAGGAGAGGAATGGGTGAAAAACCTCAGATGAGCTGAAAAGGCAATGTACTCTGAGTTCCATCTGCTGACTTCCTGTGGTATTTAAACAGATGCATGAATGGTTTTGGGCGGGGGGTGGGGTGAACTGGGATTGGTTTGTGTTTCATTTAGTGTAAATAATTCAGCTTTGATGACCATATTGAATTAAAAGAACAAAACACTTACTGTGTTGCCATGCCTTTCTCCTCAAATGTTACAAAAGCCATTCCCAGTGGCTTCTCATAAATTAGCTTTTCCTCTTTCAAATATTCGCTCAAATATTTATTGCTAACCTTGGTGTAGTAATCTATAGCATCCTCCTGTTGAAAGGAAGCTTCTGTTACAAAAACAGTGTTCAATAGTTCTTACAGTTCAGATCTGGAAATAGTACTGTTTTCACTTTTTATATATTAAGCTTTTCCTTTTTTAAACAGAGACATCATATACAAAAGCTACAAAGCATTTTATCTTCCACACAGTTTTAAGACAAGTAATAAAACAGGCTCTTTACCTTTTTGCAACCTCTGACATCACAACAGCAGAACTGGCCAAACCATTTTGTGTGAATGAGACATCGTTTACCACTCTTCTGAAACGCTTGTGTATAATAAGCCACATGTTTCTCTGCCTTTTTTCTGGGCACAAACACATAAGGTTTCATGATGCAAAAACAGATTAATTCCTCAAAACTATGTGCCCATCTTAGAAACACATTTTTATAAGTAAGAGTTACAGAACAGCCCAAATACATACATATAATGCAACATGTGTACTAAAGATCTAAAACTTGTATCAGCTTATGAATGCCAAATCTTGCAGGTATGCACTATGTAGACCAATGGTGTTCCTATAATGTGGAAGTATCATGTTCTATATTTCTGTATATATTATGTTTTTGTCCTACCCTTCCCCAAGGAGTCATCCATGAGGCTCTCTTATTTTACCCTCACGATATTCCTCTAGTATAGACTAAAGCTGAGAGACAGCAATTGGCCCAAGATCATACGCTGAGCTTCTTCGCCTCATAAGAGATTTGAACCTGGATATCCTCAATCCCCAAACCCCAACATACTGCTTTGCAATTTCAGGAACCACAAACTGAACTGGAGTTAAGAAAAGCTGTAGGGACATTATGGCTACATGTGGTAAAAGTCACTTGTACCTCTGTATAGAAAACTATAACTTTCTCTTGCTAAAATATTGTTTCTGTATGCAAAACCTAATAGTATCTCATGATTGATTCTGCAAGGCTGAAATATTCTTAACAACAGCAAAGATAATGCCAGCAGCCTGGTACTGGTGATCATCTCCAGCACCAGATCATTTTGCTGTTAACGCATTTTAAAATGAAGTGAATGCAGTTTCACCAGGACATTTTTCATGCAGGTACCTTTCTGTGTAGAGAGAGGTGAGTTTGGCCACATTATAACATAACTGGACCTCTTGTACAGCGCAGGTTGGATACGCTTCACTGCAAAAGGATGAAACAGATAATTACAAACTGTAATAAGATGGTGACAAACACTGCATTTAAAAATAAGTAGGCTCAGAATATAAATTTAGACATTTTAACACAAGCCTATTGTGAATGGGGCTCAAAGTCGTCTGAAGCACAGACTTGCTGTCCTCAACACTCTTTAAAAACTGATTTGGTAGCAGGTGCCAGAAGGAGGACACTCCTATCACAGCCTAGAAGGTACAGGACCCCTAGAATACTGTTGCAATAGCTACTGCCAGGTGCCATAAATGGCCTACCAAATTCCCTGGTCATGATACTGCAGCCTTGCAAACTACACTTTCCAGGGTTCTGGGCTCCTGCTGTGTCAGTGAAGGAGGAATAATGAAGGCTACCCACATTCGGGTGACATGGGAAGGGAGCACAAGGGTGGGGAGGAGGAAAATTAAAACTTGGGAAATTGTAGTTGGGCTCAGCCCCCATTGTGCTCCTGGTTATGTCACTGGGGGTGAAATAGAGCTAAACCTCAGAATATAATCTAATGTTTTTCTGGGTGTGTGAGGTTCCCCCCCTCCCCCCAAAAAGCTGTTTTACTTAAATCTACTTGAAGCTGAACAGAGATTTCACCCCACCACTAAAACCCAAATATTAATTCACGAAGTTAAATCTGGAGAACAATGAAATGTACCAGGAAATGCTTCCTAGGAGCCAGTTTATCATGCCCAAATAATATTGCTCCAGGCATTGGATAATCAGGAAAATTGCCACCGCACAGGTGAAAGCATGGTGCCAGGCAACAAAAAATTATACTCCATTGGCTCCACAGGTTGTAGTGACATTCCATACAAAGCAGTTAGCCAAGTGCTGGAAAGCTCTCCTCTGACTGCTCTATCGACCCCCTCTTATGCCAATTTAAAATTAATTGCTGGCACAAGTTTACAAAGTTGTCAAGATACAGTGCCTCTTGCTCTTCTGTACCATTCCAGCTAGCCTCCCCCCTCCCATTTTTTCTTTTTTTACAGTTTTTCTTGTAGTGGGTGGGTAGATAGGACTAACCCCTGGTGCCAGCTAATATGGACAAGGTCTCTTCTTAAGAAGGAAGTCTAGTAGCTTATTAATGCTTGGCTGTCACTACACACAACACAGCTAGGGTAGACACTAAATTCAAGACCTACATTTAGCAGGCTTTGCAAATCAATTTTTAATAATAGTCTGTAGGTAAAATTAAACAATAACTTAGTTATGTATTTCATTAAGGGAGCTTAAAACTACAAGGACCCTTTAAACAAAGAAAAATAAGCTCAAATAGAAATTCAGCCTCTCTCTCTCTCTCTCTCTTTTACTTACTTAAAGTGATTTTCTATGGTTGCTGCTTTGGCATTTTTGGGAAGATGAGTTATGAACAATGTGCGTTTTACCTACAGAACAGAAATTATTAGTTTCTCAGAGACTCTGAACTAGGGAAGAAGCCAGAAAAGAGACACATTATTATATATTTCAAGTTGGACTGTGTGTATTTGAAGAGGAGGAAAAAAACAAGGATTACAAGTCTGACCTCCCCCCGTTCACAAAAAAAACCACTTTCCGCCCCCAGCTGTAACAGAACGGAATACAAGCTCCACCAAATTTCTTGGTTTTGTGTGTGTTCTGTTTTGCAGACTTGTCCCACAACCCAGCAAATCAGAAATGTGCATACATTATTTGTCAAGGGGTAGTTTTTCTGGTTTTAGGTTAGCTTACACTAGGAGAAGTAGCAATACACATTTTTAAGAATATAGAAACTTACTATGCTTTCTTCTTCATATTTGATGGCTTGAGTGTGATGTCTCATAAAGACAACGGTCAAAATCATGTACACAACAGCAAAAATAGTGTGCAGCCAGAAAAGACTGTTGCTGTGGAACACAAGTTTTGATGTATTAGAAGTGAAATGACTGGAGTATAACATTTGCCTAAGCTACTATTCAATTTATGACTGTTTAGTGGTCAGCAAGGCAGGATAGCAATCATAAGACTGACTATGTTACCTTTTACAACCTCCCCTTAAACCATACAGGACACGTGTCTTTTAAAAAATGTATATTTTGTATGTATATTAAATATATTAAAAATGTATATTGAGAATGCTCAAGAAAGATTACCTATAACCCAAAATCCATGTAAGCTTTGTGCAAGCATGTTTCAGGATGAAAGCGCAATAAACAGGTCAACCTGAAGGGCCCTTAACTTTGAGGGCAAAGGAAGAAGCATTTAGACCCCACAGTACTTCCAATAGCAACCCAAGTCTATTCCAAATCAAACCAGGGATAAGTAAAATGCAGTACACTTTCCGTATATCTTGTTCTGCCATGCCTGCTTTACATACAATACTTGCTTTTTACTTATATGGCAGGGGGGAAGTCCCCAAGTGGTAAAATCAAGGAATGTGAGACTCAGGTAGATACTACAGTACATACACAATATACATATATGATGTTAACATCTCAATAGTTACATACCCTGCTCTTAGGTTTGCAATAGTAGTTCTGCCAAAGCTGTAAGGGTCTTTATCTGAAAAACAGGACAACAGCGCAGAATACACACTTTGAATTAATTCTTTTAAAAAGAACAAAATGCTCTTGAATCACTATAACATTACCACTGATTTATTATAATAGTTCTACCCTTATATACTGCTTTCATTTATAAATCTCAAAGCAGTTTGTAATACAGATAAAAATCATTATTAGTATAGAACATGTCATCAGTATACACACCAGGGATGCTACAGTCAAGGGTAAGTAAGCAAGACTCGAGTTTTACCTTCCAGCCGTACAAAATAATGGAGGAATGGGGCAGAAATGACCCCCAGCCTCATATCCTAAAGCATTGCAGTAGCTATCACATGTGCTCAAAGATCAAGTCACTGGGAATCCGGCATGCAACATCAGCACACATGCACTACAAGTCAGGCCAAGTTGAAGGACTCATTGAGTTAGCGAGGAAAGAAATAGATAACCTGTTACTCACTCTCCTCCACCTTAAAATCCATTGACGTCATTATATATCCTCCATCTCTGTGCTCACCCTTTCCTTGGAAGGGCTGGACACACGGCCATTCTCCCACTGCTAATACCTTCCCACCCCAGACAAACTCCAAACAAGCAGGCTTGCACCAGTTGGGTCCCTCTGCCAGATTCCACAGAGGAACCTATCCCAGGCCCATTAGGTTAGCAACAGTTATGTAGCACCTTTTGGAGCCTAAAAATCACATAGGAAGGAAGAAAACACTCTCCTCCCCCTCCCCCAAGGAAATATAAAGGAAAGAGGCAGAAGGAGCAAGCCGCCACCACTCCCTTCTGCTGTTTGAGGAGTAGGTAGGGGGTTCTAATTTCTTTGCCACTGTGGAATAGCATAGGCCCACCACTTGGATATTATTTTTAACCATTTGGTATAAACATTCTGATTCCTATGATATTATCTCAGAAAGAATACATGCTAAAAATGAGCTTCTGGGTTCCTTTAAAAGACAGAGAAAGCACAAACTCTGGCTAGAGATATTGATTATTATAATAATATATATATTTATATATATATATTTTAAAAAAACATGCCTTCTTAGTTTTATTGATTTCTTACCTACAAGCTCCAGCACCTTAAGCATCGCATGTAAAAAGAGACAGATTTTGAGCGTACCACTTTCAGTTCCATTGAATTTTTATGCATTATACAATCCTCTTCTTATGTAGTCTTTTTGCCAACTTAATCACCCCTTAACTTTTCAAACCCCCTTGGTCATGTAAACACAGGCTAGTTTAAAAAGTGATGGAAAGAGGCCTCGGGATTATTAGGAGTTGCTGACTCACTTTTTGTGTCATCCTGGGATAAAAGACTGTTTAGCTCTGTTCATAGCCATTATCTTTGGTATGCTGAGACATGGAATTCTTACATTTTCAGTGGCCACAACTGTGAACAGAATGGCTAAAACAGCCTAGGATGTGTTCCAAGCCAGAGCTGTTGGTTCAGAAGGAAAACTACCTACACCAGCTAATCTAGACACATTGTGAGACTCTAATATACTTGGCAAAAAAAACCTTAGTCTAGTTACTGAATACCAATGCATATGTTTATACTCTCCATGGAGTAGTAATAGGCTATCATCAACACAGATGTGCTACTCCAATACAGAAGCAGTAATTTATTGTCAAGGCCACAATAGAGGTTTTACCAGATGCCCAAATGTTTTCCGGAGAAAATGAAATAACTATGATATATCCCACCTACATAAGAGTACTTTAATCACTGGACCCACTACAGAGATTTTCTAACCAAGCCCCGTAAGAATAAGCGAGCCCTGCTCATCAAGGCATTAAGAGTGACACGAAACACCAAGTCATAAAAGGTTCTCACCAAGTAAGTCGCCTGATAAATTGACAGGAAGTATGATGCACAAAGACAGCATGCTGACTACAATCAGCAGGCAGATGAGATGGCGCTGAAAGGCGAGATAGGTAATGGCATCATCCCCACATTTTACACGAATCTCTTCATCGCTGCACCACAAATAACAGAACAGGTCAGTTGCCAAGTTTTACAAAGGTGGGCATATGCTTAAGAAGAAGGCTGACTAAGGATTGCATTGCAGCTAAAGACTGAAAATACACTGTGTTGTGCAATATGGTGGTATCATAAAAGGTCACATGGATACAGAAGCAAAAGAGGCTAGGCAGTAAAAAGATGCTGAACTGGTTCAAACAAAAGCACATCCACATGGAAAGAACAACTGGCATTTGGCCCACTGCCTACAATTTACAGAATGTGAGTGCTTTCTCCTTATTCAATTCTATACGGAATGAAAAACTTTTTAAAAATTGGATTACGGAGGCATTATTTGCACAACTAAAAGCAGATGCCAATTTGAAATACAGCTAAACCTTTGAACAGAATTATCACACTAAAGACAATATCCTGCAGATGCAGAAAGACACAGTAAACACAATAAAAATAAATAAATTCAATGTTTTTGTAATGGGGCAGGACAGCTTTCCTTACTCTATAACCCAGCAATACTGACATGAAAAACTATTGAGCTGGACAGCATTACACAATTTCAATATACCAACCTGAAAATTATTTCCTCTTATTTCAGAGATACATAATTTCATTTGTTTATTTATTTTTTAGAAAACAAAGAGGTTTACAATATACATAAAAACCATATAAAATTTTAAAATCAGAAATCAACTAACTATTATAGAAGGGTATTTTCTTAATTGTCATCATAAGGTTGGCAGTTCTGTAACAACATTAAATCTAACCCTTAAGCATGACAGTATTTACTGCAAAGCACAGAGCTCTAGGTAAGATCTGTGATCCTGAAAACCATTTTAATGAGAAGCAGAAGTACACTACTGTTCATTATAACTGGAAAAAAGCTTCCTGAAATGAGAGAAATTGCAGAGGTGGGAAACCGAAAGTGGAGTCCCTAAGGAAGCTTGCACTTCCTACGTTTGAGAACATCTTAAAAACTTAGAATCAAGATTTTCTTGGCAAGCTCATATAAATGAGTCAACAGCAAGATCTAATGATCCTTCCCTAGTGAATTTTTATTTGGGGACTTGTGTCATCACAGCCAGTCTATCCAGCTGTTAAGATGGTAAAAGATCAAAGAACTGTGTAGGCTTGCTTCAAATAATAATGGATTAGCCTTTTTTTAAAAGAAAAGGAAAAAAAGAAATCACACATACTGGGATACAAATCAGAGATTTTTTTAAAAAACACATTAAATTTATAAATGCCTTTATATAACACAATTCAAATCTTATTTCAAAGCTGTGGGCTTACTAACTGTTTTTCTAACCATTTTAACCATAGTGCTGTCCCTTCTTGCATTTCATATAAAAGCTTTCTATTCCGCCTTATAATTAATAATTCTCAAGGTGGCAAACCAAAATCCAATTGCTGCAATGATAAAGCATAGAACATTAAAAATGTACAGCCCTCTGTTTCCAAAATTGCTAAGAAACTGTTATTAAGCAATGTATAGCATAAAGAGCACTCAGATCTCTGCTACTTTGCGTGCTCACCTCATTCGAAAGGCAGATATCATCCAAGAACAAAAACCCTAGAAGAAACAGAAATATTCTTTTTTGAACGAGTGGGATCCAAGTGTTCCCTGAAAAGCTGCTCTTGGGGTTGTGGGGCTATCCAAAATGGCATGTGATGCTGTGCAGGAGGCTGCAAATTGGAACAGGAAACTGGGAGTAATTAGAAGCTATCCCCTTTGCATGAGCAGAAACAGCTCCTGCACCCAAAAGCTCTCCGATTCTCCTGCTTGGGTAGGAGGCAGAATGATCAAATTATAAATTTATATTTGTAATTTATTTTACAGGGGGAAAACACTTTGGGTTGGTCCTAAGCCTCCTAATAATATCAGGACACAATATTTCAGAGAATACCCAAAGTAACTGGAAGGCTTTTTTGGGGGTGGGGAAATAAGAAAATGCAAAATACTTAATGCAAAATACTACTGACTTCATCGGGGTCCAAATCATCAGGATTGGCTAAATCACCAGATACAGTGGTATCACTAGAATACACAAAGGAAGACCTCAAAATTAGAATACTAGACTTAACAACAGTTGCTAAAATTCAAAAGCATATTTAAAAGAAGCTCAAATAAAGCAGCTAACAGAAATACTCCAAAGGGAAAAGAAACAAATAGTTAGGAGGAAAGCATACTATAGTGAAAACATGAATAACATTTTAGACAATTGGGAGGGGGGAGTTCTGTAGAATCTGTTCTGTAGAAATGATTAACTCTCATATCAATATAATGCTTTGCTCCCGAAAAAAGACCTCAAAGCAATATTTTTCTAGATCTCATTCCATGACTAAGAGGACCGTCTCTTCATTTCTAGACACTGTGACACAATACATAGCTCAGATCCAGTATTTCCACAAGCCCATTGGTGCAAGGATGTTCCCAAATAAACCAATGGATCCCATCCAAACTAGTGAGAGGTCCGTGAGAAGTATTCATGTGGTGTGTGCATGTCCCCACCGCTCAGGAATTACATACCTACCCTCCATTTCAATTTTTTCCAACTGGGAATTCATGCAGCTATTTCTTTACCAACGTGTGCACCCTTATAAAACAACCACCATGGAAGTGCACAGCAGCAAATGTTGTGAGATTCCACAATGGGCAACATGAATATCCCTTTTGGATCTGTCACCAGAAAGCTGGTCAAGGAAGTCTGCTTGCTGTTCTTCTTTCCCTTGCTGGCATGTTCCCCTATTTCAGCAGAGGGTATAGCTTTCTAAATAACCCATGATGCAACCCAGCCTTGGGGGAAGCTACACAAAGACTTCTCCCCTCGCCCTTCAAATATGAAACTGACAACATTCTGGTAAGTTTCAGGTAGTATGATTCTTTCCTTCTTCCGTGTCCTTAGGTTAACTCTTCACCACCTGTCTTGACATTTCTCTCTTCCTTCACTCCCAATTCACGTTTACACATTGTAGCTGTTTGTTCCCCTTCAGTTTTGCTACAGAGGTTTTGAGCAAGAACAGCCTTTGCAAAACCTTCATATTAAAATTAAAGTGCTGTTTTATTTTCTGCAAACCCTGACCTCAGCTTGCAGCAACTGAAAATGGGCACGTTTGGAAGTAAGCATTGTTTCAGCCACTGCAAGAAACAAACATGCCCTGCATTCACCGATTCTTCCTAAAGATCTAGTCTTATACAGCTGTTTGGCTCAAGAGAAGTTTTGAACGAAACAGTGGTTTCACAAATTTTAAAAAAGTATGTACTCCAGGGCTAAACTAGGTGTAATGCTCTAAACTCATCGTTGACAATGGGCTTTTCTTTTTTAATCAACAGCATGCATGACCAGGTAATTTTCATGGGAACCACAGACATGCACACACACACACACACACACACACACACACACACCACACACACATATGCTGCACTTTTTTATTATAAAAAAACCCCCACTACTGAAGCAATTCCTAATAATGTACTTAGTGTCACAGTTCCTCCTCTTTGTAATTCATAGAACTATTGGTGTTTGTGGTCTATGACAATGCCTATTACAGTGGTACCTCGGGTTACATACGCTTCAGGTTACATACGCTTCAGGTTACAGACTCTGCTAACCCAGAAATAGTACCTCGGGTTAAGAACTTTGCTTCAGGATGAGAACAGAAATTGTGCTCCAGCGGCACGGCGGCGGCAGGAGGCCCCATTAGCCAAAGTGGTGCTTCAGGTTAAGAACGGTTTCAGGTTAAGAACGGACCTAAGTACTTAACCTGAGGTACCACTGTATACCAAAGTGTTACATGGGGCAGTAAGTTTCTCTGCTCACACACTCCCTACAAGTCTGCTCTGGGGGGCAGGGGCACATGGCGAGAGAAGGGAAATGATACGTTGCATCACACAGCCAGAAGTCCTTGCACTAACATAGCTACTTTTTTGTTGGATACCACCCTTGGTCACCAACAGCATGGCACTATGCCCTCTGTATCTACCAATGTTCTGTGGGGGGCACTGTAACATTTTGACACTCATGTTTTCTTCATCTTGAGAGCCAGTGTGCTGTAGCAGTTAAGAGTGTTGGGACTAGGACCTGAGAGGCTGGGGTTCAAATCCCCCACTTGGCCATGAAGTTCACTGGGTGACCTTGGGCCTGTCACTGCCTCTCAGCCTAGCCTACCTCACAGGGTTGCTGCAAAGATAAAGTGGGGGAGGGGAGAAGTATGTACACCACCTCGAGTTCCTTGGAGAAGAATATTAATGCAATAAGCAAATGCATTATATAAATAAACATTTACCTCAATGCTTCTGATACCAGGGCAATACGACCATAATCCCAGAATCTTTTTCTTATAAAAGAAAATACCAACAATAAAATCTAAAAGAAAAGAAGTAATATTCATTCAGAGGCATAAGGTTTCGTTATTTCATGATAAGCTGGCTTCAGATATGACAGCGCCAAAAGAGCACCAGGACCAAATTTTTCATACTTGACAAAAACTTTGGATTTTTATTGTTGTAACACCAGAAAGTACCGTAGCTTATGGCTAGTATTGGACAGGGCCTTTTTTAGAGAAAAAAGAATAAAACATGTGCTGTGAAGGGTGGGAAATACCCGTCTTAAGCTTGACAAGAAAGAATTCAGACAAACCCATGTTACGGTAATTCTGACATGGTACTCTGAAATATAGTTTGGCAACTACCATATGCTTCCATCTTAAAGAGACTAAAAAAAAGGAAAGTGCTGCAAATCCTATTATCCAAAGATGACCACACACTTATTCTGCATCCCCTCCATATATATTTATTGGTCAGGACAAGCCAGATCTTGCAGCACAGTCTGTCTGAAGGGAAGGAAAACATTTGTGCAAGACAAAGGATTCATCTATTTCAGCAGGTTAAATTACATGACGATGGTGGCGCTGTGGGTTAAACCACAGAGCCTAGGGCTTGCCAATCAGAAGGTCGGTGGTTTGAATCCCTGCGAGGGGTGAGCTCCCGTTGCTCGGTCCCTGCTCCTGCCAACCTAGCAGTTCGAAAGCACATCAAAGTGCAAGTAGATAAATAGGTACTGCTCCTGCAGGAAGGTAAACGGCATTTCCGTGCGCTGCTCTGGTTCGCCAAAAGTGGCTTAGTCATGCTGGCCACATGACCTGGAAGCTGTACGCCAGCTCCCTCGGCCAATAAAGCAAGATGAGTGCCACAACCCCAGAGTCGTCCGCGACTGGACCTAACGGTCAGGGGTCCCTTTACCTTTAAATTACATGATGATTCACCCTTAAGAACACAAGCCCTATTGGATTGGACATTAAGTCCAGCTTATTCACAGGAAACACTTTCTACATATCCGCCATAGAGCTTCTCTTTTTTGCAGAGGATTCTGGGACTTGTCTTAACACACATGCTCAATTGACGTGGCACACTGACCATACTTCTTGAGCCTCACCATTGCCCCACCAGGCCCTTCCTCAGACCTTGTTTTGAGAACTTGGGGATTTTATAAGAGGCAGTTATCTGCAAAAACTGAGACTCCTAAAAATAACTTACCAAAAAGCAAGTAACATCGAGCAGAAGGACAATAGGGACTCCACCAAAGCTTACACCTTGAAGCACAGTACTTCCCCGTGCTCTGCTGTAGCAGTAGGATCCATTGCCACCACGGTAATCTGTTTTAGTCCCATTCCATGAGTGAGCCAGCCACAAATCTCCAAAGAATGGAATCATGTTGTTTCACTTAGAAAACAAAATCATAGGGCAAGTTACAGCAGGCAGGAAAGCATTATATATATAGATAATATATAGAGCAACAAAAGTCAGAAAAGAATGGCTGAAGCAAAATCTATATTAATAACAACTATTCTCCATTACTTAAATAGCTTTGAAACAGTTCAATGGAACAATCAAAACATAAGCTTTTATTGCCAGTATGTACTTTGTCACTATAGTCCTACCTCTATGTTCGATACCATCAAGGCCCAAGTCATGAAGGAATTAGTATGAAAGGACTGAATTGGGAAAAGCCTGCAGCAGGATGGAACTGTAAACACCACAGATCTGTCATTTTCTAGCTCAGCTATGACACAAAAAAATGCCCCCATAGAATCTCCCCTATCATTCTCTCTCATTCATATATATCACACAGGGGTGGAGAGAAGCAGAGACTGAAATTCACCACCACCAAATAATAGGTCACCTCTGTGTCCATATACTATGTAAAAATAATAAAGGTCCTCAAGTATGCTTTTGCGGTTCGCACTGGCAGGCACCAGATTTGTGATTTTTACTGTGGAATGTAGTCGCTCAACACAAGTGTTAATTTTATAGTAGTTCTGGAGGACTGCATGTAAAAAAATCTCTGCATGTAAAAAATTTCAAGAGAGTAAGTTTTAATTCAACCGGATCCAACCTTGATCCAAACCACATGAGAAAGCAAAGCACCCCAGTGTTTATGCTTCAATTGCTGGGGTGAAGCAGTGACCTAGAGAACTGTGACAAGCAGGTGGGGTGATGCCCACGGCACACTCTCAAAACTGCCAATCAGCCCCAAAAGGGAAGACCTGTTCCAGAGGTTTTGCAGGGCAAAGCCAAGTATCAAAGCTATCCAATACCTTAAACTGTTTTAGACATATTCATAATTTCACGCTTTAAGCATGAAGGAAACTGGTTCAGCCCCATCCAGCTGCTATAAACAACTGAATAGTCTTTTAAATTGTAGGTGACAACCAGCCATCATGAAGTTGTGCATGTACCGGCAAATCATCTAAAGATGAATGCAAATAGAAAATTATTTAAGAGCTCACAGCAAGTGGCAAAGCAAAATCTGATGTAAAATCAGATTTTACATTCTTATGAAGGAACTTAAGTTTTCACAGTTGTAATTTTACAGTGTAAACAAGAAACCATCCAAATGAAGACATCCAATATGTTCTTTACAAAGTTCTATGATGTTAGGCCTCATTCCAAAACAGATGCAGTTCATGGTTAACAGGCAAGTTGACGGGTGGATTATCTGTTTAGATCAGTGTCTCCCAAACTTGGGTCTCCAGCTGTTTTGGGGCTACAGTACCCATCATCCCTGACCACTTGTCCTGGCAGCTAGGGATGATGGGAGTTGTAGTCCAAAACCAGCTGGAGACCCAAGTTTGGGAAACACTGGTTTAGAGATGAAACTTGTTCGCATCCTGTCATCCCACACATTAATTTAATTTCAAGGGAATGAATCAGAAAGCAGCACTTATTTTACCCACCAAATCACAGCTCCACAAGAGAGGTAACATAGGACAATGAAGGCCCTTCTGTTTCTGAAATTCTGATTTGCCTGCAACAAAAATAATTTCAGGACAGTCTACGACCTGCAGAGGGCAGAAGAGAGCCATCCCAGATCTATCACTAGCGGTTGATAATTACACATCATCTCAGCAATTATCAAGCCTGCCCAAACTTCCCTCAACAGAATAAGGTATTTTATTTATCAACAAATGTCAACCAGCAATAGCCTGCCCAGTGCAGGTGCTTGGGAGAGGCTCAGAAATTAGATCACAGCCCAACTTAACTTCTGATATATTAAGAAACTGTGGGCGTCTACCCTACGAAAAGTAGGGATGAAGGGTCTAAAATTGCCCCTCCCTCGTCCCCAGGAGTTTAGGGCTGCCACCCTCCCCTTCCCCCTGGCAGGGGAGGGCCTGTGCTTTAGCACCCACAGAACCTGCTGAAATTTAACTGGGCAGCTTCTCCCCACCCACCCACCTGCACCAGGAAAGCGGCTGGATTTCTGCCAACTCATACAGCTGTTATAGACTCGGGGCCTCTGAAGCCATTAAAAAAACAGTTGTAAAACAAAACGTGGCCATAAAATAACGGGCCCATTCGAGATTAGAACTACAGGTGGCGAAAGAGTGCGAGTAAGTTGTTTCAGAGACGCACAATTCACCAGGGAAGTCGCCTCCACTTGATAATAAAGAGAAAATGGAAGCCAGGTGAAGAGAGGGCGGAGGGGACTTGCCTGAAGTCGAAGGGGCCGGGAAGAGGAGCCGGGAGGGAGGCTTAGGTGGGTGCCGGGGAGACACACACACAAAAACCACACACCTTGGACACAACTCACACACACTTTAAGAGAGCAGGAAGTGGCTGGGAAGCAGCCGAAGAGGAGTTGCTCTCCCTGCTGGGCAGGGGCAAAGGACCCCCCCACACACACACACCTTCCCACCTCCTGGCCACGGCTGGCGCCTCTGCTTTAATTCGAGGAGGAAAGCCCGCCCGGTTACCGCCACGCACAACCCCTGGGCCAGAAATGGCCCCGTCCTCCGTTACCTGAGCCACCAGCTCTGCTAAGTGGGAACGACCAGGGCGCAGGTGACCCCGCCCCGCCCCCGTCGCGAATGCAACAGATGACTTGCCCGAGCCGCGCATGCGCCCCCGTTATGTGGACCAGGCCCTGCCCTGCCCTGCCCACCGCTCCTCGGTGTGAGTCTTCTCCCTCCACCTGCGACGAGCCTTGTTGTGGCCTCAGGAGAACGGTCTTCCCTGGCGGACACGCCCTTGGGCACCACCGGCAGGCCGCGCGCCGACGTGCTTCCGCCCGCTTTCTGTAAGGTGACAACGAGGCTGTGGTCGTTGCCTTTGTAAATTCTTCGCAGGTGCGGCGGGAGGAAACAAGGCAGCTGCTGCTTCGCTGGTAACTGGTAACACACACACACGCAAGCGTCGTTTTCAAGTATAGGTCTGCTGCCGTTTGCAGGCTTTACGAAGATGCGAGTATTTCACAAGCTCTCGAAATATATATATAAATAAATAATTGTCCAATAGCACCTTAGAGACCAACTAAGTTTGTTCTTGGTATAAGCTTTCGTGCACATGCACATTTAGGTATCTGGAGAAGTGTGCAAGCACACGAAAGCTTATACCAAGAACAAACTTAGTTGGTCTCTAAGGTGCTACTGGACAATATATAGATAGATAGATAGATAGATAGATAGAAGGACTGTGTCAGACCAACACAGCTACCTACCTGAAAGGAGAAGCTCTGTGACTTTATTTAAGGTCACATCCCTTCAAATTCATTGGAATTGGATTTGGTGGTTCTACCTAGTGGTGTGGGGGAAACAACCTACACATGTTTAAAAGCACTCCTAACTTCATTTATCTGGACATAATCCCCACTTAATTCAGTATGGCTTACTTCTGAGTAAACATGGTTAGGATTGTGGTGTATTTTGATTAAGGTGGGAAGAGAGATATCCATTTTCTCCACAACATGCATAATTGTATAAGAGGAAGTTTTTCTTCCTCTCCCATGATCCTAAAACTCAGGACCATTAAAGGAAGCTAAACGCTGGAAGATTCAAGACAAACTAAAAAATTGTCTCATCAGCTGTCTTTCTTACCAGCTAACGCTAGTAAAAGGTGCTTCTAGCCTCCAGTGATAGGATCTAGGAGCACCTCCTGAATACAAACTTGCTCCTTTAGAGGGAGTACAAGTTGATTCAGAAAAAGTAACTGGTCGGTCTCTGAGACCTGGGAAATGTTCTTTGTCTGAGTCTTGCCAAGTTTCAAGCTTAGTTTATGGGTCCTCATCCAGCCCACCTATGCGCTGATCCAGGTCTTGCACAGCCTCTCCTGATTCAGATGTTACAGAGAAATAGAGCTGAATGTCATCAGCATAGTGATGACACCTCACTCCAAATCCCCTAATGATAGCTCCCAACAGCATCACATAGATGTTAAATAGCATTGGAGACAGAATAGCGCCCTGCTGCACCCCATAGCACAAACACAAGGTTACAACTAATCACTGTAAGCCCATCTGTTCCTCAATTTGTGAACAGAATTGCTTTTGTTTGGCACTGTTTTTCTGGTGGCAAAAGCCGCATTTGCTCACTAGTTAGCAAGCACTTTTCATTTCTGGGAATAAATGAAAACGTAGTGTCTGTGACATTGGTCAAGACTCTCTTAAATCCTTCTAACAATTTTATTTTGAAGATACCACATATCCCCTGAACAGCTCTTTAACACCCAAGGAAACTAAATGTGCAAGTGCATTTGTGTGACTTTCTTCATATGTGGCTTAGATTACTGGACACCAGTACATACAAATTTCAGATAAACCTCACCTTTCCATTTATCCTTCCCAGCAGGATTATCCTCTGTGGGTCAGCGCCTCTGTAGGGTGTACATATCCTCAACGTTTTGGGCAGCAGGTGGTAGAGGAGTTACCACTTACATAACTGCTCCCTGTGGTCACAACATTTCCACTACACAGGCATTTTGTTTTTTCTGAGTGGTGAATGTTGAACTGTGGCCAGATTAGCTGTTAAATGCTTTCCTGTTGAAACCCTAATTAATAGATCTAATTCATTTTCTTGACACTTTACTTCCAGATCCTTTTGAAGTTTTCGTCACACATTATGCTTCTTAGATGTAAACCATTGATGCTTTACATGTACCTTCATAACATAAAGTGAGAATATTACACAAGTACCATACAAATCAGAATTTTGCACTCATCTGTAATACTGAGCAGATGCAAGCCAGTCTTTCCTGTTACATGAACATTAGGCTGTAGCCCAGACCAGTTTGAGCCAGTTCAGAAGGCACCTGTATTATCTATTGGATTTTGCTATTATTACTTAGAATTTGAATTAACTTGACATTCAAAACATGCTGTACAAAATGTTTTTGCCCAGATCTACCATTACCAAGACAAAGGTTTGCCAGGCTTGCATGTTGAGTACCCTGCTTTATGGTAGTAAGTCATGGGCAAATTACACTCACCAGGAGCAACATCTCGATGCCTTCCACATGCACTACATCAGGAAGATTTTGGGCATTGCATGGCAGGACAGAGTCTCAAACAAGTGAATATGATCAAGCCCACATTCCCAGCATATTCACACTCCTGTCTCAGTGACGCCTGCACTGGCTTGGTCATATTTACAGAATAGAAGATGGCAGGATCCCCCAGGACGTGCTCTATGGGGAGCTGGCTTCAGGCACAAGGCCTGTTGGCAGACCAACTCTCTTATGAAGACATCTGCAAACGTGACTGGCGACATTAACCCCACTGTGTGGGAATCCCTTGCAGTGCCTGAGACAGTTACGTCATGCATCCACAGCAATGGCCAGAGGAGGAATGACCGCTGCTGGGAGGAGCACAGAAAGAAGAAACGCCATGGTACACCTGCATCAGCACAATCGGATGCCTTCATCTGCCAGCAGCTTCTCCCTTATCAGTCTCTACAACCACAGCAGGTGCTGTAACTCTCAAACGGTTTCACTCTACTCCCAAGGCGCACTTCATTGTCTCCCAAGACAGATGGATGTCAACAACAACACTCAGGCCTGGAAGCCAACCCTGTATGCAAATTCTTTAATCACATGGCAATATTAAAAGGTTTCATGCATGCACGACAGGAAAAAAAATCTGTCTGTTTTCCTTGCTCTCTATTCTGAAAGCTCCGCTGCTATCTGACCCCAGCTACCTGATCCGCACACAACACTACAATACTCTTTTCTTCTTCAAGCTGCTTAGAACTTTGAATGGGAGCATTTTGTTGTGAGCTTCCATTTGTACAGTTCTAATTTTAATAGTACAGATGCTCGTGTTGTTAACAGCTCTGCAGTGACAGTAATTTAATTCACACCTCCTTTGCACTTTAGGAAGGCAGCATGAGTTCCCACTGATAATCTCACAGAACATACCCAATGCGGTGAACACAGGATAGTGCTTCTCTTTGAGGTAGGCAGAGAGCTCTTGTTGGTGTGACATATGCAGTGTAGCTAGAGGCAGCAAAAGGATGTGAAAGGGAAATGTTGTACAATTACATTATTTTAATAAGATAGAGAGGTGCCTGCTTCCATCCCCCCAAAGGAATGACTTTAGCACAGGAGTGGGGAATCTGTGGCCCACCAGATGGGGTTTAACTTCCAACTCCCATTGGCTTCATCTAGCATGGCTGATTGGGAAATGTGATGGTAGATGTAATTCAGCAACATCTGGGGGCCCACAAGTCCCCACACCCCTACATTAGTAAAACAGAACCAAACCAGACCGCAGAAGAATTCTACTATAATCCCATATACTCTCTGCAGAAAATGTCTCTTGGATTCTCTTCATTCAGGCATGTTCCTAATGGCGCTGGCTATAGTTCAGAATAGTATGATAAAATAATTGCAGATTTGTAGTAACTGAAAGCACAAAATGAAAGAGCTGGCACAGAAATTCTCACCCATGAATCCCCTCTTTTCCCACCCCGCATTCTTACCCAACTCTGCACAATTTTAGTTTCTTTCATTGTTACATCTTTGTGTTGGTTACTTTGCCTCCCTGAACTTGCTTTATACTTCATTTCTATAGGGTGGTTGCTCCTGCTGCTGCTTCCACCAAGCAGTGCTGCATTCTTAGAAGTTATTTCTTTCTCTGCAATGCTCCCAGGCCTTGCCACCGCCTTTATCACATATAGAGAGTGTGCATTCTCCTAGCACATGGGTAACATACTTGTTGAGTCATCCTTTATCAAACAGCAGTCACGTCTCATCAATCTTCTGTCTTGCAACTAAGCATGTGACTAGTATTTTGTAAATTAACGCAGCCCGGGGAAAGTATAAGCAACAACAGGATAGCTCTGCGTGGCTTTCTTGGATGCATTTACAGTGTGCTGCAAGGTCATTTTTTATTGGGAACTGGTAATGGAAATTGTCATTGCTCAAAATGTGTTTAATTCAGATTGTCTGTTTAAGACAGATGGGGAACTGGCTGTGGCCCTTCAGATGTCTTTGGATTCCATGTCCCATCAGTCCCAGCCAGCTAGGCTAATGCTCAGATATAATGGGAGTTGTAGTCAAGCACAGCTTCCCCATCCCAGGTTAAAAAGAGTATATATGAGCCTGAGGGGTAAAGTCCCTTTGAACATGTGTAATCTCCATATTGTAAGATCTTAGTAAAAGAGGTTAAATCCCTTTGAACATGTGAGAGCTCTGTAATCTCACATAGTTTGGCCCTAAATGGCTTGAAGAGATGGTTCCTAGAAATAATGACCCTCAAGCTACCACTTGCATACACACACCTGTACTTAGTTTTGCCTTCTTTTTAATTATTATAATTTTATCATAGTTGATTTAACTATATGTATTAAATATTACTTTTTTAAAATATAGGAAAATCATTTTTTAAAGAATAATGGAAGGTAAATCTGGCTGTGTCATAAATACAACAAACATGTACAGGAAAATCCTGAGTACATCAATTCCCACTGGGTGAGCCCCAGCTTTAATAAATGGGAAGTTAATATATGTTAATTTCTCAAAGAGCTTTATTGTGACCCCTGGACATTTTTAAAGTCTTTAAGACTTTTTCATTATGTCATACACAAGTTTCATACTATTGCTGGATCTTGAGTTCTAGAGTTCATGTAGGAACTGAGCCAGTGTAAAAGGAAAGATAGCATTTGTGTGGCGGGGCCTAGATATATTCACAACTAAGAGAGAGAAACAGAAGTTATACTTTCTGTGAACACCAAAGTACTACATACTTTGAGTAAATGTTTTTTGTTTTTAAAATCCTCTGCGTATGGAAGGTTCTGTCACTTAACTCAAGCAACTGTTCCAGAATCTCAAATGATATTATTGTTAATAATGTGTAACCGTCAGCGTATGTACTATTCATACAATATATTTGTTGGAAATGTTACAGCAGTCTCTGTAATTTTTTGGCCAAGATCTAGCAAAGTGCCACCTCTTTCCTAATTTACAGTTGGAGAATTAAAGCTCTTTGCACTAACCATCTCGCAGGTCTTTAGCAGGAGACTTTCTCCACAATTCTTATTTAGATTGGTCTTTAATATGTATTTTGGCTGAGGTGATGGAGCCAGCACCTTCTAGGAAATTTAGAAATGCAAATCACCTTGTTTTTTCCTTGCATGAGGTTTGTGACAGGCTCTGCCTTTGAAGGTCTTTATTAATGTATCCAAATAACACCTAGTAGAAGTTGCTGTTATTTGCGGAAGGACCTTTAAAGGGGGTGGGAATGAATAGAGCAGCATTTACTTTTTCCTTTGTTGGAACAAGAGACACATGGAGAAATTAAATGTCAACAGAATTATAATTATAGGAAGAACTTTTCTTATGCAATGCATAATTAACCTGTGCAAATTGAAGCCACAAGATGTAAGAGGAAGCCAAGAGCTTAGTCAAATTAGTCGCATTCAGAAAACCTACTTGCATGCCAATGAATTATAGGTGTAATCCACCCCCTTCTGAAATCCATAGCAAGCCTCTCTCACTGCACCATTCTGCATCATTTTCTAATTGTATAGATCTTCAGCTATGTTATATGCCGTTTTAAAATGGCATATAACATAGATCCCTGTTAAAGGAATGCAACCTCAGGAAGCATATATCACTGATAGAACAAGATGTAATTTAACAATCATAAAATAGCAATCATAAAATAGCAATAATAGAAAGCAGTCCAACAATATACATACAATAATCTGGCTGTCTTTCATTGCTCTGGTAAACTATGTTTGTATACATAAGTCAGGCAGGCAATGCTTACCAGGTCTTGGTATGCTGAACTGTCGTCTTGTCTCCAACCAGCAAAACAAAATGCAACTCCTGAGGAAAGAGGAAGTGAGCAATAGCTAGCTGAAGGAAAGTAATTAAGCTGTTGTGCTTCTTGTTCCCTATTCTAAAAAGTGCCATAGAAAGGTCTTTTCTGCAGAAAACCCTGGCACACTGCAATATAATTTAAAGCATAATTAAGTGCAAATAATTTGAAACATCTGACCCACGATTTTCTGCAGCAGAGTGCAGTTGGATGGGATATAGGTAATGTCCACTAACTCGTACAATAACATGCACTATTTCATATAACCTACTTGAAGAAAAAACTCGGTCTGCAGTAACAGTGACTTGAAATGTGCCACATTTTATGTATTGAACACATGGTTTCCATGTTGGAGAAATATAATCCCTGAGGACAAATAATGCAAATTCTTCTTAAATTTACACAGGAGGAGGGTTGTAGCAAATAATACCCTCACTTGATTCTCTATGAAAATGTTTGGATTTTTAAATAGAAAAGCAGCATATAAATATTTAAAATAAAAACAAAGTGGCTTACAATAAAAATTATACAGTTGAATCAAACCTACATACACCTAAGACCACCAAAGAAGTTGCTGCCAGGGTGAGCAGAGCAGTTTAAAAAAAAAAAAATCGGATGAAAAGAGCAGAACCACTGCTGATCATCCATTATAAAAACCTTAGAGAGAAAAAGTATCTTAACCTGTTGTCTATAAGATGATAATGTTATCTTGCAGATCTGCCTAGGGAGGATATTCTAAGCACATGATACCTCCTGTGAAAAGGCCACCTCCCCAATCCTCATCTAACCTCTGCAAGCAAGAACACTCTGAGAAGGGTTTCAGAAGCAAATCTTGACAATCAGAATAATTTCTAAGGGGGAAAGCAACCCTTTCCAGTATTCAGAGTTGACTATTGGGTGTTTGGGAAGTCGGCAAGTTCCCTGCAGGGAGCTCAGTCTGGCCACTGATCCAGCCACATCTCTAGCTCCCCTAATGATGTCAGGTGTGGCACAGGTGGACATGGTTTGGGGAAAACAGCCTCATAGACCACATTGAGACTCCTGTGCTCCCTCCTCCCCCTACATGGTGTGAGGAAGAGTTCAAAAACTTTCTCTTCCGTTTTTACATACGTACTTACTGCGGTTTGCTTTGTCATGCCTGACAGCCTGTGGCTTATTTAAAACAAACCAACTTCAAACAGTGGTTTTTGAAGCTTGAAAGTTTAAATACTATAGTTAGTGTTTGTTTTTAGTGCATGGTTTATTAAGTTTTTCACATTCATATATAGTGGTACCTCGGGTTACAGACACTTCAGGTTACAGACTCCGCTAACCCAGAAATAGTACCTCAGGTTAAGAACTTTGCTTCAGGATGAGAACAGAAATTGTGTGGCGGCGGCGCAGCAGCAGCAGGAGGTCCCATTAGCTAAAGTGTGGTGTAGTGGTTAAGAGCGGTAGACTCGTAATCTGGGGAACTGGGTTCGCGTCTCTGCTCCTCCACATGCAGCTGCTGGGTGACCTTGGGCCAGTCACACTTCTCTGTCCCACTCACCTCACAGAGTGTTTGTTGTGGGGGAGGAAGGGAAAGGAGAATGTTAGCCACTTTGAGACTCCTGAAGGGGAGTGAAAGGCGGGCTATCAAATCCAAACTCTTCTTCTTCTTCTTCTAAAGAGGTACCTCAGGTTAAGAACAGTTTCAGGTTAAGAACGGACCTCCAGAACGAATTAAGTTCTTAACCCGAGGTACCACTGTAATGTAACAGTACAGTCCCTTAGTCTCCCTCCACCTGACCTCGTTCTTGCTTCCTCTTTTCTAAGTCACTTTGCGTTGCCTGGAGCAAAAAAGCAAACAATAAATCTAATGATGAATGATACAGCATCTTCATCTCTGACATTCAGTTATCTAGCATGCTATACAGCAGGCATAGACAAACTCAGCTCTCCAGATGTTTTGGGACTACAATTCCCACCATCCCTGACCACTGGTCCTGTTAGCTAGGGATCATGGGAGTTGTAGTCCCAAAACTTCTGGGGGGCCGAGTTTGCCTATGCCTGCTATACAGTATTCAGGTTTGCATGCCTAGATAAAGGTTAGGATGAATGAATGTCAGCAGTGCTCTGCCGTAGTCCTAGATTAACATCCATTAAGTCAGGCAGGTTTGCCTCGCTGCCCTGTGCCTCCCACTGTTTCTAGTTGTGGGTATTACTCAGTGAAGAGATCCAAAAATGCACTTCCAATTTCCCAGAAGCTTGATTTTATGTAGTTTATAGAATATAATCTTGTACAGTAGTTGCAGGAGGTCCTGTATCCAGTTTTCTTCACTTGGTGTGGTCTGGGCTTTCCAGTATTGAAGGATTATTCATTTTGCTGCAAGTCTGGCTTGGTTGCATCTCATTCCTGCCAATGCAGTAAACTTTGGTATAGCCTATCTTGTAACATGGCCCATTGACAACTATGGAAAGCATAAGATTAAACATCAGATTAAATAAACTGAGGCACTAGCCACCTCTAGCAAATATGCTGTCATACTTTCTCTTGCAGATGTGTTTGAAATGCTTATCTTTACAATTAGGTTTGAGCCTATCACACTTCCCACTTAACACATAGGATTTATTGATGAAAGAGAATGCGGTCATTATGCAAATACACACCTGCAACAAAGCAGGTGATCCTTATGGTATGGTTAGATAGCAAAAACTAGTTTTACATTTGCTGAAATGACCACTATAAACTTTACATGTAGTCTTTGGCTGGTTCTCTTATATTTCATTCTTTGCAGACACTTTAAATCCCTTGTCTGACATTTTAAATCCACCATGTAGATTCCAATACACATCACACAGAAGGAGCTCCTATAAAATGCCTGCCTTTTCTTGTTTGCATGACAAAAAGGGAATAGTAAATCCAGCAATTGGAGGAGATAATCACCACTGTGTGAAAAAGACTTCAATCCACATTTTTTTCTTTCTAACTGAGCTTCAACTGTTTGCCTAATAATTTTACGTTACCTGTTGAGCTCATAAATCTGCTTCCAATACACATTTGGCATTAAAGGGTTTTCTTTCTATTAGACTGGACATCAGACATGAAAGAAAGCACTTTCTAATCTAGGGGTCCTCACTGCAGTGCACCACCAGAAGATGGTATTTATCATTAATGCTTAACAGACCTTAACACATACCGCTTAAATCCATGAAAATAATGAGCAGGTGATTCAGAACTTCATTCACACTTTTGGGTAGAGTACTTCTGTGGTGACATCAATAATCAAAGTTCATGCTTGCTTTGTAATTCCTGATTCTAAAAGTAGTTAGCTGTATTAGATAACTCTGTTTCTATTCCTTCAGAATACACAAAAATGCGTTGTGATCTCTTCCCTGGAAAATGGGCTATGAAGGTCTTTTTGTATCCATGCTTAAGGATTGGGTATTTCATCCTGCATTAGATTGGTTAAAAGAAAATAATATTCAGGGGGTTTATTTCACAGGGTTTGAGGCATCTAATACAGGTGCAGTTCAAGATTGCAAGTTTGCATTTCAATCATGCTGTTTGGGCTATCCAAATAAATCCTGCTACTTTCACACAGTACAAAATTCTCTCATGGAAGACACCTTCCCTCCCTTTAAAAAACTTAAATTATTTGCTTACAGGGCAGCTGGGCATGCTACAAAGTGCAGTGCTGGTGTGACTGAAGCCACCTGCCAACTTATTTTGCCCAGAGGCACGCTCTACATTTATGCAAATGTGTTTTGTGAGTCTGTGTTCTGAGTCCTTTAAGACTCTAGCAAAGCTCCTGCAAACAGGTGATAATTATGGTCAGGTGGTGGTGGGGATTCTTGTGAGTACACAATTGCCATGTAAGGGATCTCTCTAGGACTACAGTAGGTCATGACCAATGTTTTACAATTATGGTGATTTTTTAAAAAAAAAATATTACATTTGTTTGGAATTGTACATTCCTTTTTATTAAAACCTCATTGGAAACCTACCATTCCAATGAACTGAAATTTATTTTTCATTGAAAGCATTGCTGAATATAAAAGCATCAAACACTTATGCTGTGAACACATTACAAATTACAGTACACTACAAATTAAAACTCAGGTAGATTGTCCTTTTCTCATTTTGGTTTGAAACTGGTTTTGGGAGAAATGTATCAAGACAGAGTATTGCATAAGAAACAACAGGATTGTGGCTAGTGTGTGTACACAGCTTCTCAAACCAGTGGTGGGAGCACACTTGATGCAGAGTAAATGAGAGTGTGGAAGAACAAGTGTTGGTGAAGGAAAATCAGCATGGCCTGCAAAAGCAAGTCCTGCCTCTCTAAAACCTTTTAGAGTGTCAACAGGCATGTGTTGATAGGGGTGATCAGGTTGACAGTGTACACTTAGATGCTCAAATGCTCCTGAATAAACATAATGGGATAAGAGTACAGATTCTTTTGGGTCAGTAACTGACTAACGAGCAGGAAGCAGAGAGTAGTAATAAATTGACAGTTCTCATATTGAAAGGATGTAAGAAGTGAAGTCCCTCCAAGGATCCTTATTTGGACTGAAACTTTCTAACTTGTTCATAAATGACCTGGAGTTTGGGGAGAACAGTGAAGTAGCCAAATCTATAGAAAACACCATATTATTTAGAGTGATAAAAGGTATTGATAAGACCTCTGAAAGGATCTTTCCAAACTAGATGAAAGGGCATCAAAATTGCAAATTCAGTTCAATGTAAACAAGTGTAAAGTAATGCACATCAGGGAAGGGGGTGAACCTAACTTCACATATACACTGTTGTGGTCCAGCCTAACCTAGTTCACAGGGTTGTAAGGTTACCAGACGTCCCCGTTTCCCGGGGACAGTCCCCAGATTTACAAATCAGTCCCCTGACAAAATCCATTGAAGTTGAAAAGTGTCCCCTGATTCATGGGAAAAAAATCTGGTAACCTTATATAATGTAAGGATATAATAAGGAAAGAGAGAACAATATACTGTAATAATAATAACAAACAGGAAGCTGAAGCAAGTATGAGGAAAGGTTTTCAGTTTAGCAACAAGTGAAATAAGGAGGAAACATGATAGAGGTTTTTCAAAACCATGGTTGGTGTGGAAAAAGTAGACAAGTTTGCCTTCCTCTTTCATAATACTAGGATTTTCCAATGAAGCGGAGTAGTGGAAGATTCAGGACAAACTGAAGCACTTCGACATACAGAGCATAGTTATGGAATTTGCTTTCCCAAGATGTCGCGATGGCCACCAATTGATTCCAAAAGGGATTAGACAAATTAATGGAAGGTAAAGCTAAGCTGTGATCTTGTATTTGCTATCTACAGGATGAGAGGCAGCATGCCTCTGAATACCAGTTGTTGTGGAGCACAGAATGGCTGGGGCAACCCAGTCAGATGGGCAGCATATAAATAATAAAAGTATTATTATTAAGGAAGGAAGAACAGCTGCTCTTATGCTCTGTTTGTGGGCTTCCTATAAGCAACTGGCTGGATATTGTGGGGAACAGGATGTTGGACATGCTAGCATGGGCATAGCCAGGATTTTTCAGGGGGGGCAGGCATTTTCTTGCGGGGGCAGAACCTCAGTTTGTTATGTATTTTTATTTATTTTTATTGATGGAGGGGCAGCTGCCCCTTGGCAACGCCCATGCATGATAGTGTATATGCAGTATGAGCAAGCAGGGCTTTCCATATGTTCTTAATTTTTCAGTAACTATGCTTTTTTTGCTATGAATTGAAATGTCACAGAGATTAACAAGGCAAACATTCCCCATAGTAAAAGGATAATAACGCCCGAGGAAAGGAGTTCATTGTTGCTTTGTTCCCTCTCAAAGATGGTTGTCTTCTGTAATAATCGGTATTACTGCAGTAATGGGATTTTACCAGGTTTTTCTCTTGAAAAACGATGTGGTAGTTGAATACTGCCTTAAATGTCCAACCTGTATGTTTCAGAAATCTAACATTCAACCTTGCCTGGTTCAAGGAGATAAACTACTGAAGTGTTATGATTAATGACTATTAAACAACAGCAGCAGCAACAACAACAGTGTAACTGTAGTAATTCATTAACTTGGCAAAAGAAAGTACTTGAACTAGAGAGATTGTTCTGGATATATATTTTTTAATGTAGCTATTGTTAGGAGAATTAATATGTTACAAGTTATAGTGTGTTCCATCTTTATGATCAAATTTAAGGAATTCTGTGTGATCCATGTAGCACTGAGCACGTTGGCTATCTATGTGAACTGCACCCAGCAGAAAGGCAGTTTGGTTGCTCTCTACACTGGTATATATCTCCACTGATATCCACAAGACTTTGCATGAGGTTTTCTGGATTATGAAGCAGGACCTGATATTAATCTTATGAATAACAGCAATTGATGTGATTTACAAATGCTAACTGGTCCAAGAATTATTCTCAAACCTCCCACCCTGCCCAGTTTATGTATTTACTGCACAAAAAAGGTGTCACAGCGCACTTCATAACGTTGCCATGTCTTTTCCTTCATGGAGATTCGGCAGACAACAACAGAATGACTGGAGGAAACCTGAGTTGTTTAGGGCCACAGAGAGCTTTGGGAACGTGTAGAGAGTCTTCTAAATATTTCTGTTTTAAGTTCAAATGCACTGGAAGGTGTTACTATAGCTTGGATGTATCAAAGGGGATGTAACACTTCCAAGCCCCCTGCCTCACTTCTGCTTGTGGAATTTGTAATGCCAGTGGGATCAGACTTGCTATATAAACCCACCACATTAGATCCCTTTCCCATTCAGGCAGCTTGAAACCTTGCAGAGCTGTCTCTTCTTCACCAAGAACAGCTTGTGCTGAGGAGAGAGAAAGAGATTTAGGGGCTCTTCTCCCCACCGATAGCTAGGCAAAGGATGGCTGTGAATCTCAGATGCTTGGTAACCTGTGCTCTCATCATAGCTGCCACCACGAATGGATTTACCCAGAAAGGACTCAAACAGATATTGCTGGATAAATTAGGGCTTCCTGAGGTCCCTGCTCTTCAGAGGACAGACATGGAAAATCTGGTCATTCCGGAAAATACAAGGAATAAATACATGTCTATGCTGAAGCGCCGCCGAGAGAAGCGGAGAGCAATGCCAAGTCTGGCTGGAATCCTGAGAGGAGTTCCTGGCAATGCAGGTAAACTTTGTTGTTATCGTCACAAGTAACTAAAAAACTGAAATCTGCATCTGGTCTAGAATTTTATAGATTCAGGCTGTGTAATAACTATTATGCAAATCACTGTAATAATATCTCTGAGAAATGCAGACCTAAATTTATACCCAAAGATTAATTGTTCAGCTTAAGTCTCTCTGTATATACAATACATTTGTCCTAAATGTGATGATAAGGTGGTGCAATAGACTTGTTTAACAATTAAACAGGATTGATTTTCAGGGAATGTATACCTCTTGAATAAGTTTCTCATGCTTCATGTTATTATGTATTATATTGCAAGTGGTATTCATACAGTTAATCTGCTATTAGAAATTCACTGGATTAATTTGCATCCCTTTCCTGAAGGGCAGCACAATCTTAAGTGTGCTTACTCCATATGTCAAAAAGACATATTCTCAAGTAACAATGCAATCCTATCCATACCTACGAAGAAATAAGCTATACTGAGTTCAATGAGGCTTGCAAGGGAAGTGGGTGTAAGATTGCCCACTCCTTAGCCTGCTTACTGTATCTGTACTTCCTTTATCTACTTCTTACATGTATATTCCATCTTTCTTCCATGGTGGAACCGAAGGCACTGTACATGTAGCTTTCAAGCTACATGACACCCCTCCAGGCATTGACCAGACCAGACATGCTTGCTTCAGCAATGTACATTTGGGGAGGGGGAAAACTGAAGGTTTAAAATAGGCATTAAGTGGAAAAAATGACTATATACTGTATGGTAGCTGGTTTAACCATTAACTCCAGTGGCTCTAAGTACATAGGGAACCTCTTATTTATGGGTTCCATCCACACGGTGAGTTGTACTATTTCTCAACAACCAAGGGAGTGTGTGAGGAGTGTGTGACACAATTCAACTCAGTATGCTAGTGCCTATGTAGCACATGGTTACTTAGTGTATTATCTAGCACAATTCTCTCTTCTTCTTTTTAATGAAAAAAGGCACCAGAGGCACCTTTATATGATCTATGTTTGTGTTTTATGTACTAAGCTCGCAATGCAGAAAGTATTGCAATCGGAGTAAAAAAAAATTGGGGTGGTGGTGGTAAACTGTTGCCTTTCCCACTGATTCCTGCTGTGTAGTTGACACAGTCCATACTAGCACATATTTCCATCACCAGGAGGGTGGGAGAGAGGAACAGTGTGGGATGAAGTTGCAGAGGAACAGTAGAGAGTGGATTTGCACTGAGTACCAATCTGCCATATCTTCAGAACTAGTGTCCAGTAAATAACGTAACTGCAACGTGACTTCATATCTTTTGTAGACAACTCCTTCCAGTGCTAAGCTTTTCTTAAAAAGATTTTCCTGATGCATAACTTAAAACCTTTTTTTCTGTCATTTTAAAATAACAGCCTGCATTTATACAGAACCAAAATACAAAATGTCCCAAACTGGAAAAAACAACCTATTAAACTGTCTTTCTCTTTATCCACTGGGTTGCACATGAAGAAGATATGATTGCTCTATCACAGGAATGAGGAACTTGTGACCAGTCGGATGTTGTTGGACTGTACCACTGGACCAGCTGGCTGGGGCTGAAAGGAGTTGGTGTCCCATAATATCCGGCGGGTCAGATGATTTCTCTCCCTATTCTGATGTAACATAAAAGGAAAGTCTTTTTTTCTTTTAAGTGACAGACGAAAACTATGATGAATGTAAGTGTTTCTGTTGTTTCCAAATGCGTAACAGATATTCCTGGAGACATTCTCTATTCGGACACCACCCGTCAAAAACTTATCTTCGACATGGAAGGCAGGATACCAGCAAACAGCGAAGTCACCATGGCTGAGCTGAAGCTTTTCAAAAAGCCCCTGGAGAGGAAACACCTGCCCATCAAGCCATCTCATCGGCCAGTCATGAATGCCAGGGTGAGCGTGTACTGGGTGCAGCCCCAAGAGAATGGCACCAACCGGACCTCTTTGATTGATTCCAGGTATGAAGGAGGAGTCTAATCTAATGGCTCAGGAGAGGTGCACTTGAATAGAACCACACTCAGCAGTGCTGTTTCAAGGGCAGAGGGGGCAAGCCTTCTCTCAGATATATGCATGGTTTTCAAAATGTCTTCATTTCCTTACAGTATTTCCCAGATCAGATCATTTATTAAGATGATCATCATAATTGTTATTTTCTTGAAGAGCTTGTCTGCCTAAGCTATTGCTCTGCAATTACAAAAGCAGGGCTTACCTGTTTACCTCATTGTCAGGCATACATCTTAATGCACCCTGGGGTGTGTATAAAGAATTGTTACTTATAAGGGAAGCCTTTATGCAGAAGTTCAGATCAAGAGCCTGCAGTCTAGGCTTTTGCAGCATTTCTATCCTAAGTGAATTTTATTTTGCCTTTTAAATTGAGGTGCCTTTTCCACCCACGTTCAGAATGCAATATGTGAATAGGCTCTGAGATCAGGCAAAAGTCCTATTAGTTCAGTTCCTTGTTTGAAAACAGATATTGTATTCTCACTCATTCCAATGTTTTTCTTTCAATTCCAGTCTGTTATTCTGGAATAAAAAAGCTAGTAGATATCTCCCCCTATATGTGTTTTTATTCTTGGTTCTCTCTCCACTATTAACCCATTTTTTGTCCATTTAGGTTAGTTCCACTCATGGAGTCTGGCTGGAGGAATTTCGATGTCACCCAGGCAGTGCATTTTTGGCTAAAGACCAAGATGCAGGGGCCGATGCTCCTGGAGATCTGGATTGAAGGAGAAAGATTAGGCAGCTATGCCTCTGAAATGGCCAAAAGTGTGCGCTTTACTTCTCAGGATCCTTCAGACAAAGCACTGGGCAAGCCTGAGTTGGTGCTTTATACCCTTAACCTGGAAGACTATGGGTACGTTTCAAACTTTAATCATATTGGTGACAGGGGAGTTTTATTTCTGCCCTTTAATACTGAAGACAAACTCAGGCACAGTTTAGATAGCCCTTAAACCCAATCCAAACCATGTTTTCTCAAAAGTAAGCTCAGTTGATTTTGCTCAGTATTGCAATCCTACAGCATGACAATAGGAATGTTTACTTTCCTCGCTGTGTTTAGTGGGAGTAACTCTCAGGTAATTTTGCTTAAGATTACCGCTCTACTTACTTCCATTGTACTTTTGGAACTGATCTTGAGATACTCATCCACCTTGCATTGCTTTTAAAAGATGCAATGTTTGCATTGGATATACAGCTATCTATACCGTGGTACACAAAAATCCCGACATTCAACTAATCTCTTCCAAAAGCTGCTGATTACTGCTACATTCTTGCAGTATACTGGAGACAAACAATCACACAAACCATTATGAGAGAGAGAGAGAAAAGGTTAGGCTTCAATCCTAACCCATTTGGGAGTAAGCTGCATTGAATTCAATAGGACTTACATTGGAGTAGACATGGTTAGGATTGTGTTGCAAGTGAATCTCTCTCTCTCTCTCTCTCTCTCTCTCTCTCTCACACACACACACACACAAAGAATGGGTGAAACAAATTATGTTTGATTCATTAAAATAGTGCCCAATGTTTTATTAGGGAGAAATACAGATTTTATCGTTGGTAAACTGTATGATGCAGTGGATAGAGTGGACCAGGGAGTCCAGGGTTCAAATCCCTGCTCACCTGGAGACCACTGGTTGAGTCTGGATCAGTTGCCATCTTTTGGTCCAGGGTTGGGATACCGGGGCCCTCAAGTTGTTGTTGGACTCCAACTCCCATCAGACCCAGCTAGTATTGTTAAGGAGTTGCATGAGATGGGAGTTGCAGTCCGGCTACATCCAGAGGGCCACAGGTTCCCCACCCCCATCTTAGGGTACAAACCAAACCATCAGTATCAGGGCTTTGTGGAGTAGCAGGACATTCACGCCCCTGCTGCTCAGGGCAACCAAGGGGTGCAGGTAAGGGACAGGACAGTGGGGTCTAATGTTGTTATGTGACAGCAGTGAGTCCAGTTCACGGCTCAGCCCTGCCTCCTCTCTGCCTTCAGAACACTCCATTTCATGGCTTTCCACTGTCTCCCTCTGGTTAGGCCTACTGCCCACCCACACATTTGGAGGGCAGAAGGGGAAAGTTGACAACATCAGCACTGGCCGGTGGGAGGTCGGTTTAGTTGGAAGAAGAGTCACCTCCACCTAACCCAACCCTTCTTCCCCAAGTTTGGTATAAGGAGAGGTGATTGGATTTCTCTGCCCTTCTAACCCACTTCACATAGTTGTTGTGAAGATACGTATGTATGAAGTCATGTGGGAAGATATCATGTGTGCCTCAAAAGGGTAGTAGACAATCAAACACATACCAACACTTAAACACTAAAAGAATAAGCATGTTTGTGCCAGTTCTAACATTTGTTAGCTCCAGACTGTCTCTAGCTCAGGTCTTTCCACATATCAGACCTAAAACTATCCGCTTTTCGGCAGGGGACCTGGAGATTGTGAAGGAGGAACCCTGACTGAGAAGACTACCTGCTGCCGCCAGGAACATTACATCAACTTCCGAGAGCTGACCTGGACACAGTATTGGATTATCGAGCCGGCCGGCTACCAGGCTTACCACTGTGTGGGTGGCTGCCGGCAACCCAAGAACTTGCTGCGCCATTTCGGCTATGGAGAGAGAACCTGTGCTGTGGTGGAGAGCTCTCCGCTCCCCATGATGTATCTTGTCAAGAAGGGAAACTACACTGAAATTGAGGTGGCAGAGTTCCCTAATATGATTGTAGAAAAATGTGGCTGCATCATGGACCATATAGCAGCGGTCTAGCCACACACCAAACACAGAATGGCAGAAAGGCAAGAGGTAGCCTGTTACAGGGTGCTCTTTTCCTCATTTAGTTCTCCTAATTCTAACCACATATCACCCGTGGCACACTGAATTCGGTTGCCGGTCTTCTTCATACATTTGAACAATAATTTGGTTCCTCTCCTGTCATAGGTATACAATTTTGCAGTCGAAAATGCAGGTTGTTCCAATCTGGATGGAATTTTGCAGCATATAACTTGTATGTCTGCCTTTCATGGCCACGATGGTTATGCTCTATCTCCACTGTTGCAGATAGGATTCCTTTGTACAAGAGGTTGCTGGGAATCTCAAGTGGGAAGAGTGCTGTTGCAATTAGGTCCTGCTTGTGGGCTTCTCATAGGTATCTGGTTGACCACTGTGAGAACAGGATGCGGGACTAAATTGGCCTTTGGTCTTACTGGGTTCTTATATTCTATTTACTGAGAGTTTGTTTGTTTGTTTGTTGCTGAGCTATCATTTTCCATGGCAGAGCAGCAAAGTAGCATATAATCCCAAATTCAGTGAGCGATAGCAGTTTGTTAATGATACAGTGGTGCCTCGCAAGACAAAATTAATTCGTTCCGCGAGTTTTGTCGTCTTGTGATTTTTTTCGTCTTGCAAAGCACGGTGTCGGGAAAGTTTTGGAAAAGCTTCAAAAATCACCAAAGTCTTTAAAAACCTCAAAAAAGGCTCCCACACCGCGTTCTATGAGTTGCTCCTCGAAGTCAAGTCGCAACTGTATTAATGGTGTTAAGAAAAAGGAAACAAACTTGCAAGACGTTTCCGTCTTGCGAAGCAAGCCCATAGGGAACATCGTCTTGCGAAGCAGCTCAAAAAACGAAAAACCCTTTCGTCTAGCGAGCTTTTCGTCTTGCGAGGCATTCGTCTTGCGGGACACCACTGTAGTTGAAAGCTGTCAGCACCAGAGAAAGATTGCTGGAGTAGATGGATTTTTCACTGGTCCTTCATGACAGTTCTTCTGTCATGTGGTGTAGTGGTTAAGAGAGGTAGACTCGTAATCTGGTGAACCGGGTTCACTTCCCCGGTCCTCCACATGCAGCTGCTGGGTGACCTTGGGCCAGTCACACTTCTCTGAAGTCTCTCAGCCCCACTCACCTCACAGAGTGTTTGTTGTGGGGGAGGAAGGGAAAGGAGAATGTTAGCCGCTTTGAGATTCCTTCGGGTAGTGATAAAGCGGGATATCAAATCCAAACTCCTCCTCCTCCTCTTCTTCTTCTTCTGTTCTTACTAACAAAACACCCATCAAAACAAGGGATAGGCATCTGTATGATGAAAGGACAGCATCCTTCAAGGAGCACTTTGAGATGAATTGCGTGTGCCTCCAAGCAGAGTCCTACAGTACCTCTTGCAGGATCCCTGTGGGTAAAGACTAAGCCCTTGGTATCAGGGATGGAGGGCAGGTTTACCTTCACTTGCAACAGTGTCCCAGAGTGCAGTGTAACTTTCTCCCATGGCAGTGAATGGCTGCAATTCACTCCTGTGGAGAAAAAGTAAAGGGATGTATTGAGGGTAGAGGTTTTCAAGCTTTTTGAGTGCACAGCTCCCTTGACCAATACCATTCTTTCTGCAGCACCCCTGTGGGGCTCAGGAGCCCAGTTATGTCACCCTTGCCTGCCAAGCTGAAAGCCTCTCACCCTTTTTCAAACACCCTCCCTTTTGCAATGTTCCCTCAGCCTCCTCTCCTCTCGCCTCTCCTTGGGAGTCCTCCAGGCAGCTGCCGCAGCCACCCCCTGGCCAGCCCCAGAGGCACCATTTCCCTGGGGAGCTTGTAGCCAGGGCTGCTGCAATAAACAGCTGTGTTAGCCCACTTGCCCACTGAAACCAAAAGAGTTTTAAAAGTGTGTCACCTTTCCTGGATCACACCCATCATTTCCCAGCTGCACTGATTTTAGTGGGAGAGTACAGTGTGTAGTTAAATATCTCCAGTTGAAATCAATGGGTCTTTAAAAGTGGTCAGTTTTGACTGGATTGTGGCCATCTATAGATAGTGAACTGAGGTTGGCAGTTTTGACTATTAAGTTGAACTTGCTCCCAGACCATGACCAACATTCTGCCCATGACAATCAGACCATATTATTATACCACAAACTATCTTAGGAATCATAAAAAGCACTTACCTATTAATAATATAGAATCCATATATATTCTCTGTCCTTATTTGCTATCTCCATCAGAAGGCTGATCTATGTACCTTATGGGTTAAAAAGTGAGCCAGAAACCCTGTAATAAGTGGGACTTGTGTGTAAGGATGCTTGCTCCATATGATTGCAGGATCTCGTCCTTTATTTGTAACATACAAACAATGTGATTGATGAGTTTCCCCTGAATTTTGTACATCTTGACATACTAGGAAAAACAATAAAATATACAATGAATACAGTGGATTATTTTATTTGAATCTTTAAAAATATGCACACAGACGATAACTGTTTTATAATTTGGATAATGTAGTCTGTTTTGAATGGGGCTTCCAAGGCTTTAAAATAATCCTATTTAAAACAAAAAAATAAAAACAAGAAACGAGCTAAAATCTAATCTTTGTAAGGGACTGCAAAACAGATGGATATGTGCAAACAGAATAAGTCTGTGGAACTGGCTGTAATTCACTTACCTGAGAGTAAGTTCTATTGAACCTAGAGGAACTTACTTCTGAGTAGACATGCCTAAGATGGCAGTGTAAGAAAAGTGGTGGTGGAGAGGCTGCAGGAAATTTATTTATTTCGTGTATTACATTTATATCTCATCTTTCCTCCATTGAGCTCAAGGTGGCTCCCCATTTGAGCCTCACAACAACCCTGTGAGGCAGGTTAGGCTGAGAAAGTTACTGGCCCAAGGTCACCCAGTGAGCTTGATGGTTGAGTGGAGATCTGAACCCTGTTCTCTCTGGTCCTAGCCATTTAAGCACTGCACCACACTGTCTCTCCAAAGCATAAAGTAATTTGACATTCCCCTATATTGTTGTCACAAGTAGCACACTTACATTTAGGCAATTACAGAATGCATTGCACCATCTCCACATCCAGTTGTGATCTGGGATCAAAGGAGTCGCAAAACATTTCCTTATCACCTAATTGTGACTGTAGCAAAGTTTTCTATGATGCTATTTGGTGTCGTGCAAAGAAATTGGAAGTTGGCAATGAATTGGGCAAGAGAACAATATCAGGCTGTTTTTATATGTGACAACTGCAGCAAGAGTATTACTGGCATAGAAATGGAAGCAGGAAGAACTACCGACGAAAGAGGCATGGCAGATGAAACTAATGGACTACGCAGAATTGGATGACAGGGAGCATTCCAAACCAGCGGGACCAGAAATTCTTGAAAGATTGGACTAAATATGCGAGTTATTTGAAAGACAATTATAATCAATTGTCTACACTTGTAGGACTAGAAGAAGTTTTGTAAGGAGAACGATATGAAATATTGCAGAAAAGATTTATGAGAATGGATTTTAAGTTATGGATTATTAAAAGTAATAGGTCAGATAACAAATGTAAGATTAAGAGATGAAGTTTAAAAATCATTAGACATGGCTGATGGAAGTCTCAGGTTAAAATGGCCAAAAGGCTGTATGAGATGATATGTTCTGTTTGGAAAATATATGTAAAAACTAATAAAAATGTATATTAAAAAAAAAGAGAGAGAACAGTATCAGGTGCCAACTTCACAAGTGTTCAATAGAACAAATCATGTGAAAATTGGCCTGTGCCGCATCCTTTGAATGCAAAGTACCAAGGTCTGAAATTGTTGACACTAGATATGCGTCTTGTTGAGCAGATCCAGGACCCACTATATATTCAGTTTGGTATTTTGGATAGCAATGAGGGGGAATGGGATGAACAGAGGAATGCAGGAAGCTGTCTGATAATAAATCCAGTATTGACTGGCAGGTAGGGGATTTTCCCAGCCTTACCTGGAGGTCATGAGAATTTGACTAGGGCGATTTGCATCCCAAAGCAGATGCTGTCCCACAGACCTATGACCAAAGTATATGTCATTACTGAGTAGGATTCTGCCTTTATTAGCATTAGGAACTTCAGATCCGAGAGTAGTCTGAAAGCTGTAGGTAACAAAAAGAAAACTTAACAATGGACACCCACCCAGGGCAAGGTAGCCAGTCATAATCCTCAAACCATACATCACAAAGGTGGGAGGTCCGTTCTGATTGGTTTCCACAAACCCTTAAAGCTGGACAGTCTATACAGTACCTAAGTTTAAAATGTAGAGATTAGATTATTCACTGCATTCACACTTTGTTTTTGTTTTGTTCAGCAACCTTTATTCCATTCAGCTGACATGCTGCATTTTGAACCTTGGCCAGTCTTACTAAAAGATTGTTTATTAATGCAAACAAGCATTTTCTTTAAAGAGAGCATAAATCAGGTTGGATTCTTAGGTTCTGCAAGGGACCTCACCACTCATGTAGAGGCTCACCCTTCCTTCTGTTGAACAGGAAGGAAAGACTAGAAGATTATATAGGGGGTGGTACTCAAATAAATATTTGCACAAGTGCATGGTAAATGCAAATTGAAAAATGTGGCCTGGGGGATGCATTTTACTTCTAGCAATTATCCCAACTTCACTTTCTCCTCCACTTCCTTTAAAAAAATTAATTTCTTTCTGTGCCTTTGCCTGTGACGTCTTGCTGTCTTTTAGCATCTGCCTAAATTATAGGTGAACAGCCTTGCTGCTTAGACATTTTTTTATTTGAGTGATGAGGAACTCTTCTAGGAGAAGACAAAACATTGTCACTACGCACTGTCAGGTTACATTAGACTCCCTAGTTAGGCCCTACTAAAAATAGAATCCCAAAGGATAAAAATTTCCCCGCTCTAAACATAGCATGAATAGAAAGAATTAAAAAAAAAAAAATCTCGCTGAGGTATCATTTATATCATTCAACCTCCTTTATTTCATTGGGAGAGTTAAGTGCATGCATAAATCTCTCCTCCTGAAATCAGCATGGCTGAAAAGTGTTTAAACTTGGCTGGACCATACTTTTGGACCATACTTCTCTCTGTTGTAATTGTTTTCTTTAAAATTGTCCCAAGGATATGACTAAAGAAAAGAAAAAATTAGAGAGGGAAGCTGCATTAACAGTGAACATTTATTTAAGATTGTTACTGCGGAATAAGATGCATTTATTATTGTTTTAAATAAGTATACCACCCCCCTTCATTTGACTCCTGCCAACCTAGCAGTTCGAAAGCACGTCAAAGTAGATAAATAGGTACCGCTCCGGCGGGAAGGTAAACGGCGTTTCCGTGCACTGCTCTGGTTCACCAGAAGCGGCTTAGTCATGCTGGCCACATGACCCGGAAGCTGTATAAAATAAAGCGAGATGAGTGCCGCAACCCCAGAGTCGTCCGCGACTGGACCCAATGGTCAGGGGTCCCTTTACCTTTTACCCTTCATTTGAAGATCGCAGGGCGGTTCACAACAGAAAAATGCAAAATAAGAGCACAAAATACATAATAAAACAAAAACCAACCAATAACACAAACACATTTAAAGTGCCACAGAATGTTAATCAGCCAAAGGCCCGCTCATAGAGAAATGTTTTTTCCGGATGCCTAATGAAGGTGCCAGGTGACCATCCCTGGGGGAAGCATGTCACAAATGGTGAACCACCACAGAAAAGGCCCATTCTTGTGTTGCTACCAGTCTGGACCTCACATTTTTTTCAAATGGATGGAACTTTATATCTAATGACTATTAACATGTCATCACCAAGGGATGGGTAAGGGAGAACTTCTAAGTCAGGAACTGGTACTTCTTGGTAAGCAGAGGGCCTTCTTGGTAGTGGCGCCTGCCCTGTGGAACGCCCTCTCAACAGATGCCAAAGAAATAAAGAACCACCTGACTTTTAGAAGACATATGAAGGCAGCCCTGTATGGGGAAGTTTGTAATGTTTGATTTTTTTACTGTGTTTCATGTGTTTAATTTGTTGCAAGCCACTCAGAGTGGCTGGGGGCAACCCAGTCAGGTGGGTGGCATTATTATTACGGTATTATTATTATTATTATTATTATTATTATTATTATTATTGGCATGTACCTCAACATAGCTCATTGGACTAGATGACATTTGTGGTCCCTTCCAATTCTACAGCTGACTTATGATTCTAACAACACCATGGCAATATTTTTCGAACTACATGCAACATCATTCTACTAGCACTGATACGGTTACTTGACTTTAGCCTTTGCACCATCTGTTTTTTTTTAAAAATCACAATCTTCTCTTATGTAATTAAGGAAAGGAATATATTGTTCTGAT